TACTTTTTACATGTGATGTATAAACATAGAGCCAGAAACTAATACTATGTACTAAAAGACAAGCAATCGGCATCTCAGCAAATTGGCTCTGGAATTTCTTCGTGGTTATGATTACCCCTACGTTGATTGATAACTTGGCTTGGAAGGGATACTTGATTTTCATGTGTCTGAATATGGTGTTCGTTCCGGTGAGTCTTTCGTTTCTCTCTCCTCAATCTTCATCTTCATTTATATACTCTTTTCTTTCTATAATCTCCAGCTCTATCCAGCCCTATTATCTATTTCTATTCCATTCCCATTTCTTTCAGCAATCCTTCCATCTCACCTCCACCTCCAAACAAGCTAACAATGTACAATCTAGATCGTCTACTTCTTCTACCCCGAAACAGCAAATTTGACTCTCGAAGAAATCGACTTCCTCTTCACGGACCGGACACGGACGGATCTGCGGCAGGAGGGTGTGCTTGCAGCGAACAATGGGGTTGTCGCTCCGATGGAGGTGAAGGAGGATCATGCGAAGGAGTGAAATGAATATATATAGGTATTTTGGGGAGAAGATGATGGGGCAGAATGGATTGAGTTAGTGTGCTATTTCGGTTCCTTAAAAAGGACGCGGTGGTAGATGGAAAGGTGGGGTATATAGTAGATTTTGTACTGCAACACTTCTTGAGATAGGGATGATGTTAACCTGTCTCAGAGTTTGATGAGGACTGCGATGGATGGATGTGTCCAGAAGTAGCTTCCGTAGTTGATTGATCGTTGAAATTATTTTCGAAGGATGTAGATGAGGGATGCATCCCGCCGGAGGGATGGTTATATCCAATGCTCTAGAACAGTGCGTCGAAGGTTGGCTAAGGGCTTTCGGAAGATTGGTGTTCGATAGTGGTGCTAACATCGGAATTGTGGTGGAAGTCTTCGGCAGATACTTGAAGGACGACAATACAGATTCTTACTATTCTAGAGAACCTCTCAGAGAGTATGCCGCGTCGTGTATAGGCTATCATTGAAGCTAATGGCTGGTATACTAAGTATTAGCCTAATTTTGGTTATTTCATGTACAAACAATATTATAAATATGCCAAATATTATAAAATCAAAAGTAAATAATAAATATATGAACCGTTTTGCATCAACATCACATTCTATATTAACATTCTCACTTAGTTTCACTATTGATTTAGCTAAAACCTAAATGAGATATAGTAATTAAATATAAACTAGATGTGCTCTTTATAATAATAGAGATATTTCTTGTTTATGGTGCAAAAGCATATATTTAGTGAACAAATGGTTACAAACTAGAACAGAGGGAAATAACGCTACGTTATTTTGATGACTGATTAGCTTTACGAGCGCTAAGGCCACGTTTTTATGCAAAAGTTGGGTTGAACTGGGCCTATATTGGGTTTTACTGGGCCCCAGCACTGGGTCCGGGTTGGGCTTTGCGGAAGTTTAATCACCACGACGCTAACCCCTATTCTAGGTCACGTGTATTTTGTAATACCTAGCGGACCCCTGGTCTGCAAGGAAAGGTTTTTTCTTTCCCAATCTGCTAAAGCAAAAGGATGTCTTGGCGAATCCCATATCCCCCGCCCCCGAGGCAGTGATTCGCATGGTTTATTCCACAGGCTCCATAGTATTCATCGACTTCTAGTTGCCCAATAACGTTAGTTAACTAACCTTGTGGCTGACGCTTAGTAAGCGTCTGATGAGCCCTCATCGGACGCATCCGTTGGTCGAGTACCCGCCAACTAACCTTTGTCACCTCCCCTTAGCATTGTTTGTCGACTCCTGACCGACACGAGACTGTACAAATTGTTGAAGAGACTTCCAAGGCAAGTATACTACTCTTTCGTAAGTGGCTATTGGTAATATCTAACATCTGTGGTTAGACATATATGGCTCAAACGGAATCTAACGAATATGCCCTATCTACCTATGATGTGAAGTTCAGTTGGAGAGCGGCTGTATTTGCATTGCTGTCAGTTGGGAGATATTTTGGGGTTGCCGACGCGAAAGGCGTCATTGACCAATGCATCTCACAGGAAGGCGACGGCAGAATCTGCGGATTCCGCGTATTCGGTACTATCTGCGCACTATATCTTACATGCTCCGCAGGGTATCTCGTCGGATATATCGCCGGACGTATTCCCTACGATGTGAGGTTTAATCGGAGAGCGACAGCATTCGCAGTTCTATTATACGGAAAATATTTCGGGGGCGCCGGTGAGAAAAACATCATTAACCAGTGCATCTCACAGGAAGGCGAGGACGGAAAGTGCGGAACGCACATAATCAATATTGTCTTGGCACTATATCTTACATGCTCCGCTGGATATTTGTTTACATTTCTCGTTGCACCTTTCGCCAGAGACCAAGGTGTGAAGCTCAGCTGGAGTGTGACTATATTCGCGGTCTTATCCTACGTCACATATGTCGGGGTTGTCGACGATGTAGTAGACGTCGTTATCCAATGCATCTCCAGGGAAGGTGAGGGCAGAGAGTGTGGAGGGAAAGTAATCGAAACTGTTTCTACGCTGCTCCTTACATACTTCGTCCCGCTTATTGTCGGAGATCTTCCGAGGTATCCTACCTTTTCTACCCCAGCAGATAGTGAGGCTTTCGGCTAACTCATATCTAGAATCATGTCAATCATTTCTAGAATCTTGTCAGTAACGGCTTCGGGACTAGAAGCGACGGCGACGAACTTACGTGCGGCTTCGAGGAACGCAAACGAAAACCGGATGAATCCATCGCATACTACAGGTAGACTCGAGTGATCATCTTAATTTATAGTTTCTATTCGTGGAGCCTAGTTAAATTTCTCTATTTGATGATCGCAACCCAGCCACGGAGACAGGCGAATGCCAATAGGACTTGGGGTTCAACAAGTTGTCCTGTTAATGGTGCTTACGCCATGACCTAGTCAAGTATCGAAAAGAGACGCTCAGGTTCCTGGAAACAATCTGTACAGCATGAGCTTCTAGCCAAGGAATTCGATGATTATTTTTCCTAGCTACTGACGGCCCCAGATACTCTTATCACATTGGATCCACTGCCGTAGATGACGACGATGAAGACATGCAATAACATAGCCAACATAGCGGATGACGCTAAATCCTTCAAACAGGTTAACTCTCCGGCACCAGAGGGATGTTCCTAAAGAATGCGGAAAACGTTCTAATCTAACAGCCTTGCTCAACAAAGACGGAATAATTAACCCCTTAGCAATTGGTTTTCTTTTTTTAATCGCTCGCCCTTTTGGATATTACTCACCAAGCGCGCCTCTCTCATCGCCCAATCTAGTACTACTTTGCTTGCATATTCACTCGAAGCTCTCTTCAGCTCTTTTTTCTCTGCCCATTTAAATTCCTTACTAGCCTTTTTGATCGTTTCAGAGCCGATGCGCGCGACTCGCAAGTCTTCAAATACAAGTGAGCCGGGGTTATTGAGAAAGTAACCAAAATTAGATTAGTGTGTTACAAGTTAGGGTTCAGAAAACAATTCATGAGAGTATTTTGGTATATCTGATTTCCAATATCGCTGTAGTGGTGACAGCCTGCGTATCGCTTCGTGAGGCGGCGGGGTAAATGATTTACACACACGCGGGTGCACACCTTGTAAAGGTATCTGCTGCCACATAGGATCTTGGCAGTTGCTGCCCCGCCCCAGGAATAATTGCATTTAGATTGATGCGCTAGCGGGAATTTCCCCGACAAACGGGCTAGGAAGCCAAGGGGTGGTACAGTACAGGTCCTCCCGAAGGCAGTTCTACCACTTTACTGTAATTCTTCCCGGAACTATACCTCTACACGCGAAAGTCCTTATTTTATTCGGCATATTTGAGGTTGTCGAAATGTTTATAAGATCAAATCATGTCATACATTTCATTGTCAACTTATGAGACTTACTCTCCGAGGATATTGGTATGATTTGGATTCCGCAAGTGAATCGTTAGGTGACTTAAATATCCGGGCGAATGTATCCAAGCAATCGGGAATACGTTAAGACCCAATCTAGGGCATTGATGTTCGCTCCACGGTCGAGTAAAAGTTTCGCAACGGTCAACGAGCCGTACTCAGCAGCCCAGGACAGAGGCGTCCGCTCGTGCCGGTCACGAGAATCGATCTTCGGCTCAGCTTGTAGAAGGTAAAGGAGGAGGTGGATACCGTCCCCTATAGCGGCATAATGAAGAAGAGACCTTTTAAAGCGATCTCGTCGCTTAGACTTTCCGCTTGATTTGGTTGTTAGTGGGTGGAAGTTGGTGCTGCTATACATTAGTATCCTGTTCATTTTATACGTTCAACCCGAATGATTCATTACTGCACTAGGAATCTGCTCCAGGTTTTACAACACAGCGCTAGATGACGGTAAATCGGCTGCCGATAATGGTACCCATCGTCAAGTGGATATGCCCTGGAGGCTGTTCACCCTGCACACCTTGGCCCTCCATTTTTAGAGCTACCGAGTAACCCAAGATACCTGTAAAAGCTACGTTCTTCTACATTTAACGAACGATTTCAACCAGGAAATCGCGCCGTCTCACTCCTAAGCCACATCTAAAAATAATTTGGAAGCTAGACGCCTATTTACCCCAATTGGCGTGACCTTACTCGCTGCTGGGGAGATGGCTGAGACCGAGCCAGTAAGCGCGTGCTCCGAAGAGGTGCCCAACTTTGGATAAGCTTGGTTTGCATCCCATGCTTACTGTTGGCCGTAAGTTTTGTCGGCCTTGAAATGATCTAAGATGCCCTAGTTGCATTACCGATGTAACTCGGCTCTTCGAGGCGGTGACCATAGCGTCAGCCTTGCTCTTTTTAGTCCCTTTTTAGACTTCGCATAAAAATGTGTAGGACGCCTATAAATGGAGTGGGGTGCCCTCGAGAGGGAGGATCATCATCGACATCAACATCCTCTTTCAACCACCTCAAATCATCATCTCAAAACAAAATAAAACAGTCACTCGCTCAAGTCCAACTACAACGACATCACTATTCAAAATGAAATTCACCACCATCTCTAGTATTTGCCTAGCCGCCGGCATTACCCTCGCCGCTCCCGCCGCTCCCGGCGGCGCGCAGTGCCCTACCCTTCAGCCGATCTACATCGATAGCTGGACGGCCGAGTTGTACTCAGACGTCAATCGGGGCTGGATGATGTTCAACATGGGCGATCCCAACAAGAAAGTTAAGACTAACTGCAGTGTTACCTGGTAAGTGCTTCCTTTTCATCTCTATACATGCAAAGCAACACAGGCACTAACATTAATCTGTAGGGAACGTGGGTTGCCCGTCCCCCATGACACGATGCTCAAGTGCGACGACAAAGCCTACGAGTTCGGTTTCCCCAAAGGGATCGACTCGATCGACGAATTCACTCTTAAGGTGGCTCGCACTAACGGTGCTTGGAGCGGACACTATGCGGCTAACTCGAAGAACGAGAACTGGAATTGCAACGAGTATGCTCATGGATTTTTTAAGGAGAAGTGCGAATTGATTGGTACTTTGAATATGGAAGTGAGCCCCTGAAGTGCTCGTGTTCGCGTGATTCAAGAATGGGTTCCTTTCTTTCTTTGCATTCATTTATACCCGAGAACACACATGTGGAAGCTGGATAGGCGACGCTCGCTTTTCTTGTTGTTATGCATGGCGATGCGGATGGATACATTCCTTTCATACGGTCATAAATCTAATACATAATTTGATTGGCTCGAGTAACTTTTCGTCTTGATAGTAGCTCTCTCATCATTTCTTTCTTCCATGTAAGCATAGAGAGTGGACCCTTACTCCTCCTACACTAACGCGGGTATAGCTATGCTCAGAAAACTAGGATGAGTCCGATTTTCGGTACAAAGACCCCGTACAGCATTCGATAGCGGCCCAGAGGCCAAAATCGAATAATGCCATATGTTATCGTCACTAATATTAGCCAGAGAATGGTTAACTGATCGATATTGGTTTCTTGGCATTCAAATATAACTTAACTCGTCAACTCATAAAGTAGATACGAAATCGGAAAACAGGAATCAAATACGAAAAGAAGAGACCAAAAGAAACCCGACTTTTGACGCCAGAGAAAGCCCTTCAAAAGTGCGCCAAGCCAGCCAGCCACAAAAAGAGTAAGACACACAAAACGCCATTTCCAATCCGAACCCATCCCCATACTCACAACCAAAAGAAAAAGGGCCTGGTTACCGCGAATTGGGTCAGTGAGACGCGCGAGTGAACATCAAACTAAACAAAGATCATATAAGCAAGACCACAACAGGCAGTAAAGTCAAACTCGATCGAATTGATGGGTCAGAGTGTCGAGCGCCGAGTATGTATTGACGGTATTGCGAGTCGAAGGGGAAATTCGTTATGAGTCAATCTCCATCCCCATGTCGACGCCTCCGTTCAGTCCCTCGGGAGTCGAGTGAGCCGAAAGAGCCTGCTGCAAGAGCGGCACGCCTTGATCGACAGCAGCGGGGGCGGAGAGCGGGTTGGTGGTTTGGAGGTCGTTGCGGTCTGCGGCAGTCAGGGGACCGGGGCCCTGGAAGGCGATCGGGGAGCAGCGCAGGTTATGCAAACAAGCATCCCAGGACGAGGCGACGAGCTGGGCGTGGGCGAGGTCTTCGCTGAACAGGTAGAAAGCCGGTGCGGGGGCGCCGATGGGTGTGGCAGCCACGAGGTAGGCGTTGAGGGCGCGGGATTTCATGAGCATCCGCGAGTCGCGCAGGTGCGCCGCGTACTGGTTGTCGATGTACTTGGTCCAGCCGCGCACGGCAGGGGCCATGTCGTCGTCTGGGTTGATGCATTGCCAGCTGATGCCGAGGAGACGGGTGGCGTCGTCGACAAGGGGTTCAGAGGGCGGCGTTGTTCCCGTGTGCAGGGTGCGATGCTGGTCGTCCGCGTTGGATCCGTTGAGGCGTTGGCGCATTGAGGCGAGTGCGATGTCGTCCAGGCCGGGAGCAGAGGGGTCGAGCCGCTGGGACTTGCGGCTGAGATCGGCGGCATCTGCGGAGAGCGCGTCGGACCGCGACGAGACCGGCGGTGCAGCGGCCAGTTGGGCTTCGGACTGTTCTTCGCACCAGGTGCCCGTCTGGCTTTCGGCCGAGAGCGCGATGCCTGTGCGCGGGTTCAGGAGCACCATTCCCTCGCCGTAGATTGGTTCTTCCGCGGGTTCGGGGGCAGGCTTGAGTTGGGCTGCCTGGCGGAAATCCTCTTCAAGAGCCGCGTCATCGCGCGACCTCTTCCGGGACGGTTTGGGTGCCGCCGCGGGAGCCGCGGACGCGAGCTTGGAGTCTGGCTGGAAGGAGGAGTCACTGTTGGCAAAGACAGAGCTGGGACTGGCCGGGTAGCCGTGGGTGTCGAAGAGCGAGTGCGAGGGGAACTGAACGAAGGCGTGTTCCTGGGGAGAGAGGACCATGGCGGGACCGTCGGCGAGGCGACTGAGGATCGTGGGACACATTGCCGCCAGTGGGTTGGTTGGTTCCAGACGAAGGAACGCGACAAGGGGACTGTTCTGTTGGGGTTAGGTGAGTAGGACACAACCAGCGACAACCACCTATAGATCACGCGAGGCGCTCCGAAGTATAGGACTCGATTGGGTGGGTGGCGAGGAGAGGCTCTGATGATTATCTAGGGAACGGGGTGGGATGGAAGTAAAAGAGAAGGTAAGAGATAAGGGTGGGAAGACACGACCGACTATGTAGCGTGAGAGGGAGAAAGAAGGCGCGAGCGCGCGCGAGAGGGAAGAGCTGCAAGCGATGGGGGCATGTGCGGAGAGCGGCAGTTCCTTCCCATGCTGACTATGATCACTCCAGCCTCGCTGACCGCCCGGCTGGGGACTGTCCGATTGGTGGATACGGATGGGCTGAGTGTGGAGCAGGGTGCATTGCCAAGCATCAGCCAGAGTGCTGTGACTGGCTGGACAGTCCGGATGGGTGTGATTGGGCAATCGGAGTGTGATCCCAGCTGACTCAGATATTGCGGAACCGAGGAGAGAATGAAAAGAGTCTAGTATTGGGAGAGAATATGGAGACACGGAGAGGATGGCGCGGGTGACAAAACAATAATCCAATAATGAGAAAGAAAAACAGCAATCCGACACCCAAGCTCGTGCAAAAGAAAAGTCTTGTCATGAAAAAAGAGGCAAAGAAGGAAAAACAGAACGTACACCGCTAGCAAAACCTCTCTCATGTCTCTGTATACATCACAGGAACATAGTCGCAAGAAAGAAGAACAGCCAAAGTCCCCTTGAAGAACTTCGAGATCGATCAGACCGGAAGTGCCTTCTCTCCGCCACTCCGGCCCAGTGCCCGCGTAAGGCGGCCCTGCCTCCAGACACTGGGTTCTCTCAGTTCACCAGCTCCAGCCGAACCTGAGAGAGAATGCCCGACTGTCGGCGGCTGTGGGGGGCCACTGACAGTGGGCGTGGACCCGGCAGACCCAACTCGGGTCTGGGGGGATTGTCGTGGCCAAGTGCATTTATGCACTACCGCCAGTAGAGCTACCGGGGAACACGCCCTTGACACGGTCAACGGTCTCGGGGGCGTAACTCGGAGCCATGGAGCCAACAAACAGGAACAGGATGAGGACGGCGGCACCGACAACCACAAACTTGCGCTGGGCCGGGCGGTTGGCGCCGTATTCGGCCCACGAGCGACCCGCCTGGCTGGTGTACTCCTTGATCTTGTCACCGCCCAGCTTGTAGTAGACCAGACCGATCAGGGCGATGGAGTAGCCGAAGAACTGCAGCGGGGTGACGGGGGTTTGCCAGATGGCCATGGAGGCAGCGACCAGCAGGATATCCTTGAGGACACCGCACAGGGTCATCACCAGGGACGAGGTCTTGCCGATCAGGAAGACGACCGAGACGTTGAGCAGGAACGCGATCATGGCGTTGACGATCAGCGTCGAGACACCGACGGTGTAGACGTTCTCCATGCTGATGTGGGGCACCTCCAGGAACAGGGCGACGACGCCGTTCATCACGGCGCAAATGGGCGCAAAGTAGTACAGCGAGACCATGGGGTCCATCTTGAAGTCCGCGGAGCTGAGCAGGCGCTGCACCATCACCAGGCGGGTGGCCTCGAAGGCAATTCCGCCCAGCTGGAACAGGAAACCGACCATGACAAACTTGATCTCACCGAACGAGGCGATGACCACGCCGAGGACGATGACCGAGACGTTCCCGAGGGTCTTGTAATTCACGGGGGCCATGCCCATGACCCAGGTGGTGATTAGGACGGCAACGGGGGTCGTAGCCTGGAGGAGAATTCGTGAGCGAATCGCCTGAAACAGCAACCATCACTCGGAACCTACCTTGAGCATCTGGATAAAGGCCACACTCAGGTACAGGTAGGTCATGTTGCCGCAGATCAAACTCAAGCTGAAAAAGACACCGATCGGAACGATGGCGCGCAGGTAGACGCGGCCGGTCATCTTGACCGTCTTACGGCCATCCAGAATCGTGGTGGTGCGGGCGAGGATCTGGGTCATCAGCGTGGCGAAGGCCAAGTGCCATGTTGTGAGGATAATCGCTGCATGGGAGGGTCAGTATCGAGAATGGACGGGCGGACAGAGATGAGGGCGACATACGGAAACCTGTGCAATCCGAGAGTTAGCCATGAAAATGTTCGAGAATCAGGGGACGACGCCACTTACGGAAGTTCAGCGTGTCGAGCAGGTACTTGTTGAACAGGATAACGCTGGAGCTCAGCGTGATCCAGACACTGGACGAGCGTCAGTCTCTGCTCGTCCTTTTTTATTTCTTTTGGTCGAGAAGATCACTCACCTCACGTAGACCGCGGGGTGGAAGGTGGCCTGAGGGGCCTCTGGCTTCTCCGTGGCCGGGTTGACAGTGGGCAGGGTAGGCTCGCGGGCGACCTCGCCGGAGGTGCGGACTTTCTCGCCTTCGCTCATGGTGAAAGCGCGTGTCTGGTCGGAGAAGAAGCGCTGAAACTGGAAGGGGCGTGGCCGGGAGAGGCTTCCTTGGGTGAAGGCGGAGGAAGCCACGGGGGAAATGCTAAGAGGGCACGAAGAAGGACGGAACGAGCGGTGATAGAGTTGGACCAAAAAGAGTGTCGGTAGCAGATGAAGAAATGATGATGGAAGGGGTTGATGGTGGAATACAGATTTTTTTTTTTTTTTCCCGTGGTTAGTTTGGTTGGGTGGTGACTTAGTGGCGGGAGAACCAGGTTTAGTGGATGTGTTATTTCGAGAGATTAAGAGCGGGTGGAACAGGGCGTGGCAGGAACTGGATTGAGTGGTTCCGGCAAATAACGTGAGAGCTGCAAACAGCGAGCAATCCAAGTGGCTGGCCGTGAGTGGTTACGGTGGTAGCCAGGACTCCACCGCTGTCAGAGGTTCGAGGACTCCGTTCTGTAGGAGAACTGTACCCGAATCATTCGATGAGATATTCTCATAGGATCTATGATATTATCATAGATCGGAGCATTGGATGGGTGCTCATCTCTACGGCTCCCGACGAGACTCCCACCACTCATGATGCCGCTCCCTACATTGTGCCCGGCATTACGCAAGCAGGCACCGCCAAGGCCCACCGAGACCCGCGCTCAGAGCCCTGGTCCCTTACCGGTGGAGAATGCGGCGATCCTCACCCTGACGCCATCGGGACCCCTTTTTGTGCTGTGCCTCTGCCGTCGGTCGGGATGCGTGGTCCCTTTTGGCCCCGGTGGTCAACCGTCGGTGGACCAGACTGCGCGACCGCCAGATTGTCGATCACTGCAACAGAAGCAATCATCGGATCAGGGGGGGGCCTGTCTCATGAGATCGGGGAGGGACAACGTGCCCAACGACATCGGTGGCGCTCCTAGCGGGCGATAGAGTATGCTAGGTCGACGAGCAGACAATTAAAGATGAGAATCCCTCTTACCCAAAGCAGGGTGGGTTTAATTGCGGCATACGTGTTCCGGGATGGGGCTGAGGATGCAAGCGTTCTAGACTGAAAAATAACCGTAAACCTGAAACGGGTGTTGTGGCCCCCCACCGCCCCGAAACCCACGGTCTGCTGTTTCCGTCGTTTCTTCTCCTTCACTTACTTACCCTTCCCATCTCCCCTGCGCTGCTGCAGTCCTTCTTCTATGCTGAATCTCAACATCCGCAAGACCTTCCGACGCGTGCCCAGCTTCCAGGATATCCTTCAAGGCAGGATGACCCACCCCGACATGTACGCTCTCGCGGTGCCCTGACCTCCCCTGCCCCAGCTAACCATTCCCAGTTCTGTTGACGTTCTCGTCATTGGCGCCGGCCCGACGGGTTTGGGTGCGGCCAAGCGCTTGAATCAGATTGTAAGTGTGGGATGACATGGTGGTCGCACACAATGGCCCCCAAAAAGGGGGGAGAAGGGGGGAAAAAAGAAATGTGGGATGGAGGGGCACAACAAACAAAAGGCTAACCAGCACCACCACCAGAACGGCCCCTCATGGTTGATTGTCGACTCGAACGAAATCCCCGGTGGTCTCGCCTCGACCGATGTCACCCCGGAAGGCTTCCTCTACGACGTCGGTGGCCACGTTATCTTCTCCCACTACAAGTACTTTGACGACTGCATCAACGAGGCCCTCCCCAAGGATGAGGACTGGTACGAGCACCAGCGCATCTCCTACGTGCGCTGCCAGGAGAAATGGGTCCCCTACCCCTTCCAGAACAACATCTCCATGCTGCCCAAGGAGGAGCAGGTCCGCTGCATTGACGGCATGATTGACGCCGCCCTCGAGGCTCGTGTCTCCAACGTCAAGCCCAAGACCTTTGACGAGTGGATCGTCCGCATGATGGGTACTGGTATTGCCGACCTCTTCATGCGCCCCTACAACTTCAAGGTCTGGGCTGTGCCGACCACCAAGGTTGGTCTTGCCCATTCGTTTCCGCCCCTGCCAAGTCCCGAAACTGACAACTGGTCCAGATGCAATGCGCCTGGCTCGGTGAGCGTGTCGCCGCCCCCAATGTCAAGGCTGTGACCACCAACGTCATCCTCAACAAGACCGCCGGTAACTGGGGGCCGAACGCGACCTTCCGCTTCCCCGCCCGTGACGGTACGGGTGGTATCTGGATCGCCGTGGCCAACACCCTCCCCAAGGAGAAGACCCGCTTCGGCGACAAGGGCAAGGTGGCCAAGGTCAACGCCAACAACAAGACCGTCACCATGGCCGACGGCACCACCATCGGCTACAACAAGCTGGTGTCGACCATGGCGGTCGACTTCCTGGTCGAGTCCATGAACGACACCGAGCTGATGCCCCTCACCAAGCAGCTCTACTTCTCCTCGACCCACGTCGTCGGTGTCGGCATCCGTGGCTCGCGCCCCGAGCGCATCGGCGACAAGTGCTGGCTCTACTTCCCCGAGGACAACTGCCCCTTCTACCGCGCCACCATCTTCTCCAACTACTCCCCCCACAACCAGCCCGAGAAGTCCAAGAAGCTGCCCACAATCCAGCTCGCCGACGGCTCCAAGCCCAAGAGCACCGAGGCCCAGGAGGGCCCGTACTGGTCCATCATGCTGGAGGTGTCGGAGTCGTCGATGAAGCCCGTCAACAACGCCACCCTCCTGGCCGAGTCGATCCAGGGTCTCGTCAACACCGAGATGCTGCAGCCCGGCGACGAGATCGTCTCCACCTACCACCGCCGCTTCGACCACGGCTACCCGACCCCGAGCCTGGAGCGCGAGGGCGCCCTCACCCAGATCCTGCCCAAGCTGCAGGAGAAGGGCATCTGGTCGCGTGGTCGCTTCGGCAGCTGGCGCTACGAGGTCGGCAACCAGGACCACTCGTTCATGCTCGGTGTCGAGGCCGTCGACAACATCGTCAACGGCGCCGTCGAGCTCACGCTCAACTACCCGGACTTTGTCAACGGTCGCCAGAACACCGAGCGCCGCCTGGTCGATGGTGCGCAGATCTTCGCCCAGAACAAGTAATTCTTTCATTGTCGGCAAAAAAGAATGCATTCGTCACTTCCCGCGGGAAACGGAAATCTGACTACAGCCGTCCACTACACATTTTAAAATCTTATACATGCTTAAAGAAAAACGGGGGAGCATATTTGAAGCGACAGTCCGGGAGATTTTCACATCTTTGTTGGCGTTTCATCTTTGTGACTTGAATTTGACCACCGTATATCCCAATCCTCTCCCTCTTGTTTTCTGATGGCTCTCGCTGGAACTCGTTTGCTTGGGGCTCTCTTTTTTTCTTGTCAGTTACACTTCTTAGACTTCCCAACCATGTGGATTGCTTTCTTTTTCTGCCTCGGTTCCGTTAGGGGATGTGTGCTATGGGATGTGTTACGTGTATGTTTCCTTTAGACTGGGTGATGCTTTGAGTGGTCCAATTAGATCGGATCGAATTTTAGAAATTGCTTCGTTTCAAGAGAGAAGGATGAAACACCTGAGCTGTCGGTTTATTTATTCGACACCGTATGATACAACCATACTGCGATCGTCACAATTGATAGGACAGCCGGCCGGTGGGATGCAGTAGTTATTGCCACCTCATAGTTCGGCATGCGACCGCGTCAGGCCTGGACGGCTGCCGGAGGCAACCAGATTCTTGCTCTGGCAAATGACGCCCGCCCCTCCCGGATTGGTTCGCTCGTTTCATCCCCACCGGAGAACTATAGTTAGTTCGCGGAGAGGTGGGTTGGTTCAAATGTTCTATGTATAGAAGCCGGGACTCGTGTGGGTGAGTTGTCCTACCGGTAGATAAAGTACAGGCGCACTGCAGAGGCTATTCATAGAATTTGATAGCCGGGGTATCCTGTAAGTGTACAAATAAGTAGAATCATAAGCTTGATCCATCATCCAAAATAATAATAGTAGTAGTAGGAGCAGTGCCACCGCCACTTCACTTGACCTCTGTTCAAACAAGAAAATCGCCTGACAAACTTGACACATTAGTATGCCTCCAATCCTGAAATGAAGAAAGAAGGCCCTGGAACTCTTCTCTTGCCCGGCCTCGCCCGCCCGATGGACCAAGACATGCCTCGTCAGACCGCGTGGCCGCTAGTTTAGCCTAAGGCCCGGAGTGGGACTTTAGTGTGCTCGACTGGCCGACTCGGCGAGGTCCCGGATGCCAGCGACTGGGTCTCTGACGTCGTAACACATCCTGCGGATTGTCTGTGGCGGGGGTTGGGGTTGGGTTTGCGCGTGTTGCGATCTCTGGTTCTCTGTCCTGTGTCGATCATGGAAAACTCGCCAGAGACAGTAGTGGGTGGCACATCGGCAAGAGGCGGACCTGTTGCCACGGCGGGATTGCCATTGTGAGCACCTAGTGTGGTCTGCGAGGACGGTGTTGTGGAAGTGATCTCTCGACGGAGCGAATCAACCGATCGAGACGCTCTAACCATGGATCTGGAAGCCTTGTTGGTGTTGATGTTGACTTGAGTCTCATTCAGGGTCAGAGTAGGGGCATCGCCAACATCCTTCCAGGAAAGGGTCTTCTGGACTCTGTTGATGTCGAGGTTGACTGCATGCCCCATCCAATTTGCGGTGTGTTCCACGCCTCCATGAATATCCGTTTCCGCATCGGATATAGTACTCGCTGCAGATGCGCACGAGTCGATGGAGGACGGATTGGATGGGTCGATCAGCGTGCTGTCTTCTTCGTGCTCTTCATCCTCGTCTTCGTAGCGTTGGCTGGAATCGTCCAGGCGCAGGCGGGTGAAGTATAAAGTCAGATGGATGCGGTGGAGGTCTGCCTGGAGCTCATCGGGGCTTAGAAAGATGGCGGTCGGGGGGCGTCTGAGCATGGTGGCTGGCGATGGAGTATAGTAGACTGGGACGTAACCAGAAGACAGGCCATGATTAACTATAGCCAGTGGAAGGAGCGAGTGAGTGTTAAATCAAGAAAGAAAGCAATCGGTCACTATGTCGGTAATTCGACTGCGATTCTTTTATAGTCCAAGTACTCCTCCCTCTTGCTCAGCCCCTTCACCCGAAGCGAAGGTCGGAGCCTCTCCTGTTGATCCTTTTTCTCCTTCCCCTCAACACCGTCGACTTTTTTCCCACACTTGCAAGCCATGCCTCGTCCAGCATAGCCTGTCTCTTGTTCCTCTTTTCTTTCCCATTCCCTCCGGTCTTACTGTCTCTCTTCCTTCCCCTCCACCACCACCAGCATCACCATCACCACCCACACTGAATCCACTCTCACCATTTCCTCCCCCTCCTGCCCTGTCCACCCCTCCCTCCTCCCCGTCATGAACGGGGACCTCAGCCTATCCCGGTCCCTGGGAGGCCTCCGAATAGCCAATCCGGACGACCCGGCCCTTCAATCCCCCGAGGACACAACCGCTGGTTCAACGGGACCAAACCAAGCCGGAGCACCGGGCGGTACGGTATCAACACCTCCACAAGGCCCCGATCTCAACTCAGATGACGACTCGCGCCCGTCTGCCTTCCCTCCAGCACCCATCGATTCGCCGCCATCAACAGATCCCCGGTCTCATCCCTTCCCCGACATCCACCAGTCAACGCCGGGCCCAACTACCTATACGGCCTATTCGACACAACCCCATTCGTCGCCCGCCTCCCGTCCCCTTTCATCTCTCTACACGAATGGGTCGTCTGCCTCCGCCCTTCCCCGTGACAATACCTACCGTATGCGGACCGATTCGGGTGCCTCATCGACTTCCGGCTCGCAGTCGCGGGTAGACCGCGGTGGCTCGGCGGCGTTGCAAGCAGGCGTTCCCGTGCGCGACAACTCTCACAGTGACCGGTCGTACCGGACAACGCAGATTCCACCGAATGCACCGGCGGTGATGTCTCGTCAGTCATCACGAGCACACGTTCACGGCGGTGGAGCGTCCCAGGTCCCTCGGTCTTACACGGAGACTGCCGTGCCATCCAGCGGCGAAGACTGGTCGGATCGGGGTGCGGCGGTCGCGGTGAGGCAAGAGGTCGATGCGAATGGCAAGACCGTCGCTCGCTTCATCAAGAAGGGTGTGCGGGATTTTTCTTTCGGGAATACCCTGGGCGAAGGATCTTACAGCACGGTGGTCTTCGCGACGGACCGGCAGACCTTGAAGGAATATGCAATCAAGATCCTGGACAAGCGACACATTATCAAGGAGAAGAAGGTCAAATATGTCAATATCGAAAAGGATACGCTCAACCGTCTGACCGACCACCCGGGAATCGTGCGGCTTTATTACACGTTCCAAGATGAGCGGTCGCTCTATTTCGTGCTGGATCTGTGCAAAGGAGGCGAGCTGCTCGGCGTGCTCAAGCGGATGAGTACTTTTGACGAAGAATGCACCCGGTTCTACGGCGCCCAGATTCTGGACACGATAGACTATATGCACAAGCGTGGAGTGATTCATCGGGATTTGAAGCCGGAGAATGTCCTGCTTGACAGCCAGATGTATGTCAAGATTACAGATTTCGGGACGGCAAAGATTCTCAAGAACCCACGACGACCGGACGAGAATTCGACGGACATGCCGCTGATCGACTCGACGGAGATCCCGGACGACGAACGGGCCAGTTCCTTTGTCGGGACTGCGGAATATGTCAGCCCGGAGCTGTTGACAGACAAAAATGCGTGCAAGGCAAGCGACCTCTGGGCTTTTGGCTGCATCATCTACCAGCTCCTGGCTGGTCGTCCGCCGTTCAAGGCAGGCAATGAGTACCAAACATTCCAAAAGATCGTTGCGCTGGACTATGAATTTCCCATTGGATTTCCGACCGTTGCCCGAGACCTTGTTGAGCGTCTTCTCGTGCTGGATCCGGCTTGCCGTCTGCCAATCGAGCACATCAAGAACCATGAATTCTTTGCTGGCATCACGTGGGGTGCGGACTTATGGAAACGCAAAGCGCCTCGTTTGAAGGCTTATGTACCGCCCGCACGCGAGCCCATCAAGCTCAATGGCGGCGAAGGCGCCGACAACTTCCCTCCAGCCATCTCCACTGCCCCGTCCAATACAACCAACGCGAGCTCTCGTGCACTCCCACGAGTAGTAACGGAGCTTCCCCCGCCAAGCCAGCTGGACATCGAATGGTCTCCAGTGTTGAGCAGGTCGAACGAACGGATTTTGAAATTGGGTAACCTTACGGTGGTATCTTCCCATGCATCCCATAGTCCGACATCAAGAAACAGCAGCGGGGAGCTCGAGGCGCCCAAGAAATTCTCTCGTTTCTTTTCGGGAAGCGCAACAAAGAAGAGACAACGATTGGTGATGGTCACGTCGTCGGGACGGATAATCCTGGCCGCATCTGGCGGCGACGAGAAGAAGGCGAAACTGGAGATCTCTCTTCTTGCCCCGGGGACTCAGTATCGAAGTACAACAGACTCAAAGGGCTTTTCGTCCTGGATCGTGGATACAGTAAGGCTCTTCCGTCAAGCAGCGAACCAATATGATACTGACGTCGGATTACAGAGAGAGAAGCATTATGTCTTCGAAGACCCCAAACCGTCCTCGAGCAACATCGGCGCCACAGCAGTCTCCGCACAAGAATGGCTAGATGCGCTAGACAGGGCGCGCGAAATGGCCATGACGCAACAAAGTTCCGGCACCTACTCCGCCGACGACGCATTCCGGGATATCTCGTCTGGCTTTTCAAGCCATGCCAACACTCTCGACCGCAATTCAGATCCCCAGACCGAAAGCGGCGGCCACGCTCCAGGGCGTAACCATCTTGTGAAACACCAAGCCACCGACTCGGAGTCGACCAAGGGGAAGAAGAGATTCAGCAAGCGCCATTCCAAGAACGGGCTTGCAGCTGTGTTCTAGCGCTGCTGTCTCTCGGCTATCCCATTTCCCGCTGATCATACTTATCCATCCATCGCACTGTTTTGGTTGTCTCCTCGCTCTTGCCCTTGCCCTTTGCATTTTCAGTGATGAGCGTCTGTCACTTTGACTTTTCTTGGGCGATTTTTCCTGCATTTAGATTGGGAAGGAATGAAGCATGCGTTCTTTCTCTTCTTTCGCGTCATTGCGTCTATTCGAGACTTTTTTTTTTCTTCTGCCCTCCATGTTTCCCCCTCTTCCTCTTCTACCTGGTCTCTCTCGTCTCGTCGCCTCTGTTATATATCCCTGATTTTTCATCCAAAGCATCTTGTCGACACCCCGACCTGTCCTCGCTTTTTAATGATCGCCCCACTATCTTGTTCCAATGCGGTTGGTTGCCAATTGCCAGACAACCCGGGACAGACCCGTCCACCTTTCCTCTCTTCGCCAAATTCAGTCCTCTGCTGGCGCCCTTTATTCCTTGTGACTTTCTTTGACTCCTCCTTTCCTCCCTTCTTCCTCTTCTCTTCTTATACACTTTTTTCCCACTTCTTTCTCTCCGTCGTCGTCTACTATTTGTGTCCCTGTCTTCTCTTCCCTCTTTCTTTTTTCCTTTATCAGCGGCAGATAGCTTCCTCTACCCTTCATACCTGAGAAATGGTATCCCCGGCTCGCCTGGTTATGAGCTACTATCTTGTCTCTATCTGTAGAGTGCGTGTTTCGAGTAGGAGGTAATGTAGCCCGTCTTTACAGCCGGAAATGCTGTTGTCACTAGTATCTTAGATATCACCTGTCAACTACAAAGATATCACGGATCGTCCATAAGATTATATAGTTGACATTCGATTATATACAAGAACAAGATAAAGAACATTAGTCATAACACAGGACAACACGGAACTTTCATCTCCAAGTCAATAAACAACCTGGTCCTTGTTCCCCGAGAGAAAGAAAATCATATAAACAGCCAGTCCAGACGCGACTGATCCAACTCGTCAACCCAATCAAAGGAGTTATCATATTCATCATTATCATCACCATCCCCGCCACCGTCAGCATTCAGAATGGGCATATCAGAGCCATCCAGAAACTGCTCCTCCACGACATCCGAAGGAAGATCTGAATCGCCCTCGCGGCGCTGGCGGTGTTTGAAATCATGGTTCTGCCACATCAGACGCAGAACCCACGCCGCGTTGCGGACGTTGACACTCGTCACGGCGCCGTAGAGGGTACCCAGTTTCTCGAGAATGAGGGCACGCTGCGAGGGGCGGCGGGACTCGGCGCCTGCGATGAAGGTAGGCCAGATGAGGCACTTGAAGTGCGGGTCGGATTGGGGGACGAGACAGATCTGGGTGATGAGATCTGTTGCGACGGAGGCGTGGTCGGAGGGGAGACCGACGTCTGTCCAGGGCGGGTCAAAGCCCGCTCTTGTGCGGGAGAGGACGCGGCTTGTGTAGAGGTAGACGGCGGCTTGGTAGGCCGTTGCGAGGGCGACGCGGGAGGAAAGATCGTCGATGAAGAAAAAGGCTTGCATCTCCTCGGCCCAGGATATGGGGTCGAAGTTGCGGATGCCTTGGAGGAGAGCGGAGAAGGAGTCGAGCGTGAAGGGTTGGCCGGGTTGGAAGGATGGAAGGGCTGAGGGTTGGGGGGTGGTTGTCGTGCTTGACTCCGAGTCCGGGTACCAGAGGGCGTGCACGAAGAAGATCACTTCGAGGAGGTAAGCGGGACAGCCAACCCATGAAGTTTCTTCGAGGCGTTTGAGGATGGCGGGGCCCATGGAGGAAGAGTAGAAGGGCTTGGAGAGGGCGCCGGGACGAGCTAGTGTAGATCCCATAATCTCCATGCTAGAAACGATGTATGTTAGTAGCTGTAGTTATGATAAACAGTGGGAAAAACCCTACATTAAGCACCCGTCAATAGCAAAAGTGTCCAGCCCTTCAATGATTCCTTGTCCCAGCTGGGTGTCGGGTCGACTTTTGAGGAGGTTCTTTGCCCCCTCAATGTGGTAGCTCCACGCTCCACTGCCTGACTCGTACAGATCCAAGAGAGCCAGAACAACAATGGCAGCCAGGGTCCTGTCATCCTTCTGCATCATGGGATTGGATAGATCCATAGCCAGCTGCTTGAGAGCGCGCTGCTTGTATTCCAGAAAATGTTCGTATGCCTTTGAGGACGGCCGTCGAGATGCCGCCGGCATGATGGCGTTTTCAATCTCCTCGGGAGACATCGGCGAGCCGTTCGCCAATTGATTATCGGATGACCATGGCATCACGGAAGAGTCCCAGTCCGAGAGCAGGGAGTAGTGTAGAGCCCCCATCGCGGAGAGACCGTGGCTGAGAACGGCAGAGCTGCCCACGACGGCGAGGAGGTCCCGGTAGGGATTTTTGACCTGGGTATATAGGGAAAAGTCGCTCACGACATGCTGGTTGTCTGGATTGTCATTAGTGGCATGTCCCGCTTTAAAGAAAAGGTGTCATACAATGAAAGATGTAAAACCTTGAAGCTGGGCTTAGATCCTTGAGCAGTGGATCTACCAATCCCCACGGCGCGGGAATATACTCGGCTGGGGGTGAACCTTGAGGAACGTGAACCAGCCTAGTTTCCGGCTGCTCTGGGGCAGACCGTGTTCCTTCGGTTTCGGTAACATCCTTCGCAGTCCCGTGAATCCATGCATCGGTCTCCGGACTAACATAGCTTGCAGAGCTATCAGCGTCGGACGAAGACTCGTGCGGAAAGAAAACAGTCCGGGCCACCGCAGCGAGAGCTTCAGCGGGAGGAGATTGAGCTTGAGCTTGTGTGTTCGTCCCCGGCGCAGATTTATTCACCTCATCGAAGCTCCTCCCCATCATCTTGCCGCGGCTCGCCACACCACCTTTCACCCATACCAGCGGCTTCTGATAGCCCAGACATTCCTTCCCCGCATCGCGACACTTCCGACAGGTGGGCAGGCCATTATCGCAGATGATGCGACGCCGTCGGCAAGTGTAGCAGCCTTTGGTCATGTTCTAGATCGTCGGAGGGTGTAGAAGCTGGTGAAGCGGGATGTCGAAAGCCTAGCCACCTGCGAGATTCGCTCGGTGCCACTCGCCATCGTTCGAGGCAACAGGACTGTTGGGCTGGCCACGCAAGTATCACTCTTTGCGCCCTGTTCTTGTATCTAATAGGTCAAAAGTAGGAAAAAAGTTCCCAAAGAAGAGAGTCGAGGCGGGGTGGAGCTGAGTCAGCCTCCAACTCCCACTAAGTTAACTTGGCGTCATTCATTCATCGGGTTCGTGTCTCTATCACTACATGTAGTGACTACGCCAGCATCATGGTCTTCCATTTTCTGTTGCTGCGGAATCTTGAGGTGAGTGCTGTCTTGATGTCCATTGATTCAGCCACTAATCGTCGCCCAGATCTGGCTCACCACGCGGGTATGAGATCGGAATCCCCAGTCCCATCAACGTCCTAACCGTTTGTCCAGCTCCTTCGCAGTCCGGTGTTTCATCGCATGGTAGGACGAGTGCATCAGAAAGTGCAACATGTCCGACATGGCATACCTCCCGAGGAGATGGGAGGCACGCGTCAGGAGAAGAATGGTTGGTGGTCCGCATCCGTGCCTTGGGGTTTAGTTATGCTCACGAGAACGCAGGTCCCGGTCTGAAGCAGTTTTTCGCATATTTTAAAGAGGAAATTCGGGATCAGATGAAGGGCAACCCTCCGAACAAACTGTGATATTTGGGTTTGGGCGTTTTGGTTTAGCACGGTGATTCCTTTTGATACCCATTCTTCTCGACAATCGATCATTATTACTTTTTGCGGTTCCTCGCCACCTGGGTCGATCCCGGATATAGAGTGGGGTGCCTTTCGTCTTCGCTGTGGATTGCGTCCCTTGGATTTATCCGGAGAGGGACTTCCGACTGATCCATCCGCTTTTCCCGCCGTTTGGGGACAGTAGGCTGGGATTTGACATGTGGAGCATACATGGAATCTTCATCATTACAAGAGACGGAGAGTTCACCTGTGTTAAGCCACTTGAGCCACGATGATGTCTTTCAGGGGTATAAGGGCGTAGTCTTGCCAAAGTACCGTAGCCACCAAACTATCCCCCTGTCTGTAGTAATGCCTACCAGCGCACGAATGACCCCTGATTTCAAGTCTCCTGAACTACTCAATGCCGGACAAGCTACCTGTCTAGTCTCATTTACCGCGACTAGCTCGTTTGAGGTTGATGTTCGCAAAAAAGCAAAACAAGAAACAAACAAGAAATATCAGGACCGGCATCCGAGCCGAGCCGTCTTTCCCGGATGGTCACTAAACCTCACTAAGGGAGCCTGATCTGGCATGGTCCATGACTGGCGTGGGTGGGGTGCCTGGATGAGGCTGAATCTAGACCAAGGCCGGCACAACTGTTGGTTCGTAGACAGTAGGACGGGAGTGGCGTGGACGACAAGTGACCCGACTTAGCAGTTACATCCTCAGCAGTATTATCGGTCAAATCCACGTTGCACGGGTGTCACATCACGGTGGGATTCATAATAGCGTATTCCGCAGCCTAAAACTGACTGATCACCGCGGATGTTTCATGGTGAGCACTGACTAATCCATCATAATATCCATGGGTCGAGGAGCGCACAAACAGGAACAGGCAAAGTAGTATGAAAATAATAATAGTCTTTTTCCTTCCAGCACCCAATAGTCAGAACTCACTCTTGTCGTACGGAGTAGAACACTCCAGGTGAAACTAGCGTCAGGCTGCGCCACTAGCGTTCCCCGATCGGGTTAGGCCCGCCAAACAGTCCTGTCGTCGCTGCCTTGTCTCTCCCTCTCATCATTCTCTATTCTCTTCTTTTCTCTCCCTTCTTCCATCCCACACTCGTTCATTCGATCCCTCTCTTTCCCTTCCTTTCGTCGTCTCTTCGCTCGTTCCCGCGAGTCAGAAAGGCCGCCATCCCCACCATGCGTCCTGCCAGCCTGATCTTCGTCCTCTACACCCTGCTGCTCACTGCAGCAGCGGTCGCCGACCCGAAAGACACCAAAGATGCCTCCGCAAATGATTTAGGAGATTTGCTGGATGCCAGCTCGACGCCAGCAGAGAACACGGCGACCACCACAACCACATCCACCACGTCTTCCGAGACCTCCGAAACATCCACGCCCCCCTCGACCACTACGACCACCACCACCACCTCCTCCTCCTCCTCGTCAAGCTCTTCTTCCGAGCCAACTACTACCACCTCCTCTACTACCACCTCAACCTCCTCCAAGGAGCACACGTCCACTACGTCATCCGATACCACCACCACCACTCAGAAGCCCGTGGTCAAGACCCTCACCGAGACCGTCAACGGAACCCCGAAGCCCACTGTCGTGACGAGCAGCCCGAGTGCAGAGACCTCCCCCAGCCTGAACGGCGGAAGCAGCGGCTCCAGCAGCAGCGGCGGCCTGTCGGACACCCAGAAGAAGATCGTCATTGGTGTTGTGGTGGGCGTCGGCGGTGCGATTTTGATCGGCGCCTTGGCTCTGGTGTTCTGGCGCATCCAGAAGAAGCGCAATGAGCAGAACGGCGACGAGGATGATGATTTGATGGGCGGGACTGCCCTGGGCTCGGGTCCGCGCGAGAAGGTTCCCAGCCCGTCGAATGCCACCCCGTTCAAGAGCACGCTGGACCAGTATCACAACCCTGGCCCCGTAAACGCTGCATCGAATTTCTAAGTCTGTCTGCCAACACACACGGTCTGGTTCTTCTTCCCGGTGAACCAACCAGTCTGGCGGATCAGCATCATTCGCAGTGTAAAAAAATTTGTACGACCATCACGCAATTTCTTTCGGGCGCTTATGGGCAAGGATACGGGGCAGGTCACTGATGCGTTTTGATTCATCTTTTGGGTTGCGAAGCGAGTTGCTTTTTTCTTTTTCTTTTTCTGTTCGCCGTCTCTCCCTCCCTCTCTTTCCTACGGCACTATAGATTCGATTCGACCCATTATAGATTCGATTCGACCTCTTTCATCCGGCCATCTGAGCATCATCCATTCCTTCTGAGCATGTCTGTCTTTCCGTGCAACCCTCTCACACTCCTTTTCCTCTTGTCCAAAATATCCACCCGAATTCATTAGGGATTTCGATTTTTCTCATCGATTTTTGAACTGCTTGGGATTGCGCTTGTGTTTATTGTTTTTCGTGGTTGTTGTGTCTCGACACCATTTTTTCTTCGTCTTCCATTTTTTTTATCCCGCATCGCTGGGTCGTTTTGGGGTGTACTACTGTGTATAACATCCCAAACCCCCTTGAGCTGCAGGAAAAAATCCTTTCCTCCAATCTATGCATGTAATTCGAGGCAGATCAATCAACGCAAGAGTCCCTTGCAACTCAGTAGTGTCCGTGCACATATAGTACGCCTAATGATCGACCGAAGGACTGATCTGCATCACATCGTGGCTGCTACCGGTAAATTTTTGCCGAATGGGGGAAGTGGTATTATCTCTCCACAGTTGTGAAGGCTTGGAGCAGAATTCGACCCAAGCCAGCTAGGCCAGGTGCAATATACTACAAGCTTAAAGAAATAGTTACAAAATTTGAAGGCTTCTGAGATGTAAACTGATTTCCTTCACCGCTCTTATCGCTTTCCGAGTCCTTGGCTTGGAGACGTGCCAAGTATAGAACTCTGGCGCGTTAAAAAATTTCACTCAACCCACCGGAGCGCGATTGATCGTGAGATTATTACCATCATAATAATATTTTGAGGCCATAATATCAATGTCGGTCGGTGGTGCTAAACTCGGCCCTCCCTAGGTATTTTAGGGAAATGTAAACGTAGTGGTGACGATGAGGATCAAGAATCGCAAAGGAGGTACCAACCTGCTACTTACGGGTTTTGGCTCGGGTTTTTCCCCTCAGTTTCCTCATTCTCTCTTTCGCTCCTCGCCTCGCAATCTCTCAGACTCTCTGGTCTGTGGTCTCCTAAGCAAAGCATCACATTCCTGCGGGCTCGTCGATGAAAATGCACATCTCGAACGGGCAGTGCAGTCCCCCTGTTCGCTCAGCCCCTGTCTGTCTTCCAGCAAATGATGTGCTGCCAACGAAATCACGCTATTCAGCCTCAAAGCGGACTGACGTGGGTAACCCCGCAGCTGCAATGCGTATTGATTTCAAGGTCCTTGGAAAAATGTCGTTCCTTCTGCCGAGTTCACTCTTGATGGATCCACCATATACGGATATAAGCTCATGGATGTCATTATGGACTCTTCGATGGCCGACCTTAAAAAAGTCGAAATTGTTAAGGAAGGCTTAGCTTGGAAATCTCTCCTTAATGAAGTCAACTGTCTGTTCTGCTCCGGGTTGGGAGATGTGATTGTTGGAAGCCGTGCTCTTGCCCTGGACTCTGGCTACTTCTATGCAGAGCCTAGAAAGACTGTCCCTGAAACGTGGCGGCAGCATTCCTGGAGGTTTTTCATGGACTGTCAAGCAGCCACTCATGGATCCTGACCGGCGACCAATTCCAAAAGTGGCATTCGTGCTGGAACAAGCCTCAATCCTTCAGTACGTTCAAAACCACGCAGCTCCTGCAGGATTAGCAAAGAAACCTTGTCCATCGTATCCAAACGGTACCTTGGGTTTTGGAGACCGGGGCAAGACAAGAGTCAATTTCCGAAATGTTCTCCCAACCACCAACGTATCAAACCAAAATAGTCAGTGTCAGTGCAACATGAGCGAGAGGAAGGTAACAACACTCGTCTACTCTACATAGGAAAGCCAATGCTTTTACTTTGCATCATATACTTGCTTGTTCATCACAAATGTTTACCCCGAGCCTCGCTGGTTGCAATGTTGTACATTGTTATTGGCCAGTCCGCATCTGCCCATCACCAAAAAAGCCTTGGCGTTCATTAGTCTCGTCACGCTATCACGTGCCACGACACGTCCATAGCGTCGTGCACGAACAGATCGAACATTCCACCCAGACTGAACGCGACTGGCAAGACCGCCACATCTAGAATTGCAGATTCAACATTTCTATTATCTTCTGCGCGTCTCCCCGTTTCTACAAAAGTCAACATCCACCCCTGTCCCAATCCGGCCGATCTGAACAAGTCCGAACCACGGAACAACATCATCTACAACCCATCATGTTCGCCGCACATCCTCTCCCTTCTTCCCCTTCAACACCTCTCGGCCACAACCACTACACGCCCGTGCGACCATCGCCGCTCGGTCCGCGCAGCGCGAACATCTCCACGCCCCCATGGACAATGGGCTCGCCATCGCGCGCGTCCGCAGCAGCCCAAGCAGCGGGCCAGACGCAGAAACCCCTCGGGACAGACGAGAATAGCCATGCACAGCACATCCAGTCGTCGCCCGTGCCATTCCCCACCTTCACCACCACCCCATCGCAACAACAAGCCACAAGCAACACCAACACCAACATCTTCGGCGCCATCGCCTCCGCACCGCCGTTATTCTACCAAAAACCAACCACGGACACACCTCTCTCCCCAACATCGCCCTCACCCGCTGCTGCTCCCGCCCCGCGCTTCGCAGCGCGCTACGCGTCCCAGATCGCCAATCCGCTCCGGAATACCTCAAGCGCGCTGGTGCGCTCCAAGTCGCGGAAGATGTTCCTCAACAGAGTCAAAAATGACCGCGACGCGGGCCGGTTCGAGGCTCGCGGCGAGCAGATTATGAGGATGGAGCATCTGGCGGATCGGAGACGGTGGGAGGAGGAGATGAGTCATGATATGGATTTTGTTGTTGGGGAGTATGAGGATGATGCTGAGGAGGATGGGGACGAGGTTATGATTCCTGGTATGTTTTTTTTTTTTTTTTTTTGGTCGGTTTGATCTTGGGGCGGTTGCTAACGACTGTTACAGATGAGGAAGAGATGAACGCGCTGGATGAGTATCTTTCTCAAGAACAGTCGGTCAAGAGAGCTATGTTTGAGTCGGGAAATGGGACGTCGGCATATCCCACGAAGGAGCCGAGTGGTTCTTTCAATGATGATGAGTATGATGATATCTTCAGTGCGATGACGGAGCATGGCTATGCGAGCCAGGACATGGATATGTCATGACTATGAACCTCAACACTTGCATCGGGCGGCGTGATTATGGGAATTCTTGTTATCGGGGACCAGATTCTGGTCTGATATCGCGTACATAAGGGTATCGGGTTTGTGTGTGTATATGTACAGTACAGAGAGAGCCGATGGACATGCAGCAATACGCAAATGAGACCATGACTGCACTTCACACGGTTATTGCTGCGGGCAATCCGGGATTCCAGCGCCCGCCGCTCCCGCAGCGGTGGGATCCCCCATGAATGGGTTCGAGATCAGCTCTTCGGGCGGATTGCCAGCAGCTTGCATCTATTGCCGTCCATTAGCAGGGTTGGACATCGCAGAAACGAAACGAAAAACTCACCTCCTGCATCCTCTCCCACACATACTCGCGACACTTGGAATCCTCATCCGTATACCCCTCCTCCTCGAACTTCTGTACAATCTGCTTCACAATCCTTGCCTGGGTCTCGTAGCGCTCCATCTCCTCCGCAGTCACGGTGCTGGTGCCTTCAGCCTTATTCTTTTCGATCCACGGGCCGAACTTGTCGTCCAGCTCTTTCATGGGCTCGTACAGCATCTCCTTGTTCGAGAGCTGCTCCATCATTCCCATGAACATCTTCGTCAGGTCGCCGTCCTCGCCCGAACCGGATGCGCCAGCCTCCATGGCTTTTAGGAGCTGCGCGAGCATGTCATCTGAGAGCTCGTCTTCATTGGAGGCTGCTGCTGTGGCACGGTCGCCGGATTCTTTCATGCGGTTGACTGTGCGCTGGATTGCGTCGCTGAAGGAGTCTGCTGGTTGGTCTTTGGCTGAGTCTGCTGCCGCCGATGCTGCTGAAGCTTTCGACGGGGCAGGCGGGGGTGACGAGGTTGAGGCAGAGCCAAAGGCAGCCGGGTTGAGGTTTAGTGCATTTAGTGCAGCGTTGTCACCACTCCCCTCCTCGGCCATCACATCGGCAAGAAGTTGTTTCAGGAAATCTCCCGGCGGAATCCCGCTCTCCTCTAATTGTTTAGCGAACGCATCCGCGCCCTGATCAACCGCCGCCTGGAAACCCTGGTCATCCGGTGCGCCAGACTGTGGTCCCGCCTGTGTCATCATGTTGGCCATGTCCTTCTCCAGCTGTTTCAGGAAGGCATCCTCGTCAAAGTCTGCGGGCGTGGCGCCCGTCTCGGTGGCGGACGCGGGCGCCGCGGCGGCTGCTGGTGGTGGTGGTTGCGCCTTGGGTTTGGAGAAATCGTCTAGAACATCTGGTGTGCCATATCCGTTAGGATCAATGTGAGCGTTCGGGGCGCTGTGGGAAGTTTACCGTCCAGCTCGTCAAAGTCGGAGTCGTCCTCATCCTCGGCTTTTTGTTTCGGCTGCTCGGGAGCCACGACTACGGGCTCTGTGGTCGGCGCGGGGGCCGACTGTGGTTCTGGAGGAGCCGAGACAGCATCCTGGTGCTCGTCGGCCGGCATGGTGAGTGATCAGGTGTGATATAGAAGTAGGGCGAGAGGGAAGGTGGTGGTTGAGGTTGTGGTCGGCATGTGAAGAGGGTAGGTGGGCGGGGAGCCGAATGCCGAACTACTACTTCCTGGGGGTTCTTCACAACTTTCCGTTATCTATCCTACATCCAGCATCATCCTTAGTGTTAAATCTGTCGTAGTTCACTATACACAAGACATTGCTATAGTTGATGCGACAAATCTCCAACTCAACCCCAAATCACCTGACGCCTCACCTGACCTCGCTCGCCTCGTGTTACCCCATTCGACCGGACCGGCTTGCGCCGACATCGGCTACATTCCCTACTCGGTCCAACGCAACGCAACACAGTCCTTCTTTTCTCCGCGGGCAACTCCTATTAACATACTAGCTCACTGCTACTTGGCATTTTTCAGCCCTCACTTGAGTACCCCCGCATGTCCCAGCCGCCAGATCCGAGCTCAAGGCGCACCCCCTCATGATTATTCATTAATCCAAAAATGCTCGCCCGGTCAGTCCCCAGACTGGCCCACTCGTGCTGAAAACTGGACAACGTGGACCCCCCCCGGCAAAAAAATCTCCCAAAGGAGTAAACCAAGAGAGAAAAAACCCAAATGCCCCTCGTCTGACCCAGGCAGACTTTTCGCATGCCTGAACGACCACAATACGATTATTATTCGTTAGTCAATCGGTTTACCTCACATCTTCACCCTTCCCACCCCCAAACTCTCCATATCGCCAATCTCTGACTCCTCCTTTCTCATAATCATTCGGTTTCCTTTATGTCACCCTTTCCCTTCTGTGCCCTCTGACTCGCTCGCACGTCCCCTCTACCCGCCGAGCCGCGCGTGTGCGTCTCTTATTTTTATTTTAGTCGCCCCCGTCACGCTGCGATCCCCGGGGAAAAGTGGGCTGTTGTCTGTCTGTCCCGCCGCGCGGAGGAGGCCGTTGTTGCAGGGCTGAGCAGATCAATCAATGGTCTCCATGATCGAGACCTCCAACGAGCACAATGACACGGTCATGGAACCGATGCCCAAGACCGAGCCCGGCCAGGATGGCTCGCTGAGCTCCATGTCGACCCCGGACGCCGAGGCAGAGCCCATGACACAGGATCCCGCCCAGACGCAGAAGAGGAAAGGTGGTCGCAAACCGGTACGGACGCCCCGCCGTTCTGCTCTGTGCGCCATTGTTCTAACCCTCCTGACTAGATCTACGCCACCTCCGAGGAACGCAAGCAGCGCAACCGCCAGGCGCAGGCTGCATTCCGCGAGCGTCGGACAGAATACATCCGCCAGCTGGAGACCACCATCAAGCGGAATGAAGACTCCCTGCAGACTCTGCAGCAGAGCCATCGCAGCGCCGCCGATGAGTGCCTGATGCTGCGATATAAAAACTCTCTGTTGGAGCGGATTCTGCTCGAGAAGGGTGAGTGGCTGTTCCACGCCGTCTCGTAATGGCTGCTAACCCCAAACCGCTCAGGCATCGATGTGCAAGCAGAGCTACGGCTGAAGACCGGCGCCCCGGGGGCTTCGGCCAAACCAAATCCACCAATGCCCAAATCCACTCCTGGTGCACCTCGTTCTGGGCAACGGCATCCCGCAGGCATCGCCTCCAAGCCCGAGACGTTCGGCATGTCGCAGCGAGAGGGTGCTTATGGCATTCCGTCCCCCCAGTTCCAGGCCACGCCGACTTCCCACGTCTCCTCGCCATCACAAACCAAGTCACCCGGCTTCGGCTTCCAGGGCGCCATGTCCCCGGTCACCGTTGACTCGCAGGCTACAGGTCGCCCTCAGCTGCTGCCGCAACCTCGGGCCTTCAACAACCAAACCTCGCCGCCGGCCATCAGCATGCCCCAGACTGACGCGGCCGATCCCAAGCCTCGAGGGCCAGGAGCCATGGGGCCGCGCGGGTCGCGGGTCGCCGCGGCATACTATCCGTCGCCATTCCAAAAGCACTACGATCAACTTGGTATGTTTGGCTGTTTCTCTCCGTCATATCGAGCCCCCTGCTGACTATGCCAGAACAAGAATACGATGCACAGGCCGACCTGGTCGATGAGGACCACGATGGGTCCGTCAATACCCCCTACGTGTCCGGATTTACCCCACAGTCGGTAACCTCGGGCTCGCAGAGCATCCCGGGCTTTAATGCCCCGGGCAGCGACGGAGCCGGGGGCTTCGGAAACACCAGCCAAATGCTAGGCCAGTATGAGCCCATGCTCGATGCGGATCCGTTCGGACTGAGCGCCAGCATGCACTTCCCAACTCCCTTCAACTACGAGCAAGGCAACCGCAACTGAGTTTTTCAAACCAAAAAAAAAAAGTGATGAATTTTGGAGTTTGTTTTCGCATGGGCCGGCGTTTTCCCAATGATTTGCAGTGATACCATGGTGAGGTATAAAGTCCCGAGCTGTACATGAATTCCATGAGTAAATACATACACCATCCTCTCTGGGTCAATGACACCATCAAGCACATCCAATGACGCACAGTACCCTAAGCCCTAGTCCCTGATCAGCCAATCAGCGTGTAGCAGCCATGATTCGCTTAGGCAATCCGCGCCTAACCGGATTCGGGTCTGGCTCCTCACAAACTGCTCAAACTGCTCCTTCCCTCAGCTCTCTCTCTCACCCCATCCACTCTTACCACCTCTATCCATCGAGCCCACCCGACGAGTCAGGTTTTGCCTTGCTCGCCTCCCTGACGGTTCACGCCCCGTCCCTTTTCTTTCATCGACTCGTCTGCGATCGTCGAGCGCCTTCCGCTCCCCGGAAGGCCTCCACAACAACACCAGGCGTCATGGTCGACGTCCGGTCCAAGGTACGCTGAAGCATCACCATGGGAAGCTGTGTCGAGCGACGTTTTTGCGAGACGAGCCGGGCAGAGACGAATTGGGCCATGTGCTTTTTCGTGATTGTGGGTTTCATTGGCTAACTGGGCTGTTTGCGAAATTCACAGAACCTCTACGAGCTTCTTGGTAAATTCCCTCCCTTCTTTCATGTTGGCTCCCAAAAATTCGGTATCTAATATCCATTCCTCACCACAGGCAATGACCCTGAGCTCGACCCCAACAGACCCCCTCAGCCCCCCGCCCGGGCTGTCGACCGCCCTATTGCCCGCCATGGCAAGCGTGATGCTCCCGCTGAGCCCACCAACCAGCCCCGTCTGACGGAATCCAACGCTCGCCGTGGTGCCCGTTCGACTGGCAACGAGGCCGGTATGTATTTTCGTCTGGGGAAATAGAGGAATTGAGCTGACTGTGCATAGCTTTCCGTGATCGCAATGCCGGCCGAAGCAACAACCGCGAGAAGCCGACTGACGAGGCTCAAGCCCCGCGCCGTGGAGAGCGCGGCGGCCGCGGCCGTGGCGACCGCCAGTCCCGCACTGGACAGACGTAAGCTTCATCCAGCTCACGCGGGTCTTCTTCTCGGATATGCGAATGGAGAGACAAGCCATGGCAGGATTCAGAGGACTAATATGTTTTTAATAGTGACACCCGCAAGCAGGTGGAGCAGGGCTGGGGTGCCGGCAGCGGCGAGAAGGCCTGGGCTGACGAGCGGGTCGGCGAGAACATCGCCAAGGAGGACGAGAACGAGCCCCAGACCCCCGCCGACGAGGAGGCCAAGGAACTGGCCGACAAGTCCATGTCGTACACCGACTACCTGGCCGAGCAGGCTCGGAAGGACTCTCTGGCCGCCAAGCCCGTGCGTGCTGCCAACGAGGGCACCAAGACCGACTCCAAGTGGGCTGCCGCCAAGGAGCTGAAGCGCACCGAGGAGGAGGACGCCTACATCCAGGGTAGCTCCGAGAAGGCCAAGCGCGAGAAGCAGCGCAAGGAGAAGAACTTCCTCGATGTCGACATGCGTTTCGTCGAGCAGCCCTCCAGTGGCCCCCGTGGTGGTGGCCGTGGCGGTGCTCGTGGTGACCGTGGTGACCGCGCTCCCCGTGGTGACCGTGGCGCCCCCCGCGGTGACCGTGCTCCCCGTGGCGATCGTGGTGCCCCCCGCGGCGGTGCTGCTCCTCGCGGAGGTGATCGTGGCCGTGGCGGACCCCGTGGCGGCGCTCCTCGCGGCGGCCCTCGCGGCCCTGCCGGCCCAACCGTCGACGAGAAGAACTTCCCCAGCCTCGGCGGCAAATAGTTCAATCATCTGATCTGAGCGTTTCCCTCCCCTCGTGACGGACGGAAACCACTTGCTTGGCCCCAGAACCCGGCAGCACCTCCCTTTTTATTTTTTTCTCTTTTTGTCTCTTTACTTGCGTTTGTTCCGAGGATAGGAAAGGTGGGAGGCAAAAAGGGAAAATGAGCTGGGCGTGGTGTTTGCAACTTGATTCTCTCTCGGTGTGTTTGTCATTGCCGGAATCAGTCTGGGGAAAGGAAACAAGAACAAAAAAATATGTGTCTGCCGCGCTCTGGTTCAGGCCGGCTATTATGTGTCTCTGCTTTTTATTAAACTCTGTGCAACGCGGATTTGGATGACAATGTCTTTTCCCTTCTCTCTATGGTACTATGTAATTGGACTCGAATCCAGAAACGGAACGGATGAGCAACCAAAATAAGAAAAAAGAAACAGATAAATAAGGTTTCAGGACTGGGGTCTTTTATTTCAGCTGAGAAAATACGATTCAGTGGAATGATAGCTGTCGTTTGTTGTTCAACTTTATAGAGTGGTAACATGTCTTGGATTTGGAGATATCATGTCAACCAACTTTAGCCACAAAGACGTACTATAATAGACTGTTCATCTACGTTGTCATAAGAATAGTGAACGAATTTTGAAGATGTTCAATAAAGGATGACGTGTGCATCCACTTGCCTTAGCATGTTGTTCATCCTATATACGATAACCTTCAACCCTAAGAGCTAAGATGCCAGTGCCAGTCCCTATAAGGCTTATACATACATACATCAACCCTACATAGCTAGCAATCAAGGCGATAATTCATGTAGCAATAGAAACTTCTATTGACGATATTGATATCCCGGCACGATAGACTTATATACTAAGGATGATCTGTGTAGAGGGTTCATAGGAGCCAACCAAGCAAGCGCAAGCTAGCTAGGCCAGGGATGAGATGAGAAACGCTTAGGAACAGGGGGAGGAAGGGACAAGGACACATCACAACACGACAACATGAGGGCTGTGCTGTCACGGCCACGCCCAGAAACAGCCCCAAAAGCAGAAACACCAAAACACAGTCGACAAGGTGACGGTAGGGCGACCCTACAGCTCACCGTCACTGAACCGGTTGCGCCCCGCAGCAGGGGCAATAAAATCTGCTGCGGCAGCTTCGGCGCTGCGCGACCAAGCGGCCATAGTCTCGTCGTCGACGTCATCTAGAAAAGAGAGGCCCTTCATTGCACGCCCACCGCATGCACGCTGCAGCGCCAGGAAGGCGAAGTGGCCGCCGATGACGGGGCGGGCAAAGAAATTCGGGCCGGGGAAGTTACCGTCACCTTCTGTCTGGTGGAGGTCGGTGAAGGGGCGGTCGGTCACCGTCTCGTTGACCCAGGTGGCGACGGACTCGAGGATCTCGGAGCGGACGGGCTTGGAGGCTACCGCCATGGAGAAAAACTCCCAGTCTGTCTTGGTGTAGAGGTGGCGGCTGTCCAGGGGGAGGCCATATTTCTGGCGCACGTAGTGGTACCACACGGATTGTTTCTGATAGATGTGTCGTGGGACAAAGCCAGGGGTCTCTGTGTCCGTGTCTTCCAGGTGGAAGCAGAGCTGTGCGTCGGCGTACAGATTGTAGATTGTGGTCCAGGATCCGTACCAGTCGTAGGCTAGTTTGGCGTGCGTGCCATCTCGAGACATGCCGAATTCTTCCCATTTGGCGATGTAGCTGTCGGCGACGTTCTGTTCGTGGTGGTTAGTTTTGGTACGACCGAAAGAAGAAGCCGCTTTTACCTTGAAGTATTCAGCATCAGACTTTTGTCCGGCCACCTCGGCAATCTTGCTCATGGCGTTGATGCCCACAATGCCCTTGAGAGCCAGGTTCGTTTGCAGCGCCAGCCAGCCCGCAAAATCATCGGTTGAAACTAGAAATCATTAGTATATAAATTTGACATCAAAGATCACAAACCCACGTTGATTGGCAGGTTCCAGGGAGAATTCCACCAGATAGCCCGTCCACTGCTTCCACAGACGGTAACTGCGCTTCACCCATTTCTCAGCCAGACGTCGGCCATGCACACCGCCGCCCCATTTCCCATCCTGATGGGAAACCCCGGACAGGATCTGCAGGTCGTCCAGCGGGAAGCTCCCCGAGGATTCATTCCAAATGTTCATGGGATATGAACCCTCGGTGGACCAGATTGACGAAGCGTCCGACGACTCATCGTAGATGAGAGAGTTCACGATTGCCAGACCCATGATGAGGATGTTACCACACTCCTCGACAGGCATATACTCGTCTCTCCCATCCGGATGGCCCGTAGCATTGGGGAAGTGGGTGCCTAGATCGTGCATAGCGTACGTGTTGGGATACTGTCCGCTTAGCATGTGTTCGATCAACGGTTCGAGCAGGTACGCCAGCCACCGCGGGTTGGTGTACATGAAAAACGGGAAGGCGGGGAAGATGACATCAATGGTTTGGAAATTGCCGTTCGATGAGATCTCCTTGAGGAACAGAATGGGGTCTTCCGGTGTCCCGGAGAAGGTGGTCGCACCCATAACCTGCCGCGCGGTGAGGGCGACAATGTCGACATAGTCATCGGCCCCGGACAGGTAGGCATCCGCAGCCAATTGCTCCGAGTAGTTGGATGCCAACGCCCGCGCCGCGGAGTGATCCGTGTAGTGAAAACCGAGCAGCTCTTCGGTGGATGGGAACCAAGAATTCCAGAGAGGTCGCATCTGGGTCAGACCGCGGGAAGCTGCAAATTGCACGACAGGAGTCTGGACAAGAGCAATCGTGAATGTGACGCTGTCTGCTGTTTTCTGCGGCTTCTGGCCCAATTTGAAGGACTTGGAGAAGGCAAAGACAGGCCAGTGGTCACGAATAGGCCGGAATCGCTCATCGTTCTCATTGCGCAGGGTGCCGGTGCTGGCAAAGGCTCGCCGCACTATGGCTGCACCGCCAGACTGATACTGGGCACTCTGTGTCTGGAGTTAGTATTGAAGAGTATAAAAGTGGGTATGGCACGTACAGCGGGTCCGGTGAAGTGAAGGCTGCCCCATTCGGCGCGGTCTCGGATCTCTGACAGATGGAGCTCATTCTCCCGGCGGAACTGCCATGTCTGGAGGGCGGGCTTCTGATTCTCGGCTCCGATCGTATCGCGCTGCCATTGTAGAGGAGCACCAATGTCCCCGGTCACCCAGCGTCCATCCACATCCGTATACACGTTGACATCGGTGTCACCCTGGACATCGATCGTGATGTAGGAAGCCGGAATCGACTGCCGCAGAGTCGATGTGGGCGTAATGGGAGAAAGGAACGAAATAGTGATATCAAGGGGTGCCTGCGTACCCGTATCAACGCGGTAGGTCAGGTTGGTCGTCGAAGCGTCGTAGTTGTGTCCGAGGTATTCGGGAAACTGGACTGGATATGCGTCGGATGTCAGGTCATTTTGCGGTCTACCCAGGAGCGGGTAGACGACGCCCTGGCTAGGGACCTGGGCCATGACGGAGAGGCCCACCTCCTCTCCGGTGTAGAACATGGGCCATTTGGACCAGGGTGCTTCCCGGGCATCTCCAAGCCATGTGCTGAGGTAGGGGTTGCGGACAATCAGCGGCAAGACCGGCGGTGTGAGTGTGGAGGCAGCACTGAGCGTAACCTGGCCCACGGCCGCCAGGAGTGCGAGCGACAGCTGCATGTGAAGGAAAGACACGGGTTATAGCAGCCCGCAATAAATAGACTTTTGATGTATGAGGTATGTCGTGTAACGAACGAGTGTGGGTGGAGTTCCCGGAGGAGGTGAAAGTGGAAGGAGGAAGGACAGTGTTCAGTGCCAGGATGTCGACATCATCGAAGAATGTGAGCCAAATGCGGGGAAGGAAGGATCAGCCCTGTGCTTATAATAGATTGTTATTCAGCTCTAGCTTCTCATGTAGTTCTATGTTCGATCTTTACTAGATGGATCTTTTATTTTATCTATAGCTATACTTGCTGGGAGCAGGCAGAGTCCAGCTCATGGGATGATGTCATTGCAGAGAGCAGATGTATACCGAGCTTGAAATGTGAGATGCTGTAGACAAACATAAACGGGTCATGACCATGAATTAGAAGATATATTTTCCGTGATAAACGGCATTCATACTAGGAAGGTGTTTATAAATTACCAGGGTTGGAGTAGCTGCGTTGTGGTTAGCTTATTACCCTGTAGCCCAAATATATACAACGACCGATTTATAGTTACACCTCTATTTACACTTATTACTCCGTTCAGCCACGCATGGACCAGCTATCAGACCAAAATAACCAAAAATGCTCCTGATCGGAAGTGAAGAATGTGGTCCTCCGGTGAAATTAACTAACTAACGTGGACGCGTGCTCAACACGGTGTGGAGCGTGTCCGTGCTTCTATACAAGCCGCTAGCCTGCCAGTACGCGATCGACGCGCCTGTGTTTCGACTTTCAATTTACTCTGTGCGTGAGACTGCTCATCTTTCTTTCTTTGGCCTTTCTCTTGTCCTTGTCCATTATTGTCTGTTTTCTTTGTCTTGTTTGTTTCTGCTCAGACAATTCTCCCCAAGATCTTCTTGTCCCCCGCCGAACTCCATTCTCCATTCCTCCATTCCTCTCCATCCCACATCCGCTCTCACTACTTTCTCCCCCAACACCACGGAGCTCCTTAGAGCTGTGCTTTTCACGCTCAAAGCTTCAACCATGCAATCTACACAGTTCCCCTTCAGCCCTGTCAAGGATGGCCGCCGCATCCTTGGCGAGAAAAACACCAACGCGTGTCTGTCCCCGGCCAACCGGCCAAAGGACTCTTTCTCGGCCACAGGCACCCCAACCAAACGAGTGTCAACTGTAGCCTCGCCCAAGAAGCTTCTGCCTTCTCCCATATTCGCGGGTGCAAAACGCACGAGAGACCAGGTGGACGAGACCGATGTAAACAGCGGACACGTCAAGAGACACTCTCCGGAGCTCTCGCCTACCCCCGAAGAAAACAGCACCCAGTCCATCCTCAGAAATGGCCTTGAGGATCAGGTACGTCTTGACGCGCTGAAAAATATTCAGGAATTAGCTTGCTAATCTCACAATGGCACGCTATAGTCCGCGCTGATTCCGGACGCGATGGACACCGGTGCCTCAACACCACAACACACACAGCTCGAACACGACGAACCAGACCATCTACATGCAGAAAACGTCTCTGCCACAGCAGACAACTCCCAACAACCTACCACGCGAGCCATCCCCAACGACCCCGAGACGCGCAAGATGTTCATCCAAGAAGTGAGTCAAGTCTATATCGCGACCCAAAAACAAACAACATACACTAACACATTTTCCCCAACGAAGAAAGCACAACTCCTCCGCAGCCGACTCCAAAGCGCCATGCGCAACGTCGCGGACCACCAGTTTGACCGACGCGTCTCCGAACTGGAAGCACACAGCCGCAAGTGTCCGCGGCTCTCACTCTCCGCTCTCGCGACACCGTCCATGTTCTCCAAGAGGGCGTCTACACCTTCTCAAACCAAGACGCCGCAGATTGTCTCTGTGGGAACGAGACTTTCTCTGTCGAACACGCCTGATCTGCCTGCTGCGCAGCCATCAAGCGCGATTGCTGTGAGGGATGCTACACACGATGTTCGAGCCAAGACTCCGACTCGCGAAAACAACACGCCATCGCGGGCTCTAGGGTCGCCGATGCAGCTGAGTAGCCCACCGGCGACGGTTGGGCGTCGTAACAGGAATGAGGATGGGAGTGACGAGCCACGGGTCGAGACTCGAGGGGGAATGTCGCCGTCTGAGAGAGGCGATGCGGTTGACGGGCTGCTTAAGCTCATGCACACGGATCGGCACGACAATGCAGACGCATGGACTGCATGAGACTTTCCGAGACCACTTCTCTTTTTCTATAGTGGGCGTGTTGATGTTTTGGTTGGTCGGAGTCCCGGACGTGAATAGATCGAGCTGCTTGGTATATCTCGCGGCCTTGCAAGTACACTGTGGTCGAACATCGGCTTTTCTTATGTCTACCTTGGCACAGTGATGTTCCCCTTTATCATCGTAAGCACCGACTGTGCTCGTCATGCGAGATACTCGCGCGGCACATAGACCGCCGCCGATGGCAGGCTGTTGCGTTGCTGATAATAATGATCCCATTTGCACATGCCGGAATCCTCTCGTAATTGATTGACAAAGATCGTATGAGATGCAACTCAAGCGAAGTATGACCTTCGGGTACAGGTGCGGATTCGGAGATATCGCGGATGTTGCCTTAGGTCTACTTCGGAGACATTGGAACACTCCCAATTTCTGACAACAAGCCAATTTGAATCTATGATAGAGGTGTAGGACGGACCTCTTTCCAGTGAAATGAATTCTCAACTCCTGTGAATCCCTTTTGAGATGAAACACGCGCCGTTCTAGAGGCCAACTCCTTCGGGGCGAAACCAAACAAGGCCCTGAATCGCTCCTTTCAAACAAAGGTCTTTTCTCTTCGACTTGTTGTTTCATTTCTTTTTCGGCCAACTCCGGGTCCTAGCTGTCAGGCAATTGCTGATGCACATAGAGCATTATGGATAAACCAAGGAACTCCCTAGTCTTTATAGATACGTACATAAACAGTAGTCTAGTTCTGCTTTCGACAGTCATCGATAACATCCATTCTACTATGCCAGACATTACCCTGTCTATATGACTAAAAAAATTACTACTAAATCAGCGGACCTTCTTCAGCTTATTCCGCTTCCGCCCAAGTACATCGCGGCCCTCCTCGATCTCACCCGCCGCCTCACGTTTTGCCGAGCCAACTTCCTTCAGCACACCGGTGCGAACGACTCTGCTTTCAACATTGACGCCCTCCTGAGCCCATTCGTCCATCTGGCGGCCAACCCGCTGCTCAATAGCCAGCACGAGCTGGACGTCGCGCTGTCCAACTAGTGTAACCGCTTCACCGGACCGTCCCGCACGGGCAGTACGACCGACGCGGTGGACGTAGTCGTCTGGGTTACGGGGCACATCGAAGTTGACGACGAGGGTCACAGAGGGAATATCGAGACCGCGGGAGGCGACGTCCGTGGCGACGAGGACACGGGCAGCGGCGGCGCGGAATCGCGCCAGGTTTGATGTGCGTTCGGACTGTGGAAGGAGACTGTGTAGAGAGGTGACGCGGTGGCCGAGTCGGCGGAGCGTGCGCTCCAGTAGATCGGCGGTTTTGGTGTGGTTTGTGAAGATGATTACGGGTCGGGAGATGTTCTCGTCTGTCGAGAGCAAAACATGCACAAAGGCTTCGCGGTGCGTCATGGGGACTTTGAGATAAGTTTGTTTAAGGGTTGGCGGGATGCTGCCGTGGTTATCGGTTGCGATCTCTGTCACGAAGATTGGCGGCTTGTCGGCCGGGCGAGGCATTTCCTTCAGTGCGCGCACTTCTGCCGTCACCGTCGCAGTGAAGAGCAGGGTTTGTCGCTCTGCAGACGGCGGCAGTGCCCCCAGACATGTTTCCACGTCGGGTAGCATGCTTCCCGGCCCGCTGACCAGTAATCGATCTGCTTCGTCCAGCACCACCATCTTCACTCGGCCTAACCCAGCAACGGTGTCTTGGCCAGATGTCCTGATATGATCCGCGAGCCGACCCGGAGTCGCAATGACCACATGCGGTCGTTGCGCCAGTGCAATTGCCTGCGGCCGCATGTCCGTGCCACCGGTAATCAGAACAGGCTTCATACTCTGCGGTGCGGAAATAGCCTTGAACTGCTCGAAGATCTGGAGCGCAAGCTCACTATTAATAAGAAAAAAAAAAAAGTTAGCTCCTATATTCCCACAAACAAGAGTAACATCAAAATCCATACCGAGTTGGCGTCAAGACGACCGCAAAAATCCCAAACGGATCCTTCGCCCACTTCTGCAGAATCGGCACTCCAAAAGCAATCGTCTTTCCGGAACCAGTCCGACTACCACCGATACAGTCTCTCCCCTTCAGAATCTCCGGAATACACGCCTTCTGAATAGCCGTTGGCCGGCGGATGGCCATGGTGGTCAACGAACCGACCAGCCACGGCGCAACGTCCAGAGAGGAAAACGTCGACTCTTCGCTCCGGAGACCAATTTCAAGAGCATCGCGGATAGTCACTGGGTCTTCGTCCCCTGTTGGCTCGGGTTTCTTGGAATTTGTGTCCTTTTTCTTAATGCGCGAGAGGGTGGGGAGCGGCGCTGGTGCTGTATATGAATCGTCCGAGGACTCGGATAGCCGACGTCGCTTGGGCGCGCGGTCTTGGATTTCGGGTTGTTCCACGTCGGAGGTTTCGGAGGAGCTGTGCGAATCCTCGGAGAGGGCTTCTGCAGCATCTGAGGGCGCCATTATTGTGCTTGTCGAGACTGTCTGTTGTTCGAGAAATTAATTTTGCGGCAGAAAAAGTTATCGACGGGCGGTGGACATGACTCGACACCTGTTATACAAGGCATCAACATATCACACATGACTCTATACACTGATGTGAGCATGAAGGAAAGTGCTTGAATTGCACTTATTGAATCACTGCTGAATGGACCTTTTTCTATTTACAGAGCAGTATAAGTGCACATATAATCCCGACAACCCTCTCGAACAATTAGTCAACTCGACTAGCATTGCTTCTTCTCCGCATAGATAGAGAAGCAAGCTCGTACGCCTCACCACTCTCCAAATCATTATCCTCAACCACCGACTCTGACGACGGCAAGGAACGACCTCTCTGCAGCACAGCATTGCCCGTACCCGAGACAGTAGCATTCTCTTCCTCTGTAGACTCATCCTCCAACCCATGAGTACCACCAACACTCTCCATAGTAAAGGGACTAGCAGTCGGGGCATCGAGCGCGGCCAGTTCATCCCGAGTAAACCAGCGCGGCAGCACGAAAGACCGTATGGGGATGAGAAGAAGAATGATAACCGGGAACCCGATAGCCGCGATAGTCTGGGTGATGGCGAAAGTGGCGCCAAAGCCGACCAGTTCGAGGAGCACAAAGGCCCAGATCGCGATGCGGCGGTCGAGTCCTTTCAGGGGATTCGATGCGGACGTGAAGTTCTTGTCTTGGGCGAGGAAGATCAGTTTCTGCGTGATTCCGTTCCCTTGTAATGCCTGCACGCCCATGATGAAGAACAGGCCGGCCATCACGCCCTGCGGTATTAGATGCAACACGATAAGTAGTGGGCCGGTCATGGTTCCTAAGGTGAGGAGACCCTGGGCAAGGTTGCTGACTCGTTGCTCGACGACGTGATCGGTGACTCGGACGGCTTTTCCTTTGTTTTTGTCGTCTTCGTCGGCGACCTGGCGGGTGACGCAGAGGGCGGAGGTGTGGAAGGGTGCTTGTGGGATGAGTCCGTTGGGGAAGGGGACGCCGAGGAGTCCCGCAACGAAGGTTGTTAGACCCAGTAGCCAGAGATCCCAGTGGAAACCGGCGGGTTTGCGGAGTGGGAATTCGGTTCCCTGGGCGATGAGAGATGACACTGAGAAGCAGGTTAGACTGCAGATAACAACGAGGTTAAAGGAAGCGTACCGTTGTGATCAAAATAGAAAAGAATCGTGAGAAGGACCGCAAAAGGAATGGCGAGAAAGATATCTCCAACACTGATATCCCAAAAATGCACCAGCCAAGGCCGATCAACAGTTGGAAAAAAGGCCTTGCTCGTGGGAAGTGTTGACACATCCACATCCCTCATATGGCCAAAATGGACGAAACCAGTGAAAAAGACAATCGTCAACGGGGTACCGTAATCTTCCAGGAACTTGCGGACATATCTCTGGAAGAGATTGCTATTGCCCAGTTCGCCGCAGATCCACCCGCTCATGAGCACGAGGAGGGCAACCATGATGCTCAGGTAGGCCGAGGTTTCTCCCACTTGACCCCATTGTCGAGTCAATACCTGGATGCCTTTTTGGAGGTAGATGAAGGCAACGTAGAACCCGAAAATGTCACATGAGAAACGGGTGACATAGGTTAGTGCGTTGCAGGCATTTGTGATGGCAAGGAGCCAGTGCATGACCAATGACCAGCTAGTAGAGGTTAGGAATGTGGACTTGACAAGGAAAGAAGTGAACTCACATGCCAATCCAAGTCATAAAAGCGAGATATGGTGTGCCTCGGGGCGAAATAATATCGAAGACCGTATAATTGAATACCGTAATCGGACCTGTGGACGTGTAAGAAAAAGACAAGAGTTATAAAGAGGCAAAAAGAGCTCACCAGTAACACCAACAATGACCAGCGGCTGAGCCGCGAAGAGGGAAAACACTACGGCACCAAGGACAGATGCAAGCAAGACTTCGTTCACGCCGTAGCTCTGATTTGTCTTCTCGAACATATCTAGCGAGAAGGCCAGGGCAGGCAAGATACTGCAACACTAGTAAGCCTTAAAGGTCGGAACAGGCCAGATACATCTTATTTGATGACCCGGAGTATAAGTTTCGAGAACTTGAGAAATACGGAATGATTTGATGTGAAAAGGAAAGCATATGAGGGCAAGCATACTTGGCAAAATACATATAAACCGTCGCAGGAACAATGCGATAATCCCACGCGTCGGTCCAGTCGCTCCAATAATAGGGCGCTCTGCGCCTGATATCCTTGATCATCCCACGGAACAGGCGTACGCGCCACCATTTCGGGTGGGTCGACCAAAAGGACGACGCGACTGATACACGGCGACGCTGTGAATCCGACGTCCGGGCATCTGCAGAGTCCTGCGGCTCTGCTGCAGGCGGGGCCGAGGCCGGAGCCGCGCGCGGAGATTGACGTGACTTGCCTGATCGGAGGGATGATGACAGGCGCCGAGATTGCCAGGAGGGTCTTCTGTGAGCTGGGGATGAAAAGTGGCCCGGCGATGAGTTGCTGGGAACGTGCATATTTGGACCCGAGGGCACGGAGAAGTCCCCGTGCGACATCTGCAGTGCAATCTGCAACCCGGTTGGGAGGATTGGGGGAACCAGAAGCTGGGGATGAGTATAGGGATATTATTAAAGGGGCTAGAGTTGATCCGCGAAGGCGAGATCGAGGGCAATGGCAGCCGCAGTTGATGATGATTCGTTTTGCGGGGAGGAGAAGAAGTTGGAGAAACAGGGAAGTCAAGGATGGAGAATGAGGCCTGAGGCATCCATCACTCGATATGTACTTAAAAGAAAACTACACAAGCAAAGAAGAGTACAATTCAAGATATTACTTCACAGCGAAGAAGACAGTCAATTTCCAGTGCCTTTCTCCTCCAATTTTCCATTCAGCAAAAGAATCTGAGAGTCAATTTTCAATTTTGCATTCACGCAGGGGGCGGAGGCGGAGGAGGCTGGTCGCTCGGGGGAGGAGGCGGAGGTCCATCACCAGGCGGAGGAGGTGGCGGCGGGTCGCCAGCACCACCGTAGTACATCTGAGCCATACCGGGAGGTGGCGGCGGAGCACCCATACCAGGAGGAGCAGCACCGGGAGCGCCCGTGCCGGGAGGTGCGTAAGACGAATATCCACCGTAACCATAGCCAGCCGGTCCACCGGGAGGCGGGGGGGAGCTTGTTGCTGCCAAGGGGCAGCGCCAGGGGCAGTACCAGGAGCGGCGTAGCCTTGAGAACCATATCCATAATCGCCACCGCGGCCCTGTGAAGCCCATGGAGCAGCACCGCCTTGGTCGCGGGACCCGTAGTCGTCGCGTCCGCGATCCCGTCCACGCTGTTGCCAGGGGGCAACGTCACTCGGTGGCGGGCCACGCTCCCAGGGCTTCGCGCCGCGGTCGTCGGGATAGCCCTGGCCCGGGCCGGCTTCAATGCGACGGGGTGGGTACTCACCAGGAGCACCTCCAGACAATTCGTTCATGAGTTGCTAGAAAAGAGCGTCAGCATCTGAGGTCTGTTGCTTTGAGATAAGGGCGAAAAAACTTACCTCCATCTCGCGATCGACAGCATCGCCAGTGCCAACGGCAGGACGAGAGTCGCGGCCACCATAGCCACCGTTGTTGCGCCAGTCGCTGCCTCTCTGGCGGTCGGGACAGTCGCGGGCCATGTGTCCAGCGTTGCCGCAGACACGACAGATGATGTTTGCAGTGAAGTTGCGCTGTTCGGGGCAGTCGTACTTCCGGTGCCCGATTTGACCACCTGCAAGAGCACGGTTAGTATGTTGATAAAAGAAAGAAATTAGGGGCATACGTACAATTCTGGCAAGCCTGGTTCTCATCGTCACGAAGAGTACCGTTGAGAGCGGCCAGTTCACGCAGCTGGTTGCGTTTGAGCTCATTTTGACCCTCAGGGATGGATGCAGCCTTAGCGGGTGTTAGTAAAAGAGATGGAACACCGCAGGGAACAGGACTTACTGTTTCAATAACGTTGTGAATCAACTGGCGTGCCTTCACCAGCTTGTCTTCTGTGTCAGCGATGATCAAACAGTGAAGATCTTCTTCCTGATTGCTAGCGTGAGCGGCGTCAGAGCGGCCTTTGCCCTCCTTGACAGAGCCTTTGCCTCGGATGGCAATCTTGGCTCCGGATTCGGTCTCCATTTTCTTCAAGGTGTTTCCACGAGGTCCTATGAGTAAGCCAACTTTAAAAAGATAGCAAAGAGCTAAGTGTTAGTCATCTGTGGTCTGTCAAGAGAGCAAAAAGGCGTGTGCAACATTAAGCACAAAAAGGGTTAGCAAGAAACGAGCCGAGGACAATCCGAGGAAACATCTCGCCGGCTCGAGTCGAGCATAGAGGCAGGTTAGGAGTTAGAGGGTTAGTTATCATACTGAAGTTAATCTCTGGATAGTCATTCACTGGGACATAGACCTTCTCCTGGGTCTTGGTGGGACGTCTGTAGTCAGATGGCGGATGGTAGTTAGGAATCGTTTTCATGGCCTTCTCGACTAGCTTGTGACGTTCATCCTCCAGTCGCTTGCGGTAGCGGTATTCGCGCGTGTTCACACGCCTACCAAAGTTATCGTATTGCGGCGGTGGCGAAGGAGACCTGTTGAAAGAATCAGTAAAGGCCGAAACGAGGGAGGGATCACCACATACCTATCACCGTCGGCCGGGACCACGTCGTTGATCCGCAGCTTCTGGCTAATCTCCTCGATGCGCAGGTGCAGGGTATACGCCTCAAGCTGCTCGCTGGTGAAGTTGGCCATGATCATGGTGGGCAAGCCCATCAGACCAGCAGCCTTGTTCTCCTGCTGATCACCCCAGCGGTTGCGCTTCTTGCGCCTTTTGACACCGTCGGCGGGAGGTTCAGCTGTAGAAAACACACGGTCAGAGATGATAATTTTCCAGGGTATCGGGTCAGACTTACCACGAACAGGGCTTCGGCCACGCTTGGGGCCGTCTGTTCCCATGGAGGAAGGAGTCGCCGTGCGACTGTCCTCTTCCGCAGGAACATCGCCCGCAAAGCGTCGCCGGCCTAGCGGGATGTTGTTAGAGCCCGTGATTCCTTGGTTGCGCCACGCCATGGCTCTTTGTTGGAGATGATAAGACAAAACTGAGGATAGGAGGAGTGAGTGGAGAGCGAAGCTTCTTCACTCTTTTACAAGGGGTGGCCAATCACGTGATAAGGCGGTGAACAGCTCGTCATTCTTCTTCCATTAACTCTAGTCCCTCAATCTCAATACTATCGAGTAACCCTCATTTAGATCTTATTCTTCGAATCCTCCTTCATTCCCTCCTGAATCCACTTGCGGGACTCGGCTGCGTGCTTATCCATGGCCGCCTTGTCCTTGATGAGATCCTTGATGGTGTGGGGCGACGGCACATGGCGGCCCTTCTCTGTCGCCGGACGCTGCGCCATGCGATCCTCCCACGCCTTGAGATGTGGGAACTCCTCGATATCCACCCCAGCCCATCCAGCGGCAGCCACCCATCCCCAGTGCGAAATATCGGCAATGGAGACGTGATCACCCACCAGGTACCCGGACTTGGACTGCGCGAGGTGCTTGTCGAGGACCCCGTACAGCCGGCGCGTCTCGTTGACGTACCGATTGACGCCGTACTCGATGCGCTCCGGCGCGTACCGGTTGAAGTGGTTGGCCTGGCCCTGCATGGGACCCACGCCCGCGTTCATGAAGAAGAGCCAGTTGGTCATCTCGTAATGCTCGCGCGTGCCCTTGGGGAAGGAGATCTTGTGGTCTGTGTCGTACTCCGCGACGAGGTACTCCAGGATGCCACCGGATTCGAACAGACGGATCTTCTGGCCGTCGCTGAAGGTGTCGGTCAGGGCGGGGATGCGGCCGTTGGGGTTGATCTCGAGGAACCAGCTGCGATACGAGGTCAGTTAGGTCGAGGGTTGTCAAAGCCGGGAGATCCTTACTCTTCCTTCTGCGTATTCTTGGAGATGTCAATCTTCTCGACCTTGTAGGGTAGCCTTGGTCCCGTCAGTCATTGCGTAAGAACCGGTCGGAGACAAACATACCCCAGCTCCTCCAGCGCCATGGAGATCTTGATCCCATTAGGCGTCTGGGCCGTGTAGAGAGTAATGTTCGGGCGACTCATGATTGCGACGTGGAGTGATGGGAGGTTGAGGTGAGAGAGGTTTGTTGCACAAGCAGGAGACTTGTTTTGTCTTTTAAATCCAACGCGGGTTGAGGTCATACACGACTTCCCCCACTTGGATTTATAAGCTCGGAGCTGCCTCGGGAGTGATTACATACTTAAGTGATGGGTCAATCCAGTCCTTCAAACTTTGAGATCTGCAAGAGTTACACGTTCGTATTGCTAATCAAAAGGCGCTGTTTCTACCATGGCACGGGCCCATTTTCATCCGAATATGTCCCCGTCTCCCCGTCCTTTCCCAGAGTCGCCAGTCGGACGATATTCACAGCGGACTCGGATACCGGCCGGCCACCCATTCCGCGCGCAAAACTCGTGGCCGTGAGGTTCGGGCATGATGCATTCACCTTGCCCCCCTTGTCCTCAAAAGTGGCAGCATAGTGCAGCATGAGCATGTTGAAGGCCGCCTTGCTGCTGCGGTACACGGGGCCGATGGGCTTATGTTGCCTGGGATACATCTCTTGCGACGGATCGGAGCGAATGCCCATGGACCCGGTGTGCGAAGACACAAAGACAATGCGGGGCGGCAATGCCGCCGCCTTCTCAAGCAGCGGGATGAAAGCTTCGGTGACTGCGGCGGCGCCGAACACGTTCACATCGTATGCTTCTCGGTATAGCTTCCGCAGCTCGGCGAGAGGCATCTTTGGCTCCTCGGTGATGCCTTCCTTTTCCCGCTTCATGCGTGCCAAGGCAATGTCAATCTCATTGTTGATGCCCGCGTTGTTGATGAGCACATCCAGTCGGCCGTGCTTCGATGCGACTTGCTCCGCTGCGCGCTCGATGGATGCGTCGTCCGTCACATCGATCGTGATCGGCTCCACTGATGCGCCCGTGGAGTCTAGTTCTGCGGCAGCTTTGACGCCGCGCTCGGGATCGCGAGATCCGAGGAGGATATAGTAGGTCTTGTGGGATTCTAGGATCTGTTTGGCAACCTCAAATCCAATGCCCTGGTTTGCACCGGTGATGAGAACGATAGTTTGAGCCATGTTAGTTATATACTTGCAATAACTCGAGGGATAGAGCCCACTGAGAAGAAACCTCACTCTTTAAGTAGTTTAACTCCGACTGATGCTTTGCGGCCATGGGATGCCTGATTGTGCCCCCGCCTCGGACATTGACACCTAAACTCCGATGTTAACCATTCCACGGTCGTCCAAGTTAAGTATATAACTTAAAAGTAATCATGCGTAGGGACGTATTAACTGGCTATGGATACTTAATGCGACTCTCAAGGAATGGCACTCCCTTCGAGGGCGCACTGGACAGCAAGGCCCTCGTACTCTCAAAAAGTCTCGAATTCCAGCCGTTCGTAGAAGCTCCATATGGAGACTGAATCAACGAACACGCCCTCAATCTTTCTTATTCGCCCTTCCACTATTCTGTTTCCTTGGGCAGCACTTTAGTACCAAAGCTCCTGAATTCCGGAGCGCATCTCCGAATACCTATACTATATAACGGCATGGGCGCTCTACTTGATTAAATCCCAATTCTTAAATCAAATCGGAAACCCAACTCCTGACAGAATACTTAGTGTGTAGTACATTAGCTCCTACACCGTCACCATGTGGTTCAAGTCTAAGTTTCAATTAGACAAAACCACGGCTCCCTGCAGGGCTTGTACATCAATTGTCCCAATCTGGACTAACCACCCAGGCAACAGTGGGCATACCGCAGAAAGACGACCAATTGCACCGTCATCTACAAAAAGAGTGCACTTTCCAGTTCTTTGCGACTCTTGCTCCTTGCCCAACTCCCAGCTCCATCCATCTCTCTCCTCAACCCCTTTTCTATCCATCCTACTTACACATCTGCTACTCGGACCGTCCAACCAATATGGTTGACGTAGAAGAATTCATCGCTCAAAAGGTGTTGGAGGTACGTTCATTGCACAAGCCCCAATGAATATGAAGACAACCAGACTTACACATTACGTCAATTCTCAGAAATGCAAGCTGTATGCGTGCGTTGATCGGTTTCTAGCTCGCCTCTCTGGCATACGGGGTGATCCCCACTCGCGTCCCATCCCCGATTTCAGTTCATTTAACAAGAGGGACACCGAGAAGTTAAAGGGCCTTGCGGTGGAGTTGCAAGCGGACATCAACCGTCTCCTTCCCGGATATTTGGGCGACAATGCTGATGCCCTATCCAATCCAAAGCTGAAGAGACAGTTCGACGATCGGTGGCCTCTCATGCAAAACAAACGGCAGAAGCTTGCTGATGAGCCAGCTACCTTCCGACAGAGCTTGCTAGAAACACTGGCTATGCAACAATGGCGGCAGATGGTTGATACTGAAGAGGATGATGGGCAGACGGCCCCTGCATTGGCTAAAATTGCTTGGAAAGAGGCTCGCAAGCAGCTTGAAAGTTCAATCATCAGCGAAAGAAAATCCGCGTCCTTTGTCTGTGGCGGTATCATCCCGATTGAAATCACTCAAACAACCAAGACAGCGGCAAATGTGTCAGGTGAGCAAAAATTCACGACAGCAAAAGACAGGAGGAACGAGAAAGGCTCTCCTTGCACTCCTAGCTCGTCTGCTTTTATGTTTACTTTCTTTTTCCTTACTTCCCTCTATAATTCGCTCCGTTTTTGCTATCTTTTTTTTCTTGATACTTGATTTACAGCTAACGATTCTCTAGCTACCACTACAATCCCAGGAAAGGAGTTGTCGCCTCCCGTTCACATTTTCTGGGCTCCTGGAGAAGACAACAAAGCCCGAAAGTTGATTCTGCCGGTCAATGACGACGCTGTCCATGATTCTAGCATGGAAAGACTTCGTCAATTAGTTGTGGATTGCGACGTCGCCAGCTTTGGGAAAGGACAGCAGGATGTGGTCGACCCTGAATATCGCAAGGCTGGAAAGCTTGACCCACGCAACTTCGCGACTAGCTTTCACCCAGCCGATTTTGGGATTCTCGAAAATGTCGAGCAGGTTCTTCTTCCCAGCATTAGTACCGATATCCAGAACCGACTGCCATTCCGGAAGCTCAGTACTGAGCTGTACAAACTGAATGTATGTCGGAGGTAAAGAATTTCACTCTAACGCCGACTGACAACTCTTCTCAAGGTCTACTCGGGACCATCGGGCCTTTTCCGAAAACATGTCGATACTCCCCGCGCTGATAACCAAATTGGCTCACTTGTTGTGTGCTTGCCATCCTCCTTCAAGGGCGGCGACTTGCTTGTTCGGCATCACGGTAAGGAGGTAGTGTTTGACTGGAGTTCTCACAGCACGGATGCCATCCAATGGGCAGCTTTCTACAGTGACCGCGAACATGAGATCAAGACAGTCAGTGATGGCGAGCGCATTACTTTAACTTACAATCTCTACGTAACCGAGCCAGTGGGTGGATCGATTCCACCAAATATCGTGGTCGACCCGAAGACTCTGCCGCTCTATGATTTCTTGAGGGGCCTTGTCACGCAGCCTGGATTCATGAAAGATGGTACTATTTGAAGACTATATTCTAGAGGAACCAGCTAATAATTTTAGGTGGTGTTCTCGGCATCTACTGCTCTCATGCATATCCACATTCATCAGATGTTGCTCAGGAGTTGCTTCCGAGAGCCCTGAAAGGGGCCGACCTGGTGCTGTATTCGGTGTTCAAATGGCTAGACATAAAAGTAGAAGTCCGCCCTGTGTTGTCTAACGTGAGAGATTTTGAAGATGATTATGAAGAGGAGGAGTCCGAAGAGGAGTCTGGAGGGGATTCTGAAGAGCAGTCTGAAGAGCAGTCTGACGAGGACTCTGAAGAGGCGCCCGAAGGGGAAACCGACGACGAGAATGGAGAACAGGGAGCCATTAACACTGTATCCGGTGTTCGCCGCAGTCCACAAGATCTTCCCAGGGAAGTCACGCCAGCTGAACTGGAATTCATCCGAGACACCCTGTCTGCCCCTGCAGACTATATGGATGTCGATAAGCGCTGGAAGACGCTTTACTTCTCTCTCAGAATGCGGGGAAAGGAAGCGGTTTCCAAATTTACCCGGAATCACAGGCTGTGGTTGAAGTCCAATGGTTTCTTCAAAAACAAGGGGGAGTTTGTTGGCCAAGACCTGCTGTCTTACAAAGCCTGTGACTATGAGGAAGAAGAAGGAGAAGGCTTGGCTAAGGTAAGTGTAGCCAAAAGTTCCCGGTTTGATAAATGCTCATGTTCATAATTCAATTTCTTAGATCATCGACAGTGTTAATTGGCCCGCAGACCGCATTCCTGGCATTACATGGATTGCCAATCCAGGAAACGAGGAACTGGCGTTCAGCTACATAGCTTATGGGAACCAGGCTTCCCTAGGGAGTATGTATTCCTGCGCTGCAATTCTGGCGGTGATTCCCCCATTTGATCAGCGCCAGGCTATCATGGGACAGGAAGGTTGCGGCACCATCAACAATTGAAATGACCGCCTACAAAGTGCTGTATTCTGTTGCTAGAGACTGGCTGGATTTGCTCTCGCTGATCACAAATTACTGTTCTTGCTGAGTTTTAATAAACATGCTAAGCTATCTGCTCATGGCTCGTAGAACCAAACCATTGCGTTGTATCGAATTCACCATCGGTTGTAGTTTCCAACCATGCACGTTGTTGCAGCCAATAAAGGCAGCTACAATCCATTTTCTCCGTTTCTATTTCACGGGACACACAACCACACACACCCAAATTGCGGAAGGAGCGGTACACCCAACGTTGATACCACTCATAACCACTTAATTAGGGTTAAATGGAGGAATATTGTGAACCTCGTCGGTATCAGTCAAACTTGATTGAATGTATAGTATATGATGCCTCATCCATCAATATTCCCCATTGGTGTCTACCTGTGGACGCACTTCATTTAATCTCTATAATTGTTTGGTCAGACCTATGAAACAAGGTACCATGGTTGCGCATGTTTCCCCTGGCAAGACTCGGAGTACATATCCAGCCCGCCGGCTTTCCTCTCGAAAGTCCAAATTTTGGACCCCACTACCCCCACTTCAGGAGTATCATCGCGCTCGCTCTCTGAACGGCCGCGTCACCGAAATGCCGACACCGACACCACGGGAACTCGGAGCGCCGATACTGCCGCAAGTCTAGAGCAGCTGAAGTATAAAAGAAAAGATAGAGGTGCAGCACACAACACCTAAGTACGAACATATCTCAAGCAGAATCACACTCGAGGGGAAAAAGGCCAAGAAGAACAATGCCCTCCATTCAAACCATGCACGCCGTCTCTGCCGACGGCACCAATATCTTTGCTGAAGCTATCGGTAACTCGAGCAATCCCGCTGTTGTGTTCATACATGGCTTCAGTAGCTCTGGGCTAGTGTTTGAGAAACAGTTCTCCAATACTACCCTTCAGGCGAATTTGTACCTAGTATGATTACTCTCTGGATATTCTTTTCTTGGTGATTTGATCAGGCTGACTGGGCTTGACCCCTTAGATTCGGTACGACATGCGCGGTCATGGACGGAGTGACCAACCCACAAGTGCAGAATCATATACCTCGCAGCTCTTTGCAGAGGATTTCAAAGCTGTCTGCAAGGCATTCAACGTGACAAAACCATTCCTTGCTGGCTGGTAAATCCCGGACTTGTTCAACTTTACACATTCACTAATATTGAAACAGGAGCTTTGGTGGTACAATTGGCGCGGACATCTGCGCCAATCTAGGACCAGAGTACTTATCCGGCGAAATCCTCCTAAGCTCGGTCCCCTATGGCGCAGCTTTCATCCAAGTCGGCAAAGGGAATATCGTCCCCATTCTGCAAACACTCGGCAGCCCGACGACCACATCTGCAGATTACGCGAAGGCAGTATCTGACTTCGTGGACTCATGCGTTGCGCCGGGGTTTGCCATTCCGGTGGAAACGAAATGGCTGTGGATGGGTGCTGTCCTTGCACAGGTATGCATTCGTCTTTTTTTATTCGTTTTCAATCCCCCTAAAGAAAAAAGGATCATACACACACAGAGAGATAGAGCTGATTTATTCTGCAGAAACCCGCCGTGCGTCCTCTCCTACGTGGCAGAACCCAGGACCCAGCTGCTCTTATCGATTCGGGACTTCCGCTCTTGGTTATTCAGGGTGGATGTGATGTTCATCTCAACGCGGAAAAGCTCAGAGATTTGGTCAAGGAGAAATTTGACTCCGCTGAATATCATACGTTCGAGGGAGTGGGACATATGCCATTTTATGAGCGGGTGGATGAGACAAATAAACTGATCTTGGAGTTTGTGATTCGTTGTAAATCGGCTTGAACTATTGTGCCGAGAGGCCATAGATTTGTGTGATACATAGCACGTATCGATATAATCTACAACTTCTCGACTTTTTTGGCTGATCCGTTGATGGCTTTGGACAACCCTTCCATCATGTTGTAGTTTAGCATATTAAATTCTAGATGGTATTATGACATTTACCCAGCGCACGGTTTCCCCATTTTCAAAAAAGGCCGGTACGGACAAGAGCAAAGATATGTACAAGAATCAAAATCTCCAGGGAATGACGAATAGTTGACACTTATGAGGAAAGAAACAATAGAGCCGGCTGCACAATAGAAAGAATCAAACTTATGGCGAAGGATTCTTAAGACAAGGTCCAGCACCGGGATAAGAAGAAAGTGAAGACTGCTGCCGAGGACGAAGAGAATCCAGCAGTTAAGAAGAAACGAAATCATCGTCACTGGAAGGGATCATCGCAAAAACGTAGTCATGAAAACAAGCCATCAGCGCCGCGAACATCCTACCACGAGAAGCTCTCCTCGATATAATCCACATGGGTGCGAGTTTGTCTCTTCCGACACACGCGCCGTACATCATCGCTCAGGCTCCCATTTCCACAAACCAGGACCCCCATAGCGCCCACCTGGTTCTCGACTTCCATACCAACAAGAGTGTCGATATTAGGCCGACCAGGAAACATCTGCACGGTAGCCGAGGGGCTTTGGATCTCCTTTGCGTTGCGGGGACGGGTAACAAAGAGCTTGATCCGGAGGACTTCGCGGCGGCGGTCCATGGCCAGGATACTGGTCATCCAGGGACGGATCCACTCCAGGTGCTCTGGGGACTGAATGATCCAGACGAGCGTGACGCGGCGGGCTGCGACTGTCCCGTCTGCGAAACCGGCGACGAGATGTCGCACAAAGGGGACGTGGTGCGTTATCCCCACGCCGCCGGCGAAGAGCAGGACTGACCCGTAGGAATCCAGCGTGTGGATGTTGCCGTAGGGACCTTCTGCGAAGGCACGGAGTGTTATGCGGGAGCCAAATGAGTCGGCGGCGCGTTGGAAGAGCTTGTCGGTCATGCCCGTGCGGCGGCGGACGAGGAGTGAAAGGGTAGTTTTTTGTGGCACGCCGAGGAGATCTTGTCGGGACATCGGCATTGATTTCTCGTCCGATAGCACTTCTTCGGTTTCGCTCCATCCGACAGAAAACGGGTGCGATGACCACCACCCGACTGCGGGGATGTAAAGGTAGATATGTTGGCCCGGCTGGAAGGTCCAGGGCCGAGTTAGACGCAGCGTGATGCGCATGGCGTCGCCAGGCATTGCTTCGACAGTGGCGGTAGTGGATTGGCGCCCAAAGTTGCGGTACGCAATGATGAAAAGACGAGTAGTTCGCTGGAAACGGTTAGATGGAATTCTCGTATAATCGAAATATGAAGCTTACCTCGAGGGCCCAGAAGATGAGCGCTGCCATCAGGTACGTCTGCGAGATCATTCCGTCCAAATGGATCCAAAGAAAGGCCATAGACACGGCCGCAAGGACAATATGCAGATGAAGGAAGGTTTCGTAGAAAGCATGGCGAATAGCAGAAGGGGAATGGACAAGTAGAGCCGTGAATCCACAGGCAGCCTTGAACACCATGTTAGTGTCTATACTAGTAGCGGGATTGGATCATAACATACCACCAGGCCAGCAAGCATGAAGTTGCTTTCACCAAACACCATTCCGACGGCACTCCACCCGTCTAGATATCAACATCAGTATGGGATGTACAAATCAGCAGCCTGGGGTGGATCACTTACTTTCCTGGGCCTTTGGAACAGCCCACGCGAACACATGAGCCAGAGACTCCAAAACGACAATGCGACCCAGCCATCGGTGGAGCAAATTCCAAGTGTCAAAGGGGACGTGCAGCATCGCGATAAGAGGATTGTTCCGACCAGCCATGAGGACCAGCGGGATCAAGTTGACTGTTGCCATCGTGCCAGTACGGTTGCGGATGACACCTGCGACGGTGTCCTCCGTCGACCGATAGGGAACTGTAACAACGCAGAGTGCCACGTTCATAGCAATGATTCCCGAGATGAGGAGCGCATGAAACCGACTGGGCAGATTCCCCATGTTGACAGCCTGCGAGAGCTGGAACTCGCGGTTGTGCCGCGTGCGAAATAGCGGAGCATAGATCAAGTGCTCCTTGAGCCGGGCAAATGTCTCATGCGCTGACATGAAATATCGCTGCCGGTCATCGCTGAAGCTAGATAGCCGTCGCAGATGGCCGGAGAAGCGGAAGCCGAGCTGCCACACGTACATGGCGGCTGCGGCGCAACCGAGGGCGAGAAGGGAGATTCGTGCTAGGTCGTCATTGAGGGCCTCGTAGAAGCGCTCTGATGAACTGGAGGAGTCATGTCGCTTGTTGATATTGATATTGTCCATCTCCGTCGCGCTTGTTAGCCCGGCGAGAAAGACAGCCAGAAGAAGGCGGCCCATGGTTGCTCCACGAGAACCAGCTCACGTCTTGAAAGTCCTGAATGGAATTGATGTTTGCAATTCAATTCTTGCGAGTGTGAGACCTGCTCGCTCGAAAAGGGATCTGACAAGGGACCGTCGATATCAAAGCCAAGAAAAGGGTGTTTTTCTGTCTGAAAAGGATTGGGACAGCACAGCCAGCGATCAGGACACCACCACGATGCTGAAGAGACTGAGCAAAAAGAGAGTAGCGATAATTCAGCTGGTTTCAAGTAGTGACCGGTCGGGTTGCTGGGATTGAGAAAGATAGGGCCAGCCTAGACGTAACGGATGGAAAGCAAAAATCAATAAAGCCAGCCACCGGGCAGGTAAAGAAGAAGAATGGACAGGGCAGCGCAGATGCATCCAGGCAGTCGGCGGCGCAACGAAGGGAATGCTGGTGACGCAGTCACCGGCCAACAAGGGCAAAGTATGGAGCACGTCCACCACAATGCAATGACGAAAGAAGGGAGACAGAAAGGAAGTGAAGAAAGAGACAATAAGAATGTCTATTGTTGCATGAGCCAGGAACACAAACAAGGAGACAAAGAGGTCCCTTTATCCCGTCCACGCCCGAGACATGAGACGGGAAAAATAAGGTGTAAGGAACCAGGGCTGCTCGGGCCCGGACTCCACGAGTGTATCAAGAATGATGGGACTGACTGGTCACTTCCGGATTATTTCATGAAACAGCAGCAGGAGCAGAGGCGGGACGAGCCTTGCATTGGTCGAATGAACTTCATATTGTGCTGCCCAAACAGCCAGCACTACACAAACCAGTGTGACCGATACTGACTGTCCTCCAGCAACAAAAAAGAAATGTACCGGCAGTCATGGAGTTCCCCTCTGTAAGTGGTCGAGCCTGAAACACTCCCAGCGCCAGCAAAGTCCGTTGTCCAACCCGCGGGCGCCAGAGCCAATTTTCGCGCCGATCCCCGCGGCAGCACCACGACTGGCGGTTTGAGGATATGCCTTGGTCTCTTGGCGGACACGATCCAGTGTGGTGGATTGAATGACGCGAAACACGGAGAGATCAGCCTGAATACCATGATGACAATTAACTAAGTTGCAGTATTAAGCCGCACTGTAAATCCTGCTTGATCTCCCGCAACCCCCTGTCTAGGGCCTTGGCGGCTTCATCTATATCAGACCAAAGGCGGGTTAGATGGAGGATCTCCTTCCGAGAGTGGACGGGCGAAACCCGACTGATAGGCGTGACCCCCTGCCCTGTTCGGGATACATGAGGGCATACATATGTTGAAACGTGGCGACCGCAAGAGTAAGCGGAGACTCGCCGTGTACGGTCTCATCTAGGTTAGGTCTGTGTGAGAATGTGTGTTTCTTGCGATAGCTGTACAATAGCCTAATAATCACGCCTCACCGGTGTCTCTACAACAACCCCTCAATTCCAAGTCATATCCAGAGAGTATGTACAGAAAGTAAAACAATAATGGGGAAACTCAAAGGCCCGTGGGTATCGTGTCAAGCAGGTCCGAAACACCGGCTTCGCAAAAACCAAACTAAAAGCGGACCATTCTCCTGATCCACCGTTTCCAAACAAGAATGTCTGAGTGAACTAGACCGATCATCCTTCGCGATCGGTCGAACACCATCAAGCTCCAACACATCCAAGGGTGCGGATCGGTTCGTGCAAAATGAGATGGATGCCAGAACCATGGACGCATCCCGGAATCCTAATAGATTGAAAAAGAATTTGGCATGCCCAGATTATCTGCCACTCGGCCAAGCGAAGCGGACTCTTGGCAGTTGCTCACATGAAGCTCAGCTCATCATCGCTGTCCTCGTCCTGGGAGCAGGGAATCACCATCGGCGCTCGTCGTGGTATTGACGGCGCAGAAGGTGGTCGCCCTGGAGGCCGTCCGCGTGGTCGACGATCTGCAGGGTGATGGACCTGCTTGACAACAGGCTCCCGGACAGGCTCCGCAAGCTCATCCTCGGCCGCTCTGGTCCCTTTTTTATTGATAATCACGACTTCGATCTTGGGTGCGGGCCGGGGCCCCATGGGGCCCCGCTGCTGGACTATATTGGTCCTCGACATTTCCCGCAGATGGTAACGACGAGAGGAGGCCGACGTCACGGACGCGGATCGGGTTCTGTAATTGATAGTCGAAGACCTCGTTCGAGGGCGCTCCACATTGTTGATCACAACCACGGAAGCAGACCGCTGTCGCTTGCGGGGTCGTGTAGGCGAGGAGTCGGAGTGTTCGAGCGATCGCTTCGTGCACACCGATGAAGGGGATGAGGTCAAGCTGGAGCCGGGCCTCTCGGACCGATCTGAGAAGGGAGAGCTGCTATCTGTGGAACACGGTATACATGGCGGTGGAGTTGAAGACATGAAGGCGCACTTGCTGCTATGCCTTGCAAATATCGGCTTGCGCTTTGCCATCGGCGTCCTAGCAACCCACTCTCCAATGCTCTCTTCCCAGCGGTAGAGGCCGGTCCTCTGTCCAGCGTCAACAACGCCATCGTTTTCTTCATCCTCCGCTCGAGCCCGGACAGAGGCTACCATCTCTTGAATCTCAACGGCCCACAGGTGATCTTCCGGCTCACCAGTACTCTCTGCAAACTCCATGGCAGCTTCTGCGGCGATTCGACCAAGAAGCGCAGATAAACCCGGCGCTTTGGTGAGCCGAGGGAAGAGAGCTATCATGCGGCGAATTTCTTGACCGGTTCGGACGCGCTCACTTTCCGAACTGCCTCCAAAACAACGAAAAGCTTGCCGCACAAATGATGCCAATTCCTTTACCAGGTTTGAGCGGGAAGCCAATTCGTGCGAATAGTCGTCGACATTTGTTGTGAGTGTCACTTCGTCTGGGAGGTCGTCGGATAATACTGCAGTGTTACATCGTAGCAGACAATTCGCCAGTAAAATGCACCCACGCCGTAATAAGTGATGAGAGGTGATGCTGGGACTACCAGAGAAAGGCTTTAAGTCCATCTCCCGCTCCACTGAAAAAGAGACGTATTTGAGGATAACCCCCGCTTTCGTCCCACCCGCAGAGTCAGCCGCATCCAATTCGCGAGACCTCGAGACATGCATCCCGCACAGCGCTGCCATGAGGCTCATGACGTGGTTACTCAGAGCGTCCTCCACCGGCACGGGGCACGGCCGGTCAGCGGCCGGCTTGTTCGTAGCTGCCGCGGACGAAGCGCGCGTCCTTCCACCGCGGAATGCTGGCCGTTTGCGAGAGTATCTTCGCACAGGTGCCGCGGACTGGGTGTCTGGACGAACGCCGCTGGCTGAAAGGATCACGGCTTCGATCAGCCGCGAGGCCGCGGCACAATCGGCGTCTTCCTTTGATAATGATATCGTTGCACGTGTCATCCAGCTAGTCCACAACTTCGTTGCCATCCATTCTGGCGGAAGAACACCGCGTAAAAGAAGCTTGGCCAGCTCATCAAAAATATAAGACCGATGTGCCGGGCCGTAGCAAGCATAAAGCCGCAGTAATTGGACAGCGTCACCCTTCAATTGTGAATCACCAGACGGGCGTAAGGAGAGCGGGTAAGGGTATGTCTTGCACGTGGAAAGAAATGTCGACAATAAAGACTCGCAAGCATCTGGTTCATGATATCGACACTTTTCAATAAGCGCGCAGGCGACCGCTTCAGTCACCCACTTGTTTTGTATCATCATAGCCACCAAATGGATGCCCTGAGAGCGCACGGCTTCGCGAAGAGGCTTCCATCCCCTGCCGTGAGGTGCGTAGAAAGATTCCAATTCTGTAAAATATGCACCGCACATGTCTTCATCTCCATCCTCGTCCAACTCGCCTTGCTCCTTCTGCTCGTTTGCAATGAACTCGGGCAAACGCCGCACGACCATCGACATCAGAGAACGCGCGCCACGAAGAGGCTTTGGAGGTGGATCGTTGGTATCATTTTTGGTGATCCGAGTATTGCACAGAAAGTTCTGGAGAACACGATGAAGATTATGCGCAATATCGGCAAAGCCAGAGTCGCCGGATTGGTGGAGCAGCTCCTGCCACGGACTCTTGTGCAGCGGATATTTATCGCGAAATGCCTGCAGGTGTCCCTTTCCGTAGACACGACTGGGCTTAATGGATGAGGGCTGTGATTGCACGCTCGAAGGGGCCTCCCATCGTTTCCCGTTAATCAAAGGCGTCGCGAGCTCGATCGCGCCAGGCAGCGTCCGAGGTGCCTCTGGGCTGTGGATAGACAACCGGTTGCGTCTGCGCCCACCGTTCTCCTCCCCACGAGACGAGTATTTGTGTCTGATCCGGCGCTGCTCGACCTTCTTGCCGGGTACCCAAACGGGATCGTTCTCGTCCTCGTCCGCATCCGACCCATTGATCCTGCTTTTTCGAACCTGTGTTGTTGTGGCCGGCGCAGTCACAAAGCTGTCTTCTGGGTAATTCTGGGATCTCGATTCGGTAGCGATAATTGATAGTGTCTCTTGGTGTTTCTCAAGGCGGCGGTAGATAGAGGTTAGAGGGCGCAGCATACGATTGGCCCATCGTGCGGTTGCCTGGACGTCCTCCATTGAGTCCGGCTAAGATAATAATATAGGGTTATATCATGCAGCTGTACGTGGAATCAGTCCCTGGGGTTTTCGGGGACGTGAGGGTGCAATTCATACCGCGCAACACCCACTCCTCAAGGATGCATGGTAAGAGAAAAAGAGGCCCAACACCACACTCCTCAATATCCAAACAGCAATCAAGACATGCGATGAGGAAGAGATGAAAATATGTAATTTGAGAATAAAGGAGTATGCAAGGCCCCGAGGGCGCGTGTTGAGGTGGGTTGAATGGAATGCAGGTGGAAGAAGACGCCGGAGTGTCGGAGGCAATCCGGGTAAACAACCCGATTGGGTAAAGCGTGAGCGATCCACAACCCACGAAGTATAAAAGAGACCACGTAATACAACTACAAAGAAACAGAAGGAAAAGAAATCCATATGCATAACCCAGGTCCCTCATCATGCACAAGTAGAGCCATATAGTACAATCAACCTGGCCAAATCAAAGAAGACAAAAGAGTAGAGAGGAGAGTAGATCTACAATACACACACAAAGAAACGGTCTTGACTCATCCAACCCGACTAAACCACCCACAGACAGAACAACAATGGATATAAAGTATTTTGATGGTAAGAGGGAAGAGAAGAGTAACGCGGGATCCATACACTAGGTACGATGCTCTCCGACGGTGTAAGGATGAAAAGCAGTAGTTCATGCCTTGGGAGTCTGCTTCTGCTTTCCTCGGAGCTTGGGGTTGCTCGTAGCAGCGCGCTTCGTCTGCTTCGAGCGTGAGGAGCCGGTGTCACCGCCCTCAATGAACTTCAGCAGCTCGTCGACGCTGCGCGAGTCCCAGCTGGTCCCGGCGGCATCGGCGGTGCCGGCAGTCTCGGGCGCGGTCTGGCCGACCTGAGGCTGGACACGGGTGCCCATGGAAGAGACGCGGGGGTTCATGTTGATACGGCGCAGGCGGCGAGCCTGGATGTCCTTGGCGTGTTTGGCGATGGAGACGGCGTTCTGCGTAAGCTGCTCAAGCCAGGTTTCGGCCTCCTTGGTATTGCGATCGTTGGGGCCTAGCTGGGCAAGGAAGATGTTGTACGCGTCGCGCATCTTGCCGACGGCCGCCTTGGAGTCCTGATCTAGGGCCAGAGCTTGTGCCAACTGGAAGAGGATAGTGGCGGTGTTGATGGACTGCTTGCCAAAGAGGTCTTCGCAGACAGACAGCGATGCCTCGAACCACTTGCGGGAATCGGAGTACTGCTTGAGATGTTGCAGCATCACGGCCGCGTTGTTCATGGTCGTGATGGAGTCAGGGTGGCTGGCACCGTAGATGATCTTCCACAGATCCATGGCGTGCTTGATGTACACCAGGGCAGTCTGGGTGTTACCCGAAGCATGCTCGAACAGACTCAGGTTCAGGTAGGCGAGAATGGTATCGGCCGAGTCCACACCCAGTGTGCGCTCGGTGACAATGACCGCCTTGCGAGCCAGCTCCACGGCTGCCTCCTTCTCGTCGGTCTGGTAGTAAAGCATGGAGAGCTGGTGGTACAGCTTGGCAACCTCTGGGTGGAGGATACCATAGATCTGCTCGTGCAGCGACAGAGATTCCAGAATGAGCTCCTGGCCCAGCTGCTTCTGGTTTTGCATGAGCGAGATCCGACCTGCTTCCAGTGCCTCCTCCGCCAAAGCACTCCGGGGAGAAGCGTCCTTGACCAGGGGCACGACGTTGAGAATGTCGTCAGAGGTGAAGGTCACTGTAGGCTTGTTATCCACGGCAGCACGGTTCGGAGAGCTAGTGTCGCCACCCTTCTTTTTCTTCTTCTTGCTGTCGTCAGTGCCGTTTCCGTTGGCGTTATTGACGGTAGGAGCCTGTTCCTTCACCTGAGCCTTGGTGAAAGCAAAGTCACGGGCACCCAGCTGGATACCAAGCTTGAGGGAAATATCACGCAGGAGCTGGAGGTGTCGGAGCGAATTGGCCCATCCGTTCTCCAGGGAGAAGCGGTACCGGATGGTGACCTGCTTCTCGATCTCAGCGCGGAGCGACTCCGGGGTGACCTTCTCGAAAGAGAAATCAGCCTCGGGGAAGATCTTCTTCAAGGAGTTGTCAATTTCCGGGCGAGGGGCAGCGTTAACATCGGTGCCCAGCAGACAGTTCAGCAGGTGGGCAAGGCAGGGCGCCACAAACGTGTCGGGAAGATTGCGGAGATACTTGTTGGCAACGTGCTTGAAGGCACGAGCAACCATCTCCTGAACCAGCAGAGTCGACAAGGCCTGCAGACGAGGGCCCTTCTCAGCAGACATCTGAGCCAGCTTGCCGAGGTAGCGGACGTTGATACCACGCTTGTGCAGCAGCTGAGTCAAGGACTGGCCGTCCATGGGGAAGCCCACATCGCCGTCGTGAAGGTCTTGGACCAGATCAGGGATGACCTTGGACCGCAGGTGATCACAGGCCTCTCGCACGTCCTTCTCGTCCTGGGCCCACTGCTCTTTTTCATCCGGAGTCTGGGGGACCTGGCCACTGTAAACGTCGGGGTTGAGGGCGAGGTTGAACCCAGAGATATCGACTTTCTCCTGCTCCGCAGCCTCCTCGTTCTTCTTCTCTTCCGAGTCCTCCTCAGGCTTGCCCTCTTTCTCCTGGGCCTTCTCACTCCGGCGGCGTTCAACCTCGGCCTTGACGTACTGGCTCATCTTGTGTCTCCAGTACGCCTCAACCAGTTCCAATCGCAGAACAGACATGCGGTGAGGATAGGCCTCGCTGCCATCCTCTTCCTGCCACACGGCATCCAAGGGCGCCACGCGGTACAGGTCAAGGACGTACTTCCGTCCATCGGTACCCAGGAGACCCTTGGTCTCGACACTACCTTCCAGATCGTGACGCTCGTTATCCTTATCCCAGACCGGGTGACTCTTGATACGGAGCGCCTTCGACAACTTCTCAAAGACCGGCACAAAGTCGGCGTGGGTGGCAACAACGTCCTTGCCCTCAACACCGCCGTAATCGATCTGGTGCTCGCCAGGCTCGCGCTGCTTGAAGATACCAGGGACAATGCTCTGGCCAACAATGCGCTTGCCTAGATAATCAACCACCACGGTACCGGGCGTGAACAGCCCTTCGATATCGAGCTGGTTCACTGCCTTGATACCCAGGACGTCCTTTCCAACGGCCACACGCGCGGCCTCGTCGCCGCCCTCGGAGGTGAAAGTGCCAACACCGTCAGCACCGAAAGAATAGAAGATGTTGTTGTACACAAAGATCTGGGCGTCGCGTGCCTCGGTCGGGTTCAGAGGCGCAACCTCGCCCCGCGCGACCAGCACGGCACCGCGGGCGGCAGCCTCATTATAATCAGCAAAGAGCTTGGAGGTCAAACGTTCCCGGAACACGCGGTCGTGAACGGTGTCGCGGGGCAGCTCGCGGGTCGTCTGGAATTCCTCGTTCCAGTCTCGCAGCGTCTCAGCGTTATCAACGCCAGAGACCAGATAGCTCTCCTGTGACCGGGTGATATCAGGCTGGTGCGCGTTCAGGCTCGAAGAGGTTGGTGAGACGAGCCATGGGCTGTTAGGAATGGCATTCTGGAAGGGGAAAGTCGTCAGGAGATCCTTCTGATTGTTGTACTCCTGCAGAGCTTCAAAGGCAGAGCTAAACGAGGGCGAGAGTTGAGAGATCAAAGTGAGGAGCGAGTGCGCACTGCCCTCCTTCTTGGGCATAGCCCGCGGGAATGGGTCGAATTTGTGGTTCGAGCACTTGTTCACAAAGAAGCCCGACACATGGGATGTGATCTGGAACTGCTCCCCTTCGTTGGTGGTGACCTGGAAATAGAGCAGGTGGCCCTTCTGACGCAGATGGTACGGAGGCGGATTCCACGGCGAGAGCGAGATTGACTTCACCGTTTTAGGCAGGGGATCCTGCGGCTTTGGAAGAATGGTCTGCAGGGATGAGGCGCCCGTCAGGTCGTAGTTGGAGAGCGTGTGGTCCTTCTCCGATGCACCGGCAGTAGCCGCCTCCGCCGAGATGGCATCGTGCAGCGACAGACCCGCTGAAATACCGTGGAGGTTGTCCACACGGTCCCCAGCGGCACCGAGCAGTTCCCTCGTGCGAACGACGTGCATCCGGGCCTCCTTCTCGGTATAGGGATCCTCCACCAGCACGATCTCTGAGTCGGCCTTTAGATCCGGCACTTCGGACAACTCGACGAAGTCATTGATGCGGTTGCCGTTGAATTCCAGATGGAAGCATGTGTATTGGAAGGTGCCGGGCAGCTCGACGATCGATTGGCGGACATCCTGGACTTGCTCTTGGCTCGCCACCTGTGAAGTCACAAAAGCACATACGGTCAGCTCCTTCCTGGGAATGTAGACGGATCAAACTCACCATGACCTGGATCTTGTGTGGCTCATGAGGAAGCTTCACGGAGATCTGGAAGAGACCTTGGCACCAGTTAACCCACTGTCCATTATCACGCGCTCGTGCTTCTCCGGTCTCAACATACCACCTGCATTGGGATCCTCCTCCACTGCGTTTCCGTTCACTAGTTCTTGCGAAGATTCGGGAGCCTCTGGTTCGGGTCAGCTTCAGCGGGTTCTTCGTCTCGGGAAAAAGGAAAAAAAGGTACGGCGCTCGTGTGACACAACGGACAGGGCGGACGAACCTTTCGAGAGCTCCTTTTCCCCATTGATCTGCGCCATTCTGTCCGGAACGAAGAAATCACAGCTCCGACAAGGTCAATACGCGAAAACGGCGTGTTCTGTCGCGACGGTTGCGCGGGAAGGGAATCGATAAAAAAAAAAGTGAAGACCCGCCGGGAAGTTGACCGGGAGAAAGCAAAGTGGCTATGGTACAAGGAAGGACAGGGGCAATTGAAGACCAAAAGGACAGCAACCCCGTACCCCAAGAAAAGAAAAAGAAAAAGATCAAGGGCGTCAACGAGGTAGAAGCGGGCAAGGAAAATTTGCTCCGAGCGGGATTGGAAGTTGCGGCATTATTCGGAAGAGGCGGTAAAAGATGGAGGTGGTCTCCACAGGGCGTTTCCCGGGTGAAGAATGATCTAATGTAGGGGAGTATGATTCAAATGGTTCGTTCGTTTAGTTAGTTAGTATTGGAAATTAATCATTCCCCTGACATAGATACTGGAGGGGTACTCGGGACTAACTCGGTCGAGAGAGATATATATATCTGGTCGTGGCAGGGATCCCGAGTAGAAGCACCACGATACCTCTCTCAACGGCACTGCAGATGACGTCAAAAATCTCCCCCGAGAAAAGGAAACCTCACAGAGGATCAGGGAATGATCCCCCGGGCTACTAGAATCTCTAATAGGAACTACCGACCAGTCAAGTCCCTCCGACTGAGTAACTCCCGGGTCACCACCCAATCGATGCCAAGCCCTCCCTCGGGCTGGCCCACTCACTCCCATTGACCACATCTCTTTGCTTCTCATACTCTTTCCCGTCTCTCTTTTGTGCTTTTCTCATTCTGTCTTTCTTTTCTTCCGTGTATTCTTCTGAATCGGCCTCCCTGGCCATACGCTCCTTAACTACCATATCACCCCCCTGGCGCGGGTGAGATTTCTTAGAACAGGGGCTTTGTTGGTCTCCTGAGACATTCATTGCTGACCACATCGGCCGGATCTGCACATCCGTCAAAGGAGATCGCATTCCCTTTAAAATCTGTGACTAATTCACCATGCTATGGAGCCGGAGGCTGGCTCAACCGCTGATGGCCCGCGCCCGGCAGGGTCTACTCGCGCCTCGTGGGTATAACGACCGGACGGTGCTGTGCGTGTGCAAACGGTTCGATTCCTCTCTTCCTCAAAATAATACCGGCCAGTACGGACCAAGCCCAGACCCGACGGATCGGGGTGATGATGAGGGTGGCCGGGGGCGGAGCGGTGATTCCGACCCCAATCTGAAATCCACGATCCTAAAAATGCTCGAGACTGCCGCTACCACGGCGGCGTCGATTGCCATTCTTGGGTAAGTGTTCCCCGACCATAGTAGAATCGATCGGGCTGACCCATTCGCCCTCAAGTGCGGCGGGTTATTCATACCACAAGTACTACAAGTACTTGGTTCTGGACAAGATGGACAATGCCTTTAGCCCCGGCGATCCCGCCCTCGAGGTCGCAGGCGTTGTATCTGGGAAGCACAAGTACCACGACGAAGAGCACTGGGTTCCGCGGGACGAGCAGGCCAAGATCGATGATATCGTCGCTGGTAAATCTGGCGGCCACTACTACCTAATCATCGGCGAGAAGGGCACGGGTAAGACCTCCATGCTCCTGGAAGGGATGCGCAAAATCAATGGTGAGGGCGTTGCCATGTTCGAAGCGCATGCGGATCTGGAGATCTTCCGTATCCGACTGGGGAAGGCGCTGGACTATGAATTTCATGAAGAGTACGTTTGCCGCCCATTGTGGCATTTGATGTCTTGGTGCTGACGAAGAGAACCAGTTATGTTGGGAGCTTGTTTAGCATTCGGGGACCGCGGGATACCACTGCCTTGCTGGACATTGAACGGGCCTTTAACAAGATGGAGAAGGTGGCCCTGATGAGAAGACGCAAGGGCTCGCCACCGATGGTGCTCATTATCAACAGCACCCACCTGGTTCGTGACGACCATGATGGACAGGATCTCCTCGAGATGATCCAGCAGCGGGCCGAGCAATGGGCTGCCAGTGGTCTAGTGACGACCAGTAAGTCTACCCGAAGGGTTGGTCTGGCATTGACTGATAATGTGACAACCAGTCCTGAATAGTGACGACTACTGGGTCTATGAGCGCCTGAAGAGGTACGCAACACGGATGGAACTCATCCCGGTGACGGACTTGCCCAAGGACAAGGCAATGGCGGCGCTACAAAACTACCGCAGACAATTCTTCCGCGAGAATCTCCCGTCGACACTGCTCGAGGACGTCTACAATAAAGTGGGCGGCCGACTTTCCTTCCTCAACCGCGTCGCCAAGTCCAGCGACATGTTGAAGACCTGCGAAGAAATCTACCGATCCGAGAGGACCTGGTTCCTCAACCAGTGCTGGATCCTTGGAATGGAGATGGACGACGACGTGATGGATCAGCAGAAGTACGCTGTAAGTAGCACCCGCCGCTTCCAGTGCCACAGCCAATTGACCCAACCCCCGTGCAGTCTGCGGCCATGGTGCTAGCAAAAGCACTAGTTGATCGCGCCAAGGAGATGGAGAAGACCTACGATCCCGTCACAGGCCACGTTCTGCCCGAGATCCCACTGCACGAAGCACGCGAGATCATGACCCGCGCGGACTTCATCCAGTCCTACGATCATGAAAATATATTCACCATTGACTCGCGAGCCATGGTGCGCGCCGACTCGGTGCCCATGCAGCTTGCCTTCCAGGACATTTGCACGAGACCTGGATTTGACAAGCACTTGGAGGGAACCCTGACACGCATTGGCGACATTGAGAGTTTGGGTCGCACGCGCGAGCTGACCATCAAAGACCTATGGGATCAGGGTAAGTACCGGATTGTTGTGCGGGACACCAAGGGACGAGAGAGCGGGACAGTGGAGTTTGCAGTCGCCGAGCGCGAGGAGGAAGAAAAGGACGAGTGATGGATGCGTCGATAACCGATAAGGATAAGCGATAATGGATGACGTAACATTATACATTCCTCCCTCTCTCTTTCCTCTTTCTTTCTTCTCTTTCCTCCTTCACCCTCCGCCTTTCTCTCTTCTCTCTTCTCAAACTACTTGATCTGCCACTTCACTCAGACCTTTCTTGGACGTCTATCGTTTCCAATCACCAATCATGTCTCCTCGGAAGAAGGCAGTTTCCTTGGAAGATGACCAGACGCGTCCTGCACGCGACCAGCCAGGGAAAGTCATTGCACTGCTACTGCGAGTGATCGCCATGCCCGCAGCTTCTCGGTTTGGGATCTGTGTTTTGAGCAGTCTCATTCTCAGCTCCATCCTTTACAAACTCACCGCATCCATCACGGTGGACGACTTCGCTCATGTCAGTAAGAACGTGGAGGAACCGCGGGAGATCCTGGGCTTGATCGCCTGGCGAACTGTGGAGATTGGCCTGGTGTGGATTATGATGATTGACCGTGAGTTTCCTCGCTTTCGATCTGTCGGACTAGAGAATAACCCGTCTTCGGTACAGCCCATGATATCTGGACGTACTTCTTCGTCACACACATGCCGACCTACTACATCCTGGTTCTCTTCTACCGCGTGCGGCTTTCCTCGGCGGCGTTGTCGTTTGCCATTTTGCTCTGCTCGATTTCATTCCCTCTGATCCCTACGCTCTGTCTGCCTACTATTGTGAAAAACCGGCGAGGTACCCTCGAGCCTCCGTCCACCGTCGCTAATCGAGGGATTTTGCGGGACTGGCTCACTCACTTTTACACTACGATCGCCGCCACGTCTGTTTTCTGTGTCGTTCATCATCTCAACAGTGTGACCTGGATGGGCCCTTTCATGTTCGCACATTTCGAGAGTCTTCGCACCATCGGGGCCGCTCAGCCTGAGCATACGGGTGGCTCCAGTGATCACCTTATCTTCTTCTTAGCTATGCTCCCTGTTGGCTATTCTTTGTGCGAATTCCTGTTCTACAAGTCCATCTATTCCCCTGCCGACGACTTTGAGAAACCCGCAAACCGCGAAGGGGAATACTTGATAGTCAGTCTTCGCCGCAAAACTTGGGGAAAGCTACCGGCCAAGACGAGGGCACTTGTGTCACGGACTCTGATCCTCACTACTGGGATGCTTCTCAATACCATCGTGCAGATACTCGGCACATTTGACCGTGTTGATTTCGCGGGTTCGTTCGCATGGGGTGGAGTCTGGGCAATGGGGACCTTGGTTGTTGGCGCGATGTTCGCCTGGATTGGTGCAGTCGAGGGGGTGTAATGCTATCCTTCAGAACGATGTCATAAGAGAAAGCAAGGCGTTCGGACTGGCGTTGTTACTGTATTTTTTGAGCTTCGGTTGATACCACGATGAATTTCATCCAGTTTATTCCCACAAGTCTAGGGCCGTAATCACCACGTACCCAACAAACACAAAAACGCTAGCATATCCATGAACACATCATATCAGATATGGAAAAAAAAACAAAACCAAAAAAGAGATCTATGCACAACTCATATCTATGCCCGGTCCGAGACGTACATCTCCACTCCATCACTAGAAACCTCGCTCTTAATCGTAGACGCCGTCCCCGAGTCGGGGAGCAACCAACCAGGGTGCAAGACATTGAAAATCCCAACAGCAACAACCATCATGGCGCCGTCCAGGGCAACAAAGTACTTCTCATGAGTAATCAGGTACCCGGACCAGCCCTGCAGCAGCTCGATCGTACGATAGATACTCCGAGCATAGATGCAGAGCAGAGAAATGACCGTGGCAGCCAGCAACGGTACAACCGACCGCGTCAACGACTGCAGCATATGGTGGCGGATCGTGCGGCGCACAAAGTCCGCGGCGAAGAACACGAAGACCGTGATGGAGACCAGTTGAAAAATAATGCCCGCAACCATGATGTGCGTGCCGGTCGCGGTGCTACCGTTGCCACCGACGGCTGAGGAGGCCATGCCGCCGCCGATGGCTTGGACAACTAGCGAGATCACGTCGCAGGTCACAAAGATCCAGAGGTACCATTTTGGGCTGAGCACCGAGGAGTCCCGGCCGAGGAGCTGGATGAAGCGGCCCAGGAGGATGTAGATGCCTGCTGTGAAGAAGACCGGGGCTGGGGTGTGTTTTTAGAAACGGAGACCTTTGTGGAAAAAGGGAAGAAGGTCTCTTACCGATAATGAGGGTGGAAATCTGCATCAGGAAGGCAGTGCCGTTATAGGGACAAGACGATGACCATGTCCGGCCGCCCCATCCGATCAATTCCGCTGTTGGTTGGCATGATTAGCTTCGTAGATCGACAATTGGGTACTGCTTAGGCAGTTCATACTGATGCATCCGACAGCAAACACTGAACACCACCATGTGCGCTTCCAGCAGAATTGAACTGTATGGAGGATCAATGACACCCCGAAGAGCACGAGGAATGCGATTCCCGCTCCTTGTGAGGGGACGTAGCCATATTCATTGTTGTAGCCGGGGATTAGAGCATGGCAGCCCAATGTGATGTCGTGTTTGTTAACCATGATGAAGCTGTAGTATAGGCGAGGGGTTGGTTGGATTGGCGTAAAAAAGAGAATGGAAATAAAAGAAAGGCCGGTCGACAGTTGGTTTAGATATAGGTTGATTAACCTGTAAGCAAGAAAGAAAGGCTGAGTGGTCTGTGGGTGCAGTCGAGATGATAAAGAAAATAAGCTGATATGTATACTTCGTCGCGATCGGAGATGGTTGTTTGGGGGGAGGGGGGCCTCGTTTGCTGCGCCTCAAGCAAGCCTTGCAACGCCGCCTTAGCTTTTTTTAGGATATAGAGAAGCTAGGCTTCAGAATTTGGGGGAAAAAAGGAGGAAATAGATCTTGGTTCTAGGCAGAACTTTTTGCCAGTCCCCAATAATAAGTAGGCTGAGCAGCGTGGTAAAGTAAGACGATGTGCGAGAGCTTGCATTTTGAAACCATCAGCATAAGCCATCGGAGGAATCAAGACCGACTGGTCCATCGGATCGGACTTAGCAACGGGCCGAAAAACAGAGGAGAGGGAAAAATGGCGGTGGAGCACTTGGCCATCAATGCAATTGTATTGGATGACCAACCGAAAAGGCTGGACCTGATAGTTATCGATTCGGCCCGGAAGTCTCTGGCTGACAGGTCGCAAGCCACGCCACTTACGGTTTAGCGCGAGCGCGATGAACCATAAGATGCCCTTGCGAGGCATCTGACTGGTTCCCGATTCAACCTCACACAGTGCCTATTCTGAGCCATTTAGCCAAATTCTAATGTACTTTCTAGATTGCCTCAACTCCTCCCAAGTCGGAAATTAAGGCGAAACGCTATTTCAACTATTTTACAATTCACCGCTTAGAATCGGAATTAACGAGCGTTCTACGTAAACTTGGACATGTCGTACATGTCATCCGGATCTAACCAAATCAGTCAGCACCATACGACTAAACACGTTGACAGAACTGCTTACCCTTGTGGTTCGCGATGATATATTTCCTCGTCTCAACGATATTATGCCCCAACTCGGTATGCAGCTCCTGCTGGCGAATGCGCACTTTCTCATTGCGCTTAGCAGCTCCATCCAAAGCCGCCTGAGCAACATGGAAGCGCGAGGTGCGGTTAACGAGCATCATGTCGAATGGGGTAGTGGTGCTGCCCTCCTCCATATAGCCAGCAATAGAGACCCGGTCGAGTCGCGGGCGACCAAAGAGCAAGCCCTGCAGCTCGGTCGGGTAGCCATGGTAGTTGAAGTGGATGGGTCTATCGACCGTGAAGAGGTTGTCAAAGGCGGACACTGAGAGCGCGTGCGGGTGCGAGCCCTCGTTCTCGAGGATCATCAAGTCCGTGACATTGATCACACGCACGCGCAGCTCCGGCGCCCGCTTTCGCAGAATCGCGGCGGCTTCAATCACCTCGAACATCACCTCAACGCCAATTCCCACCAATACCACGTCCGGGTCCAATCCTTCGTCGGTGGAGCAGAACTTCCAGATCGATGCTCCAGCCCGGCAGTGGTTCTCTGCTTCGTCGGCTGACAGGTAGGCCGGAGTTGGCTGCTTCGAGCCTACCATCAGATTGATGTAGTTCTTCGACTTCAGGCAGTGGTGCAGTGTTGTCAGGAACGTATTCGCATCTGGTGGCAGGTAGACGCGTGCGGCCGAGGGTTTGAGCTTCAGCACTGAACCGATAAAGGACGGGTTCTGATGAGAGAACCCGTTATGCTCCTGGCGAGTCCAGGTGCTGGTCTCGATGTAGTTGATGCTGCTGACATCCGAGTGCCAGTTCGTTTCTTGCGCCTATAAGGCATCATACCGTGTGAGCATCCGCGAAATTGGCAGACTGGAATTTACTTACCATCTTGATGAACTTGGAATACTGCACCATCATGGTGTGGATAATCCCCAGGAAGCTCTCGTACGACGGGAATATGCCCACACGGCCAGTAAGAGTATACCCTTGCAGGAACCCCTGGCACATATGCTCGCTGAGGACTTCAATGACACGGCCACCACGCGCGTTGGAAAACTCATCCCACTGGAAGTTGCGGTTGGTGTTTTCAAACACGGTGTCCAGCTTGTTGCTCTCCAGCTCATCAGGAGAGAACAGTCGCACGCTGTGCGGGTTCTCTACGAAGACCCTGTCGATCAGTTTTCCAGCCACCTTCATCGCGCTTTGGGCGGTGCCCTTTTGCACAGCAAATTTCTTCCAGTCTGGAAGCTTAGGCGCAATATATTTCTTGTGGCCATCGGTGCGCTGACCAAGTTTCTTGTCGTCGTCTATAGGGATCACCGATTTGATTTCGTCGATGATGTCGCCTTTCTCTGTGAACAGCTCCCCTGGCCTGTATTCGGCCAACCACTTGTTTAACAAGTCTAGCTCCTCCTTATCGGTCTTGGCATTGGGCAGGGGGACCTGGTGGGAGTGAAAAGAACCCTCGATGAACTTTCCATGGAGCTGCTTGGGTCCAGACCACCCCTATTCAAAGTAGACCAGTCAACCCCTGTCCTATAATAACACTTCTGGAGGCGTGACATACCTTCGGAGTCCGCAAGATGAGCATCGGCCATCTCGGCTTAAGAATAGGCTTCCCAGAACGTGCTGCCTTTTGGATCTTGCGGATCTCCTCCACAGCCCAGACCATTGAACAGTGAAGGTCAGTGTCGATGTCATTGAGATTCTCCACAAAGCGAACTTGATAGCCATATCCACTGAAGAGGGCTAACAATTCTTTATGATCCATGCAACCAAAGATCGTGCGCTCGCTGATCTTAAAGCCATTCAAATGCAGAATCGGCAGGACAGCACCAGATTCTTTGGGATCAAGGTACTTAATGCCATGCCAGGACCTGGGAACTAGTCAGTAATGGTCTCTTTACGAAAAAAAGGGTATTACCCACGTGGCAGTCGGTCCAGTTTCGGCTTCGCCGTCACCAACTACACAGGGGACAATTAGGTCAGGGTTATCCATTGCGGCGCCAAAAGACACTGCTAGGGCATAGCCCAGCTCTCCACCTTCGTGGATGGCGCCCGGTGTTTCGGCATTGATATGACTAGGTGGATAGTCAAATTGAGAGTCAGTAGAATATTACAGGTAAACATACCTTGGAAGTCCAGCAGTGGTGCTGAAAGTTGAAATCAGCCGGTGAAGACCCTCGCCGTCACGCGAATAATGAGGGTAGAATTTCCCCAGCGAGCCCTCGAGCCAGAGTGCAGCCAGGATGGCCGGCGCGCCGTGGCCTGGACCGACGACAAATAGCATGTCGAGATCCATGGTTTTGATGAGGTAGTTCAAATGAGAATAAACCAAGATCAGACCGGGGCACGTTCCCCAGTGTCCTACGCAAGTGGGACATATGAGCAGACAGCTTAAAGCAAGGCCACAACGACAGGAAGAACTCACCGAGCAATCTAGGTTTGACATCATCAAAAGTAACATCTCTTTTCAGAAGCGTATTGTCTTGCAAGAAAATCATTGCTAGAAATCATGCGGATTAGTTGAGCACAAGATCCCACGGAAGGTAGTCTTACCTGCGGCAATGTAGGAAGCCGCCCTCCGGAACTTAAACAGACCATCGCAGGCTGGCTGGTTCAAGGTCTCATGAGGAAGCCCAATTGCCAGGTTCTCCAAACCATCCGGCAGATGCGACGGTAGTGGCTGTGGATTTGGTCGGTCAATAACTTCGCCAGGCATGATGGATTAAGGATGGGGGATGGTAGAGCTTGATACGGGGTGGTCAATTGATCTAATTGTTAAACAAGCAGGAGAAAACAGACACAGGTTTTAAGCAAACCGTATGATATTGTCGATTATGAAATCAATCGCTCATAGCCTGCAAGAACGCAATATCCTGACAGTTGCTTGTTGTCTACGTCATCAATCGGGGTGACATCACTGTCATCAACAAAGTACAACACGGGGGAAAAAGGAGTTCAAACGCGATCAGTTACATCAATTTCTTTCGAATTTCAAAACCATGGGCAGGTCCATTCTCGCTGTGAATGCGGGCTCGTCCTCGGTCAAGATCACCTTCTACACATTTGAGAAGCCGCCGAAAGCAATCGTAGATGCGCAAGTATCCGGGATCACAGCACCACCGTCCACGCTCAAATACCAGCGCGGAGCTGTCAAACACAAGGAACAACTCAAAGAGCACCTGAGCACTCCGCAGGATGCATTCAAGTTCCTCCTGTCGCGCTGCTTCAGCGATCCCGAACTATCCGAGGTAGCCTGCGACGACGACCTGGCGTATATCTGCCATCGCGTCGTACATGGCGGCGACTATCGCGAGGCAGTGGTCATTAATGACGATACATACCACCACCTGAAGGAATTAGAGGACCTGGCACCGCTGTATGTTGCTTGGTGGTGGAAATATATATTTCAGATCACTGATATTCCGCATTTGCCAGGCACAACTTTTCAGCACTGGAAATCATCCGTCTTTGCAGACAGGAACTGCCCAAAGTTCAAAGCATCACATTCTTTGACTCGGCTTTTCACCAGACTTTACCAGACTACGTCCGCACATACGCCATCAACAAGGAGGTCGCCAAGGCGAACGGATTGCGCAAGTATGGCTTCCACGGAATCAGCTACTCGTTCATCCTTCGCTCTGTGGCTCAGTTCCTGGGCAAACCGATGGAAAAGACAAACCTCATTGTCATGCATATCGGGAGCGGTGCTTCAATATGTGCCATCAAGGAAGGCAAATCCATTGATACCTCGTAGGTTCTTGGCAGGCTGGAGTCTTGCAACTTGCTAAATTTGCTCAGGATGGGTCTCACTCCCTTGGCTGGACTGCCCGGCGCCACGCGGAGCGGTGATATCGATCCTTCGTAAGTGTTCCCATCAGCTTTGCTGGACACTCTGTGTGTTAACCCGGCTCGGGGCTTTAGTTTGGTTTTTCACTATACCAACGAGGCTGGCAAGCTGAGCCCTGCTAGTACCAAGGAAATGCACATTAGCACTGTCAGTCACTCTTCGCCTCCATCCAAGTCACGGCTGACTCTGACATGATTTCACAGGCGGAGGAGATCCTCAACAAGAAATCCGGCTGGAAAGCGCTCACCGGTACGACGGACTTTGCTGAAATCGCGGTTGAGAACCCGCCATCTGCAGCGCACAAGTTGGCATTTGATCTCCTAGTCGACCGAATCCTCGGCTATATTGGCAACTACCACGTCAAGCTGGGCGGTCAAGTTGATGCGGTTGTCTTCGCGGGCGGGATTGGAGAGAAGAGTGCACTCCTGCGCCGGACATTGGCAGACAAGTGCCGGTGCCTGGGTGTAGCTATTGACTCAACTGCCAATGACCAAGGCCCGGAAGATGACCAGACAGTGAAGGATATCTCATCCGACGGCGGCGCCAGCAAGGGACCCCAGGTGCTGATTTGCCAGACCAATGAACAGGCGAGTTTTTTTTCCCTTATTGGAGACATCTGACTCAATCTATCCATTCTTTGGCTGACTATATTCCAAATAGTTCGAGATGGCATACCACTGTGTTTGCTCGCGATCGTAGACTGCGGAATGGAGGAGTCGAATTTAAGGCGAAAGGATCAGGAACAGGATTTTACATCAATATGAGGTGACATGTTTGCAGTTGACACCCGTCACCGGGTGATAGATATAGACCGTCGGACGCGTAACGACGCCCAATTTAGCTATATTGCCAGGAACGCGACAAAGACAGGCTAGTCCCTGCATATTACACGGTAGTGCAGACTGTGCATCCATCTATCTACCGAGGATCGGCGTACTTGTGTCAGTGAGGTATGATCTGATACATCGAATTGGAGCCGCCGCCCCAGGAACCATTTGCGCTCCTCGCGGAACTAGAGTAGCTTCCCCCACGGACGGGACTGCATGTTCGAGCCGATCGACCGGGCAGCTGCGAGATCGCAGAACCATGGTTGAGGGTGGTGGCGGCAGGGCGATCTGCAGTTGGCATGGAGAAGGTATGTAGCGCCCTGTCGAGGGTCACATATGTATGCAGCAGATCGATCGATCGAAATAGTCATGGTCACATTCCTTAAAAAGTGACGGGGATCGACAATGCATCCTCCCAGCGGGCACACTGTAGGGCTTTCGGGCAGACAATGTGTCATTGTATGTCGAGTACATAGTACGGAGTAGTCCGAGCTAATCCGCTTCCCCGATCTAAGGGGGGTCGGTGTTTTCAGACTCTGGCTTTGTGCCGTGTGGCTTGCCACTCCACCCGGCTGCATTATTAGTGGCGGGAAACAGTAGCCGCGTCTTGTTCGACTGGCCGCGGATGCTTTTTGAGGATCCCGATGAGCCCCCCGGACCCGGACCCGCGCCTGTGGATAGCTTGTATACATTGTACATACAGACACAGTACCGAAACAATTAAATTAGGGGCTGGCGATCGCAGCACCCGATGCGATGGGTGTGGTGGAGTTTGTCGATCGTCATCTGCGGCTTTACTCCTGGCAGCTGCGAGCTAAACGAAGTCGTGGAAAGCTTTCCGGCTGGTCCTCGGCTGCATCTCTGCGGAGTGCGGCGTTGCTGGTGATGGAGTACACGGGTCTGGCCGTGGAAACATACTTCAACACAGCCTCGACGACATCGTGGATCATTTGTGTACTGTTTTTTGGCCTTCTAGACTGCGGAGTACGGCGGCATACGCCAGACCCACTCTTTACACAGAGACTATTGTTTGAGAAAGGCATTTCCAGAACTTCTCTGTCTCTGGAGGCTGGGAGTCATGCACTAAGCTCGGCTTCACTTCCGCGACGCCCTAGGGCAGCATCCATAGCCGTGGTGGTGTGGACATGCCGGTCTAGATCAACGAGAAAGGGCCAAGACAACGGAGAGATCGAACTGTGGCGGTCCAACAAAAGACACAAGCCAGAAAAGCCTTGATTCAGGGAGCAACCAGTAATCGACAAGCTTGCAAGCCGTCCGCACGGCTTATAATCATCTGAGATATGGCTGTTGGACGACCACTAAGCGCCGCCTCCAGCACACTGTCGCAGGAGGGAAGACGGAAGGCAGTTCATGCAGTGTTGATTTGACTGTAGGTTGACCCATGTTTCAAGGCCGCGCGCGGGAGAACTAATGCATCGAGCCGAAGCTTGGAGACCCATTCCACTCGAAACGGTGGCTGATTACGTTGGGAATTGCCCTTGGGCCATTGGGTTCGCACCGTCGCAGGAATGCACTAATACGCCATGAACCATAACCCTGGGTTCGCGAGGACCGCAGATGGTAAGAACCGTTATGCATGGAAGAGAATCCTGCTCCGTCATCTTGTTGTTAGTTCATTAGTGTATACATATGAAATCATGAATTCCCAGCACGGCGGCACAGGACGGGCAACTCACGACGGCGAAAAGACGGAGGACCGACAGAGTATTAGCATTACGGGGCCACAACGGGTTGTCGCAGTGTTCTCCCGTTTCTAGCGTCGTTCTAGCTGTAATAGAAATGGAGGCCTGGATTGGAAGGCCGTGAGGCAGGATGGGTCCGCTTGACAAGAAAGGGGAAGCTGGTTACTAAACCTCAATTAATGTACAGTAGTGATGATCACGGATTTTAACCACAAAGAAAGGACAGATAGTAGGGACTGTGTAGGTATGTAACTATCGCCGGGCCGGGATAAGAAATTGGTCCCTTATTGGGGGTTCGCTTGTCCGGCAAACCGCCCCTGACGGTTGAGCCTTGTCGGAGGGTGACGTCGTAACTAAATAATCATTTGTTTGTCCAATTTAGGAGTAAACACGGCTGAAACACGGTTAGGGGCCCCGTGTCAAGGTCGCTTCCTCCCCTTTGGCAGATGGGGTCTCTGGGAGTGTACCGAAGCCACCAGCGGCTCCATTGTGGCGAGCTCATGGAAAACGCTGACGCAAAAGCTTTAGAGGTGGAGTCCAGGAGGATCGTGACTCTATTCTGCAGGTCGCAAAGAAGGAGTCCAGAATGTTCACAGAATACGGTATTCATCCGATACCACCATTACTGCGAGTGGACCCAAAGCCGGGCGCGCTAGAAAGACTAGAAGGACAGTCCCGGTCCCCCACAGCCTCCGATCTCTCCAGCAGAAAGGGGAACTACCCATCCCGGCGGCCCACCGTTTGCCATTGATTATTCTGCCCCTAACTAATCTCGATGAAATCGATGTTGGGCGTCACCCAACACGAAACGAGGCGAGACACCTTGGGGCGGCATTCGTCAGTATACGATTGGCTTTGTTCTCCCACCATCGTCACAGCCGGGGCCAAAACCGGGGCTCTCCCAAGACCGAGCCTGAATTTGGGTCTTCTTGATGATTATTGAGCGGAGAACCGAATAAATGTCTGGCTTTGACCAGGATCTATGGGTTGGTTGGCTAGGGGATATGTCTGCCTAGGCATCATATGCCAGCCCCCTTTGCCCCTTGCCCTACCCAGTACAGCCCTGGTATTGGGTACAACTGAGATACATCCGATGGAGCCCGACCACGCGAGAGCCCAGCGATGTCTAATTCGGATCCATCCGCTGTTCCTGGTGGTGTTTGGGGCTCCACTTCCTGGAACAGTGTCCATACTCTCGGATCGAGTGCCTTTTTCCTTTTTAGCCTCTGTGTCTTGACGCTGAAAGTTTCTTTTTTTTTTTTTTTTTTTTTTTTTTTTTCATTTTTTGGGGCTGCTGCGGGTGTACTTTTGGTTCCGCGCACAGGGAATCAAAGGAGGGAAAAAAATACAGATCGGATTGTGATGCATCATGGCCTAGGAAATTTTTTTCGATTGATAGCACGAAGGAGCCCCGATCGCCCTGGCACTACTGCGGCACTAATGAGGATTAGCAGACGTTGAAGCGAGCAAGAAAGGGGTCGGGTCAGAATACAGATCCCCGGGACAGTGGACGGGAGAGCCGCCGGGGCTAAACAAAGACACCCAGTTAAATAACAAAAATAACAATTTGAATAAATGGGAAAATAAATTAATTATTCAATAATTCAAAGGAAAAAATGGCTGATCGTCGGCCATACAACACTCCCATCCCTCTAGTATAACTACGCAATCGGTCCCCCCCCTGGGGACCCTCCCCCTAGGGAGATGATTATTGTCCGCTACATACTCTTTGCTCACTCTCCACATACTTGAACTACTCATCTCCGTCATCCCCTACCGAGTCGCCCTTTATTCTCCCTTCGCCTCCCTTGCGATACGTTCAATCTCCCCGGATCAACCGGGAGCCCAGTTCCGCGCAATCCTCCCTTGCCGAGCACTAGTCCACATATCCCTTGGGCTGGCCGTTACCTGGTTTAGATCGCGATTTCATGGATTGAACAACACTGCTGCCACCCCCGAACGCGTGCGGATACTCTTTCGTCTCTTGCGGCTACAGATCCGATCTATGCCTCTGGTGTTACAATTCAGATAAAACCCAACCGACCTATCATCCGGCCTAAATACTTTTTTTTGGCGCCCGTCACATTCCTGCTACGATCTCCTGGCGCCCGCGCTGCATTGTCTGTTTCCGCGGCCATTCATAAAGGACCGCTTCTTCTGATCTCGACTGCATCTGCATCCATCGCACCCGTCTTGTTCTTCCGTCTAGAACATTGATTTTTCTTTTCTTTTCTTTTTGTTTTTCGGGGGGTGGTTTGGGAAGTGCCGTTTGTTGTACTTCGAGAAGTATAATAACTCACGGGTTTCTGTGTTTACTCGGTGAGTCCCTTTTCTCTCATTCTCAACCCTGCGGCTTTCTTTTCACCTGCTTTATCTCACACCCTTCTTTTCCAAAGCTTCCACAAAACTCCCCTCTAACCATGCTCGTTTGCGCAGAACTCAACATGATTCTCCGGGACCTATCGGCCTCCAATATGGGGCGTGGCGCCTATGACACAACTGGAGTGAAGAAGCCCGGCGCACCTCAACCGCCACCAAAATAAACGACTGGAGCAGAAGACTTGCTCTTCAAACCCCTCGTTGCCGGCAATGGTTTCACTTCCGATTTATCTGGCGCCCATGGTTGCTGGAGTTTTACGAACCTGCGTTTGGACTTGATTCTTCTTCGGTAAGACAGACTGGATCCTCTCTGATACCATCTGTTACTAAACAATGAGTCTAGATACTGTATCACTATTTCTTTTGTCATTTCGGTCGATGTTCATTCTTTTCACCCACCTCTGGGCCTTGCCGCGCGACACCACATATACCCTTTTAATTCCGTTCAACTATACCGCATCTGCTTCGGATATCTTCAGCGTGACTTTTTTCCCTTCAATTATTTCACCCCATCCTTTTTTTTCGGGCCCTCCTCCAATTCTCACGCCTCGCCATCTACCTTCTTCTCCGACACGACTCTACCGAGACCCCACGGCCCGCCCTTCCTCAAAAGTTGGTTTGTTTCTCTTCTGGTGTTCTTTTGTGCTTTTCTCTTCCAAAAGGCGTTTTGGCATAGACGGGACGGGAACTTGTTGCATGGGATTGCATGGGCTGATACCAGAAGAACCTAGAGCTTCGACCTCGCGGTCAATAGCACGTTTTTTGTGTCTCTTTTGGGGTTTGATGTACTTGTATTGTCTTTTTTTCCAGTCATGTCTGTATTATACTCCCGCGCCTTTGAAACTCAGCTGCGGCTGTTTTTATTTTCACCTTTTCCCCTGTCAATCTAGTGTGCATGTAGGCTAGACAAGTAACGGCTGGGCTGCATCTTCGGGCCTGTTGGGCCGATTTGCATGCTGACCACCACTGGCTGGGGGCTTCACAGCGTCGGGCACTGGCTTAGCCGCAATTGTTCCCTCCACGGACTATTTTGCCTACATTGATCATTGTTAGATGCATTCTTGGTACACATCGAATGATTCTACATCCAAGAATCATGTTGTATACTGCCTGTGGAGGCTGTCTGGATCCCGTGATCACTAAGCCTAATCAGGCGGCGAGCGTCATCTGCCTCCCGCTTGGGCAACCGCGACTTCTAGTCTCTCCCTCTCCCCTTGTCTACTGCCGAGAACCCGATTTCTCCAGGACTCCCGCACCTCGTGTTCCAGCGATTGCACGAAGTGAGACAGCACATCCACATCGGATTCGTTGCCAGCCACCCACTGAAACCGCCACCTCACTCTTCAGCCTGACGGCGGTTGATCGCCTTGTGCAGCACTGCTGACCGCATCGTCTCACATCTCCCCTATCCGTCTCAGCCATGTCCGAGGCCGCTAGCGCAAATACCCCGAAGCCGAGCAGCAGCGTCAAGCTCGTGCTGTTGGGCGAAGCTGCAGTGGGCAAGGTATGTTGCGTGCATGGCAGGTTACACACCACACTGGGCAGTCGCTGATCGTCGACAGTCCTCGCTCGTCCTTCGGTTTGTCAATGATGATTTCCAGGAGAATAAGGAGCCGACCATTGGAGGTGAGATTTTTTAATATTCCCCCCACACCCTCCTCCGGACAGTTGCATGTCCAGTCGTCCCACCGGGCCATTGCCGCAGTATGAACATCAGCTTATATTGTCCTCATTCAGCCGCATTCCTCACGCAGAAATGCTCCCTGCCTACGCGCACGATCAAATTCGAGATCTGGGATACGGCAGGCCAGGAGCGGTTCGCCTCGCTGGCCCCCATGTACTACCGCAACGCGCAAGCCGCGCTGGTGGTCTACGACGTGACGAAGCCCTCGTCGCTAACGAAAGCGAAGCACTGGGTGGCTGAGCTGCAGCGCCAAGCGAGCCCGGGGATCGTCATCGCCCTTGTCGGCAACAAGCTGGACTTGACCAACGACGGCGGCGATGCCTCCGAGGCGTCAACCGTACCGGTGGCTGAGTCCGGGTCTACTGGTGCCGATGGAGATGAAGGCGCAGGCGAGGAGGGCGATGAGCAGGACGCCACGCCTGGCGATGCCAGGAAAGTGTCGACACGGGAAGCCAGCTCGTATGCGGAGGAGGAGGGATTGTTGTTCTTCGAGACCAGTGCCAAGACGGGAACGAACGTGGTGGATGTCTTTACGGCTATTGCCAATGCGATCCCCGAGAGCAGTCTGAAGACTGGTCGGGGCGCCGGAGCAGGCACTGGACAAACTCAGTTGAGCGGTCGGTCGGCGGACGACTCGCGCGTCAACCTGGGAGATCGAAATGCGGCGACGGCGAAGGAGGGCTGTGCTTGTTAATATTTTTCTTTTTCTTTTTTTCTTTTCAGAGAGTCATTTGGCATGTTTTTGTCTGTTTCCCGGGATGGCTTATCCCATCCCTGCCGTTGAGCGAGTTGCTAGAATGTTGCGTTGTCCGCAAGCAAATTCACCATTCTCAAGATTATTGTACGATGACTATTAAGTCGGTATAACTACACGGAGCCCCGTATTATTCTGGACCTGGATGCCATGGTGATAGATTGATGGACTTAGGGCATGGTCACATGATCATCCACCTTACTCAGCAGCTATTACCTCAGCCAATCTGCGCGCTAACCATACCTGGGTTAGTGCCCACACTCGCTAATCCATCCCACACAAATTCAAGGAAAGCGAGACTCTCCAATCCTCCAGCCGACCTCAACCACCCAGCACCTCCCCGCAGCAGCACCTCGTCGCTCGCAATCATGGCTGCCATCAACAAGATTGCCGCCAACTCCCCCTCCCGGCAGAACCCCTCCGAGCTGGAGACCGCGGTCGCCGGCGCGCTCTTCGACCTCGAGAGCAACACCCAGGACCTGAAGGCCACCCTTCGACCCCTGCAGTTCGTCTCGGCCCGTGAGGTAAGAATTGAATTGTTTTTAGCATCGGAGATGGGATTCACGAGGTTATGCGTTCGGGGGAATTGCTGGTCCAAGAGATGGGATTCTTTGTTGCGGTTTTGTGTGTGTGCGATGGACAGCCATTATTGCCCTGATGCAAGGCACCACGAACTTAAGTGGATGAGGAATATGTTCAGAGGCCTTTCAGACTGTTATGGTGTCGACCAGCAAGAGGAATTGGCTTTTTTTGCTTGTGGTGTTGTGCGCGCAAATTTTTTTTTCTTTTCAATGAACTGACATATCTTCCGCACATTTAGGTTGAGGTCGGCCACGGCAAGAAGGCCATCATCGTCTTCGTCCCTGTCCCTCTCCTGCAGAACTTCCACAAAATCCAGCAGCGGTATGCTTCTACACTACGTTTTTTCTCTACGTTCAGCAAAGAAACTGACAGCCAAATTCAGCCTGACCCGCGAGCTCGAGAAGAAGTTCTCGGACCGCCACGTCCTCTTCGTCGCTCAGCGCCGCATCCTGCCCCGCCCCAAGCGCTCCGTCAACTCGCGCACCACCCAGACCCAGAAGCGTCCCCGCTCGCGCACCCTGACCGCCGTCCACGAGGCCATCCTCGCTGACCTGGTCTACCCTGTCGAGATCGTCGGCAAGCGCACCCGCACCAAGGAGGACGGCAGCAAGACCCTGAAGGTCATCCTGGACGAGAAGGAGCGTGGTGGCGTCGACCACCGCCTCGATGCCTACGGCGAGGTCTACCGCCGGCTAACTGGCCGGGCCGTCGTGTTCGAGTTCCCCCAGAGCGGCGCCGAGTACTAGATTCTTCTGATTGTGTCTTGTATCTCCGGTGTTGTTTCTTTTATGTGTCTCGAGGGGATCTTTGTTGGGTAGTTTCTAGTTAACGCACCCCCATACCTGGAAACTAGAGCGGCATGCCAAATGCAAATTCGGGTGACTCTTCAAAAGAAAAACAATGCATTTACGGTTGTCTATCCTATCCGTGATCTGTTTCGCTGTAATGATGCCATGCTATGGCACGGAGAGCTGGGGTGAACATAAGAGTATGAGATATGTAGGTAATGCAGTAAATACAAATCCAAAGGGGGTATGGACAAGACAAGAAACAATAATCACAACCCAGCCTGGATCCTCCCCACGCCCAGGACCATCCAATAAGCCAGTTCCCGTGTAACCAGATCATCTGGCTTGGAACTCTTACCAACATTCTGCTGCTCAAGCTGTGCCTCCGCCTCCCATTCCATATGCACAAACACCGGGATTTCCAGTACGTCCTCATCAGGCAAAGCCGGAGTCTGGTCGTCACCTGCGCCCCCCGGGACAAAGGATCCGTGCCAGGCAGTGTGCCCGGGACGACTTCTAGTACAACAGTGGTCCAGTTCCGGCCCTTGTCCCATACCTTCCCGGCCTCGGGGACCTTTTCCCCGCCGCGCATAGTGGCAGATCGAGAATCGGCGATGGGGGCCTCTGCACCTTGCAGCGCCTCGTCCCAGACGTCGCTGTTGGCGCCGATTTCGAATTGCGGACACAGGATAGTCACCTTGGAGGCAACGCGGCCCGGAGTTACGGACGGTGTGGCGAGAGTGATGCGCACGGGGTCGAACATGTGGTTTTTGAGGTTGAGAAGGACATGAATAGGCCGGAGAGGGGGTAGGGCAGTGAGATCTGGAGCAGGGACGGTCGGAGAGACTGCCGAAGATGATGAGGGGAAAGCAAGTGGCCGCAGAGTCGGGAGTGGGATGTAGCTGAGTGCGATGAGGCGGATTCGGAACCGGGTGGACTGCGGCTTGGTCTCGGGCTTGACGAGGATGTGCTTGCAGGATTTGCAGCGTTTGGCGCGCTTGGTGCGCAGGAGGACTGGGAGGGGGAGTAGATCGTCGACAAAGCGGACGTCAGGCGATTGCTCTGTTAGCTGGTCTGCTGAGGCAACGCCGTTCCAGCCGCATTCTGCAGAAGCCAGGCGTTCGATCACCTCGAGTTCGGCGCGTGAGTCGGCAACGCGGAGACCCTCGCTGGCCGTGAGGGCTTCGCGCATGACCGGCGGTTTGGATTTGGGCTTCTTGTTACCGCTGCCGTAGAGTCCACCTAGACGGGATGACGAGGCGTAGAGAGACATGAGCCGGTTCAGGGCTCCGGGCGAAGAGAATCCAAAGTCCGAGTTGAGAGGATCGCTTGGCGAGTTGGAAGTCTCGTTGATTTGGGTACGGTAGAATGATTTTAATGCAGCAAAGCGTGCTTCCGCGCCCAGAGGAGGTGCCGAGTCCTCTTTCCGAGCGGACTGGTCCGTATCCTCTTCACCACGGGCATTGGATTGTTCGTCAGTGGACGAAAAAGTGGCCAAGGGGGATTTGAGATCGCCAAAAGTGCGGGACGGCTTTCTGTCAAAGGAGGCTGGAGCAGTGGAATCTGTCATTTTCTGCAGTTGGCTGCGGATATTGGTTGGCTTGTCGAACTTGATGCCGATATCGAGCGTGGTCCATAGACAGTATCCGCAGGAGAGCACCCACGGCCCTTGCTGGGTCGCATTACCGGCTACATTTTCAATGGTACTCACAGCCAGCGGAGCGGTGCAAGCAGGGCAGTTGAAGCAGTTTCTGCCACACCTAGATATTGCGCGTTAACTTGCAATTTACGCCAGAGGTGGTCCGCCACCACATACCTGTTGCCATCGCTCTTCACCATACTACTCGGCGTTTCAAACAAGCAATTGGGACAGTACCAGCTGACAATCTCCTCGGTGATGCATCGCGGACATTTGATCTGGTGACAGTCCTCGCAATAGAGGAGCTGTTCTGGCGGGTACAGCGAGAAGTTGGATCGCGGTGATCTGGGGTCGAACGTCTGCTCCTCTTCCTCCTCTCCCTGCGCTTCTTGTTCTTCTTCTTCTTTCTGTGTTTCTTCGGTGTCTTCTGCTGAGAGGCTTGTGCGCTCTGGTTTCTGCGGCGACAGTGTGGACTTGCGCTTCCTGCCCGGCTCGGGGACGGGAGTGTCCGCGCAGGGACAGGAGATGTAGGTGTAAGGGAATGGACGAGACATTTTTGATTATTGTTTGGTCAATTCATCTTTGGCTCGGAAAGCGACTTGTAGGAACGTATGAGATAGTCTGTTGAGCTTCAGGCCCCCCCGCGATTGCAGCCACAATTGCGATCCCTGCGCCCCTGCTTCTCATCAGCTTTAGCAATGCCTTGTCTCCGGAGTCAGAACGTACCAATACAGTATGTAGAAGCAGCAAAGGTCTTCTGCTGCTCAACCCGAGTTCAGAATGTAGCAACAGATCAAGACGAGGAACCCGCGCGGTTGACCCGACAGTCAGTGCGGAGGAACAACAAATTTGCGCCACTGACAAACACCTGCACTTTAACAACTCCCCAAACTTCCTCCCTCACCACAACTCACCATGCTCCCTCTTCGGGCAATTCGCCCGAGTATTCCACGGCACTGTCTCGCCTTGTCATCAATCCGCACCTACGCTGCCCAAACACCCGGCAACCCGATGCTAGAGATCTTCAACCGCAAGACAAAACATCTACAGAAAGACCGCGCCGCACATAATGTCGAAGAGAGCCGGAAAGTCGACTACCTCAAAGACGAGGTGGCAATGCGGTTATGCGAGCGGTTATTGGTGAGCGAGACGAGCGGAACAATAAGGGTGAGCACAGGAGGCGCTGACGGCATGAACTTTGGCTACATAGGATATCAAGCGCAAATTCCCCAATGTCCTCGATCTAGGCGCGAACAGCTGCAACATTGCACGCGCGCTGACGCAACCAAACATCGACTACACCACGCCGGAGGGCACACCGGCGCCGCCGCTGACCGAGCGCATCTCCAAACTGACCTGCGTCGAGACATCGCGGGCACTCCTGCACCGGGATGAGGACCTGCCCTTTAACAAGGAGATTGATATTACACGGGAAGTGATCCCAGACCTGGAAACACTGCCATACGAACCGAACTCATTCGACGCCGTCCTATCCTCACTCTCGATACACTGGATCAACGACCTGCCCGCGCTCCTGGCGCAAGTGAACACAATCCTCAAGCCAGACGCTCCCTTCATCGCAGCCATGTTCGGCGGTGATACGCTCTTTGAACTGCGCGGGTCAATGCAGCTGGCGGATATGGAGCGGCGCGGCGGCGTGAGCCCGCACGTTTCACCGCTGGCGGATGTTCGGGACGTAGGCAGTCTGTTGACTCGCGCCGGGTTCAAGATGCAGACGGTGGATGTCGAGGATATTGTTGTTGAGTTCCCGGATACCTTTGCCCTCATGCAGGACCTGCAGTCCATGGGCGAGAGCAATGCCATCATGCATCGTGAGGCTGGGCCGCTATCGCGCGATGTCTTGTTGGCGAACGACGCTATATACCGTGCTCTCCATATGGAGGAGGGTACGCAGGGAATTCCTGCAACGTTCCGATTGATCTATATGATCGGGTGGAAGGAAGGGGAGGGCCAGGCGCAGCCATTGCAGCGTGGGAGCGGCGATGTCAACCTGAAGGATATACTGGGCGGCGGCGATTTTGAGAAGCCATGAAGCAACAACCGTAATGGGTTACAGATAATGACAATGTACTATTAGAAATCCAGAAACTACGTTCACGCAGTCACAACAGGGAGTATGGAATGCAATCAATCAAGAAAGCCTCTCTAGCAGACACAAGAAACCATATAGTAATCAAACCGTCCGGCGGTCCGTCATGACCCGCACAATCGACCCAGTGCCTGCCACCTCGACGAGCTTCTCATGCCAGCTCAGCAAAACACTCATCTGCTGTCCACCACCACCTTCGCCTAGGTTCCGCCCCTGGATCTGTGAGAACCCTCCGGTACTCTGCGGCGAAACGGACATGCTGCGCGGCGACTGAGACCCGCTACCGGGGGCAGGCGAGGACATTCCCTTGTAGCTGTTGCATATAGGGTCAGCGTACTCTCCCCAAAAGATCCCTCAAGAAGGAGGAAGTGACGTACAGATACTTCATCAAACAGTCCGCTCTCTCCGACCCGCGGTCCCCAGCACATACCCCCTCCAACACACGAGTCATCTCTCCCTGCCGAATCCCCTGCAGCACCTCAATAACGGTAGCCAGGTGCACCTCTTTCGCGCGGTCGTCGCCGCCCAGCGGGGCTGTGTCGAGAACATGCCGCAAGGCGCCCTCGGGGTCGCCGCCACGCAGCAGCTGGCGCACTTGTGTTGCGACGTTGGCAGCGTCACTGGAGGTCTCGGGGGGCGGCAGCGTCGCGGGGAGGAGGGTTTCCATGGGGAAGTTGGCCGAGGACTCCGGGTCCAGGCGGTCGATGTTGATCGTGCGGAAGTTGTCGAGTTGAGACATTGTTGCGGGCTTTTAGATGCGAAGAGGAGAAAGAGAGGAGGGAATTGAATTCCTGGGTTGGACTTGTTGCAGCAGTGTGAGATGTGTGCGCCTTTCTTGATGTGGCCTGCTTTATCGATGTGGGTGGAAGCGGGGGAGCTTAGAGGGTTGCCTGGGAGTGGACTGGGGTAGTGCGAGGTTGAAAGGAGGTTCAAGGAGAGAGGAGGAGATATAGAGACTGAGCGTGGGAGAGCGCTCCCTGCACAAAACAAGCCAGATGGGAATGGCGGGGAGAGAGCAATGCGATTATGCGGGTGTTGATGGGCAACGGAGTGACGACGGGCTGGAGTGTGAGGGCTTGCCTGCCTTGGCGCCTGAGGCAGCACATGAACTACGTATTGGCGTAGAATCGTTATTTACACGCCCTAACTATCCCTATATCAGTCTAGTCGTGAGATATTGACTATACATTCTCCAGAGACTGTGGCTTTTGTTGCTTCTCTCATTTTCCCGACCGATTTGGAAAGACTTTCTGTCATATGAAGGCAATTTAAGTCATAATAATAGTGACGGTAAACCTGCCGCCTCCGGGCGATCGGCTCAGAGATCACGGGATGAGCCGCTCCCTGAGCACTCAGAGCTAGCTCTGAGCAAGCTCTGCGCGATCTCTAAGCGACCTCTGAGCGGGACCTGAGCAACCTAAGCGCTCACACCGTTTGCTCACCCCTTTCGTTCTCATCGTGCTTCTGGTCCTTTTCCTACTCCGATGCTAACCGCTGCCTACTAATGTTCTTAGGAGTGCGGGCCAAAATGACGTTTTCCTATGTCGCTAGTAACCTTCACCCTCCCCTTCGAACTTCCTAGTGACAAACTCGATTTTCTTGACTCTACCTCAGAAATTAAACAACCCCTCATTTTTACGTTCTATCCTTTACACTACTAAAATATGCATCGATGTCCAACTCTTCTTTAGCCCTTACTACGTAAAACCGATGGCGGAATTCTCTTCCCTATCCTCGTAAGCAGTATCTAACACCCTATACCATCTTTGATCCTATGAACAATATCCGTTTCTCATTTGCGCAAATCCGGATATGTGCTCCGCCTTGTGTCTCTAACTTATCGCCGCTACGTGTCTTAGGCCTAGATAGTATTAGTGTCTCGAAATAGTAAGTTATATTCCTAGTTCACCTCACTTATCCGCCTCATTGAGAATGAATCAAGCCATATTCCTAGGAACCTCTCTCCGTCTATCCACTACGAGCACGGATATTCCTACGATTAGCTGTAGACAATAATAGCGGAACTATATAGTTAGTCAACATAGCGTAGCGTCTTTGTGATATTTGTTTTAGCAAAGTCAGGTGCTAATCGTCCTACGACATTTCGCTTCTTGACTCCTACTAGAGATAAGAGAATGAATTATAGTACCTATAAATAATCGCGATATTGGTTTACTAGGGTTGTCCTCAGAAAGTATCATTCAACCTTAGACTCGATCCTTCCTGCTATGTCCAAACTTTCTATATTTTCTTATCAATTAGTATAGTAACCCTTAATCATCAAAAGTTTTGGCGAATAGCACCACGAATTGTAGCGACGTTCTCCCCCGTTAACGAGGAAAATCACGCTATTGAGGAGGAGAGGCAAGCAAAAGCCCTAGATGAAAAAAGTCAAGTAGAAGGCTATTTCTTAGAGAATGGTATGCTATAAGAAGAATATAGCATAGAGAGAGTTAGTAAGGCCTACCATAATTATCTTTCCTTTTCGCTATTTGAGACTAATGTGGTCTCCCTAGAGTCTAGCCTCTATATAATCTCTCGAGCGACTTCGCTAGGTGTTAGTCACGATGACACGTTGTCAATTTCTAGAAATTCTCCTGATTACCCTAAGGAAGTTAGGCTTAATCCGCCCTTCTAAACAAGTGACACTCCCTTAGTAACCGGTTTAGAAGGCCTAGGGACGATAAGGGTCTTTGATGTCTTTTAGGACCACTATAAGGATTCTGAAAATAAAAGCCACCATCCTAACAGTTGAAACAATTAGTTAGAGCAAAGTGAATTACAGAAGATTAATAGAGTGTCGCCGCAGATAAATTCCTTATTAGCTCAAAGTGTGAGATTATTATATGTAGGGTTATCATAAAAGAAATACACATCCCGTGTTAGGGACATCGCCTAATCCCTGAAACCCCTGAATTCGTTGAAAACGACAAGTACCCGCCCCCAAGTCAGGTATCCTCTACAAGGCCCCTATGAATCCTTTCGTACACTACGGAGTTCGGAGTGCGCTTAAGCATTTCTGAAACACTCCCTACACGTTTTTTGATTTTCGAAATCCTCATGGCACCATTTTGTCAATCCTTTGATAATGCTTAAGCGGAACCAATTTATAGTGTCGTCTTAGCACAACATCAATAGGGGCCATTCGCCGTTTACTCCCATGATCTTGCCGTCTACCTTACTATGTAGAGTTGCTCAAGCATACTCTGTAGTCGAGTATTCAAACCTAGGCCAAATAGCTCAAAATTCCAGGATCAACGCAACCAAGCAACTCACATCAGAACCCCTAACTGAAATTTAAGGCAATGAGCAATCTTGTGGAGTCTACGGCACTAACTTGGGCAGTTTTGGACCGCCGCCCACTAGAATATGGGGCCAAGTTATTCTGTATGGAACAAGAAAGATACAATAAATATCACTAGGGCGCAATAACAGACGAGGTATTTATAGTGGCTAGGATCTCGCTCAGAGCACCTGAATCTGACCATACCTTCGTCTGAAGGCGTTTATTGAGTTCACCATGCATATTCATTTATTCCTGAACACTTTCTTGGTTCTGCTCTCACTTGGGGAGCAGCTGCGTAGAACAGAGCCAATTGATGTTCCACATGGCGCCCAAGGAAGAGACATCCCAGTCTCTCTCCAGCGACCACCTGATGCGCCACCGGCGTTGAAGCATGACCGTCCAGCAAACTGTCATAATCCTGCCTTCTTGAAATCGGCGAAACCCGCCTTGAAAAAACCGGAGCCGAAGCATGCCATCTTGAACTCGCCGAAATCCGAAATACCGAAAACACCTAGTCCTTCGGTCTTGACGCCGACGTCGAAGCATGACTGCCCAGCGAAAAATCATAACCATGACCATCCCATCATGGCACCGAAGCCGAAGCATGCCATCTTGAACTCGCCGGAATCCGAAATACCGAAAACACCTAGTCCTTCGGTCTTGACGCCGACGTCGAAGCATGACTGCCCAGCGAAAAATCATAACCATGACCATCCCATCATGGCACCGAAGCCGAAGCATGCCATCTTGAACTCGCCGAAACCCGAAATACCGAAAACACCTAGTCCTTCGGTCTTGACGCCGACGTCGAAGCATGACTGCCCAGCGAAAAATCATAAGACTCCCAGTTTCACACGGTTGCCATCGTCGATCACCTCGCCTCCCTCAACAACTACTCAAGTGGATAATCCGCTCTGTTGGCCGTCGGAAAATCCACATCCAGAGGACCCTAATATGCCAAAGTATGGCTGGTGCGTCTGCAGTGGCGGTATTCGTCATCCGGCGACTCAGAACGAAATCTGTCCTCAACTGTCATTTCCGTGGAGCTGGTATACCTGGCCTTCTCCTGCGCCTAATACCACGTTAACGAATGGCGAGAACGTTGGGTACCTATACACATACAACGAGCCCACTGCGGGTGGTGCTAAGATTGCATGTGAAACATCGAAGGTCGCGAATATGGCCTTATATGGCGCTTATGAAGGGATGGAGACAGTCTGCTCTGGTTCAACGACGACGCTTACTACCGGCGTGAGCTATGTGACAACGGCGACTGGTCTTACAGTGAGTCCAGTCCTCGCCGGAAATTGGGTCCATTCGATATCGGAAAGCCCCGTCCCGAGCACTAGTTCCTCGTCGGAAGTAGCAATACTCGTTTCTAGTATCTACAATGCTCTGTCGACTATCTGCTCTGATAGCGGGACTCCAACTACTACTGTTATTCCGGTAACAAAGTGGAATGACAATAAGGATCATATGTGGACAGTCACAGAAACACAGACTATGACTGCCTGCGCCACAGATACTGTCGAAGTTATTGATGTGTGGTATATAGATTCGGATGAGTCCAATGGCCCGCAACAAGGAACTCTCAAAATTTCTGTAATTGAGTCCTGGTTTACAGCAGAGAACCTGAAAGAATGGATGTTGCAGGTTGCATCCATCTACGCAAAGATGGCTATGAGCCGCACTACATATGAATCTTATGACGATGGGGCCGGGTATTCAGAAGAACCTGTTGTCAATTTCAAGGAGCTTGCGCAGCACCACGCTCCAAGATATGTCGGCCTCATATACAAGTGGATCTACGAGAGTGTTGAGGTTGACCTAGGGAGGATGTGGACTCATCTAACTTTTCAACCAAGCGAAGAAGATTTGCTCGAGTGCGTGTCATCGGAGGAAATGATACAGTTTTTTGCATCCCTTTGCGAGACCTTCGCACCAGAATTAGCAGGGGAGATCCAAACTGTTGCAACTAAGGCAGAGAAACTGTTTTTGTTCGTGTGTGAAAAATCGGATGGCTAGTAGATGTTGAGAAACTAGCCAGAGAACATAGACCGTGGCGGATTCTCTGATAAAAGAGCACAGCATAAAGGGAGCAAAAAAAAAAAAAAAAAAAAAAAACCGAAAAAGGTATCATCTAAAGTGATTATCAAAAGCGCGATGAAATAGATTGAATTACAAGATTTAGGCAATTTCAATTCGTATGGGAGTGTCTGGCGTAGTAGAGCTAGACAGTTAAGATGCCCTAGAGAAGGAGCAGATTGCGGTTTGTTCCCCAGAAGGACACCGGGGGCAGTCAAATTCCGATATTATTCGAAGTGTTCTAGACGGACTCAATCCTCTTCTAGCAAAGAAAATCACCAAGTTCACTACAGACGGATAATTGAACGTGGATTAAGCATCTGAAGAAGTCCCATACCAAACCGGGTCCATCACGTCCCAAGCGTAGAAGACAATGCAGAACGGGGTGGAGAATCTCCACATTCTGTTGGGAGTTCCCGTGACTCATCTGTTTCAGAGTTGGAATATATTGATCCACGTCTTCGATCCTCTTAGAAAGCATAATATTCGTCTTATCTAAGTTCCTTCTAGGGAGAAGTCCAACGCTATGTCTTTGCACCATGATAGGCCTTACATAGACACATTCTTGCTACCCTTCAATCTCTCTTCGCTACACTCGTTCGATTAATTCTTTGCAATTTTGTTTTGTTTTTTATATTTACTCGCAAGCTCGTCTATTGTCTTTCGAATTGGTAGAGGATGATTCAAATCCTTTTCTATTAGCTACTAGTGTAATTCAAAACTATTAATGAGAAGAGGAGGTAGCTCACTAATTGTTCTTCAGACAAAGGCCACCCTTGCGACTAAGACGTTAATGTGTATATCTAGCCGGTTTTCCTTATTTGGACGACTAGGTTTATATCGGCATCACATTCCGTGTAGTACTTAAAGGCTTTTTTTAAAAGTGTCTCCCCTCCTCTTCTACGCTTTCTGATTAAGCCTTCTAGTGCGAGTTGATTCTATAGTGGCTTTTTGCCGCTATGTGGTTTTAGAAAGAGCCATAGTAGAAGAGACTCCTATTGTCGTAGGTGTTAGTAACTTCAGCTATGTTAATGCGACTTTGCGAGTATACATATGTATAAATCCTAGTTATAGCAATAGAAATTAAAAGAGCTCCTAAAAACTCTCCTATCAGTTGCTCCGGCAAAACAAGTCCATTAAGTTGAGATTTCAGATCGCGATAAAAAGTAGCAGGCCAAAAAGACGTATAGTGATCAATTATTTGTAAAGCCCCACTAACTAAGTATGCGCTGATAATAAACATGGTACGCTGGCTACAACCGATAATACGAGGTTAACATAAATGTATGATAATTATCTACCTAGTCTATTTTTTCTTAATGTAGCCGATGTTGTTTTTAGTCGAGATAGCATGCCGTTTTTGAATAATACCTTTCTCTAATCGCTAACGGCACAGGCGATAATACTCCAGGCTAGGTGCCTATTTCGTCTGCTTTGTAGAAACATAATGATGCAAGGCAGTCATAACCTTAGGAAGCAGTTAGGTACAGAAATCAAGAAGAAAAGGAGGACGGATCAAGAAAACGGAATTAGATGGAATAGAAGACGATAATGATAGTCACTCGAGATATTCTACGGAAGTAATTTGGTATTGGCGGTTGTAGGCAAGTTATTCTATGCAAAGTCTATGGTTGGCCCAGGGGGGTGAGAGGCCCTTAGGTACTAGAGAAAATGCCTCTGTCAAGACCTACGCTCAAAAAATGACGGTTCTATTTTTGTAGCGGGTACAAGCGGAAGAGCAACACACGTCACCTCTGATTGTCTGCTCTGAGCACCCTGAGCGAACGCTGACCAGATTACTGAGCAGCCCGAGTGCTCTCTGAGCACATAGTTCAATTGAATCACATGACCTGTGGATGACTAAGATCCTGGTAAAAAGGGCGCCGAAAATGACGTCGAAAGTAGCCATTTTTGGCGCCCAATTTACCGTCACCTAGCGTTGTGGTGTAATACATCCCCATTAATCTCAGACCGCTTGTCGCAATGCGTTTCGCCTTGAAGTACTAACGATTTCGACAGTCGACTGCATGAGATGATATTGTTTCTATCCTATATGTCGATGCATAGTGATGTTTGGGTTATCATCTACAAGGAGAAAGCGAATCTGAAGTTGTTTTTATCCAGGCTCAGACTTAGAGTAAACTTAACATCTCAATATGCCTTCAGCTACAAGTCCTTGGCTACCGTACTCTCTGCTGCTTCTGCTGCTTTAGCTCTCCCCAATGCTAAGCGGGTACCACTGTAACCGTACCCGCTGCGGTTTGCCCACAAACAGAACCTTCACATCTGCGCTGCTTTTTTATTTCTGCAGTGTCAGTAGACCAGGACGGTATGGTAGGAGATTATAGGAGCCGCTAGAGCCAGTGGCTCGCCCCTGGTAGAGAAACTGCAGGTTGCACGGATCAATAGGCATAGTTTCGTCGGCACTGCTCCGAATCAGATCGCCGCTACTGATGTCGTCTGTCCAGGTAGCGCCGCTGTTGGCCTTGCCGGCGAAGGGTGCGGACTCGCTTGTGGCCTGCGGTGTCCACGTTCCGCCCAGACTAGTTGCCGTGAATGAGCGGAAGTACCTCCCGTTGGCTCCGATTGCCTCGACGATCATGAGATATTGGTTTTGGCCCTTAACACTATAGACCTGAACGGCTTCAAAGAGGTTGTTAACCGAGTCGCTCAAGACAACCGTTGATGATGAGCCAAAGCTGCCCGGGAAGTTGCTTTTCGGCATAGAAGACCGGTAGATGTTGCCGTTGTCTCCTCCAAAGAATAGATACATGGTAGTGTCATCGGCGATAAGTGCGGGGTCAATAGGGCCGGTGCTAGAGGAGCTGATGGAGCCCGTAAAGAGGGGCTGCGGCGATGACCATCCATTTGCGTTGGTGGGATCGCTGGAGGTCATGTAACAGAAAGGACTGGCACACCATTCATAGGCGAGCACCCAGATACCTTTTGGAGTGAAGTAGAACAGGTTGGGTGCAACAGCTCCCGTACCCATTTGATTCTGGCTCGCTGAGGTCATGGCAGACCAATCTGTGAAGAGGGCAAAATTCATGGAGCCGTAGTTGCCTGCAGAATTGACATCTGAAGAGTATACAAGGTGCTGACCATTGTACGGAACGTGGCTGAAATCTTTGAGAGCGACATACCCAGATTTTGGGTTTGCCAGCGGTCCGGTCGATGACCAAGTGTACTTCGACGGGAGACTGCAAGTGGTTGATTGTGAGTTGCTAGATGTGGTGGTAGTCGTAGACTTGCTCGATGTGGTAGTGGTCGTAGTTCCTCCACCAGTACAAGGAACACACTGGGAATAGTAAGGATTGGAGTAGGTGCAGCACGACCCGGAAGCACAAGTAGTGGCTCCGGTCCATCCAATTCCACCGCCTGAAGCCAACCGTTAGCATTGTTGTCCACGGCGTTGACTTATCAAGTCGTATTTCACTTACATTGGCCGTAGACTGGTGATTGCGCAGACACAAATGGCAACACCACGAACAGAGAAGCAACCCAAATCATAGTGGCTAAGTACTTGTCTTCTGATTGGAAGTCTGGGATAGATTTGGTAGTGTCAAAGTCGAGGAATTGACCTCAGCTGATCCCTTATTATATTTTTTCGGAAAATACATACAGGCTGTGTCTGGTAAATTTATTTAGGCAGATCAGGAGTTGAGATGGAGCTGTTACATATTACCTATGCTGATGGGAAAGTTTATTATACCTCGAGTCTCTATATCTGCACGGAGTCTGACGCTTTTCGAAAACTCTATTTGCGTCGGGATTGTTAAAAAAAGCTAATAAAAGGAGACCGTCACATGAACAGGTGAGGAAACAAGAGTTGTTGAACTTGTGCAGGGGTCAGAAAACCCCCGAATACGCGGGGCTTTGGTTAGATGCTTCAAGTACAGTAGCATTGCACCGCTTACCCCGCTGGAATAATGCTGGTTTTACATAGGAGCTAGCCCCGTCGGCATCTACAGCCGAGCCCATCATCACCACTAACCAAATAGACAACGGGTATGACTGCTGCAGTGACTATTTCTTCTGCTAGACGATTCCACCCGCAATCCTCCAATTCGTCACAACGCCGCGGCTTTAAGGTTTCTGCACAAATCCACCACGGACTATATGTCCGCCCCTGAGTGAATTCTGCACCTCCTGAGCAGCAACTATACAAGACGGATCAGACATGATCTCCTTCCCGGTATTTACTGACGAAGCCGCTGAATCTACGCTTCGCTGTTGGATGCATCGCCCCGCGATTGGTGGGCTAATATGCTCTGAGATGGGCACAGGGGACGATCAAGATTTCCCCATGAATAACCAAATACGGGCTTCGTAGACCCTAATTCTTCTACATGCTCGGAGCTTGAGCTATATAAAGCGATGCCGGAGACTGCTTCCTGTCGGTAGGAAGGTGTTGAATCCCGCCGCTTTCTAGACAAGACACCCATAAGACTGTCCTGTCATGCATGCCACCCTTCTCGCAGCTCTAGGGGTCACCCTACAGGCCGGCCTCGCTGCAGCCCAAACCAAAGTGACAGTGAACGCAGGCACCACTTACCAGGTAATTGATGGGTTTGGCTTCTCAGAGGCCTTTGGCTTCGGCAGCGGAGTCGAAAATGCACCCAGTGCACAGCAAACTCAGGCCCTGAACTACATGTTCAGCACTACTGAAGGAGCGGGAATGACGATCCTTCGTAACCGCATTGCTGCGGATGCAGGCGGCACCATTGAGCCCAATAGCCCTGGGTCACCATCGGCTACCCCAAGTTACAGGGCTATTGGCGACGACAGCAGTCAGGTTGGTGATATTTAAGGCCTAGATCTATTCTTACCCTATATGCGGGCTCCATTTGCTGATATTTGCTGGGTTTCCTGATAGATATTTTGGTCCCAGAAAGCTCGGGCAATGGGAGTCAAGTACATCTATGCCGATGCCTGGAGCGCACCTGGTTTCATGAAGACAAACGGCAACTACGTATGTTTGCTACTTGCCCTATATTTGTGTCAAGGTACTAACTTAAGTAGATAGACGGTGGATACCTCTGCGGAGTGACTGGACACACCTGCTCCTCTGGCGATTGGAGACAGGCGTATGCGAACTATCTCGTGCAGTACATTAAAGACTACGCGAGCCAGGGCATTACCATTGACTTTGTTGGTTTTCTCAATGAACCTGAATTTGCGTAAGCAGCTACCTAAACATACATGAATATCGACAATTGCCAGAAATTAAGCTGACCCCGACAACAGGCCTGACTACGACTCGATGCTTTCCGATGGAACCATGGCGGCATCCTTCATTCCAATTCTCTACAACACTATCAAGGAAGCTGGACTGTCCACTGGTATCACCTGCTGCGATGCCGAAGGTTGGAATGATCAGGCCACCTTCACAGAGCAGATCATCTCTGCTGGAGCCGATCAGTATCTGTCACGTATCACGTCTCACTGGTATACTTCGCAGGGCACTTCTCCCATCAACACTGACCTTCGGGTCTGGGAGACCGAATACGCGGACTTGGACGATGCCTTCTCAACTACCTGGTATTCCAACGGCGCATTCAATGAGGGTCTTACCTGGGCCAAGCTTATCTACCAGGGTCTTGTTGAAAGCAATCTCAGTGCGTTCTTGTACTGGGTTGGTAGGTTTCCTCTGGCGTCCATCACGTTATTGCTACACTAACCAAACACGCAACAGGCGCTCAATCGAATAGCAATGCTGCTGGCTTGGTCACTCTCACCGGCTCCGGTTCCTCCACGCAAGTGACCGCATCCGCCTCTCTCTGGGCCTTTGCTATGTTCTCGCGCTACATCCGACCAGATGCCGTGCGTATCGGCACGTCAGGTGCTCCGACCAACACGCAGGTCGCGGCCTTCAAGAACACAGATGGTTCTATTGCCGTCGTAATGATCAACTCCGGCAGCAGCTCACAGACCGTCTCTCTTGGAGGCGTGTCCTCCTCAACGGTCAAAGGGTACTACATGGACAACTCTGTCTCATCGCCCTCTAGCTTGTCGGTTACCTCCAGCGGCGGTAATATAGGGGTTACCCTGCCCGCTTATTCAGTGGTCACTCTTGTCCTCTCGGGATCCACAAGCTCGTCGCCTCCTCCTGCTACAACAACAACAACCGAAACGAGCACTGGTGGCTCAACTGGTACAAGTGTTGCCCAGCACTGGGGTCAGTGTGGTGGCCAAGGCTGGACCGGCCCCACAAGCTGCACTAGCCCGTACACCTGCCAAGAGCAGAACGCTTACTACTCACAATGTCTGTAAGCCTTGATTGATTGACCTGGGATGATATCTGTGTCTAGCACCGGAGGATTAGGCAAAATGCAAATGGAAGGGCGAATTGAGGGTCAACAAAGATACGCTAGCTTATCGACAGTCTTCTACTCCCTTTTGTGGTATATGCAGTTTCTTATATGCTTGCGAAAATTGAATGCGGTATGTATTTGGTATGATACGTAGCTTGAAACTATTAAACATATCAAAACTATTGACGCCCACCTATAGAAGCGAATATTGCCCCCCACACTTCCACTGACTGAATCAGAGTATCATGATCTGTTTTATCGATCGTCGTGGAGATAAAGTCAATGGCCTCTACACCTGGTGCCTGCCAACACTGTTCAAAGTATCTTTGGCCCCGACTGCCCACTAGGGCATCTGTGGACGCGAAGTACGCACGGAGACTGACTGGGCCACCTGTGGATTGTTCGCTGGCAGCCAGCATCTGCGCGCATTGGGCATAGTCCGAGCAGACCCCCCAGTCACTGTCGCTCTTGCGAAGGCACTGAAGAGCCTCGCTATTAGCACCGACGGTGTTCTCATGGTGCATGAAGGGAAGGGCGAGGCGAAATAGCTCCGCTTGTTCCGCGCGTGACACGCCATAGTCGAGAGATGACCGGCTCACTTCTACCGCCGCGCTACTTTGTGATGACTTCTGGCGAAACATAGCACCACTTGACGCCAGCACAGGGGAGGCCTGGGTTACGAAGAAGCGCGGGATAAGGTGCCAGAGTGTGAACGCTTTGGTTGGCACATACTGTGCCATTTGCATCGCTGTAACGCGTGAGTAGGCGGGATCAACCCAGGGCGCTATAAGCGGCATTATAAGTCATTCTTCTTCTGCTTTAAGAGGGGAGGGGTAAAGATAAAGACCTAATACAGTAATTTCTGGTTCCACAAGCTCACGGCACTTCGCCCAGGTATTGAGCAAATAAATCGTGCCGGCGCTGTGGGCGACAAGGTTGACGCGTGTAATACCGAGATATGCCAGCAGACGCGGTAGCAAATTGACCCAAGTGGCGAGTCGTCGGTCGAGTGGAACATCCGTCGACGCGCCCATGCCCGGCCGGTCGACGACGAGCAAACGCACGCCAGCGCGCTCTGCAAAAGCATGCAGAGGGATGCCGACATAACGCGAGGCAAACATCCCCGGCACGAACAGCAGCGCGGGCCCGGTGATGCAGCCAATCTCGGCGAAAGAGACCGTCAGCGGACCACATGCTGTATCGAGAGTGACACGGCGGTGGAAGCGGGTGCTAGAAATAAGGCTGAGAGGATCAGACATGATCACTCGGATATTATCATGGGTAACTGCTCAATATCTCAGAAACCAATCAACATATTGCATTTCTGGGGATGGGTGTCTAGGTGGGATGGCTGGATATCACCGAAGGCGCGTTTGAGGCTCGGGAGGGGTCTGGCGAGGCCCACTAGTGGGCACACAGGTGGGAGTACTCAGCCCCAAGTCTGGCCCAAAGTCTGGCCCCAACAGCTACGCCACAACAGCGGGAGTACCCAGGAATTCGCTCAAACTACCCTATCCATTTGGACCCACTCCTCTAGGTGCTCCCAAGTGCAAAACTTAGGAGTACCCTCAGAACGCTAACTAACTATGCACCAAGTTCACACTATATAGACATTCCAAAGATGGCTAGGGTAATAAGTTGAACCCCTCAACATAAGGAATAGCTTCGTAATATTTGCTTAACAAGCTGATTATTAATATTATGTACTAACTAAGTAACTTAAGTTGAGGTTTCTCAGCTGGAACCCCCTCTTCCTTTCTCCCCCCACCCCCTCTTTCTATGATATTTCAGGCAGCGAAGCACCGGCAGGCTTCAACTCTTTCATAGTCTCATCCAGCAGTCTTGCTCCAAGCTCCCGCCCTTCTTCCGTGTACCAAACCGATGGAAATCTGCGGTTGTCAGACCATTCGGGGAGAAACTCGGTGACTGGAGGATGCACTTACGGTTTGATGGCCCAATCACTGACGAAGCTTCCGTGGCTCTCAGCGCCTCGAGTCAAAGCCGCGTCGAGGTATACAGAAGCACCGACGTCGAGCGATCTTGCCAGGAAATACTGAGCAACACCGAAGATCTTCTTGGCGATCACGTTGTTGTCGTGGCCCAAGGATGTTCCTTTAGTCATGCCAGGATTGACCAGGTTTATCAGAACATCGCTTGGCTTGACTCGCTCGGCAAGTTTGGTGACGAAAAACATGAGCAGCATCTTCGCGTTCGCGTACGCAGGGAACTGGCCGAAGGCTTTGGGATTGTCAAACTGCGGTAGGATTGGACCCTTCGTCTGTAGTTTGGCCGAGTATGCTATATCAGATCCTACGATGCTGAGAACTGGCGGTCTAGGGGCGCCGGTGTCGTAGCCTTGAGGACCGGGATGAGCAGCATGGCCAAAAGTGCCGTCGATAGATAGTTGACCTGCATCGTAAGCTCGTGACCCGTGGCCGCGACAGTCGTGTACGTGGGTACCATGAGGCCGGCATTAAGGATGGCGATGTCAATGCGTGGCAGAGATGCGCACTGCTCTGCGAACTTGCAGATAGAGCCATATGATGCCATATCGAGGATCCAGACGGATACCGTCGAACTTGGGAACTCCTTGCGTAGTTGACTCGCTACTGCATCGCCTTTGGCTTGTGAGCGCACACCCATGATCAGATGGGAGAGGCCCAGCTTCAGCAGCTGCCGGGACGCTGCCAGGCCTAGGCCCACATTACTCCCTGTGACGATGGCGGTTTGATTCGTAACGCGCAGATCAGGGGGTAGAGGCGTGGGTGCTGTGCGTTGCCGACGCAGGAAACCTTTGAATGTGGTCTCGAATGCGGCGTCCTTTTGAACGCTCGACGGCATCGTTAATAGCTCCTTGTGTGTGTTTGTGTGTTTGTGCGTTGAAGGAGAGGGGGATGCTTTGGATTGCAGGTAGGGATGGGAGTTGAGACCTGTCAAATACCAAGGGAGGTAACAACAAGACGCCGCAAACTTCAAGTGGGAATGTGGTTGGATTTGTTGACTTGGCCGGGAAGACCCAACTCCTGGATAGGCAGAAACCTGCCAACCTTCGTTGTATTCCGGGAGCTACTACCGCGCAATTACAGGTACTTGGCAGCCTAGGTGTCTGTTCAGTTTGGGACTAACTTTAATTTCTCATACCTACTGGCTGTGCACAGGCAAGATGATTACCTCGCCCTCGGATGCAAGAAGTCGCATTTCTCCCCTGCTTACACCACTTGCAAACTATTGCAAAGTAAGCCTCCCGGAGTGAACCAGGTTGTCAAAAAATCAACTCAAATGAAGGGCCATGACAGACTTGACGATTGGGGTATCTCTATGTCTTCTTCTCTCCCCCACGATCCTAGTACTACTAATGATCACTTTCAAGCATCATGACCCTAGCCATCATAATCACTACCACCATCATCAGGACACGGGTGGTCCGGGCAGCAGCCGCTTCGGGATGTACGGCTCCACTGACAACTACATCATCCATCGTATGCCAGACTGGGAAAGACATCACAACGGCACTTCATCGGAGCGTAGCCCATTAGTTGCTGCTATTCGCTTCTTGATAATGTTGATTGTCTTTATAGTCTTGGGGTTTATTGCGACCAGTGAGTTAGGACTCGGGCCCAGTATTCCCCATTGAGGATAGAAACAGAGGTGTCAGGAGTGCTTCATCTCAAAAATGCTATAACCGTAGACCAAAAAGTACCATTGGCTCTTGACTAGCCAATACAACTGTTTTCATATTTAGCACATTTTAATCCATCCAATTCAATAGAATAACTCAGTACGAGTTGTGTCATGAACTGAACATGGGAATAACCCACTTGAATCGCGAGAAGCGCAGCTATCCATAACAAAGTCAAATGCCGAGCCTCAGGTGAGAAGAGTATATTTTTGTCACCTGATCCGGACTGCCTCCCGAAGGCTTTCCGGATGCGTTTTTGGTACTAAGGGGAGTACCTGGGTGGATAGGTGCGTATCAATTATCGCAGAGCGATCGAAAAGAGAGCACGGCACGCGGTGATTGGGGAGGGGGAATAGGGATGCTCTGCCTACTACCAAAACGCATCCGATAAAGTCGTCAGGATATTTTGTGCCCCACAGTAGATATTTGTATAGTTGGGCAATCTATCTCGCATTTGACGTCGCCTGTTATCTCTTCGTCGACGGAAGGGACTCTGGATGGTCAGAGAGAAATTGGCATTAGAATGAGGCTGAAACTCATGCGTACAGTAGAGAGAACCTTTTACAAATCTCTAGAACCACACGATAGAAAAAGAGCACAATATAATTGCTGCTGTCCACTATCCATATCTCTGCACCAAATCTCTCATAACATCAAGGACTCTGTAAAGCCCATTAGCCGCCAAACTAGATGGTAGGTTGAGAATAACTCACTGTGTGCGAAGGGTCTCGTTATCGACGAAAAGCGCTGATACATGTGTGTCAAACCTTCTATCTTGATATCAGCTACGTATATCAGGAAGAAGGGCAAATTTTTTGAGTATCTCACAGCCTATAGAGGTCTAGACGGCCTTCAAAATCCTCTTCCGGAGGCGAAATCTGTGCGAATGTGTTGTAGGCAGCAACGTAATCATCCCCAAACCTATTGCAAGCTGGCCGCCACTGGCCAAACTCATCTTCAAATTGAAGCGATTTAGCTTGAACAACCGCAAGTATTTCGTGGGAGAACTTACATTCGTTGTGCGCATAGAAGCAGCACGCATCGAAGACAAGAGGCTGGTCATTGTCAACATCAATCCCTGCATTTGCGTACCAGAGATCTCCATGAACAAGCGAAGGTTTCACTACTCGGCCGTCACTCTCCAGAGGTCTCAGGAGCCTCGGGATGACTTTTTCGAACAGAACACGGGAGAGGACATCGAGCTCCTCACTAGGCCCTTTCTTTTCAATCTCCAGGTCAAGCGCCTGTCTCATGGTCTTGGCGAAGAATGCCTCCCAGCTATCTTCCCATGCCACGAACTGGGGTAGGTTTCCTGCGTAGGTGGTGATGTGGAACCCGAACTTGCCAGTAGGGGATACGCTTTTCTGGTGCAGTGTTGACAAAAGAGCGGCAAATTTGTGAGGGTCAGGCATATCGTCGGTCATTTCTCGAAACTCGCAGAGAAAGAAGTGGGTGTCTGGTATCGTCTTGTAGGTACCGCAAGCGATAGGTTTCGGGACAAATTCTGGCAGAATGTTATGCATCGCGCTTATTGACTGAAATTCACCCCTTGTCATATTCATGCCCACTTCTTTTGAAATGGCCTTGATGAAGAAGGACTGGGGTGTGCCATCGCGGAGCAAAACATCGATGCGACCCGTCCGCGCCCAGAAGCTTACGCCATGGTTGTCGGTGGACGTGACATTGCATCCTTCCGGCAGCTCTTTAAAAGCAGTCAACATGAATACGATCTTGTGAGTTAGTCAAGGGCTTGTAGCTTACCACTCAACACGGCTGGATCGATTTTGGTATTGCCCGCCCCAAATTCAAGGCCATCTGCGCCGTTGTACTTCATTTCCTGTGCCAAAGAATGTGTCGAATCTGTTGAGCGTCCCGCTAGCTGGAGGTGATCGAGCTCTCGGAGAAGCGGGGTTTATTTATCGGCGGCGTTTCTAGATGCGCCACTACCATAATCGAGTAGCCAATTGTAGGCGGGCTATCCCTTTGGGCGGCTAGAGTTCCTATCAATTAACTAATTAACGTAATTCGCATGCGAGCCGGGAACTGCAAAACACCATATTAAAAGTGATGAATTACAACTCTATGTCTCGACGCCTAAGATTTACATTTCCATGGATCTAAGGAAAAACACAGCGTAATTTATCATAATGGTATAAGTTGATAATCGAAGCTATTCTAAATTCCAGTATATTACTTGAATCTTAAATAGAATAAAGTTGTGGTGGTAGATACGATACTACACAATATCACCTTTAAAATGGCGGGGGTTTGCAATACTTGCACTACCCAGAAAAACAGAACAAAAAAAAAGACTAAAGCCGGGTGGCCACACGGGCCGTCCGGGTGCTCCCGCAGACTCATTTTTTTTCTTAGCTAACGCAATCTCAGTCTTCAGTGTCCAGTCATTGAGACCTTGGTGATCTTGTCCCGCCAATGTTCCACAGGGAACACGACCTTGACACCGTTTGCCTCCAGCCTTTGCTGCCCGTCATTGTGCGCGATAAACGTCCCTGGCTCTTTGATTCCCACGTAAACAGTCTTGATGGCGCTCCTAAGTCTCAAAATCCTTGTCGCGCAGGTCATGTTGCCGCTAAGTCTCTCGTTGCATGGCTCCATGGTTGTGTAGAGCACTGTGTTGGCCGGAAGGACCTCATGGATGCGTTCCTCGGGGAGGTTGTGCTCGTCGGCGATCTTGATAAAACAACACTGCTCTGCATGCGTGGTGCCTGGATCTCCCTTGTAATCTCGCGGGTATTCGAGCGAGTACCCTGTCGATAGGACCTTGCCATTAGCGGCGTCGACAAGTACGGCTCCGACGCAGAATTTGTTGGCACCTGGCGGTGATTTTTGTGCCTGAATGAGAGCGAACTCCATGAAAGCCTCATGGTCACCAACCGCGAAGGTTGGATTCGTCTGGGAACCCATAGTAAATGGCTCTCTGAAATAATACACAATGCGCGGACAATCCCCTCTTATGGGTCAAGTCAACGCAGCATCATCAAGAAATGTCAGAGAAGGAAAAGGCTAATGGTGGGTGCGCGATTTTCTGGGTAAATACATGCCGTTGTCTTCCCGAGTCGGCGAGGGGCATCGACGGGCGGTTGAAGCAACCGGCTGATTGGGTGGTTCGAAAGGGGAGGGAGGGGTGGCCACCTATTACTACGTGCTTTGATCCCGAATGTGTTGGGCATCACCAAGAGTTGCTCCTGAAACAACCCCATTGAACCACTGTTCCATTATTCTCTAGATTAACAGACCGTCCCGCCGACGTCACTCTGGATTATTCCGGGCGATTGAGGTGCACGCACTGAGTTTCGTGGGCTGCAATGGTTAACTCTCACCTTCTTAGCCTCCTGGGAAGTTAAGTCGTCCGATCGCTGACTGTACCAGTTCTCTCGAAAGCAACGGCGCACGAAGTCCGACCTACATCCCGATAGTCCCTCAAGTAGTCGTGACTCGAGTAAGAGCTCGAGGAGCCTATTTTCCCTGTCAAAAACCCTCTCCAGGACGTCTACCACGTCCGGCGATCAAGCGGAGTGGGCGAAGGGCCCGCTTGGACTGAGCCTCCTCTATTCCCCGACGGCGCCAGAGATCGACTTCATCTTCGTCCATGGCCTAGGCGGTAATTCTAGAAAAACATGGACCAAGTCGTCCCTGCAGTCTAATTTCTGGCCAAAGGAGTGGCTCTCCAAAGATCCCGCATTCAAGAACGTGCGCATTCATAGCTATGGATACGATTCGTACTACTTAAAAGGCAAAGAGGACTGCTTAAATGTACACCATATTGGCAAGTCATTCCTAGGCGCGATCAGCACTTCGCCATGCATTATCAATTCCCGGACATACATCGTTGTCATCGGCCACAGCATGGGTGGCTTGGTGATGAAGAAAGCATGTATCCTGGCGAAACAAGACGCAGTGCACAAGGCGCTGGCTGGGCGATTTGCCGCATTCTATTTCCTCGCTACGCCGCATCGAGGTGCCGACTCGGCAAAGACACTGAAGAACCTCCTCAAGGTTGCGTACGACCGCGCTTATGTTGACGATCTGGAACCGAACTCTGGGGCGGTCCAAGTGATCAATGACGAGTTTCGGCATTTTTCGGCTGGCATTGAGCTCTGGTCGTTCTACGAAACGCAGAGTATGAAACTATTTAGCTCACTCATAGTCGATCCCGAGTCGGCCGTCCTCGGGTACCGTGAAGAGAACCAGATACCAATGACTGCTGACCACCGCTCGATATGCAAGTTTGACACACCTGAAGACTCCAACTACGCCCTCCTACGAAACGCGCTCGCCTCTACTGTGAGCAAAATCGCCACGGCCATTCCGGAGCAGAAACTGAATCAGAAGCGTGAGAGGATCAAAAGCCTCAAGAGGTACTTGAAAGTTCCCGACGTCTTGGACGATGATCTTACAAACGTTTGCGAAGCTCGGATGCACGGGTCCTGCACATGGATTTTGACCAAAGCCAGTTACGTCAAATGGAGAGATGGAGAATCCGGAAATGACAGGACGCTATGGATCAAGGGCAAGCCAGCAACTGGAAAATCGGTTCTCGCTGGCCATGTAATCGATCAGCTCAAGGAGTCCGGCCAGACATGCAGCTACTTTTTCTTCAAACATGGAGACAAGTCGAAGTCCAACCTAGGTTGTTGTCTCCGATCTCTGGCTTTTCAGATGGCGAGCTCTAATGGCGAAGCTAGTGATGCCATCCTAGGAATGCAGGCGGATGGTGTTTGCTTAGATCGCGTCGACGAACGTACCCTCTGGAGAATCCTCTTCCTTTCTGGCATTTTCCAGGCCACAATGGATTGGCATTACTGGGTCATCGACGCCCTGGATGAGTGTTCCAATCCCTCGGTCCTTTTACATGCCATTCTTTCCAACATGGACGAATCTATACCCTTGAGGATCCTCGTCACAAGTCGGTATACGGTAGATCTGGACCAAGGTTTTTCGGTCATTCCACCCAACCAAATCCAGTCCTTGCCCATCTCGACAACAGACACAGAGTCAGATCTCAGGCTTTTGGTTGAGAGGAGGATCCAGGCCTTAGGAGTCGTGGGACCTGACGGTCGAGGTACATTAGCCGAGAAGATACTAGACAAATCTAATGGGTCCTTCTTGTGGACAATTTTGGTGCTTGAGGAACTCCTACGCTGCCACAGCAGAAAGGAAATTCACCAGATTCTTGGAGACGTGCCCAGAGGCATGGAGTCACTATACAAGCGGACCTTAGACCATATGTCGCAGGCCGCTCGCGGAAAAGAGCTGGCCAAAACCATTCTTATGTGGGCAGTATACGCGGTTCGACCAATGACAATCAGCGAGCTGGACGGTGCTCTGACCCTGGACATCCACGACTCATTCCCAAGATTGGAGGAGAGCATCTCCATGCTCTGTGGTCAACTGGTGGTCGTGGACAAATATGGGAGAGTTAAGATGGTGCATGAAACTGCCAGAGAATTCCTTGTAGCCGGCGGACTTGAGTCCGAGTTCTCCATTGAGAAAACTAAGGCTCACACACGGATGGCTCAGGTGTGTCTCAATTACCTTGTCGGGGAAGAAATGAAGCCTCCGAGGAACAGTCGACGCCGTCCTTCGGCAAATTTGGCAGCAACAAGATTAGATTTCGCCGCCTATGCATACACAGCATACTCCTATCACCTCGCGAGGGCTGATCCGTTGGATGCAGGGACGTTCCAGCTTGTCGTGCAGTTCCTGAGGTCCAACGTCCTCACTTGGATTGAAACGATTGCTGACTCTCCAAATCTCAATCACCTCATCCGCGCCTCGAAACATCTCAAAACCTATGTCAATGCGTGCGCCGCTGAGCGTTCACCACTAGACCCTCGAATACAAGTTCTGAGGCAGTGGACCACCGACCTTGCTCGGATTCCTGCCATGTTCGCCAACGCCCTCACGATATCATCGTCAGCAATATACTCGTTGATACCTCCATTCTGTCCCACCGAGTCTATGATATACAACACCGGGGGCTCAGGCCGGAGGCTTGCCGTCCTTGGTACGCCTAACAAGCATTGGGATGACAGGCTGCTGTGCATTGATTTCCGTCAGGATCAACCTAGAGCCTTGCGCTATGGGGACGAGTTTCTGGCCGTCGGTCTCAGTTCAGGAACCGCCAACTTGTACTACATCGCATCCTACCAGGAGTACAAGGTCTTGGAACACGGTGAAGCAGTCAACTTTATTGCTTTCAAAACCAAAAGTGACCTCGTAGTAACTTGTGGTGTGAAGATGGCCAAGGTCTGGGACATCAAAAGTGGGCAAGTGGTACACAGTCTCGCGAGCCCTCCGCATCCGCTGGGGATGGAATTCAATGGAGATACGCTTTTAATTGCCAGTCGCAACAACTACGTCGCGACTTGGCATCTGGGACACGGCGCCCGGCCGGAGTCGGTGCGGAAGCCATGGAGCGATACCGATACGTCAGAGACGAATCGAACGCCTCCGCTTGGGATACCGTGCGCACTGACTCTCTCTACTAGCCACGGGATGCTTGCAGTCGCTTACAGCGGCCAACCCATTACGCTATGGGACATGGAAGAGGACGCCTACACTGGTAGCTGTGGCAAGAAACTCTCCAGCGGAGAGACCAGCACGCATGTTGTCGTCGCGCTCGCTTTCAACCCCAATCCTGACATTGGTCTCCTCGCAGTCGCATACCTCGATGGTGACCTTGCCCTCCTTGACCCCTTTGCCGATCGGCAGCTGGAATGTTTTCGTGCCAACTGCCAAACCCTCGCCCCAAGCCCCAATGGGCGTCTCCTCGCAGCGGGTGGTGCAAATGGGATTATCCACGTTTACGAATTTGATACGTTCAAGCTGCTCTATCGGGTCAAGTCATCCAACTCGTATATCAAACAGCTTGCCTTTACTAGGGACAGTATGCTTCTTGCCGACATACGAGGCGCGCAGTGCACTGTCTGGGAGCCTGAAGCTCTGTTGCGGGAGAACCTAAGCGATGACAGCAGCGGGACTACTTTCACTACAGTGGTCGAGACTGTTTCCGTGGAAGCCAAAGCAAAGATCACTTCCATGGTGATTCATCACGCATCCGACGTTATCTTTTGCGGAAAGGATGATGGATCAGTCGTACTGTACGAGCGAAAAACGGCAGCGAGCTTGGGGATTCTCTACAGCCATAAGTCACCAGTCCACCTATTGGCCTGGATTGAACGGAGAGACGCCCTCCTTAGTGTCGATGCCTCCAACAGGATCTTCCTGCACAGGATCCAGAAATCAGCAGACAAAAGTTGGCTTAGCGATCTGACAGTACTATTCAAATCTCGCCTCGACTCCGAGAAGGCAATCATAGATGTGCTAGTAGGAGAAATGGCGGCGAAGTTCCTGGTATCGACTCGCGAGTCTGATCACCTGTTCAACTTGGACAGCGGTAAGTGTGAGAGAGAGCAAACATATCCACAAGTACCCGGAATCCGCAAATGGCTCCCTCATCCAGAATCCTATCTACATATTGTCTGTATCGACAACGTCAAAGTTTATGTCTACTGCTGGAGTGACTGGCCTGAAGTTTCATCTATCACATTGTCGTTGGACAACGACACGGCAGAGCTCAAAAACGCGATCCTCTATTCGCTCGGCCAAAAGCAAAGAATTATACTCGACTTGTTACATCCTAACAGCTCCGTCAATATCAGCAGGATTGCGATACTTGATGCAGACAGCCTTGTCGGCGGAAACATGAATAACAGCTTCTTGCCAGGGAAACAATTAGATGCCTTGGCCGCGTTCGATCAACTTGCCACGGATGAAGACACGGAGAACATGGACACGACATCGAGTCTGGCCACTCCGCTTCGTTCACGGATGACAGCATTGAAAGTAAACATTGCTCATGTCATCGGAATTGACGAATCGAAGAAATTCATATTCCTGAACCGATCTTCTTGGGTGTGCTCTGTTGATCTCAGCAAGGACGGGTTAGAAATCGCGCAACGCAAAGATCCCCTGGCGGTCGAGGTCTTCAAGCACTTCTTCATCCCATACGATTGGTTTGCTGGGAAGAGGGACGTTGTTTGTGCTTTGGCAAAAAGAGATATTATATTGACTCGGGGTGGCGACCTGGCGGTAATTAGAGGCGGTCTTGACTATGCTGAGAGAGTGTGTATAGAATAAGAGAGTAAAGCGAAGGGCTATGTCTAAACCCAAAACCCAAATCGCAGGTAGTCGGCGGAATTTGCTGTTCGACATGTTCAACGCGCTAACCTGCCGCGGCGAGGGAAGTCCGTGCCGCCAGGCGAGCTACCGATATTCGGCTACAAGATATTCAACTAAGCGGTGCTGGGCGTGTTCGCCGGCCCTGCAGTGCGACTTCCAGCTCGAGCCGCTGGGGCCCTGGGTGGATGGGGGCCAGTAAATACGTGCATGAGCTCCGTTTTAAGGTTCAGACTGGAGACTTGTCTCAGTTATCTGGTATGTACTAAGTGTTCTGAAGTTACGTGTTCAAGGCATTCAGTAGCACTTTTTCGTTTATCTATCTCGTATTCACACTGCCAGCCTTGGTCTTCAACTATAGAATTGTGATTGTCTGATCAAGGCTTATCCAAGACATTGCAATAAGGACCAAGTTTTCCAGATTCGTGGTAGAGCCTTATCGCCGTCCCAATATTCTGAGTATATCGCGAGGCCAACATTGTGGAAAGGCTCCTATCAGAGAGGTTTCTGCACTCGAAATGCATGACGTCTCGCACATAGTCGGTCCGGTCTTTCCATATCTGCTGCATCTCTTCGTTGGTGGGGTTCCCCTCAGTATCATAATTTGTCTCTAGATCCATAGGAGGAGGCAGAGTGCCCAAGAACAAGGGAAACTCGATAATCTCCCACGGAACCGTCCCCGCGTTTTCCCAATCAATGATAGACAAGATGTTATAATTCTTGTCGATAATCACGTTGCTATGACGGAAATCTGGATGGTACAGCGGGAAAGGACCTTCATTTTTCACTGTAATCTGATACCCACCTTTTGCAATTCTATGCGGAAATTCCCGAATAGACACGACAAATTCATCCTGCACATGAAGGGGTAGACAAGATCTTATGTAGGCTTCTCCTGCGGGAAACTTGGCGGCCTGGCCCCATGCTGCGAAATACTCCGTTGCCGTTTCGAATGGTCCACCCAAACCGGGTATTGCATCGACGTCGTATGAACCACCATCCAACCGAACGATCCGTCCAATCTTAGGAAATCGAATTGTAGACATGGCCACCTATTCCAATCGGTTAGTTAGGACCTTTGACCGTTGATCGGTGATGGATTTACTTGTACGTCTGCAATATTGCGGTAAAATGCCGGCTTGAACTGTTGAGGTATCTCGCCTTTGTGGGTCCTCCAGCCACCGAAAGCATCCATTGCCGTGCTGCCTAGAATAAATTCCATGATCATGAAGGCACGGCCGATGATTTCTCCACTTGACTCATAGCCAAGTACTTCCGGCACAGGTATCTTCGTCCGCTCCCGAAGTATAGAGAGTGTGTGAACTTCGTGAATCAATCTTTTCTTCGAGTCTTCTGTGCACACATGCAATTGTATGCGTGCCACCCACTTTATTCCATCATCAAATTCAAGGATTCTCACTACATGAAGGCCACCCATATTATTAGTGGAGGCATGTGGCAGGTCCGGCTGATTCCCTGACCTGGTTTGTTCTTCAGCTCAGCAGCATATTCCTGGAGAGCTGTCCAGTCAATCGCAGGTATTCTATTGCTTTGGTTTTTGTCATTTTTCCAATTCAATAACTCCATTATCTTTGCAAATCCGGGTTTAGAAATGACTAAGTCAAGCGCAGAATGGATGGCATGTAAGCTCAAGAGGATATGTAACAGTGTCAAGGGAGTATTTAGGAGAGTAAAGTATTTAAGCCAGCAGCTGAATTTTCTCTGCAAGGGGAGGGGCAGGTCACATGGTGTCCTCAGACGGTGCCTAAGTGTGTATGTGCTCAGGTGATGCACGAGCCGCACTCGAATTCCAGGCGCCTTATCACAGCACTTTATGGTTACGGCGGGTATTCGGCCACTAATATATAGCCAGCATTAGCAGTGGCGTTAATTATTGGCTGAATAGGGAGTCAACTCACTTATTATCTAGGATTGATTTTTGTGAGACTACATAATTGTGTCAGTTTATTGATCTCTTGGTCTGTTTTAGAAAGGGAGATTTTAAAAACACGAATTTATATGAATGCAGCCTAGACCGAAGTGGCGAGACTCTTATATAGGAAGAACTGCAAGAACTATATCAACTATCCAAAAGGACATGACGCCATGATTACTTGCACCATTTGTGGTATAAGTAGCTGTCATCGTGGCAGTTACAAAAGTGGTGGTATCGGTGCCTGGAGGCTTTGTAGGCGTTGGCGTAGTTGTTGATGTCGTCAGAATTGTGGTGTATTTCACCGAAACTTCGGTGTTATCAACCCAAGCAAACATCATGATATTTTCAACACCATACGGCCGAACCTCTATGGTCCCAGAAGCAGGCGTGCCGGAGTTCACTGTGGGTACCCTATACGTTTTGGGTCAGCTGCCCTCTAGGAAAAGCCGACGACCAGCCAACTTACGAGCCATAATAATTTCCCCAATCGTCTATGAGAAACCCAGGCTTTAAAGTTCCAGATGCAATGTTGTAATTGACGTTAAATGTCCCAACAAAGTTGTCCGGAATGTAGAAAGGAATGAGCGTCGCAATACTGCCATCGGTCTTGTTCGCATAGACAGACTCGTCGACGTAGATAATGTCAGTGTCATTTTTTTTTAGCACAACACCATCATCTTTCATAGGTGTCCTTGTAACCATATTACCTGGACTAACAGATCTCTTCTTGTCGACGGGAGTCTGGGAGCAGTCGAGACCCTTAATCTTCACTCGAAATTGAGTTCCTCCAGCGTTTCCCTTGAGTTTCGAGCCCCAGCGGCTTCCAAGTGCGCTGTTGATACTTTGTGGTACGCATATTATGGATGCATCACTACCGCCCTCCCTCTGCAGAACTCGCAAACGCAAACTCGTCGCATGGCCACCGTATTCTTTTTCCCGTAGGTTTAACTTCTGAGAAGATCCGCGAGCAAGGACTGCCAGTACATCCCGCAGCATGACGGTTCTGGCTGGCAAGGCGATCCTGATTTTTTCCGTTATAAGACAGTGTAATCTCTCAACTACAAAGCCTGGTGTGATCTCCTCAATAACACTCACTATAACACGGTTGCTGAGCTGGACTACTTTTATTACATTCATACCTTCCTTGCAGAAGAGGACCTAGCAGACGGTCAATGAGCTGAAACTTGCTTTGTTATCTTTAATAGTTGGTTTGGTCATTTGGCAAAGCATCGACTAGCCGAATACCACAATGACGCCCAGTTCAGCGAGGGGACACTCTGGAAGATTCAGACCATTCGATCTCCCTCTCCACAGCAATTATCCCGTCACTACTCTTGGGAATGGAGTGGGTTCCCCCAACGGCTTCGGTTAGGATTAATTCATCCTCATCCTGATCCCGGTAGATAGCGTTCTTCGGTGTTGGATGAAGGCGATAGAATTCACCATTCTGACTGAGGTTATGAGATGCAGATCCGTTGTTCTTGGAGGAACCTTGAGTGCTGAAAATCGTCGGAAAGAAACGACGAAGCAGAGGCCTAAGAGTGGGAAGGCAGGCCGAGATAATACCAGTAGCGGGCTCAACACAGGACCAGATGAAGCAGTCAGTCTGGTTCCAGGTGATATCATTGCTTCGGTACATATAGGTCAAGAAGTATACGCGAATGGCGCCGGCAACACAACCACTATAGATAAGAAGGTCAGCGATAGATCTAATGGAAGAGAAGGGATCACGTACAAGCCACCGAGCAAGAAGATACCAATGACCGAGAACTTTTGCATAACCGGCATTTGCAGTGACATGACCATGGGAATAGGCGATAGTAGGATCAGGAAATCCGTGCCAGCGCTTAAAGCGCCGTTGGCTATGTAGAAGTGACCCAGATCGATACACTCTCCCTTGGCATTAGGATCAAAATATTGCAACCAAAAATATTGGTATGGCCGGCATTGGAAACCAGCAACGAATGAGACGGCGATCAGCCAGCCGAGGACAAGGAAGGAGAGAAAATACAACACCCTTTGGAAGGAGGGTGTTGGGAAAATCCGATGAAGGAACAAAATAATACAGATTTTGGTCGAGGAGACAACAAAACTGTAAGTAAATTCGCAGTACCAGAGAAGCTGAATATTGCGTTAACATGATGGTGCTCTAAACGGCGGAGTCAGGTAGCGACTAACCTTGGTTACTGCAACGGGGTCGACGCCAGGTGCCCACATGTGTCTCCCGATACCTTTCTGGGTAGCTAAAGATTATTAGGTTGGTACGTTGAACAGATACTAAACATGAGAGCCCAACTTACCAATGTAGCCAAGTGTGCCGTTCGTAAAGGCAAAGGCCTTTGCGCGTGTATCAGCCATGAATTTTATAGAAGGTTAAAGAGAATCTTCAAAACTGACCAATGATATGCAGACGGCCAAATCATCCCACCACAAGTTTGCTTTGCTAACAATCCTTGCAGTGAAACGGAGGCCAACTGCGAATGTTGCGAGGCCCAGTAGCGCCCAGTCGGGTGCGGCCACCTGGAGGGATCTATCTTGGGAGAGATCACTGCCGGGTGGTGGAGCTGCCATGGTGATTATCTTCGCTTGTCACTGAAAAGAAAGTGTTCAGAGGACCTGAAAAGTTCGTCAGCAAGAAGTACATGTTGAAAATATGAATTAGGATGGGGCACCATTGAGTATGGGGAGTCGAGATGCTTCTAGCATCTGACAGCTGTCAAGACTTATCTAGGTTATATAGTCATTTCAGTATGCTCAGGAGCTGGCCGGGATGAGCTCAAGGCTTTGGCGCTAAGCTCCCGCGCCGTTTCGGAAAATGTCATGAAGGATCAGTGAGAACGAGGACGGTATCCATCCAAGTTTGCCCATTAAGAGGGCCCAGGCGCTACCAAGCTAAATTAGGGCCCGAAGACCCCTGCTTAGTGTCCGTCTCGTACGGTATCGGTGGCGGCCCCTAAATGTCTAGGAAATACTATTTCCCAATTCAGTATTTGATCTAGACCCTTGTCGACTGGCGCACATGGGAGTTGGCCAAGCTTCGAATGAGAAAGCCGAGAGAGCAAGGTCGTTCCGTCCGCTAAGGCCCCTTTTCTTGAACAATGAGATTCAGGATTTGAAGATCTTCATACACTGTTACACGGTGAATCCAAGCCTATGACAGCGTTTGGTTGTTTACCCTTTGAGCAGACCGCGCAAGAAAATGATCTCAGATCATCTTCTAGAGCTGGCTTAGCGACAACCAGACAACTATATTGGTCCAAACCCTAAAAGCGGATGACAAGTCTCGCCAGCGTAGCATTCCTCAACTCAATCTACGTCAAGCTTGGAAGTGATTAGGGGGCTGGAGAAAGCGGGTAAGACAGAGTCCACTGTCCGTCAAGTTCTTCGAACTAGGGAGCGGTGTTTTCTGAAACAAGGGAGCAATCCACTTTCGATGATCTGTATGTACCTAGTGTCAAGTGCGCAGTACCTACCATACATTGCCATTTACCATGCTCCCGGGTCCATCCTATGTTGGCGAGGGGTCTGCGCAATCTGTTTTCCTGGCAGGAAACCAGCTTATGTTTATTACGCAGCCTTGCGCAAGCCAAAGATTCCTGCGCGCCAAGCCCTGGCTAGGTGAAGCCCCGCTAATTACTGTTTTCCAAAGCCAAATCTCTCCGGAACCGTTGGGCTTAAAGGATGATCTACATTTGCCATTGTGGTGGCACTAGCCTCTGAATCGCTCCCGCAATGAAGCTGAAAACAGGAGACGAGACGAAGGGAAAATATAGTGCAAACTGTAGATCTTCAACCACGTGCGGTACTACGCAATGCCGGGCCGAGCTGGATTGGACAGTCGGTGCAGTGAGAAGAGCAGAATCCCTTTATCGCTATTTACTCCGGCTACGCGAGAGACAGCGAATAAGGATAAAACGCTTTTATTGTGTACTTTAAGTAAATCCAGCACCTGCAATTGAACTTTGGAAATTGAAGAATCAAGCTAATTAATAGTGGATACATACAGTAAAATGTGTCGCTCAGGATCGAGGCAAAATAACCGCTGGATCAAAAACGCACCTTGTGCGCCATTCTTAGTCTATACCATCATTTTCCATCTCGACAAAATGTACTGACAGTCGAAGACTGAAGAAGGTATAACAACATAATGGTAATGAATGACAAAGGGCCAATCATCCTGCAATCATCACCACATTTTTTACCATCGGAAAGTGTCAATGTGGTCAAGCAAAACAGAATAAGACTCGTTTCGGAAGTCGTCCACTATAAGCTTGGACTCGCCGGCGAACATGTTCAGTGCCTTGTGGCCCTCGCTATACTGAGGCCACTCGGGAAGATTGCCCCGACGAGAGTTAGGATTCATATCGTAGATGAAGCTGTAGTAGTAGGTGTGGAAAGCCTTAGATGCATAATTGGGGAGCACACCGTAGAAGACCTGAATGATGTCGCTGATGTGGAATGTACCCAGGATGGGAGTGCCGCGGTCATAGGACGAGATGAACGTCCAGCACGGGACCTGGGCGGTGTCAAGGAGGAGGCGACGCTGCAGAATAAAGACAATATCACCGAGCATGGAAGCCATGCGCTTGAACTTGGGCCAGATGTTCCACAGAATTCCGGTGTAGTAAGGAGATCCGGCAGCGAGATCATCAGGGTAGGTCTTAACGAACTCCTGAAGATCCTCGCGAGAGGCGCGTCTCCAGACGTGAGCCATGTAGTCGATCATATCCTCCTGGGAGGTGAGGTTGGGCTGGAACAGCGCGAATAGAGTGCCTTCGTCTTCCTGGTCACCAATGATGAAGGGGACTTTAGCGGTCTTTCCCTCCTTGACAAGAACATCGGGGCTGTCCGTGAGGATCTTCCCGTCAGGTCGAGGCATATACGATAGATCTATCGAGTAGTAGGTGAACAGGTTGGGCACCGAGTTGGCCGCATTGTAAAAAGTCTCAAAAGGAGCCTGGCGCAGACATTCCAGAGTATCTTTAGCGCCAGAGCAGCCAGCATTGTCCACCACGGTGTCATAGAGACCCTGATTCTTCTCGCTGTCCACAGGCTCCATAGGGATGACACTTCCGGAATCCATCATGGCGGCCCGGAAGAGCGGTTTACCCTTATAGGTATTGTCGCCGTCGAACATGGCCATTTGGTCAAAGACACTAATAGCGCCTGCGGACTCGCCCCAGATAGTAACCTTATCCGGGTCACCACCGAAGTCAGCGATATTGTCCGCCACCCACTGCATAGCCATACGCTGATCCAGCAGTCCAAGGTTTGATACGCCAGCTTCCTTGACCTCTTTGCCGGCCAGGAATCCAAAGCCACCGAGACGATAGCCGATTGCAACATAAATGAAGGGCATGTCCATGTTAATGGAGTCTAGGACCAGAGGCGTGCCCTCATACTGATAAGCAGCACCCCATTCAAAGCCACCTCCGTGGATCCAGAACAGGACGGGGAGCTTAGAATCCTTGGTGGTACCGGCTGGGCGGCGGATGTTCAGGGACAGACAGTCCTCAGCGGTGTTGGTCGCGACATTGAAGAATGGGCTTGTGAGGATCTCGCCCACTATGTCAAGAGGCAGGTCGACAAGATCGTTGAGGATAGCCTCCAGTGGATTTTGCGAGCCATCCAGTACGTGGGCGCCGGTGGTCAACCAGAAGTTAGGGCATGATTTGGAAATACCCGTGGCTTCGATGGTACCCAGAGGCTCTTCTAATGGCATCGGGGCTCTCAGACGGAGGTTCCCAACAGGCTGTTGCGCAAAAGGAATAGCATTGAAGCTCTCGACTTCACCGGGAATCCCGATAATGGTGGCTTCAGGGTGTGAGAGCGTAATGGTAGGAGACAGAGCCAAAACAGCAGAGGCGAAGGCCAAAGCAGATAAAAACGAGCGACGCATGGTAAACGAGTGAAACCATGGACTTGTGAAATTATACACATACAACGTGCTGGTAAACAGGTATTCTATATACTATGTCTTCGTTCCGGGCCGAATAACGGCTAGGCGGATCAAGGGGACCATGGCAGAGATTGGGGAAAGATCGACGACTCTAATTGCGGTGTTCCTGGTTGTAGACCCTCTTTCCTATTCTAGATTGTCGGGGCTACCCTCTTCGGCACTTCTTCTCTTGTGGGGTAGGTGTTGGCGCTAATTCACGAAAGGGAGCACGCTGACCTCCCACTGGTTAGCCAGTTCGTGGAGATCTGATAAAATACCGCTAAATCCGCGAATCAGTACCGGGATCCTAAGTCTCCACCACAATCCTTCCGTGTATACTCACCTCTCGAAGGACTAGTGGTACAGGAACGCGATTTTGAGAACGAGGCCAACACCGGAGGCGTGGGACGGCACGTTTTGACAGGATGGAGCTTATCCACAGCGTCCCAAGCCCGGCGCCCCCACCATCAAACAGGAAGCAGGTTTTCGAAGATAAATTTGTTTGGGCTCTGTATATTTTCTTTTACAGCGACAGTGATCAGCAGGAATCTTTTCGGGCTGGACCGGTCCACGCTCCCTTTCGGTGAACTCTGTATGGGGGTCGCCACTATGTTTTGATAGTCGGGCGTGTGACAGTTATGTCAGCTCGAAGGATGTGCCACGGGGTCATTGACGGGGCTTGGTCAACAAGGGAGAGGACCGAAATAAGTTTTCGAAACTACGTGGTGAAACTGCATAGGTACCTGAACGAGGGAGCAAACAAGTCTTTGAAAGACCAGGTGCTGAGTTGCTGCCAGGCGTGACTATGGTATTCTTCAGCACATAATGAGCTCTGTTCATACATCTTGTGACAGACACTCGCTTGAATGACCAGTACCAGTGTTCACATTGGTTCTACAACGGCCCCAGGTAAAGGATGTGCTGAATGGTCAGCCCAGAACTGCACTATCATTGACGGTGTTGCCACTTGTGGTATGATCGACCTGAAGCTCATCTCAGTATTTCGGAAGGCTTTTGCAAAATCCATATTGTCTCCAGTTGCTGTAGTGTGGGCGTTAGTCCCTGATCGGGCTTGTCTAAGGATTATCACGCGCTGGAACTACCTGTATAGGTTAGTAGCACACACCTGTTGTTGTCTCTATGCCCCGTCTTTTCCCCTAGCTGCTCAATCCTGGCTCTGACTCTTTTTAGATACCCATTGGACATCATTAATGTTCTTGTTTTGCTAAGCAACGTTGGTTTTGTTATTAGGGAATTTCTCTGTGTATATATTGTATCAGGGACATCTTCGAACAGAAAACCAGAATCCCTCGCAAAGCCAAACCAAACGCCAACCAATCAGCATCCCCATGTACCGAAATGTATACTTTTCCCTAATCCAAATTCTTTATATACATACCCATGATGAGTATTGAAAATCGTATATACAAATGATCATAGTTTCCCAGCTAAGGGGATATAGTGACCGTTATGGGAGGCACCGTCAACTGCGGCGGTGTCTGAGGCCGCTGAGGTGTCTGCTGGCGCTGCAGCTCACAAGAAGCAGACGCAGTAGCAGCGGTTTCCTCGTCCACAGGACCGACAGAATCATCGACCTTCGAATCTCCCCGAGTAAAGATGCGCCGGGTAAACCGAGGCAAGGGTTGAAAAAGCGCCTTGATACCGCGAGCAACAGCCCTGCAGCCGTTCTGAAGCGGCCGCAGAATAACTGTTAGACTATCCACCACGGCATTGAAGACAACACCAAAACGGCGGTCAGGTATCAGACGGAGAATCACCGCCCATCCTAGACATCCAATTGCACAGATGAGGCAGACTGCCCACAGGATCCCGTTTAAGGGCGTCACACCAAAGGCCTCGCCGCCAACATAGATAATCATGATTTGACCGCCGATCATGACGGCGTTGATTCCCAGGAACCAATAGTTGCGGAACATGCCTTCGAAGATATTGAAGCGGTTATCAAGCCGTCTGTTGTTGAACTCGTTGAATACCTGCATCCAGACGAATGTGTTGAAGACAACAGTCGAGAGCTCTTTCTGTCGGACTCCAGGGTTGTTGGGATCGTTATGCAGATGAGAGTTAAGAAGCTTGTCGCCGGCAAAATACAGTGTGAACGTCACGGCGAGTTGGTATATCGCTTGCCCGAGGATAATTTTCCACATCGTCAGAGTGAAGAGCGAGTCCCGTTTGGAGACGGGCTTGCGGTCGAGGATTTGCTCTGTCGGTGCGTCGGTTGCGAGCGCCAGTGCAGCAAATGTGTCCATGATTAGGTTGACCCAGAGCAGTTGCACGGCATTCAAAACACTATTGTTTGAAGAGCTGTAGACGGATGATACAAAGGTCAAGACCACGGCGGTGATGTTGACCGTGATCTGGAATTGCAGGAACTTGGCCACAGCGTCGTTGACGGCCCGGCCCCAGGCAATTGCGGTCACGATTGACCTGAAGTTATCGTCTAACAGGATGATCGAACTTGCCTCCTTGGCTACCTCTGTTCCAGCCATACCCATCGAAAACCCAACGTCTGCGGTTCGAAGAGCTGGCCCGTCATTGGTGCCATCCCCCGTCACGGCGACAGTCTCCCCGAGAATTTTGAGCCGCTCGACGAGAATGCGCTTGTCCTCGGGCGAAGACCGCGCCAGGACCTGGAGATTGGGAATTACCTTGTCCATCTCCTCGTCTGTCAGCTGCCGGAACTTAGGGCCTTCCATCACCAAGCCATCCTCAGTCTTGATGCCACAGGACGCCGCAATTGCCGTGGCAGTGGCGACGTTATCCCCCGTCACCATTTTGACCTGAACTCCAGCCATATGACACTTGCGGATAGCTGCTGGAACTTCAGGGCGCAGAGGATCCTGGATGCCCACGACACCAACCCATGTCATATCATGGAAGACATCATCAAAGTTGGCTGCAGATAAGTCATCCTCCAAAGTTTTAGCCTCTGTTGGTGGCCAGTTTGGAAAGTCCTTATACACGATGCCGATTGTCCGCAAGGAACGCTGGGCGTAACGGTCGATGGTTCTCAAGGCTTCTTGTCGGTTTGTCTCAGAAAGCTGCTCTGTCGCAAGACTTTTCTTTGATACGTCGATATCTGTGATTTGGGTACTGCAAGCACCAACCATAAGCTCTGCAGCTCCCTTAACCAGAAGACGGTATCCTGCGCCGGGTTCGTGGTATACCACACCCATACACTTGCGGGAGGAGTCAAATGGAATCAATTGAAGGATATGAGCAGAACCTCGCTCGGAGGCCAAGTCCATGCCAAGGTAATCGCGAGCCAGCTGGAGGAGCGCCACTTCGGTTTTGCTGCCGACAAACTCCTTGTGCCCGTCTTTGACTTCCTCAAACGCCGTGGAGTTCAGAGCAACGCTTTTGATGATTAAGTTCCGGACTGGTGCTGAGCACTCCTGGAAACTTTCGGATATAGGCACCGAATTCTCAGCATCTTGATCATCTGGCGAGTGGCTGAAACCCTGACCCGATCCCCAGGTCCCAGCGACCACAGTCATTTTGTTTTGGGTTAATGTTCCTGTCTTGTCGGAACACACGACTGTGGCGTTTCCCATGGTCTCACAGGCCCGCAGGACGCGAACAAGGTTGTTCTCCTTAACCATGCGGGTAGTAGCAAAAGCTAGGGCTAGTGTTACGGCTAGGGGAAGACCCTCTGTGAATGCATCAATGTCAACGCCGTCCAATGAATCTCAGAAGATAATTACTTACCTGGAATCGCGACAACAATGACGGTGACAGCGACAATCAGAATATCTACGAACTCTTTGCCCTTGATCGCAGGGCTCGCCGGGTTATCCGAGAGATGGGCGATGAACCGAAACAACAGCACGAAAAACAGAATCGTGGCAGCACTGACCCAGTGTCAGTAAGAAATTCAACATAAGGCCGACAATTAGAAACTTACCCCGAACCAACATACCCAATCCAATCCGCCAACCGACCTAGCTTCACCTGGAGTGGGGTCGGATCGTTGGACGTCTGCAACGACAACATAATTCGACCATAAGAGGAATACGGCCCGACGCTGGTGACTAGATACGTGCCAACGCCTTCTAAAACTTTGCTGCCAGAGATCATAAACGGATCGAGTCGTTTTGTTGCCGTGCCGTCCACGATCCGCTGCCATACCTCGTGGCCACTGGTCTTTTTCATCTGATCTGACTCGCCCGTGGCAGAGGACTCGTCGCATTTCACGCCGTGGCCGGAGACCAATACTCCGTCAGCGGGAATGGAATCGCCCGGTTCGAGGTGGAGGATATCGCCGGCCATGACGTCGTAGATGGATATCATGGCGATTTTGCCTGAGCGGACGGCTTTGACTTCGCGGTCGTTGTTCTGCACAGACACTCTGTTAGCTTTGTTGATTGAGCAATAATGGTGAGAATAGCCTACCCGCTTGTTGAGTTTAGCAAACTGTCTTTCTTTCTGCCAGTCATTGGCAGCAGTGACGACAGTAACGATCAAGATGGCCACGCAGATAGCAACGCCTTCCACCCAGTCGACGCCTGTGCCTCCGTCTATGGTTTCATATATACCCAGAGACAAAGACACGATGGCGGCAATAGTCAGCAATATAATGATCTTGTCGTTATATGCCATCCAGAACAGCTTCAAGAACCCAGTCGATTTCCGAGTCGGCAGTCTGTTCTGTCTGAAAATACGGATGCGATCTTCGAACGGCGAGCCTTCACTCCCTCCTAGTCTTTGTGTTGGATTTGAGTCTGGAAGAGGTTGAGGTTTGCTGATAGAGCCGGACCGCTTCCCTCGAAGAGTCGACAATGGGTTGACCTGGTCAAATTCAACCCTCCCTTCTAACCTCCCTTCATCAACCGATAGCCCAGCATTTAGATCTGTCCGCAATCCACGCTCCAATCCAGGCAACCCACCCAGCGCATGAAACGCAGCGAGTGACTTTGGATTCTGCATTTTATTCAACTGGCCAGGCGAAAACGCAAAGCGGTTATCATCGACCCGGAAATCGTCTTTATTTCGAGGATCCGGAGTCAATGCTTCAGAGAGTGACACATCGTCATAGTCGACTTTAGAATCAACATCCACATTGCCCGGGTCTACCGAGTTGGCTCGAGATCGGACAATCGTATCTGCCGACGAGGCGAACGAGTCCGAGCGTGGACGCAGCGTGGCGCCATCAATAGATAGCGACGGCCGATGGGATGTATAGGCATCTTGAACCGTTAGAAGCGCTGGATCTGGTGGGCTTGGAGTCGAGGCCCGTGCCGTATCGGGGGCATGGTATGAGCTCGCGCTGGGGTCTAGTTCTGTTGACCCAGACATGACAGACGAGGCCGTTGCTGATGATGATATGGACAGACCTCGTTGCTGCATTTTTCGAGTATATTAGCCAGGGATATTGGTCAAGCTGGGGCGGCCCTATTTTGCTTTGCTTACCTGTCTGCCCGAAGGGCCTCCCATTGCAACCGGGCTTAGCAGGGAGCCTGAAGTCCGAGGAGGGTTATTGTTTGAATCCATGGCTAAAATAAAAAAGCCACCAAGATCCTCCGAACAAAATGTAAAAGACGAGATAGAGATCACAACAGATATGGCGTCTCCAGTCCTTGTGCACGGGGGGTTGTGAGCACTCCAGCAGTTAGGTAACTATATCAGATCGCCCAAAGGGGCTGTGCAGATGCCCAGAAAGTGCCGAGGAAAGAGAAACCAAACCCTGACCGTCCCATAGCCAAGAGGGGGTGTGTTGCCTATTGCTGTTGCAGTCTGCGATGAGCGATGCCAAGTACAAGCCAAGGACAAGAGCGAATTTTAAAGTCCAGCACTTGAAAATCCGACCCAGGATAATCCTTTGAAGGTTAGGTTTGAAGGGCGGTGCTGGTGCTGGATGGAGGTGGATTGGGTGGATTCAGCGCATGAATCGTAACGCTAGGGATGATGATGGAGCCCAGGGAGGCAACATGGACAGCATATAGCAATGAGCACAGCCCTCTCTAAATTTTCGTGTCTGCGAGTTTAGATCTGCGGAGGCCTGATTTTCACTAGAGGTGCAACGGAGTTGGGTAGACCGCTTGCGAGTAAAGGAAAGGGGTATGTCTCATAAAATAAGCCAGATTGAAGGAATGGAAGCGAAGAACATGAGGTATAACAGGTAGTACTAATAACTTGATTTAGGCGCCGAGTATAACAATCCCCCCGGCCTCATCCACTTCTCTACCACTCGCCTATCAATCACACATGAATACGACAGGAAAAAGCGCCGCCAAGGCTGGCCAGACACTGTGTTCCAATGGGACGAATTGAGCTTTTGCCGCCAGGAAGTTTAGAACGACGCTGCTGCGCCTCACCGCGATGGCCAATGACCGGCGGGATCAGGGCTCCACCTAGGGTGTGTATCAGATAGATTTGAGTATGATTGTCGCAAAAGTATCAGCATCTGACTGGCCCTTGGTGCGTCATCGTCGATATCAGTGCCCTCTTCCTCTTGGACGCCGCTTGTGTAGGTGGAAAGACTGAGGCGACCACCGGCAGGTGAGACTGAATCTGAGTGCTAAGCCATCCGCGTCATACAGACAAAATGTACAGTGTCTGATCGGTGCAGGGGTATTGCTCAGGATTTTACGGCTGAGCCACTCAGCAATGAGACGGATGGAGATCGAAGAGCCGGGACGAAGCTGGGATTCAAGATACAAGGGGGGCTGTGGCGTAGATGTGGCTGAGTGAGGGATGTGGCGGTGTTGGGATCGATCGACAGGCCATGTGGATGAGGAATGAGGCATTGTGGAGTATATAGTTGTGCAGTAGATAATGTAGAATTATGTATTTCCACTAAATAGACGGATAGAAAATAGAGAGAGTGTGTGTGTGAGAGAGATCGGGGGGGTATCTATGAGAAAAATAAAGTGTGGAAAGTAAAAAGAAAATGAGCACGGCACTCCAAGCCCATAACATAAACGCCAGGCAGAAAACCCATTACACATCTGCTCATGTCGCATAACCCATGGAAGAACCTGGGTAGGTACATCACAGATCCAAGCTCTCCTGGAATCGGCTGCCCCGACTCCCATCAAAACTGGGAAAGCTGCGGCCTAGCCCATCGGGTCGGTGAGCAGCTAGAGGAGCTACAGAGGCCGCCACGTTTTGGGGCTGCGCAGTAATGGGCGTGGACATGGCGACATTCGCCGAGCCTGGGACGGGGTTACGCGCGGGGGAGGGGCGCAGTACCCCCGCGCCGGGTTCTTCTGTTTCTCGCGTATACTTTGAGTCCAGTGGACTGCTGAACGGGTTTACTGGTGGCGGAGCATGTGAGGAGGGAGAGGCACGCGGTGACGTGGGAGAGAAGAGTCCAGGGGGGAGGGTGGGTGAGTCCTCAGGAGGACTGCCCCCATACCCGTCGCCGCCAGACGTGAGAACAGATTGGATTTTGCGGCCAGAGATCTTCTGGAAACCGCGCTCGCTGGGATTGGAACTCCGTGTGCTGTCGGTCTGCGCAGTTTGCGCTGAATTACGCCAGCGGTTCATGAAGGCGGGCGCAAAGTACGATGCTGTGAAGAGCGAGTCGTCGTTGCTGGCCATCTCGCGCGTTCCGGCCGTTTCGTCCTGAGAGCCAAGGCGTGCGGGAGTCTTGTTGCGGAAGAACCCTCGGCGGCGTAGGTAGTAGAAGAGAAGAAGAATAATCATGGCAATACCGGCCACCGTGCCCACAACACCGCCGACAATCTTTGAGGTAGTGGGATTGATCGAGCCAGATCCTCCGGATGACGGATCATTAGGGGATGTGCCTGATCCGCTGCCAGTACTCCCGCCGGTGTTTCCCGAACCCCCGAAGAATCCAGTCGTGGTAGACGTTGATGAAGAAGTGTGTGACGAATGTGTCTCGGAGCTCGACGAGCTCGAGGCTGAGATTGGCGTGAGGAAGTTGTTGTGCGCCAAAGGTGTACTCTTCGTTGCTGACGCGGTAGTGGCAGACCCGATGAGCGGAGTGGAGATGGGCGGCGCAGAGCTGACGGCTCCAGCCACTGGTATCGGGGAACGCGTAGGCGAGACAAGAGACTGTGATGTCCGTGGCTGACTAGAAAGCAAAACAGCAACCCCGTCGACTGAGGATGGTTCCGCCGTAGACGACGGACCGGGTGAAAGGGTGATAGTGCCAAACGACGGGTCGGAGATGGTCATAGGCAGTTCAGTCCCGGTGGATTGCCAGAGCGTGTGGTTTTGGGCATCAACGACCTCCACGACGGTTTCGACGACCACCTGCTGATCCGTTTCGGTGGAGTCTCGTTTCCAAATGGTCACGTCCGCTATATCCTCCAGACAGGTCACGTTTTGTAGTGGGTCGCAGGTCTCACTCTCACCCGCCAGCGCATCAAGTACTGGCAGAGACGGTTTGCGTATAGGATCCGAGTTGGCCAAACTATCGGGACCGTTCTCATCGCTAGCCTCGGTCTGCCCGTCCCGCGCCTCCATTTGATGTCGGTGTTGTCGGGCTTTAATCAGCCTGCTGATGTGAGAGTGGCGGTGATTGCCGTGGTGAGCCATTCTGCCAATGGCTCCAAAGGCGCAGCCCCCAGTTCCTTTCTTTCCGCGATTCAAAAGTGTATAAAGATTAACGGGTTATGGGGGAACCACCGAAAAGAGTCGAAGCCAGATCGACCAGCTTCGCAGATTCGTTAAGTAATACCCTGGGGATGTCGAATGAGAAAGGCAAAAAGCAGGTTCTTGCCCGCGACTCGAAAAGCAAAGATTGAATAGTGCGCGGCTAGAATAAGGAGTGACAGATGCGATCAAAGAGGCAGAAAGGAGTGGATGCCAGCTGCGATGTCGCCCGGACAATGGAGAATCAGGAGCGAGCGAAGGTCATGGAAAGAACGAAAGTCTGCTCAATAATATCGGTCAGTCCAAATTGATTCGATCCCCGTGCAACATCGTGATCATACCCGTGGGCAAAGGAGCGAAAAGAAGAGAGAAGAAGAAAAGCCAGGCGACTCGGCCTAGTCCATGATCGGTCGAAGACACAATACGGGCCAGACGGCGGCGACGGGGCGATGAAAAGAAAGAAGGGAACTGGGGAGGGAGAGAAAGAGAGAGTGTGAGAGAGACAGAGGGAAAAGAGAACGAGGGCCAGAAGCGAAACGCAACCCAGCCAAACCGAACCAGACCCAGACCCTCTCCTATCAGGGGCCGCGCAGGAACGAGTAGCGATGGCGTCTTATGAGTCTGATTATTATTCCGAGTCAATTATTGAACTATTCTTCTTCAGTCGAGTCAGCATGCACGACACCCGCCATTCCTTCCTTCTGGTCATTAATTGATTCAGCCATTCACTATTATTGTTCGCGTCGAGAAGCAAACACGGAGACCCGAAATCAACGGGCCCAGACGGGAAAAGTGCGATGGAGCCACCGAGTGGTCTGGCCGCGGTCGCTAAGCCACTTGGGGGCTAGTTTAATGAGATGCATTAACGCCCGGAAATTTGAATAATATTCCCTAGTAAGATGTAAACAACAGCGACAAGGCAGTACAAGAACTTCTTGCATTATTCAATGATAAACATGTCCATGAGCAGAACCTCCTTCTAGATACATCTTCTCTCTCCCAGCAAAGAATTGAGTAGTAAACCGAGGCCCTCTCAACAACAATCAACGCGACACATAAGGGGGGTATTTCATGAAAACTCCTCTCAGACCGTCTAAAACGTCTCGAGGTCATCTGCCACGCCCTCCTCGCCCTCGGCAGGAATCTCAAAGCCTTCTTCAGTCGAGTACAGAATCGCCAGGACGTGCTTGGGCAGGGAATCCTCATCCTTCTCTAGCTCCGGGTCCGCCTCGATCGCGTTCTGCAACAACAGCTCAATGTCGCGCAGTTTTGCGAAGTAGAAATCGCGCTCCTTCTCAAGGCCTGCAATCGCCTCCCTTTGTGTCGCGATTTCCTGCTGCAATGCCGCCGAGGAGCCTCCACCGGTCGCGGCGCCCACGCGTGGGCGGGTCGCGGAGGACGTAGGGGTCACGCCGCGCCGTGTGCCACTCGCAGAACCAGTGCGAGGGCCGCTACCACCGCTGGGCGCGCCGCCGCCGGGGGCGCCAGAGGCCTTGCGCCGGGCGACGGCGTCGTACTCACCGCCTGGGTAGTGCTGATCCCAGTACCGCTTCACCCACTGCAGGAATTCGAGGTTGTCCTGCATGCGGCATTTTGTGAGGGACTGAACGGGCACAGGCTTGTTTACTCCGTGCTTGGCGAAGACATCTGGAGCGGGACAAGTTAGAGAACCAGGCGGAGATACCCCGAACCTGCCGAGGAAGGGGAACGTACTCTGTAAAATCTTGAAGTTTTGCAGGTAGGCGTATTCGGTATTGACGTTGAACTTGACACGGGCCATGGGGACATCCACTGCACGGAAAGGGGATTATCAGCACGCTGTTCTTTCTCTGGGCCCGGTGGTCTGGTTTGTGGTTAGATGGAAGGCGACCACTCACAAAAGATGGAGTCAAATATCTGGCATAGCGCGGCACTGTTTATTGTCCACCATCAGCTCATGACTCTCTTTCCTCATCGGTAAGGACGCGGGGGAGGGTTGTGTCGGGATTAACGGCTCTTACCCCGTTCCGCACTGCTCGATTTTGGTGATGTTGAGCTGAAGAAGGTTGTTGAGCCATGCCAGCAGTTCTTGTCTGAAGAGCGACGAAGAGTGGTTAGCATTGTTTCCCTGGTTAAATGGCAAAAAAACCGAACCTGGATTCGCCCATGGTGGGGTAGTTGGTGGTCGTAACCAGGGGGAGGTAGAGGAAGACGCTGAAGCGGAGATGAGGAAGCAAAGACAGCAATGGCTGCGCGGTAAATGCGGCAGTGGGAAGATTGAAAGACCGACAGTCGGCACCGCTGGAGGAAAGACGATGGACGATGGAAAGATGTTTGTTTTGTTGATGCCAGAGAAACCCACGGATCCTGCTGGAAGCGTCGACCAATCAAAAACGCTTAGGTAATGTGGTGCCTGAGGATGTAACGCAGTTTGGATACAAACAGACAGGTCAATGAGAGTGTAATAGCTAACTATAGCAGTATCTCTAGTCTATAATCCATTTCCAATGTCACCGGCTTCTAAGATCTCACATGGTTCTAAGGTCCAACCATTTCAATAAGTGTATACCGCCCACGAAAAATCCTCAGGAAAAAAAAATGAGCAACGCTAAATCAAGAGAAAAATATAAACGAATGCAAGATCAAGTCAAATCACTCCTCTAACAAATCAATCCCATCCAGCCCATAGCCAAAGTCCATGATGACAGCCCGAGAATCCTGACTGGTGGCGACGACCCGGCGGTAGTCGGACTGGACGCTCAGCATCCAGCTGGTAGTCCATCCCGGCAGGTCGATGGACAGTTCGCCGGTCTCAGTTTCAAACACCTTAACACTCATATCGTAGCTGCCGCTGACAATACGCTTGTTCATACTGTCCAGATGCAGAGATCGGATCAGGTCCGTGTGGCCCTTGAGCTCTTTCACCAGCTCGCCGGTGTTGGCGTCGAACTGGTAGATGCGCTTGCCATTGCCGCCGGTCAAGATGGTCCGACCATCCTCGCTGAACTCGACACATGCCAGACCATGGCCTCCCTTGGTGGAGAACTCCTTGACGCAGTGGCCCGAAGTGATGTTCCAAAGCTTGGACACGCCGTCGCCGCTGGCCGACACAATGAGATCGCCCCGTAGTTGCACTGCGTTCACGGGACCGACGTGACCCACAAGTTGTTGGAGGAGTGTGCCCGTGTTGCGGTCCCATACGCAGATGCTGCTGTCTTTGGAGCAGGAGACAATGTAACGATCGTCAAAGCAGACATCCAATACACCGGCCCGATGACCGGTGAGACGGCGGATGGGACGATAGTCATCCTTGATGTCCCACACAATGCAAGTGTGGTCCGACGACCCGGTAACCATGATCTCCTCATCGAACTGCAGGCACAAAATCGATGCACTGTGGTAGTTCGAAGACTCATCCATAGGTGTGACGATGCCCGCCGACGGAGTTGACGGAGGGCAGATGGTCAGAAAAGGAGACTTGCCCGATGCCTGCTGTACAGGGTTATTCACCGGTCCAGTTCCAGGCGAATCACTTGGTGGCGGACCGATGATCTTCAAACACGGCCACGGATAGTGGGCATCCCACACGCGAATGGTGCGGTCGCGAGAGCCAGTGATAATTTTATTCTCATCAAACTGGGCGCAGTAGACACTATCCTGATGGCCATGGAGATAGATCGCAGCAGCCTTGCCCTCCTTCCAGCGGTGCTCCAAAGCCTGTCGCACCAGGAACATCTTTTTCCAGTCTTGGTTGGGAAGAGACTTGCCCAATCCAACGGACCGTTTCTTCTTAGAGGCGGTAGAGCTCGCAGGGCGACGGGGGTAGGCGCCCCGAAAAACCTGCCTCCAGACGTGACGGGACGATGCCTGTTGGTTCCACGAGCTCGACACAAGCTCAGCATTCATGAGTGACTGGGGGTCCAAGTAGGAAAGAACGTGTGCTGTAATCTCAGACGGTAGATATGCCACGGGGTCTAGAAGTCATTAGCAATCGCCTTGGAATAAAATCCAGTATGAGTCCTTACCGAGACGCAAGAGAGCCAATTCGACATCCGAGAGCTCGGAGCGGTCACGGAGATCGATTCCGATGCCGCTCTCCGAGTCCTGTGTCAGATAGATATCGACTTTCTTCGCGGCCTCCCGCTCCGCCTTGGCCATTTGATTCTGCGCAGCGGCGGCAGCGCGCGCCGCCGCCCCGGAATAGACGTCATTGGGGAAAACCGGCGGCTCCAATCCATGACCAGGGATGGGACCTTTTACGGAAGCGGTGGGAGCATAGAAGCTTTGAAGGGCAGACACGCTGTTGAGCGAGGGGCGGCGATTGATGCTGTGGTCCTTGGACCACGCATTCCACGCCTTCGAGTCCCAGCTGCTGGAAATGTGGCGCTTATGACTCGAACGGTGGCAGTGGGGGCACTGATTATCCTCGTCCTCATCCGGGGCGTACAACGTCTGCTTCGAGGACTTGTTGCGAAGGGACACGGACAGCCGACGACCGAGCGCCACCAGCCCGTCCATAGGGTGTCGCAAGCTCGAGAAACTCTTGGTGCCGCGACGCCGAGGCACAGCCTCGGGAAAATCATCCATTTCTTCCACCACCACCGGTTCATGGCAAATCTCCACCAGGGAGGGCTCCCGCCACGACTCGAAACACAACTCTTTGGACGGAAAGGTGACATGCGCGGTTGTCCGGGCGCGCGGCCGAAGCGTTAACGAGGGGCGTCGCCGTGTGGGCAGGCAGGCGGTGTTATCTCGTGGCGACATGACGTGAAGGATATCGATCGCGCAGGGAACGGAGGCGATTATGAACAGTAAGAAAAAGGCTGAGCTGGTGCTGCAAAACCAAGCGCTCTAGTGATCAGGATGCCAAATAACAGAGCTTTTTTTCCTTTTTTTTCCAAAGCCGTTCTAGTGTATCGTTGTATATGTATAGCGTCGATAGACGAATGCAATGGCGCGAGGCTTTTGTTGGTCTTTTCGAGGAACGGCGAAGGAGGCCAGTCTAACAAATGTATGCGAAACGAACGCAACTCCGGAAGGCCCGAGGGAAAAAGAGAAAGAGAGGGACAGGGAATGAATGCAGTATAATCGACAGAAAGAACCAAAAGGGAAAATGAAAAGAAGGCGCAAGGAGAGAATAAAAAAGGGAGAAGGCGAAAGAAAGATGAGATAACGGAGGGCCTGAACGTCAGGCGGTGAAGTCTTCCGGGGGTATCATTGGCTGTCGGATGCCATTCTGCGAGCTGCCCAATGTACTCGGTACTTGTGGTTCCACTCAAACATGCGGGGAGGATAAGTATCCGGTACTTTGTTGACAGAGATTTTTTTTTCTTCTTTCTCGTCCGGGGGGCGAATAACTAAATCTGGAGGATTGACACAAACCCGGGGCCGAAAGACCCACGGATCTGAGCAGGATGCCGATCGGGAACAGCGGAAGTGGCTGCCCCGATCAGAGATTGCTGGTCTGCATGTTTCGATCGATCTCGAGAATGTGCACGGCATTGCTGCTTCCTGGTTCTGCATTCCGATAAACATGCGGTGTAAGGTTTGCCTCCTGCACTCTATCTATGCAGCTAGCACAAATTTTATTGAACTGTCCACCTCTATGATTAACCATGCCCTTGGAGTGGACGGTCATAGTCTACATCCACCAATTCCACCGCATCTGAGTCTCGTCGTGCGAGAGGCTCCCGACTGACAGAGGTTTTGACAGTCCTTCGGCTAGACAGATCCTTGGAGCGATTACTGGAGCGAGTGTGGCGGTGAAGTGCCATCGAGTCACACTTCGGATCCGATTCTTGCTGGTACGAGTCGGCAATGCCGCAGCACGTGAAGAGAATGCGATTGAAGAAGCGGCGGATGGCTGGCATGCTCATACAGAAGACCGCAGTGTAGGACTCGATGAGGGACCAGTATGCCACTGGCACATAGTCATCTGGAATTTTATATTAGTGGCGTCATGACATGCATTTTGCGGGGATCATACAGGTTGCATTGGTTGTGTTGGCAAAGGTCACGACGGACCTGAGGCGAATGATGCTGACGATCGTGATACTATCACCATATTGTCAGCAACAAATCTGTGGATAACATGACCACTCACAAGAATCCAGTGCAGAACATGACCATGACCGGGGCTTTCTTCCTGGGCTTGAGATTTAACTTGATTATCTCGCGAAGGGGCAAGGCCATCACGACCACATCGAGGACTATGTTGATCACAGCACACGCAATTCCAAACGCATTGAAATCTAGACAGCTGCCTTGAGTTTCACCAGTCCAGGCAGTCCAAATGTACGTAACAGGAAGGCAATTGAAGCAGACTCCGAAGGTAAAGATCAGGAAATAAAGAGTCGTAAATCCCATCAGAGCATATATCACTCTCCGTAGGCCGATATTGGGGAAGATCTTGAGATAGAGGCAAAGGAAAGCCATCTTCAAAGCGACATCGACTACCATTTAGAGCATTTCGACGACCCAATTGTACTAGACGTACGTTGTTAACCACTTCGCGTACAAATTTTTGCGGTATCAACGGACCTTAAGGATTAGCTCGATGTTCGCGAAAGATATTGTCCAAATGTCTCTTCCATAGCCTGCGTCGATCACTAGGAAAACGGTTAGTGTCAATGGACTACATCGGTGCAATAACTTACTGAGAAATTCTAACGCACCCATGACAACCGCCGAAAGCTGCAATGGTCAGTAGATTTCAGTGGCATTGGTCTGGAGGAGCCATTACTAGTCCCACAATGGCAAACATGTCTTCCAGTCCAAACTGTTTATGAAATTGTAAGCTGCGAATCAAAGTTGCAACAATAGCAAGCGCCATGAACACAGAGTTAACAACGACGATGATATTGGACTTGTCGCGGATTGGCTCGTGACACATGGTACTCATGAGGTTTTTCGTGGCTGTAGCAATTAGTAAACCCGACTATGTTCCTGTTTCATGGGCAGCAACCTACTTAGGCCTTCCTTGACTGTACAGCTGGTCTCAACACAGAGAGTCAGATTGGCTTGTAATGGGATATCCGCGCAGATACATGTCGCGTTGGTCATTGAACAGGAGGATTCTTTGACTCCAATTTCCATGCACTGCATCTGACGGGGGCATTAGTAGGCTGTTCGCCTTGCAATCGATGATCAAGAAGGTTCTCACCGCACACGCAGACATCTCTTCCGCCAAGCTAATTACTGCTAGGAGCAAGCGCCCTACGCGAATATTACCGTGTGAGGACGCATTTTGATGACCGCATCAGCTCATTGCGTGGCCTCTGGAGAAGAAGCATGAATCTGAATATACACGAAGAATAATCACGATTTAAAGTGTTAGTTGAGAAAGGCGAGATTTCTGCCTGCCATGCATCGTCCCTCTCTAACTTCGGTGGCTACGGACCGTTCATCAAGCTAATATCTGATCACATCTGCACTGGATCGCGGGCGGACCAATTGGAGTTGGCATCTAATGGTTAGCGTCTGTTGGTTCACAAACACTAGTATCGTGTACTAATCAACTACGTTGAGGGGCCAAAACATTACCAGTGAGATGTAATCACCGAGATTAGAACTTTTTTTTTACAAACCCGCCCCCTAATTACTCGTTCCTCTCTTTCCGTCTACGAGCATTCATTCTCTATAGACCGTCAGCCCTGGTTTGAACAATTATGGTGTTTTTGGCAGCAATTGACACTCAGGTCACGGTCTCAAGCGTCTTACGGGGTCTAGGACTCGGATTCGCCGTTTACTGGGTGGGATGGATCATCTACACCCGTTTCTTCCACCCGCTGGCAAGGTTCCCAGGACCCTTCTGGGCGTCTGTGTCGCGTGCCTGGATTGTGCGCTCTGTATCCGGTGGAAACCCTCATGGAATTCAAAGAGAACTGCATGCGCAGTATGGTGTGCACTGCTATTTCAGCCTGCATTAGGAGTACAGGAAGTCTAATCCATTCGAACTAGGTCCCATTGTGCGAATTGCCCCGAATGAGCTTGCGATCAGTGATCCGAATGCTATCAAAGCGATTTATGGTGTCAATTCGGGGTTTATAAAGGTAAACGTCGCTCAAAGCTCCGGAGGGCGTTGGATCTAACCGGCTAATAGACCGATTTCTACCTGTCCTTCCGAGCACCATATAGTATGGGGTTCTCTCAAAGCGTGTCATATGAACCAGACTAAAATTTGACCCCAACAGCCCGATATCCCGATCATTTCACCTCGACGGACGAAAAGGTCCACGCCGAGCGGCGCCGGATCGTAAATGGCGTGTACACCATGCCGAACATCCTGCAGTCCGAGCAGTACGTGAACAAGTGCAGCGATATTCTACTAGAGCAATTCTGGGACTTTGCAGATGCAAAGGAATCCATTGACCTGCTAGAGTGGGCGCGACTGTGAGTTTCCGTCAACCTTTTCAAGCCTTGATAGTTGATAGAGATTAGACTGGTGCAGGTATGCGTACGATGTAATTGGCGAGCTCTACTTCAGCAAGATGTTCGGTTTAATGAAAGCCAAACGCGATCATCTCGGCATTATGGAGTCGACCGACACATTGATCCCGGCCATGACCGTGTCAGCTGTCATGCCCAGGTACCTCCGGTCCCTGTTCATGTTCCTCGGTATTCTGTTTCCAGAGACTCGCAAAGCGCTTGGAGCTCTAGATGGCCTTGCACAGGCGGCGGACACGGCTGTGAAGGAGCATGTCCAGGAATCAGCACAGTCGGGGGACACTGCGTCTCGGCGGTCTGATGTTATCTCTAAGGTGTTCAATATCCATCAGCAGCAGGGCGAGAAGGTCGACTTTCAGATCGAGGATGTAAAGCTGGAGGCGTTTGGGGCATAGTAAGTGCAGAATACCACTGCTTCTCACACATACTCATTCTTCTTTAGCTTTGCTGGAAGCGATACGACAGCCATCCATATCTCGACAACACTCTACCATATCCTCAAGAACCCAGCGGTCTACGGCGCACTCAACCACGAAATCGAGCAGGCCACAAACCGAGGCGAGCTCAGCACGCCGCATATCAAGTACCATGAAGCCAGCAAACTCCCATACTTGAGCGCCTGCATCAAAGAGGGCGCGCGTATCCATCCCAGTGTGGCGCTTACAATGCCTCGACAAGTACCTGCTGGAGGATGTAATATTGCAGGGCAGTGGGTTCCCGGGGGATTCCGTGTGGGAATCAACCCGTCTGTTGTGCAGCTGGATAAATCGGTGTTTGGCGATGATGCGGAAGCATATAACCCAGATCGGTGGTTGCAAGCAGATGCAGATAAGATGAATAAGTATATCCTTCAGGTATGTCCCTCTGAACGTCAATTGAATGTGGCTGACAGCTAGGGTGGTAGTTTGGTGCTGGGTCGAGAACCTGTATGGGCAAGAATGTAGGTTCAATTAGTGGAAAAGGGAGGACTACTACTGACTCTATGAACCAGATATCCCTGTGCGAGATATACAAGGTGATTCCCACCCTGCTTCGTGCATACCGTCTGGAACTCGAAGACCGTGAAGGCAGCTTGAAAACCACCGGGCTTTGGTTCTACAAGCCAGCGCCGATGAAAGTCCGCATCTATCGCAAATAGAAAAATACACTCTATGCAGACACACTCTTTGCAGACAGCTTTTCGCACCGATCCAATCGATTTGATACAAGATTCTCCCCACAATTTCACTTTTTAACCAAAAACCTTCTCGTATCCCGTCAGCGTAAACCGATAGCGAACATCACCCTTCTTCATCCGCTGCATAGCCTGCTTAAGACCCTCCTCACCAAGCTGAATCTCCTCCACCCAGCTCTTCAGCCCCTTATCAGCCGCAAGCTGCAGCATCTGCAGCATCTCTTTCCGGCTACCAAGGTGGCTCGCGCCAATCAAAACACCATTCGAAATCAAGTTCTGTGCCTTGATGACCTGTCCCTCCTCCTCGGGCAGACCAACGCTAATCCAGCGGCCATGCACATCCATCATGGACAGGTACCGCGCCAGATCAAAGCCCTCGGACGAGTTGGCACAGTTGATAATCAGATCGAACGAGAAGCGGTGCGGCGCATCCCACCCTTCCTCGGCGGTAGCAATGTATCCATCCGCACCGAGCTTGCGCGCATCGGCCTCCTTCGCGCGCGAGCGCGAAATCGCCCACGTCTCTGCGCCCAGCGCCTTTGCGAACATCACTCCGAAATGTCCAATCCCGCCCAGTCCCACGATCCCGACCTTCTTGCCGGGCCCAGCGCCGTTGCGCACCAGCGGCGAGTACACCGTCAGGCCTGCGCAGAGCATGGGCGCCACTTGGGCCGTTGGCAGTGCGTCGGGGATGGGGAAGACCCAGTGCTCGTGCGTGCGGACGTGCGACGAGTAGCCGCCCTGGCTCACGATCCCCGTCTCGGGCCATTCGGCGCCGTACGTGTCCATGATCTGCACGGGGCAGTATGTCTCGTTATCGTTCTTGCATTGCTTGCACTCGCCGCACGAGTAGGACTGTGCGCCGACGCCGACGCGCTGGCCTTCCTTGATGAGAGTGACCTTGGGACCGACACGGATGGCACGTCCGACAATTTCTGGTGATTGTCAGGGAGGATGACATCTTGGGGCTACATGGGGGAGTGCTTACCGTGTCCGACGCACAGAGGGAACTTCTGCTCGCCCCATCCGCCTGTGTTTCTATTAGTTTGAGTCGTACACCAAAGTTGAGTGGTTCGTACCGCTGATGGTGTGCACGTCACTGCCGCAGATACCGCAAGCCTCGATCTTGACGTCGACGTCGTAGTCACCGAACGGCTTCAGCTTGAAGAAGCGCTTGTGGAACTCGGTGATGGAGGGTCCATCAACCTGGAAACCTTCAGCCTCCTCGGGGTAGGGCATGGTGGATAATTCAGAGGTAGATTGGGAGAAATGGAGATTGGGGATAGGCGATAGTAGGTGTGAAGGAAGTAGCAACAAGGGAAACGTAGAGAATACGAGAAAGCCAAAACAAAATCAGAGGGGCCAAGGGAGGAGGGGCATTATTATTATCAGAGCAATGGTTCACAGCACGGTGCACTGTAGCCCGCCCGGGCATCAGTGCGCCGCGGGATCGAGGGAGAAATTCCGCGTCATCTCGTCCGAGACTGTCCAGGGCGAGCCGAGCGTGGGGTAACTAGAAGCCGATAGAGTCTCGTATCAACTCCGACCAAAGTGGGCCGCGCTCGCTATTCTTCCGCCTATGGAAATTAGCCGACAACCCCCGGAAAAATTACCCTAGACTAAATTACCCTAGATTATGGCTTAGGCTATGGATGAGATATTAAATTTGGGCTATTTCATTTCAAATGTCTTCTCTTTTGTATTTGGCCAGATCGTTCAAAAATATGTAATCATAATATAACCCTATATACACAGCACCCACACATTCTCATGCAATGTCCGGCAGGGAGCGCTCAACCTCCATCGCATCCTTGATCTGATCCGCGATGGCCTGGGCCTGGGCCTCGCTGAGGCGACCCAGCGGCCGCCGTGGGAAACCACCGTATCCGTAGTAGGACTGGATAGCGGACTTGGTGCCGGGGATAGCAGCCTTGGTGAGAACCCAGTCAGCAGCACTGAGCTGCTGCTGAGCCTCCATGGCTTCGGCGAGCTTGCCTTGGCTCCAAAGGTTGAATATGCGCACGCACAGGCGCGGGATGACGTTCGCGCCACCGGCCAGGATAGCAGAGCCCCCAGACACAAGGGTCTGCAGACTGAAGTCGGCGATACCGCCAAAGGCGACGTAGGGGTGTTTTGCGTCGGGCTTGGCCACTGTCGGCGCGGGCTTCTGGGCCGGAGCCAGCGGCGAGGCCGGGGTAACGGCGCCGAGAGCGCGCGCGACACGGGTCAGCTTGCCGGTGTTGGCACAGGTGAACTTGGTGCCGACAATGTTGGGGTGAGCGGAGATGCGGATGATGAGGTCGGAGTCCATGTCGATGCCGGCCACGGCGCCCGGGTAGTTGTACAGGATGAGGGGCACGGGCGAGCCATCCGCCACCGCCGTGAAGAACTCGTAGAGCGTCTCGTCGTTACCCATGGCAGCGCGGTAGTAGCTGGGCGGCACAATAAGCGCATACTCGCCGCCCGCTTGGGCGACCTCCTTGCACAGCTCAATAGTGCCGCGGATGCTCTGCTCGCTGGCGCCGGCAATGACGGGCACGTTGCTGAACCCGGCCTCGTCAAGGGCGGAACGGGTCTCGCGGGTCACGGTGATGCGCTCCTGGCGCGTCAGATGCACGGCTTCACCGTTGGAGCCCATCGTCACCAAGCCCACCAGGCCGGCTTTGGCCAGGCGCACGGCATGGCGGCGGATGGCGGCGGTGTCGAGGTCCTCGTTGGCGTCGAAGAATGTCATGGTGGGCGCGTACACGCCGGGGCGGAGGGGAGTGGGCGACATGGTGGATGGTGGATGAGTGACGCTGTGCGAGGGATTATTGATGAAGCAGAAGAGAAGACATCCAGAGGATAATCATCATGATGTACAATTGTACACTCCCACTCCCCCACGTCGGCGAATGCTCCGAACGGAGAATTGCCGTTCCACGAATCAGCAACTCGGCATGATGTGGGGAACGAGGGGCAAGAAGGTGGAATGAATAAAATATACTAGTTGGTGGTCGAAGAAGTGAAGGATTGAAAGAGAAAGGATTACTGGATGGCATTGATTGATAGAGGAGGAAGGACCTGCAATTGAGGTAAAAAAGGAAAAGAAGACGAGGAGGAAGAAGAAGAAGTTGGCGTTGTTGAGTCCAGAAAACAATGCTGCGATGACGATCGGCTATTGGAGTCAAACGCCGGAAGAATTAATGAAAGGCGCCATGGTGTACCTCCATGAACCACGTCTTTTCTTCTGTTCTTTCTCTCCTAATAATTCCTACATCCATTCTAATCCCCAATATCACCATGGCTCCCCCCAGCGTTTTGATGGTCGGTACCGGCGAGTACACCACCGGCTTCGTCGGCGGTGGTGCGTCGGGCTCCGATAAGAAAGTCGGCGTCGTGGGACTGACGCTGTTCGACCTGCGCCGCCGGGGCAAGGTGGGTGACCTGAGCATGGTGGGCGTGTCGGGCAAGAAATTCCCAGGCATTCGTGAGTCTTTCTGAAGATACACGGAATCAATCCGAACTGATTGTCTTTCTGGAGGCGACCACCTGCACCGCAACATTTCGCAGGTCTACAACAACCTCGATGTCTCATTCGCCTCGTTCCCCGCTGACAACCAGACCGATCCCGATGCTTACAAGACCGCCATCGACGCCCTGCCCAAGGGATCCGCCATCACGATCTTCACGCCCGACCCAACCCACTTCCCCATCGCGCTGTACGCAATCGAACGCGGCATCCATGTGATGATCACCAAGCCGGCCACACAGCGTCTAGGAGACCACCTAGCCCTGCTCGAGGCTGCGCGCAAACACGGCGTCTTCGTGTTCATCGAGCACCACAAGCGCTTCGACCCGGCGTACTCGGATGCGCGCGCCAAGGCCCGCACGCTGGGCGACTTCAACTACTTCTACAGCTACATGAGCCAGCCGAAGAGCCAGCTCGAGACCTTCAAGGCCTGGGCGGGCCGTGAATCTGATATCTCGTACTACCTCAACTCGCACCATGTCGATATCTGCGAGAGCATGGTGCCCGAGTATCACCCGGTGCGCGTCACTGCGACGGCATCCAAGGGTACCGCGGCCGCGCTAGGATGTGTCCCCGAGACCGAGGATACCATCACCTTGCTGGTCGAGTGGCGGCGCAAGGATAACCCGGGCAAGGTTGCGACGGGTGTCTACACGGCTAGCTGGACGGCGCCGCAGAATGCGGGCGTGCATTCAAATCAGTACTTCCATTGTAACGGCTACCACCTCTTCGCTTATTGACACGTCCTAACATCCTCACAGATATGGCTGCCAACGGCGAAATCCGCGTCAACCAAGCCAAGCGCGGCTACGAAGTCACAGGCGACGACCAGGGCCTGATCTGGGTGAATCCGTAAGAACAAAACACCTCTTCCTCTCTTTCTGTGTGTCCATACTTACACTCCATGTAACGCAGATTCTACATGCGCTACGCACCCGACGAAGAAGGCAATTTCGGTGGCCAGACGGGCTACGGCTACGTCAGCTTCGAGAAGTTCATCGACGCCGTCACGGCCGTCAACGAGGGCCGAGTCACACTCGATGAGCTGGATAAGCGGCCTTTGCCTACTCTGCAAAACACGATCGCCACTACGGCGATCCTGGATGCGGGCCGGGTGTCGCTGGATGAGCGCCGGCCGGTGGAAATTGTGTCGGAGGGTGGGAAGTGGGAGCTGAAGTAAATTTGTTGATTCAAGGGTAAATAGTTTGCATTTTTATATTCTCGACAGTCTAGTCTTGGGGTCAGGCATGATTCCCTTGGTATCCAGCCACTATATATTGACTGCCGAGTGACTGAACACATATTGCATGAATCGTAAGACTACGATTGGAATAGGGCAAGATGTCAATATGCATGCTGCGCACGAATTGATGAAATTGTTCTCGCCGTGCCTGGCTATGAAACAAACCCCAGCTAAACTAACTAAACAAATCCCTCCTTCCGTCGATTAAAAACGCCGAACAAGACCCTACACCAGAGGGGAAAAGAAGATATCGTGGTATCATACAGAAGTAAAAGCAACCCATCTCTCAGCTACCGCCTCGACCCGCCTCGGACAATACCGTCCACTCCCTTGTGGAACCGGACGCGGCAGTCGGGGCAGTACCATTTGGCAGTGCGCGAAGGCACCTCGGAAAGGCCGACACAGTTTAGGTGGAACCACTCACGATCACACTACAAATTTGATCAGCAAGGAAACCCCGAGGGGCAAAGGAAGAAAACTTACATCCGGATTCTCGCAGCAGATCATTGTCCCGAAACTCACATCTCCGCAGATACAGTACCGTGGTTCATTGGCATCGATCTCCTCCAGCACCCCATCCTCGTCGACGCGGACATCCTGCGCCGCCGAATCGCGCGCGCTGATATGCTTCTTGCCAGGTTTGGCCTTGCGGCGCCCGAAGCTGACAGCAGCGCCACCATCCTGGCCGGAAGAGACAGGTCCGGGCGCAGGACGTTTGCGCCGGCGCGCTTGGCCGGGAATGCTGGGGGCGTGCGATGCCTCCCGGACAGGCGTCTTGCGCGCGGGAGTGGCGCTTTTGATACGAAGGTCTCTTCCACCCACTGCGGCAGCGTTGGCCAATCCCGAGATGGCACCTGATTCAACGGTGGCAGCTGCGGACCGGCGCGATGAGGGCCGGGTCGTTGGAGGTGTCGGGGTGGTGACAGGGTGCACGGCGGATCTTGTGGAGCGCTTTGATTCAGTGGGAGACACCAGGGGAGGCGATACTTTTGCCTCCGCGTGTATCGTGATTGGCGCCGCAGCTCCACGATTAGACCGGCGGCGGTTCGGATCCGTCCGCAATGGCGGGGCGGGGGCTGGCTCCGGGACAACCTCTGCTTCTTCGGCCATCTCATCCCGTTTGCGCTTTCGTGACGCTCGGCTGCTAGTCGGAGTCGCTTGAACAGAGACTGGTAGAGCAGGACCGCCTGCACCGTTTGCCGCCTGCTCTCGCGCCAGCATCTCCCGTTTCAGCTTCTTGGCCTCGTTCAGCTTCATCCCGCGGTTGCTCAGTTTGGTCTCTTCGAGCTCCTTGGGCACTTCGCCGCGACGGGTCTTCTCAATGTTGTCACAGTCGATCAACTCGACGCCGGTCTCTTCAGCCAGAGCCTTGGCAGCTCGGTATGCTTCCCATCCCCGGTTCGCCAAGGCGAGTTCACGGTGAATCATCACCTCGCTGGGCTGCCAGACTGCATTTTTCTTCATCTTCTTCCGTAGTTTGGTCATTTCCCACTCTGTCAGTCGCAACCAAGGCAAGTCCTCGCTGCCGAGCTTGGCATCTGCTGGGGGCGGCCTCAGCAAAGCGAGAGCATTGCTCGTCGAGACACCCGCGCCTGCGCTGTGGCGTCGTGCCTGTTTTTCTTTCTTTGGAGGGCGAGGCTTGCGAATCACTTCCGCTTCGATATCGGATTGTTCCGTGCTGGCGATAGGAGAATCTGGGTGCAGGCCCGACAGACGCCCGGCGGGAATGGTGGAGCGTCGCGATCGCGATTTTTGGTTTGCAGGGCGCTTGCGGTTGTCCAGACGAAAGGTGATACGGGTCGTAGAATCTGCCTTTTTGCCCGAGCGCACGCGCTTGGGAGTGGGCTGTGGGACTGGTGTTGGTTCGCGCGACGAAGGTTTTGGCAGCGCCTCGAGCTTCTGTCTGATGCAGTCAAGTCGGTCGAAGTGGCGATCGACAACATCGTAAAGGCGGCAGGCCTCGGCGTATGCAGACTCACGCGCATTGATGGCGCGATCCAGGGTCTTGGAGATATCCTTGCGCATGGCCACTGCACTGGGACGCGCTTCGAAGGGGAGCTCAGGGAGCCGGGCGTAGTCCTTGGCTAGATTGTGGACAGTCTGGGCAGAATCAATGTAACGGTCATCAAGACCTCGAATCAAGGTCAGAGAGCGGATTAGGTCGGCAGGGAGGTATTCGGTGTAGTCGATGTAGTCTGTCACTGTCGCCTGGGCGTCGGGATCAAAGGGACCGTCCAGGATGACCCCTCCACTCTCATCCGTGTCATCAGTCAAAGCCATGGTGCAGTTGTGTGAAGGAACAAATATAAAACAACAAAGGAAGGAGAGAAAACCCCCTCTGACGACTCAGCGACCCAGCGACTCAGCGGGGCATTCTGGTTGGAGCTGGAGTGGTTGAGCTGCACCTTCGGAACAGGAGGCCAAACAGCGGATGATCATTGTTCCGTGCAGGTCACGTGGGTGCCCAGCCCTCGTTCTCATGAACTACTTCTTCACGGATGCGCTTCCTTTGAGGCTGTTCGGACTTCCTTTTACCAAAGAGTGGGGTACAAATAACTTTTGTAGGGCTGAAATACAGATATACTATTTGTTACCAAGCTTCTGTGATGTTGCACGCATAAATGCTCTCGCTGGGAGAGGCCGTGGACAGAGAAAGCGAAAGGGCCTCTGAATAGCTTCAAATTCACCGTAACATGCCAGGATACTCTACATCACGTATAGTCGTGTAGATAAGTTTATTGGACAATATAATCACGTATGATGTCGCCGCAGGCAACGATGTGGCTGCTCATAAAGGTCTGCTCTGTTCTCGTTTGCTTTCCTCCCCTTCTCACCCTTTAATTTCCCAGTCTCCTTTCCCATTCACATCTCTTTCCATCTCTCTTCCCCATATCATCTTCTGCTTTTTCATATCCTACTTCTCCATCGCCTGTTTCATCACCCTCTACTTCTCTACCACCTGTAGCTCGTCTCCTGCTCCTCAAACGACTCCGCTGTCCACGTTCTTTCGACAGTCTGCATTTCCCACTCCTGTTTCGGCTGTCTGTTGTTCCTTCCTCTGTTTTCTTGTGTTCGGCTCTGCCCTTTGATGCGTCGTCCTCTGTGTTCCATCCTTCTGCTTTTTCCTCCTTTTCAGCTTTCATTCTTCTATTCATTTTATCTTTTTCCTCATTCAACATGGACAAAGAACAGCGCCTGAAGCTCATGTTTGAGGAAGACCAGGAACTCCTGAATAGTGTCCTGGGGCTGAACTTCCCCATTTCTGGGGTTCCCTCTGTGGCCTTGGCTCCAGCCAAGGCCCCCGCCGATGTAAGTGCTTCCTGTGACTGGATGAGACCGATGGAGGCTCCCCGCTTCTTTACTTCAAGCGATATTGCTCCCTTGTCATACGTCCGCTCCCGTATCACTGGCTTGGACCAACTTGATAACCAAGACCACTCGGGGCAGGCTATCTTGCCCGCTGTGGGCCAGGAGGACAGCACCTCGCGCGAGGCCGAAGCGGTTACGCACGTCGATCACGAAGTGACGGACGTCGGTTCTTCCACCCAGGGACCCATGTGGCCCTGCGATGTCACACTTGCGGAGTCTTATTGCCCCGTGGTTGCCTTGTCTCGTTTCCCCTACCGGTACCTTCGGGGTGAGATGTCGCAGAAGGTTGCTTCACGATTCTTCGATGCGAACAAGTTTTGGGACCGGCACTGGGATTTGTAAGTAACCACTGATATAATCGGCTTGATGGGGATCCAAACTGATACTATATCAGCTACTTTTTACATGTTCCTCCGAATATCTATCATCGACCGCTGCTCCTCGTTCCGGCAATGCAGGCCAAGACATTGTTGATACAAATCAACGCCTTCTATGATTGTCAGTTGTGTTTCGAGCCTCGAGACCAGCGGGGCTTGCTCCTTTCGTTCCCCGATGACGGAACTCCTAGGCCCATCTACCTGGGCAAAAGCACGAGTCGCCACACCAAGGAGCAATTGGAGTTGAGCATTTCAGCGCAGCCAGACAACTGGGGTGAGTGGGTGAACAAGTGTGACCCGGAAGCCGCGAAGGCTTTTGAAGTCAAAGTTGAGGCTGCGGTCGAAGCGATCAAGCAGAAGAAGCGAGCCAAGGCTAAGAAGCTGCTGAAGCAATTTGAGATGGAGCAAGAGTGGCGCAACCGCCTGCAGCTGACCATCGCCCACTTCGGCCTGCGTCCCCCGATCCAGGAGGCCGGAGGTGGGAAGCAGTATCTCCCTCCTGTTAATGTCTATCGCCCTGTTCCCTGGCCGTTCGAGGATGAGCCGATCTTCATCAGCATTGACATAGAATGGAACGAGCGGATTCCCGAGCAGGTGACGGAAGTTGGCATCTCGATTTTGGACACGCTGGACCTGAAGGGCCTTCCGCCCGGCGACTTTGGAACTGACTGGATCAAGCAAATCCGCTCGCGCCACTTGCGGATCGTTGAATTCCGCCACATTGTCAACAGAGAGTACTGCGAGGGATGCCCGGACAAATTTGATTTTGGCAAGAGCGAGTTCATTGCGCTGGTGGAGCTTCCCACGATGGTGGATGCCTGCTTTGTTCCGCCTTACTCGGCCATTAAAGACAGATTTGGCGCTGTCCCGGATTACAAAAAGGGACCGCGCAAGGTGGTTTTGGTGGGCCACAACCCTGTTGGCGATCTGAAGCGACTTCGGGACGCAGGGTGCGCGATGTTAACCGACGCGGCCAACAACGAGTTTTTCGACAATCGCAAGGTGTACGACACAGCGGAGCTGTTCAAGAGCCTGCGGGGCGAAACTGGCGTCCGATCACTGAACCATATCCTGCATGCTCTGAACATCCTGCCCATGAACCTCCACAATGCGGGGAATGACGCGCACTTTACGCTGGAAGCCCTGATTCGGATGGTGCTGGAGGAGTCGGGTGAGACGCCAGACGCGGGCGAGCATCGAAGCTAGATGTCACGATGGTTCCCGTCAGTGGGAGGTGGTGATGGTTCGTTTGTTCTTTTTTTGCTTTTCGTTTTGTTTCTCTTCGGGTGACGATTGTTATTTGAAATTGTTTCGATCCTGGAGCGTGCAATGGGCGTTGGATCTAATGAGTTGCTCGTGTAGATTACCTGGATGAATAACCAATTGTATGATTAGTTAACACTTGAATGGATGGGTGTTGCCGAACCGAAAGTGATCCGAGTAGTTAACGAGTGCTCTAAATTCCTTATCAGATCTGACACCATGATTATCGCATCAATTTCTCGTCGTCTCCACCACCACCACTGTGCGACAACCTCGCCTCGCCTCTTCCCAACTAGCCCTCACAGAGCAAGTTCAAAATGACAAGTCACGCTCTTCTAACCACCTACCTGCTCTCCAACGCTCCCCACGCACTTACCCGCGCCACCACACACCCGTTCCTCCGGGCTGCCGGCCGCGGCAAACTACCCAAAGCCACACTGTCGCAATGGCTCTCACAAGACCGGCTCTACGCGCAAGCTTACATCCGGTTCATTGGCCTTTTGTTGTCCAAAATTCGAATCCCTCCGAATAGCCCTAATAGTGCAACGTCACGCAACGCCACACCCGAGGAGCACGCAACGGAAATGCTGATCGACGCTCTAATCAACATCCGCACCGAGCTGCAATTCTTTGAGGAAACGGCCGCAGAGTACGGGCTTGATTTGACAGCCATCTCTGCGGAGAGTGGTGCGGGACTGGCAGGGTCCGGGTCCGGGAGCATCACTACCTCCGCTCAAATCTCCACCTCGGGCTCGGGCAGCTGTCCTGGGTTCACGGGCGGATGCGAAGGGAAAAGTACAGAGACCGGGGAAAGAGAGTCAGAGGTCCATGGGCGGTGTGGGTCACAGGCTGAATGCGAGGGTCTCCAAGAGCGGGAAGCGCGCGAGCAGAGCCAGGTGAACCCTGAGTCGCATGGGGATTGTGACCCGGCTTGTCGGTCCAGTGGCAGTGTCTCTGCTGAACCTCTGGAGAGAGGGGGCACGGTCTCTTTTACTGCTACTCACACCACACGCGCCTACGTTGATCTGTTCATGTCGGCGGGCAGCGCTGGGGTATCAACGCTAGAAGGTCTGGTGGTGCTGTGGGCTACGGAGGTGTGTTACCTGCGATCATGGAAGTATGCGGCATCGTTTTTGGATGGAAAGAATGGAAAAGGAGAAGACGGTGAAGAAGCGAAGAAGAATAGTGCGGCCGGGGGTGTGGCGGATGCGGATGGCGGTGCACTACGCAAAAAGTTCATCCCCAATTGGTCGAGCCCAGACTTCGAGGCCTTTGTCAATCGAATTGGCGATATAGTGGATGAGACGGCCAATCAGATTAAGGGTGTCGAGGAGGCAGAGAAGATGCGCGGACACTGTCTAGATTGGTGGAGGCAAGTGGTTTGGTTGGAGGAGAGGTTTTGGCCAGATGTGCAAGACTGACGGTAGAGTGTTTGAAAAGCATTTGTTTCTTTCTCTATCTTGTATTGGATGCAGATGATCCCATACGAAATCATTGCTTGCGTCTCCCGTAATACTACCGCGGCAATAGCAGAATTCGCAATCACTGCTACATAGAGAATCGTAAAATAGTACAAGAGATTCTTATCTATCATAGCTAATGTACAGGTTATTTCATCGCCGCGACATCTTAGCTAGGTTTCCTCATGATGTAGAGAGATCAGTTACTCATTTAGGAGTCGCCACTCAACTCGGTATCTGCCAAGCTGTCAAAGCGTTAGTCGCTTCTTACGCATCTTTAGAAAACGGAACTTACCAAGCAGTAGTGACTCCTCCCAAAATGGCAGAGAGTATACCACCCACTTCTGGGATAAGCGCAGCGATGGTTTGGGCTCCAATAGTAACGAATATATCTTTGCAAAAGTTCTGGGACGTAGTCGAGACAGATGGCAAGGCTGAGATAATGGCGCGTGTGGCCGCAGTACCATCGACCATCTTTCCTGTGCGCAGCAGATTGTACTCGTCACTGCCCAACCACATCTCACAGGATCCTGTCCCATCGTCGTTATATATTGAGTAGGAATCGGTGTCATCCTCTTCCCACGACTGAGTCCAGTGCTTGGTAGCCTTCTGGCCCATGACCTGAATCCCTTGAATCATGTACTTAAGGTCTTTTGTTGCATATTGCCCATCGGCCGACAATTCCCATGTTGCAGATGTCGGTTCATCGGTCGAGTTTGGCGCCGCATACATAATCGGTATTTGGACGGTGTTCTGACTGAGACAGGTGTCGTCCATGCAGAGTTTTGTCAGATTGCCCAGCATGGCGCTGACGTTGACGTTCGATTGGCATCCGAACTCGACCTTCCCGTTTCCAAAGGCCATATGACTTGTGACTTGAGGCTTCGAGTTGTGAATAGTGCCTGTGGACTTACTTAGGCCATGCGCCCAGTTCCTGACGTCCGGGTTCGAATGGTTGTGGAGCCCAGCAAGGTCATCGCTAAAGTCCTCGTATTTTTGGTTTGATCTCCGCTTCCAGGAATGGGGGTAGTAGCTATCTCTCGGGTCCCCGTTCATAAGCTCAGTCAATTCGAAGATTCGAGTGCCAGGCTCCATGCCCTTGTGGAATTTCATCTTTTTCTTTCCTGTCAATGGGTCTTGCTGGATGTCACAGTTGATGGAAGCTCGACACATTGAAAAGTGGTCTGGTTGATCGAGAGGGTCCTTAGGAATACGCCTAGGCATCCTGTCCGTGCTCGCCTTAGGGATAGCTGAAGCAACCCCGCTGAGGAGAATAAGTGGCAAGGCAAAGTGCATGATGAACGAATATAAGATTGCAAAGGTGGCCTGGAAATGGAATGAAGTCAAGGGGTTTTAGTTTTCGAAACCTGGAGGTTCGTAACAGTTATTTATATGATTCGGAACAAGGTTTGTTTCACCTCGATTATCATTATTAATTTCTTAACAATGTAACTGGGGCGATCATCTATAGAAAAGTAACAGGTAGGGTCTGCTGAAGACCTGATCAGCGTACCTCTGAATCAAGCCTTGTTAACTTGGGAGATTGCTCGACATAGAATAGGTCTAGCCCCATAGACTAGGCATCAGATCCGGTCTTATTGTTAATGATTGGTGAATTGGACCAACAGCGGAATGATTCTGTGATGTAAAGGTACAGTCAGGGGTACGACGCATCTACCAGGGGCCAGAAGGCTTAGCCGTCAAGGAGAACGTAGAACCCAGAAATCCCCCACGCGTCATGAGCCGCCACCCGTCTTGCATATCAATCCTTCTTTACTTCACTATTTTGACCTAGCCCCTACGGAGTACCCTTTACTACGTATAACAAGAGGACGGTCTAGATCCTTTGTGTGTTGATCTTTACGCTGCCCAGCCACCCTGTTTAAAGAGCATCGCTCCAGGATGCCGTGTTCACAACACGAAAAATCACTTTAGTGGTACATAATCAAGAACCTGAATTCTATGGCTGACACAAGCAATGGTCTACAAGTTGACACCTCAGACAAGATAACACCGCGAGCAATGACAGAAGATGAGAGTGGCGGAAGGTGGCCAACTATCCACCAAGATTCCCCTGAAATATATCAGGGATAGTATTCCTTGCAACACTGTGAATATTTGAATGCTTGCTTTTGGGGCTGCTATTATTGTAGGTTAATATCTATTTGCCATGTGCTCTTGTCGTAGGGTGGTTATGACCCAAATCTTTATCCTGTTTGTTCTAGGTATATATAATCCGATCTATATTATTCCAACGTTGCTGCCGTCTGTTCCTGCTATGCACATTAATTAATTCTTCATCTAAGCGATAGGAGCACAATCCTAATAAGTAAATATTCCATCTAACTAATTAATATCACGATCCTCATATGCCTTGCCTCCTGAAAGACATGACAGCCCCCAAACCACTTTCGTCACTCAGGATTCCTAGTTAGCGCAGGGATTGCAGATCACGGAAGAAGGGTCCAAGGGCCCGGGAGCGGGGCCAATCGAACCTGGACGACTTCTGGAATAGTTCTGTGTAGATCATTGGAGGGCTGAAGACATTTCGTTGTCACAGTGTTGCAAGCTAATATCTTACCGAGATGCGCCGAAACTCGCCAATAGAGATCACAGAGATCCCGTTATTTGTGGAGGATATTCTGTCAAAGCTAGGGCCTGACTGTGCGCTATTACATTCGAGTACTGTACGTGGACTCTAAAGCACCCTCAAAATACCGGCATACTCAACGATAGGAAAATTTCTGGATCTCTTGAATAAAAGCCTAGTTGTTCTCAAAAATACATGAATTGATCAGTCGCCACTGATGCCAGGAAGAAACAAGCAAGCTCTTTAAAGATCGCCAAGCATGAAACAAGCCTAGTCCATGGACAAAGTGGAGCCTAAGCGGCGATCATGATGTTGCGGAATCCAAGTATTTCCCCCGAACAGGGTAGAACATCAGGGGTAACTATGAATTTCCAGCAAACAGGAGTTGCAATTTCGCCTCAGATATTCAAAAATACCTATGAAAGATAGACACAAGGTAAGACTAGTCTCGATATCGTTTCCTTTGTACTACTCAATCTGATGTCCTATGCTGTGTGGAATCCCTTAGGAATCTCACGGGCACATCATCATTATCCAAAGCGGTCTGGGACCACCCCATGGGGATATTGTTGGTGATCGGCCTTCCCTATTTCACTACCCCCATTGTTACTAGCGCAAACTAAGCCTCAGACGTCAACAGCGTTCGCAGTCTTGCCACTACTAGCAAGGATTTGCCGTAGGACACAGAAGGCTAACTCTGCGAAGGATCCAGTACCTAGAACTGAGAATATGTCATAGAAAGACATTATATTCTCGCCCCCAGATTGTGATGACCATCCTCGACCAGCGCCAATATACTGTGATGTAGGGAATCCTGGAAAAACTTGGCTTCATAGTAGTCAGCCCCCGGCAGGCAAGAACCGTATTCCTTCGGTGCATGGATCTTGTTTCAGGGTAATAATGGTGACGGTAAACCTGCCGCCTCGGGCAGCATTCTCGCCATCATTGTCCAGATTAGCAGAAGCTAGGTCTCCAGTGTAAATACCCATCGTTTGCAGACCACTTGATACAACGTCAATATTGCCTCCAATCCTTCTGGCGGCTCTTTCGGATTGATATGTCCCCAGCGATCTTCAATGAGTTGCATCATTGATCTTATATTGTAGCAGCATGAAAGTGGAAGTGAATCGATACGGCCGGGCACGAAGCGCTCTAGATGGTCGCGAGCCACGTCAACCACCATCCTGGCTAGCGTGTCCAATGCAGCGTGCGAATAATCTTGAATTTCCTTTTGAGAGGAGCTTGTCGCAACTTTTTGATTTAAAGCGTACTGGTGAAGCCGAACAAGAGACCTGATGTATGTGAGACTTAATCTTGTCTTGAAGCTGGGTTAGGGAATGCTACTGTATGGAATATCAGAAACTCACCGGATCACAATTCCATTGGCACCGCATCTATGCCCTTCCACGGAATGATCCATCAAGATACTCAGGAATTCCCGGAGCTTCTCATCCAGCTTTTTGATATTAGTAAATTTCATCTGATCCGTGCTGGTGGTGATCTTTTCAACTTGAACTAGCAAGTAAATAGCTTGAACCTGGCGGCCAAAGCCACTCACGCTCTTTGAGCGTATCTCACTGACTAAAGGGGCTTGCACGGAACGCTGAAATGACTTTGGTGGTGAAGAATCGTCCCAGATCAAATCGGACGGCAGCTCAGTTTCCTGATCAGGCAAATGCAATGCTGGTCGCAGGTTTTCGGATGGGAATTCGTGTAAAATGAGTCTTTGTATAGGTTAGCTTTTACTTCTCATCCAAGAATGCTGGAAAGGGTGGAGTAAACGTACCTTTCTAAAACCATCATGCCCCAACAGATATTTCGACCTTCAAGCATCTTAAGGTCCAAGTCGGGCTTATTGGTAAATGCCTCTTTTTTGCTCTTTCCATAATGAATACCAAGGATTGAAGCCATTCCGGCGCATGTTCCGATTGAAACGTATGCCACGTGAGGCTTGCCACACGCGTATTCAAACGATGCCAGCAGAAGCCCTGTTTGAATAAGACGCGTTGAGGCATGGACCGTAGCTTGCACCCGGGCCATGAGCATTTTCAACTCTAGATATAGATCCTGTGGGGACACTATTTGGTGTGCGTTGTCATCAGCAGGTTGTAATGTGACCAAATACATGGCCAGCACCAACAGCGAAAAGTCCACCGGAGGGTAGCTGTCCTGAAGTGTTGAGTTGATTTCATTGAGTAATTTTGGCGAAATAACCGGAAGCCAGAGGTGAAAGTTTTGAAAATACTGGTCACTGACCGTTGAGAAGGATTGCTCGGTGAGGTGATAGACGTGCAAGACCTGGAGATGGAGCGCACAGTCAAGCGCCAGTGGTGGGTCAGATGGCGAGGAATGTAAGAAAGTGTTCGATGAAAGGGAGAAAATTGTAGCTGCTCCGATCACCCAAGGTGATTTCCCAGTGGGGGGTGTGCTTCCGGATACGTTTTCATAGAGACACAGCAATCCCCGCTGCGTACAATACCCGCAGCGAGGAAGAGCTTTGTCACAGCTTTTCTTGCGGGTTTTGCAGGTTGTGCATACTCGCAACGCCCGCTCCATTTTCAGGATTTCACGAGCGCCGAGGGATTGATCGCTGGGTTATGCTTCCCAATCGAGTTCTCGATATGCGGCTCAGCTAATCTGATAATGGACTGGCGGCCGCCCCGATCGCATTCCTCAAGGGTCCTCCAATAATTAGATAGAAAAGTCCTGGCAATTATTCCTTCTCAGAAGAATAGAAATACTTGTCGGCCGCCGCTAGCAAGGGTTCTTGAATGAAAGTGAAGAAGCCCCCATAAGTCCGAGTTCCCCAGCCGCGTGGGGCCGGCGGCCGCCACTAAACCGTTCGCGGTTTAGCGCTGGAATGTAGTTTATGCGAGGTGGTCATCGGTGATCTATAAAGGAGACTCCCCTTCTCTGTACTCGATGTCTGTGAAGAATTATCAGAAACCTCAGATCCATAAACCCTACATGTGACAATGGACTCTTCACGTCAAGAGCTCGAATCCAATATGACAGCCAAGTTCCCGACGGACAAAGAATCAAAAGATGTGACTGTTGATCCATTCGAGGTCAAATTCGAAAAAGATGACCCTGATAACCCCAAAAACTTTGGCTCGGGCTACAAGGTCTGGCTTGTCTTCCAGATGAGCCTGCTTGCCATGGTCGGGGCTCTGGGCTCGTCCATTATCTCTCCAGGCGAGGCGGCGATTGCCGAATATACGAACGTGAGGAAAGATGTCACGGCTCTCACGGTGGCTTTATTTGTCTTAGGTGAGCTCTACCCTCATACATCGTATTGTTGAAGAGCTAATATTGATAAAATATTCCAAGGCTGGGCGTTTGGCCCGATGATATGGGCCCCGATCAGCGAGGTCTATGGCCGGCGCATGGGAATGCTACCCGCAATATTCGTTCTTGGCCTCTTCAGCATTGGCACTGCAACAAGCAAAAATGCCGAGAGTATTTTTCTCACGCGCTTTTTCGGAGGCATCTTTGCTTCGGCGCCAATCAGCAACGTGCCCGCCGCCCTAGGTGATCTCTTTACCCCAGCGACTCGGGGAAATGCCATGACATTTGTAGCGTTGTGCATCGCAGGAGGTCCGACAGTCGGGCCCCTCATTGGTTCTACCTTTTTGGTAAATCCTAGTCTGGGGTGGCGCTGTAATCTTACCCCCGAAGTTTCTGCCCTGTCGAGTTTTCGAGCTGACAATGTTTCACAGGGACGGAATATCTCGAGAGTATCCTCGTATTCTTTCTCTTCATGCTTTGTACCTTCTGTTTGCCAGAGACATACGCCCCTTCTCTGTTGAAGGGCAAGGCACAAAGGCTTCGCAAAACAACAGGCGACCAGCGATACTGGCATCCGCATGAGCAGGTGAAAATTGATATTAACAATGCTTTTACTAAGCATCTTGCTCGTCCATTGCGGTAAGTTTGATCATCCAAGTTTTAAGTCCGAGGAGCTGATTCAAATTACCCAAGACTGTTGATTACTGAGCCCATGGTCACGTTTCTGGCCCTCTATGCTTCCTTTGTCTACAGCCTGATCTACTTGACACTCGAAGGATTCCCAATTGTCTTCCAAGAACACCGACACTGGGACTTGGTAGTTTCGACGCTCCCCTTTCTGGCGATCTTGGTTGGGATTCAATGCGCTGTGCTTATCAACTTTGCCAACCAGCCCCGTTACAAACGAGCCGTAAAAGCGAATGGTGGCAAAGCTGTGCCCGAAGCACGTCTTCCACCGATCGTCGTTGGGGGCGCACTGTTATCAGTAGGTCTCTTCTGGTTCGGATGGACCGCGGCTCCAACATATCACTGGGTGTTGCCTGTGGTTGCAGCGGGTGAGTTTATCATCGTGGAATACGAAGCTTGGATCCAGGAGCTTTGATTGACATCCAGGAACAGGTTTCATCGGTGCTGGCTTTAACGTTGTGTTTCAACAATGCCTAAACTTCCTGGTCGATACTTATGGCGTCTATGCCGCCAGTGCGGTATCCGCGAACACGATTTTGCGCTCGGTTCTCGCGTGCGTAATGCCTATTGCTGCCAGGCCCATGTTTGAGAATCTAGGCGTTGGGCCCGCGTGCAGTCTGCTTGGTGGCATTTCCTGCTTAGCGTTGTCAGTGCCTTTTCTGTTCATGAAGTACGGCCCCGCACTAAGAAAAAGGTCACGGTTCGCATCGGGCGAGGCGTAGCTGCGCCCTCGGTCTCGTCTTTGACATGCTAGACTGCCAACCTGGCTCCGATCTATTTTAGAAGGTCGTGATATGATTGGCAGCAATTGGTGTCTACCTAGCTATAACTAACTCAATGGGCGAACAACATAGGATAGGCAATTGTTGATCACGCATCTGCGCCTTTGTTTGCTTCGCCGCGCAGACCGATTATGGTTATTCTTCTACACCTTTGAAGACTGGCTCTGACAATATTTCATTTCAACGGTTTCATTATTACATGGTTCCACTATTTCAAATGCAGACACATATTAGATGCCAGAATAATGAAACGTAGGCCATTAGCCGGTCCTATCTCATTGCGGATTTTTCCTTTGATTTTCCGGACATACTTCTGTGGGTGCCGTAGATGCTGTAGATTGATTTTCGCGAAAATGGCGTCCAAGGTAGCCATTTTTGGCGCTCGATTTACCGTCACCTAGCGTTGGGGTGTAAAAAATATCCGGTTCTAGTTATGGCTTTCTCAAGGAAAAGAAGATAGATTCGTAGTAGATCCAAGCTTTGTGTCAGGGTCTATAAGCTTTCTTGATGGATGACTTAACTTCATCAGGTAAGGAAAAGTCCTCGTAGAGGCTTGATTCACTTTTGTTCTACGTCTACGCACTAAATTTAAATCATAGGAAAACTTGATTATGGCAGAAGAATCAATTTGCTAGACGGGCAACTAGCTACAGACCCATAACCACAATTTATTAAAAAAAAAGTCACTTCTTTGGCATAGTCACTCCGAGAGTTCTCTTCTGTACATACAGCGCCATCTTAACAGAAAACAGACAGACGCACGAAAAAAGAACCTTCCCAATAATAAACAATAACAAGATAACAAAATTGAAACAAAAGAGTCAATGACGCCGAACCAGCCCCTATTTCCTAAGCGCGAAATGAACTCCTTTGCTTAGCCTAGAAAAAAAAAACAAGACACAGTGGTCAAGAAGACGAAGAGAAAACCGCCAACACCGTGCGTGATATGCGCATCAAAAAACAAAATCCACGTCACAATCATCTTGAAGGTGCAGTCTGTAGTGTTGTACAGTACATCTAGGAGACAGACTGCCCTAGGTAGCCGTGGCACGGGCGGCATTGCTCAATTGGCGGTGGTATGAGCCGATAGGTTGGAAGCCACTGCAAGTCCAGGCTGATTAGTTCTAATTCCTGAGACAAGGCAAAAAAAACTTAGGGTGTGCATACCGAGCCAAATCGAATCCACCTCCGCCACCACTACCACCATCATCCTCATCTTCTTCTTCCATGTGCTCCTCTCTATGTGTGCCGTTGGGACCACCCATTTCCCCATGCTCAGATTGCAACGGCGGCAAAGTGCGACTTGGTCCCAAGCCATTCGATGTGCCCGGCTTACTGGGACTAGCCAGGTTGGGAGGTGGGGGACTGCTGCTGGGGAACCCGGCGATGATGCGGTCATCTGGCTCTCCCTTCAGAGGACTCATGTCCGGCACAGGGCGGGCGGGCGTGCTGCCGATGTCCGCGAATTTCCAGAACTGCGCCGGTGAGCTCATTGGCATGAACTTGGACGGAATCTGTGCTGTGCTGGGAGGTGGGAGGCGGGGTTGTTGGCGCTGGGGTGCGGGTGTGATCATTGACGAGGGCCCTTCGTCGTAGTAGGATGAGGAAAATACTGGTGGGGACCCGGCGACATTGTCTGACATACCGTACCCGCGGGCGGCGTTGACGGCGTTGCTGCTGCTCGGCGCGTTGGAGCCGCTGGTAGCGTTGTTGTGGTGGATACGAGCTGGGAGTGGTGACGGCTCTTCGTGGTCTCGTGGGTTCATATGCCGCAGAGGGTGATCAGAGGCAATACCACGGCCGAGCCGCGAGCCACGCTCAGGCGTATACGCTTCCACGGGAGCTACCGGGAACGAGCTGAATCCAGGCGACGACACTGGTGGAGATTTCTTGGCTGTGGCGGAGAACGAGGTGTCCAAGCTTGTGACGTGAGTGCCACGCGCCGACGAAGGAGGCTCCTTGGTAGCAGGCGATGACGGGGCAGAAGACTGAGTGCCCTTGCGCATCTGTTTTTTCCGGTATTCCTCGCGGTACTCCGCGGCGATCATCCACTTCATGCCCTTGCCCGGCTCGTCTGTCCGCCTCGGGACTTTCTGGAACGCCTTGTTGAGAGACAGATTGTGCCGAATGGAGTTCTGCCAACCGCTCTGCGAATGCCGGTAGAAGGCGTATCGCTCCATGATCCAGTTGTAGATATTGTTCAGCGTGAGCTTCTCTTCCTCACTGGAGAAGATAGCCTGCGCAATCAACGTAGCGTAGCTGTACGGAGGCTTCAGGTCTTTGGCCCCGTCCTTGCTGTAGTCGATCTCCTCGGTGCTTTCCATCATCATGCCCCGGTTGTACAGCGGCGACTGCTTGGCGGTGCGCGCGCCAATAGTGTCCGGCGACCGCGGCGGCGGTGTCACTTGGCGCTTGAGGAATTGGGGTGCAGGAGCTAACGATGGGCCACCGGATGAAGATGGCCGGGCAGGTTCCGTCGCCTGTGAGTTTGACGGGTGGGCATGCTGAGAGGCGTCCCACGCGTTCGAAGCAGGGTCTGGCTCTTCACCATTGGCGATGCGCTGAGCGCGCTCCACGAAGCTCGGGTGGATGTGAGCATCGTCTCCGGGAGTAACAAACATCATTTGTGTGTTGGCGACTTCGATAATGTCGCCGCAGGAGAGTACGGCGTCGGAGCCGCGCTTAACGATCGAATTGTTCAAGCGCACGCCGTTGCGACCGTTCACCCGAATATGCCAGGCGGGTGTCTCTTCACCATCGTAGAAGATCTCCGCATGCAGACGGGAGACGAACTTGCTTGGGCCCAGATCGACGTGGACATCCGGCAGCGCGCGAGCAGCGATCGTGACGGGACTAGACTGTTCATTGGACCTCTGCTCGCGGTCGGGCTCACGGCCGATATTGACATGCAGCGTCTTGACGTAGTATGTCCAGTTGCGGCCCGCAATCTTCGCATAGGCCTGGATGCTCTGTTTATTCTCGGTCTTAGAGTTGGAGTGGTCGCGCGTGACGCGCAGCTCTTCGCGGGCGGTATTGAGATACGAAATCACCAAATCGACCAGGTCCTGGTTAGTCGAGGGGTCGTGCTCGCCCGCTGATTCCTCGGCTTCATCGCCGGACTCGGTTTTGATGGGTTTGTCGGAGCGGCGGTCAACCTAGCAATCAGATAAGAAATCCCCGTCAGTACATTGTTTCCTACGCGCCCCCGTCGCCACACACCAGTTCCAGAACTCACCTTGCGCTTCTTGTTGGATGGCCGACTAGGTGACGAGTCCGGCGCCTCCACATCCGACGTTTCCTGCAGTTGGATTTCCTTGCGCCGTGCGCGACGGCGGTTCGACAGCGGCATGTTTTCCGTACCGGCGGAAGTCCACGCACTCTCACAAACAAACAAACAGACTTTTCTTCTTCCTTTCTCGAAGATGCTGCGTACTATGCACTGCAGGAATCCAGAACTGGGTGTTGTGTCTCGAAGTGTGCGTGTGTGCGCAAAAACAACACGGGGCGGGCCACTGGAGTGAAGGCGAAAAAAAGAGGCGAAGTCGAGAACAGTTCCGGGAAGAGGAAAAAAAACAAATGTCACAACTCGAACCGGGTTTCGGCGGGCGCCCCAGTCTCGGAGGCACGCTCAGAGGTAGAACCAGAGAACGAAAAGGCGTCAGAGCCGGCGAACCGATTTCAGCGGGTTTGCCACCGCGACCAAACGAGCCGGGCGGGAAGGGAAAAACGTGAGCAGAGGAAACTAAAGACAAGTGCGCAGAAACACCGCACCCCGAGCCAGCAGCAGAACAGGCTGATTCTGAGGCCAGTGGAGGAGAGCCGGTGGTGGCAGGTTGATTTCGTGGTGGTGGTAGAGTTGATTGATTATTATCGATAGTCCTCGATCGACGCGATGGCGTCTGTTTGGGGTTGACCGCCTTGCGTCGCGTGGGGAGCGTGACTTGCTAGGGAGGTGTATACACAAGTATAATCAGGAAATTTTTGGAGAAGAGAAGGGGAAAATAAAGGAATGGAAAGAAAAGAAGACAGGCATTCAATCAAATGCCATAAACAGTGGCCTGCTTGGTGGATAATAGATGACGCCGTATGTGGGATCGCGCAACGCTTCCGAGTGCAGAGGCCAATGTGACTGTAAACTAGGGCGGCGGGGCAGACGGAATGGCCTAGCTAGAGATTTAATTGTGGGAGGGAGTTGTGAATCATAGTCTTTCTGATTGTTGGTGTTGTGGTAGTCGCAGTATCCTTGACTGTAGACACGCGACTAGCCCGACTGGACACTATACACACATCCAACCCTAAGAATCTATACGTCAACTCACCATGCTGCACAAGAAACCCCCTGATGAATTCTGCCGGTGATCCCTTGCTGAACAGGAACACTGCCCCAAATCGTTTGCGTCACTGCCCCGGATCCAGTCTGGCCCACACCCACTGGAATGCTGCTTGTCCCAATCGGGAGGTTGACATCTCTGGTGGATGCGACGCCGCATGGAGTCCAGATCGTCACGGACAGGCACATGTAACCTACATAACCAAATAAACTAACTACTACGTTCTGCAAACAACCTCATCCGTAAATAAATAGCAGGGTTCCATTTAATAATAACGATACAAACAAGGGCACACAAATAAGCTATTCAGGGAGAAGAGATCATCGTTGTTGTGGGTAGGGAGGCATGGCCAGGAGTAGACAAGAGAGAAAAGAATTGTTCAATTGTGTTAAAATAAAAAGGAGAGAAACAAGAAAACATGAAAGAAAGAATGGGTCATGACAGCGTTATGAGAAAGAATGAAAGGGCCCGGTTTAGGCATTGTCGCCGGGCATCTTGGCATCCCCATCCTCATCTACACCCCGAAGTGTCGGGTAGAGAATTGCCTCCCCTATCGGCTTACTAGACTCCTCCATCTTCTCTGGCGTAGGGGAAGCCCGAGCACTCGCAGCCTCGGCCATGGAGACATCGGCGGACATAGACCCGCTCGAGCTGTGGCTGGGCGACTCGACACCGTACTTGCCAGACTCCAACAGGTCCGACACCAAGCGGCGCAGATTCTCCAGCAAGCGAACCTTCTCCACCCACGCGACGTTAACATCATGTTCCGCAACCTCTGTGGCTGCCTGAGCGGTCCGCTGCGCGGCTTCATGATCCGGGTCCGGGGACGTGCTCGAATGCAGAGCGGGATCGATCAAGCTCTCCGAGAACTGGTCGGCGCGCTTCGGGGTCCGCTCGCCGTCCTCCTTGCCGTCGTGAGAGGTATCCATGCGGTCCTGTGAGGTTTGACGGCTAGCTGGCCGGGCACGCTGCAGGGTACCTCCGGTATAACGACGGCGCTCCTCATGGTCAAAGACTCCGCCGAGAGTCGAAGGCGGTGCTGCGCCCGACGAGGTCGGGTAGCCTGCGGTCATACTGTCGGACATGGTGGTCGAAGGCAGTCGGGGGTACATGTTGGCACCGCTCTCATGTGGAGGCGAAACACGGTGGGTGCTGGGCATCTCCATGGGAGAGCGGCTGGACGTGTAAGACTGCGCACTGGAGGGTGGAGTCAGAGCAGGAGTGCCAGTGGAAGGAGAGTGGGCAGAAGCGGCAGCCATCATCTGCCCGGCAGATGGAGTGGCCGTCGCATGGCTGGAGGGGAGCTGCGTGGGAGGAGAGTTGGTAGCCCGATAGTGCATTCCAGCCTGCACATAGTGGGCACCCGGTTGGGCAACTCCCGCAGCAGCCACGTTCTCCTCGCTCTCGTAGATCGTGTTCTGCATCTGCTCCAGGAACTGATCAATGTTGAGCAGATCGCTCTTGCTCCGCACATTCGACATCGGGGGCAAGTGGTACGCGGGGGCTTGGCCGCCGCCAGGGCTGTATCCACCACCACCACCACCGCCGCCACCAACAGCAACAGAGGCAGGCATCGGCTGATATTCAGGCACGGGACCATTCAAGATGGGAAGCTGAAGCGCCTGGAGACCTATGAGACGTTGGCCGACGGCGGTATAGGAGTTCGGGTCAAACTGGCGTCGCTTCAGATCGCCGAAGAACTCATTCAATGCATCGTAACCGCGCTTGCGATCGTATGAGGTATTGCCGTCCTGGCCCTGGCTCAAGGCGTAGTATACGTTGCCATAAGAATGGGGGTTAGGGGGTGGATGTTGCGGATGCGCTTGATAGTAGTGCGGCGCGCCATGTGGATATGGTTGGCTCGACACGGGATTCATGGGACCCTCGAAGTAATGATGAGCAGCAGAAGCGTAGCCTAGAAAGTCAGTCAGGCATTGCGACACGTTGCGTTAAGCAAGAAAGACAAACCTTGGGGCTTGCCGGGGAACATCATGTCCGGATGTTTCATCCCAGGCTCGGGCGATCGGATCTCCGAGTCGTCGGCGTGAGTCTTGACGTGTTTCTTCAAGTCCTGAGGCCGCTTGAAGGCCTTGCCGCAGAAATCACACTTGTGCGGTTTCAAGGGCACATGCACGCGGATGTGAGAGGTGATATGGTCACGCTTGACGGTGGTCGTGTTGCAAGTACCCCATTGGCAGGTCAGGTTGAGGTTATTGGTGCTCTTGCGGCCAACATGGCGCTCGCAGACGTGTTCCTGAATCGAATATTAGATTCACTGTCTTGATCACGGCAAGTTGGTTGACGCTTACATAGAGAGCCTCTGCAGTGGGAGACTTTTCGCTGCAGCCGACCCATTGGCAGGGTAGTTGCTCGCCGCCGGCGTTCAATGAGGGGCTGTTGACAGCCGCGCTAGCAGCAGCAGCAGTCGCCGTCACCGAGGCAGGTTGCTGCACTGGCTGCACTGGCTGTTCGGGCGCGACGGGGGCTGGTGCGGCCGCGACGTGGGGCGCGGGTGGGTGAATGTTGTTCTCAGTCATGGCGCCAAGATATTTGGCTGGGCAGTGCGAGCGGAACAAAGGAACCGGGCAGAGCGACTAAGCAAACGGACAACTTCGATCCAACGACGACAGCTCGCAACTCGTCCAGGGACAAGGCCACCAGAATGACAGGTATGGGGCGACGTGGCGCGTTCGGTGTCAGCCTCAACGGGGCAGCGAGTGAGAAAAAGGGGCAAACACCGCGGCAAAACCAGGGGTGCCACGAAAGAATATAATCAGGGAGGAATGGAGAGTGTCAGAAGAGAAAAGAAAGAGAGTGGCAGAGGGAGAGGGAGGGTTAAGGGCGAGAAGCAGGGAAGCCTGGATTGAACTGTCCGGGGAGGAAAAAGAGCCGAGCCTTTTTGCCTAGAAAAGGAGGAGCGGACTGGGCGCCACGCCCTCGTGATTGTGGTTATTGGCCCCACGCCGAGCATGTTTGGGGCCGGCAGTCCGGTTGTTCCGGTGCCGTTCCTCACGCTCATTGGGGCCAGGGGGGATGTGTAGTGGAGTTTCGCAAGGACACTGCCCTCGCTTGGCAATGCCAATGTTTCGGGGCGGGACTCTCGGCGCTGGGACTGATTCTACCCTCCAGTCTCCAGACTACGGTCGGACCTGGCCGTTGGGGGCGGGAGTACACATCATGTCTGCCTAGAGTCTATGGGCATCAAGACACCTGATGAGGACTTGGGGATTACCCAGTGGTATCCTCGTTTAACCCGCGAATCAGTATAGATGCGACCGTCTGGCCGTTTCGTAGAAATAAAACAGATACGCGTACATCCCAACAACTTCATGGCGACAATAGACAGGTCTCGATGTGATCTGTAGCTAAAACACATCTCACCCCTTCCTCCCCCTCTTCGGCGGCTGATACCAACTCCAGATATTCAAACCGACCTTCGTCCCCGATGTCACGGGGTACGCAGCGTGCCAGGTCTCCGGGTAACCCGACCCATCCGGACGCAGATTCTCCCAGAAGATAGCATTCCCCTTGATGGGCTTGAAGGTGATCCCCTGCTTTTTCTCCTCCGAATCATCGTCCGCACACTCCAAGAACCGACACCACTGTTGCCCGCGCGGCATCGACATGCGCGGGAAGTTCGTGCCGCCGCCTGTGCAGTCTGCGCCGAGGTACACCATAAACGTACTGACGCGGTCGCCGCCACGGGCCCACGAGCCGCTCCAATCGTAGTGGTGCCGGTAGTGGCCCGACGCGTTGTAGCGCTGTGCCCACATGCGTTCGATGTAGAGATGTGGGCGCCATCCCTGGAAGGCCCGCGCTCGGTCTTCGAGGCAGCGGACGGTGTCGTCGCGGTCGAGGAGGGCGCGGTCGGAGAGGCGGATGGAGGAGTCGACGCGCTCGTCTTTGCCGTCAGTGACGATCGAGGGCGCGTACTTGTCAGCACTGCGATTGGGGGACACATTAGAGTCATTCGTGTAGATGGAGGGAAGGGCGAGGAGATCATACCTGACATTCACCAGATGGTCTGCTTCGGCGTCCGACAGGAAGTTCTCAATGTACATCACCAGCGGCTCGCGTGACAGCAGATGCACGCGGTACCCATCGGCGGCATCGGGACAGGTGAAGGGCACGCCGTCCTCCAGACATATGAAGCGGTCGTCGTCGAGGTTGAGTCCGGAGGGGGCATCGTTTGGAAGGAAGTCATCGCCGTCGTTGGAATAAATCGAGACCGAGTCGGGAAAGACCTGGCGCATGATCGGCTCGAAGATGAAGAGGTAGATAGGGACGAGGTATAGGAGCCAGCTCACGACGGTAGAGAGCTTGGGGAGGGAAGACATGGTGAAGGAGATCAGGGCTTCATACGAACGGACTGGCGGAAAACCCAGGATGAGACACCCTCAATTCGGGCAAGGCAATTCAGCAATCAAGCATCGAAGGGACTCCAAGCAATGCTGACCCGGGGGCAGTGTGATGCCATGTCGTTGAATGAAAGGCGAAGAGAAGAGAAGAGTGGGTCGGAGGAACGTGACGCGGGAAGGTTAGATAGGCTCAACCCTACTGGAAGTATACAGGAATCAGATTACCCTCTTTACTCTCACGAATTGTTTCCCGAGCCCTAACTTGAAACACGCTTATCCAACTAGGCTACTCTCTCAACAGCTCCTACTCAACTGTACCGGCTGATGGTAATAAATAGTTACTGTTATAATACAGTAAGTATCCATAGAATGGCGAATAACCTTACGTGCAACCCGCCCAACCAGCGGAGGAACGTCCTGGCGACCCTGGCAGATCGCCCTAACAATAGACCACATACAAGGGCAGGGAGGAAACTGGAAGATCCATAACACATTAAGCCAAGCTCACAAAGCGGGTTCCAGTTGACCGCGACCCGAAATTTAGTGGCGCCTGGCCCGAAAAGATTTTCTTAGTCATACTTGCAAGTTTCGGGTCATGCTCAAGCGTAGGAGTTGAACGTGGTGCGGAGGTGGTCAGCCATCATGTGAGACGCGTAGCACTTGAAAGAAATAGAGGTAATTATAGAGATAAACGGGGTAAATAAGAGAAAGAAATTTCCAGACACAAAAATGATTGACAAACATCTTACATTCACGTTGAGAGACTTATTTATTATGATTGTAATGACATAAGGGGTTGTGCAGTACAGTAAATCCATAATGGAATACAAATGACACCCCCCCAAACAAGGCAATAATAGCAACCTCAATCGAAGCAAGTCACATGACGTCATTGTCTTTCTTTTTTTTGGTCGCTGCCTGTTCGGAAATGAGTGGTGGATTCAGCATTGAGTTACTTAGTACTTCGTCAACGGTTATTGCCTTAGGCATTTGCTGGGGAAGCCCAGGCGGAGTGTTGAAATGTCAGACTATGTAGGAGTTGGACTGTCCATCAGCCTTTTCCTGGTGTTCTCGCGTGATGATTTACCTCATCCGATACTACCCTACCAGGAGGCCGCGCAGGCTTTCTCGGGTATGCCCCCACTCGCCACAAATATATCTCCAGAGCGAAGAAGTGGATCCCAGCACTCAGTTGGATTGGCGATAGGGCCAATATTAATCATTTCGGCGCCGAACAAAGCAAATAGTGGAACGACAAATCGGTGTGCGCGATTCCCTCTCCGATGGCGCAAACTGCGACATCGCCAATTGATTGGCTCCAGCCCTATCCTGACACAGTCTCCTTGGTTCCCCACTAGTAAAAAATGGCAAAGGAGATGCCAAGCGGCAGCCTCGCAAGCCCTGAGACATGTCAAGCCTTGTACCGGTGCGCAGGGTCAGTCAGGCTTGGGGGCTTAGACATACTCATTTCCGGGTGCTGCGATCGAATCCTTGCTCTCTTTTCTATTTCAGCGATGCTTGACAAAAGATGGGGTTTGATCGTTCGTTTCTCTCCTCGAAATGGAGACGCCCCTGCGATATGCTCGGCATGATCTTCTCCAAGTTCCCAAGCCCACACCGTCTGGCCTTTGCCATTGTGGTGGTGTCGGCTCTGTCTTCGAAATTCTTGCATCTATATCAGCATTTGCGGGCCGGTGATGCGCATCTTTTGGCAATCTACTTTCCAACGTTCTTCATTCAGGAGATCTTTCTTTTCTCGGCAGTATGGGCTCTATTATATACCTCATGGGGTTGGTTGTCGGTGTGTGCGGTGACGGTCACGAGCATTCTAGCGTTGGTCACCCTTTCTGTCCGCTACCATTAAGGGTATTCTGATGATACTAATTTCTTTCACCCAGGTATGTCATCCTTATGGCAGCCTCGTCGCAGATTAGCTTCTACTACGCAACGGGAGGCGAAATCCGGTGGGACGCCGCCAAATCTGTGGGAAACAGTCGACCCGGCATGATGTTGATATTGAGTGGACTTGGTCCGACCATCGCGGCTGCAACGGTCATGCTGATCATTTCATTGCTATTGGCAGCGTGGATATACCCCCTGATGACGAAGTGGATGTGTTCGGTGTTCTCCAAATGGCTCGATGACTCGGAAGAGCAGCTGCCGGGAGCAGACAACAGCGGGGCTCCATCGAGCAGAGGGAGGACGTGGACGGTCCGTGTTGCAATAGTCACGCTGCTTCTTTGGATCATCCGGCCAGCAGTGCCATACAACCATATTTCTGGTGCTCTGCCCTTCGTCATGTTTGCTGGCGCTGCCTCGCATTCGGTCAAGCCTCAACCTGGGGTGATGGCTCCGTTCCCTTTCCCCGAGTTGCTGGAGAAAGTCTATTGGGAGCCCCCAAATGGAAATTATAAAGGATGGAGCCCGGGCTCGACCAACTTGACCGAATTGCCCGCCTGGGCCTCGGAATATCTGCCTACTGGGTTTGAACGGTGGAAGGATCCACATGGAAACAGGGCTTTGCGCAACTCTTACGATCCCACCTCAGATCCACTTCGAATTAACAATCTTAATCTGGGCCTGCTGGGTCCCCTGGAAGAGGCCCTGAAGGAGCGCGACATCCCCATCACGCATATTGTCATGGTGATGATGGAAAGTGGCCGGCAGGATATGTTCCCCTTCAAAGCGGGATCACGAGTACACGACCACATTCTCGAAGCATGGGAGTCCAGTAGCAAGGAAACTCCAGAAGACCTCGACGAAATACTATCACAGTTGACCCCTGTCGCGGAGATGCTCACGGGCCAAGCATCCGGCTTCAACTCCAGCGCAGAGGTTGCTAGCCAAAATAGCGGCGGGATCAATATCGAAGGCGTGACAACAGGCAGCACCCTCAGCTCCAAAGCCCGTATCGTGGACTATTGTGGCGTGCAGGCCTTACCAGTGGATTTCATGGCGGAGATGGACACGAAGTCGTACCAGCCATGCCTGATGCAGGTGCTGGAATTATTCAACCAGCTCAAACAAAAAGAAACCGACGAGATGGATCCCCGCGAGCGTCTCTGGAACACCATCTATGCCCAATCCGTCACGGGCCAGTTCAAGGCCCAGGATAAACTCATTACCAAGCTGGGTTTCAAGCAGGCCTTGTACTCCGAGGATATCGAGAAGACAGAGTCCAAGTACTACCACAAGATGGAGAAGATCAATTACTTCGGGTGAGTCTGAACCACAGGATAGTCTCTCGGGCACACCACTTACAAACTGGCAGATACGCGGAAGAAGAGATTCGTCCGTACTTGAAGGATATGATCCGTGACACCATTGACAATAACCAGAGACTCTTTCTCTCTCACTTCACCAGCACCACGCATCACCCATGGGGGGTGCCTTCCAAGTTTAAGAAGAAGGAATACATCCCTCATTCCCAAGCTTTCTCAAAACATGAAAGACTGGATGCGTATCTGAACACAATCCGCTATGTGGACAACTGGCTGGGCCAGTTCATGGACCTACTGCATGAGGAGGGGATAGCCAACGAAACATTGACCGTGTTTGTTGGAGACCAGTAAGTCTACACGCACCATATCATCCCCCTGTCCTTCCCTCTATACTTAACCCCCGCCCTCCACAGCGGCCAAGCCTTCGACGAAGACTCCTCGATGACAGGAACGTACCAGAACGGACACATCAGCAACTTCGCTGTGCCACTCACACTACACCACCCCCTCCTCCCCCGAATCCAAATCGTCGCCAACGCAACCACAATCTCCATCCTCCCCACAATCCTCGATCTCCTCACATCAACCAAATCCCTCAACGAAGCCGACACCGAAATCGCACTGGACCTCGCAAACCAGTATGAAGGCCAATCCTTGATCCGGCCGTACATCAACTCGCATCTCGGCCGCGAAGCATGGAAGTTCGCCATCATCAACGCCGGCGGCACAATGCTTTCCATTGGGTCGGCGGCTGTACCGTATCGGCTTATTCTGCCGCTGGCCGTGGACTTTGAGTTCCGGTTTACGCACGGCGAGCTGGACTTTTATGAGGAGGAGCCGATTGTCGAGTGGGACATTGACTCTTTAACTGGGCGTGTGCAGGAGAAATATGGGGATGAGGCGGCGAATTGGGCCAGTAGGGCGCAGATGGTCGGCGTTTGGTGGATTACGGAACGGATGAGGTTGTGGGATTTTCATCCAAAGGATTTTGCATAATTGATATTGGTTGGTTTGGGGTTGGACGATACATATAGCATTTACATTTTTGTACACATAGTTTAGACAGCGTAGGTGTTTGTTTTTGGGGCTGGTTGTGGCAGAGTCGATGACTCTATGAATATTCGGGTAAAAAAGAAAATATTTATTGTTAAATTAGAAGCATCGTATCGGACCGAGACCAGGCAGTGATGATAGATCTAGATGAGCTGACTTCTGATATCTTCATATGACCGACGCAAAAGCAAAGAACAACCACCAAAACCAACGCCAAACCCTCAGGTATCAATCAAATTAACAGGTTATGTACCAAGCACCGTTTTTTGCTCATGATTGCATGTCTTCGTCGTAGGAAAAGCCATGTGTAAAAAAGAAAATTCAGCATCAAACACCCACATTCATCCACTGCATCCATTCTTCGTTGGACGCCCCGCCACCGCCAGGTCGATTGCCGAACAGGTCGTCAAACGAGATACCGAGATCCATATCCATGCCCATATTCAAGTCCTGCATTTGGGTACTGGGAGAAAGGTCCTGCTGCGTGGCTTGTTGTTCCGTGGCCATGTTCGAGGGCTGGAAGTTGTATCCTTGCCACACAAAGTTGTTGTTGGGGATCGACACCAGGTCTGGACTGCCTAGTGATTCACTGCCACTTACTGGAGTTTGCGTCATCGGGGATTGCAGGCGGGATGGGCTCATGGGTTGGGATGTGCCGTGCAAACGGCTTGGCACGGACGATTTGACACCCGAGGGTGGCCCGCCGGGGAGATAAGGGAGGTTAGGGAAGGCCTCGAAGCTAGGAGTGGTGACGCCCGCGCTTGATGGGTTACTTGGAGTCGTGGGCGGCATCCCTGTTTGATCAAAGGCATACTGCGATGAAGACATACCCGGTCGATCGTGGCAGAAGTGATCGTCTTCCAGAGTGGACATGGGTTGAGTGGGGTATGCGAATGGATCGTCTGACGGAAACATCATCGGCATGAGATCCGGGAGATTGGCCGGATTGTTGAATTGTTGGGAGAATGCAAGGCTCGATGCTTCTTGTTGGGACAGAGAAGGGTTCAAGGAACTTGTTGTCTGAATCTGTTCCGGCGTAGACATGGTTTCGGTCAGCAGCTCCGGCGTCTCTGCTATCCATGCCGATTGAGTACCACTCTCCGTGGGCAGATTAGTCTGCTTATCGTCCAGACCCGGTTGTCGACGGCTCGAGGCATCCTCCACGCCAGCCTGGGATGCGGGTTGGACAGAGAAGGTGCTTAAACGATGCGGCAGAGTATGCTGAGTTTGCGTCTTGGCTGCCTCTGTTGAACGATTTGGCGGCGCCGGCCGCTTGAGGTTGACTGACGCTTTCGAGCTCTGGCGATTCTTCAATATCTCCGGCAGAGTCTTGAAAAGGCACTAGAGTTTCTGATCAGTATTCTGACAGTTGATCCAGTGGATAGATAAAACACATACGGTCAGGCTTTGGGAACACCGGTCTGCAGCCAGACTCTTCTTGGCCAGCCCAGCTAGGGTATTCTTTCCTTCCATGGCATCTTTGAGGACACCATCCTTGGCTGTTGGTGAATCAGGGTTTTCCACCACGAAAAAGATCAGTGAAAGGATAGCAAAGTAAGTCGTGTACATCGTAAACCAGAACGAGCCGTTGAGAAGACCCCTCTTATGCATCCCGGTCGTAATGTGGACGATATTTCTCGAGACGCTGACGCACGCGGCGGCGCAAGCGTAAGATCGCTTGTCCACGCCTCGTGCTTGAGAGCCGCCCGTCACATAATGCAAGAAGGGGCGGTACATGACTATTTGCACATGAGCATAACTAATGCGCAGTAGCTGTCGAATACTGTAGAAAAGTTAGATCAGTTTATTGGGGTCGACAGGGCCAAGGCTCACCGTTCTAGTTGTGGCGACACCTCCGTCCCCGGGCGTAACGCCGGCGGCAATTCCTCCATCCATGCTTGGAGATCACGCTCGATTTCGCGAATCTTGGAGTGGCTCACCATGTATCGCTGATCGGATTTCGAGCGGTACCGAGCGTTCTTCACGGGGTATATGTACTTGACGACTTTCAGGATAATGTTAGAAAGGCGTGTGTGTGCATTACAACCCGCCATTAACGGGGTATAGCCGGACGGCATGGAGGCGATGCCCTCCGGGGTGATGAACTCCCCGTCCACTGCCAACGGATATTCCTGGTCGATGTCGTCGTCACTCAACATCTGCGGGAGGCCCAGAAGCGTGCTGACGTAGACATCCATTTTGCGGACAACCCAAAAAATGCGTTTGCGTAGTTCTCGCTCAACGGGGTTGAAATCGGCGGCCACGGAGCGATGAAGGCCTAGACGCAGCGCCGAACGAAGCGCAATGCCCACGTAAGAATAGCAGGTGCTCAGCTTCGCAGAAGACTGCAAGAAAAGCACCATGAAGCAGATCGCTTGTAGTGACATCAAGTCGCGGCAATCGGTAATCTCCAACAGTTGTCGACCGGCCTTGAAGAATTGAAACCTGTAGCACGTTTAGTTTTGATAACGGCATGGCACTGTTGACTACATACCCTTGGTCGATTGCACTCTCATAGCCCGCCAAATCCAAAGTACCAGCTCCATCATCCGAGAACAGACACCCGACGGCCATGACGATATACAGTAGTGGCAAGAACGCATTCTCCTCATTGCCAAACTGTTCTGGCGGAGTGTCGTAGATACGATCAAAGTAGGCGAAGAAGGAAGGCTCATGTACAAACCGCATCAAGCAGCAGGCGTCATCGATCGCGTTATGGCACAGGCGGCGCGCAGTCGCTCGTGACGGTAGATCATGTGTGGGAGGAAGTGTCGAGTCCTGCGGCGACTCGGACACGGATTTGGGGCTTTCCAACATCTTCGCCCTCATTGGCGAGGCCCGGGACATCGGCCCAGGCGCATCCGTAGCGCCGAGCTGTTTCCGGAGCCGGCGCACGAATATAATGCCGGAGGTGTGTCCATGATAGTCCCAATGCCCCTGGTCATCTCGATCCAATAAGCCCGAGTTACCGACCATAGTTTCTAGTAAACCCTCCTCCCCGCCTTCTGGCGCGGGCTCGGACGGACCGGGCGCCGGGGCCGACGGTTTAGTCACAGCTCCGGGGGTCTCCTTTTTTGTGGCGGCCAAGCTTTGTTTTGTCGCGTGCACGTCTAGCTGCGGGTCATCGAGGTTCACGTCCGGCAGAACCGCCCGGAGTAGGGCCTCGGCCTTGTGCAGGCGCGTCTCGAGAGCCTCAACATACTGTGGGGCGGGATTGCGGCGGCGGTTGGAGGGCTGATCGTAGGTACATTCTGGAAGAGTCATAATACAGGTCAGCCACGTGCAGAATCGAGGGGCGGGAGTGGAGGATGCGCACCATAGCTGTAGACGGTGCAATGAGTGCAGGGCTGCTTCCCGTCGCACTTGATCTTCTTGCGACGACACTCGTCGCAGGCTCGGCCGACTCGGCGGCGCTTCTGCATGGGCACGGACTGGGAGCTCATGGACAGCGCGGGGTCGGCGTCACTGAGGAGCAGGTTGGGATCATCGTCGTCGGAATGCGGGCTGGTCGTCGCCATGGCTGGGGACGGGGGAGAAGCATGTAGTGGCGGTGGTGATTAGTGGTGAGGTGGAAAATAACCTTCAGGGTTAGTGAACTAGTTGAACTGCGGTAACGGCATGAAATCATGAATAATCCGATGATGATCTAATAATACCAACCCATGCCCGGAAGCGGTGGCGGTGTGTCGTGAATAGGTAAGCCTCGGAGTTAAGTGTGCGTGAGGGAATTTTGCTTATTCGGCATGTTGGCCAAGTCACCGAACATCTTACGGAAATGTGTCGAATGGATCTACTAGGGATCGCATTGACCTGCAGCGATCATCACTGATTACAATTGCTATTCTTGGCTTCTTCAAAACAGACTAACAAACTATACACTACTGACTCTCTTGTACTCCCCTATAGGGTCGCACTAACCCCCAATTCCATCCCTTCTTAAGTATGCCTCCTCCCCCCATGGGCTACTCTCCTCCGATCCGGCCTGAGCAGCTGTGCTGTATCAATGGACCATGGCCTTTACCCTTGTCACCATCTGCTGTGCTTTCGCAGCCCTCGGCTCGTTCCTCTTTGGTTATGACTCGGGCGTCATCTCATCCAGCATCAGCCAGGATGCTTTTCTACGTCAGTTCGGCTCGCCGGCCCTATCGGACGCGGCCACCGGGGGCATAATTTCTTCTTATACCGGTAACCTCATTGTGTATCCAAGAAAAGGAAAAAGTCTAAGATCCACTCTAGGAGGTGCCATCGCTGGCTCGGTGCTCGCGCCTTACATCTCGGACTTTTACGGACGCCGGATGGTGATCTTTGTCGGCGGGTTTTTAGCCGGTCTCGGGGCCGCGCTCCAGGGAGGTGCGGTTACTCTCGCGATGTTAGTTGCTGGCCGATACATCGCTGGGTTCGCCATTGGTCTCATGTCTGCCACTATTCCCGTCTATTGTGTATGTCGATTGGCACCTGTCCCATATCCGTAGCTGACAAGACGATCAGAGCGAGGTTGCGCCGCCCCGAATCCGCGGGTTACTCGCCAGTATGCAGCAATGGATGATTGGCCTCGGTATCATGGTCGCAGTGAGTAATCCCGGTGTGTTTAAACATGCAAATGATTAACCCACCAACAGCAATGGACCGGATACGGGTGTTCGCTCCATCACAGCAATTTCTCCTGGCGCTTCCCGCTGTGCTTTCAAGTGGTGCCAGCAGTCATTCTCACCTGCGGAGTGTGGTTCCTCCCCGAATCGCCGCGCTGGCTCATCGAAAAGGGCAAAGACAGTGCAGGTCGCGCTGTGCTGAGCCGACTCCATCTCAACCGACGGGCAAGCAATAACGTGCTGGTCGAGCACGAACTCGCCCAGATCCACGAGAGCCTGCTGGACGAGCAGCGAGCAGTCGTCCGATCCTGGCGACAGCTCTTCCTTACGGCGCGCTGGCGCCGCCGGATCCTGTTGGCGTGCGGACTGCAAGCCTTCACGCAGACCTCTGGCACGAACGTGATTCAGAACTACGGACCTCGACTATACAAGTCACTGGGCCTCTCAACATCGACATCGCTAATGATCATCGGGGTATGGGGCGCACTCGCCCAGCTCTGGAACACGGTATTCATGGCCTTCATCGACAACGTCGGGCGTCGCAAGCTGCTTATCCCGTCGCTGGCCGGCATGGGGGCAGCCATGTGCGTGGAAGCCACGCTGGCGCACTACGTCGACTTCAGCAGTCCAAGCGCAAACGAAGACGCCTTGCGTGCGGCGATCGCTATGTTTTTCGTCTTCTCGCTTTTCTACACCGCGCTCGGCATGATCTCCTGGATCTACCCGTCCGAGATCTTCCCGACTGCCATCCGTGCCCGCGGTTCCTCCATCGCCACCGCGACTAATTGGTCTCTCAACCTCATCTTCGCGCAGTGCTCGCCTATCGCTTTGACGTCCTTGGGATCGAAGTACTTCTACTGCTTTGTGGCCTTCAATTGGATGGCCGCCGTGCTTGTGTGGGCTTTCTATCCCGAGACGGCTGATTGCTCCCTCGAAGAAGTGGAGGAAGTATTCCGAGAAAGGAAGCCTGTGCCCGAACCTGATGCTGATGCTGCTGCATCTAGCACAGAAGTGGAGTCTACTCTCTCGCACGTTTGCCTCATGGGTCCGGGTCCACTGTCTGTGCATCCCAGTCATAGCTGGGGCAGTCACAGCCCATCTCCGTGCAAAGAGGCGGTTTCAAATGTATAGCTCTTGTGACGATAAGAATAACGCCTTACGAAGGAATGAACCTTAACATGCGTCATCTGTTGATCAAACAATGACACCCCCTCAAGAATTGGATCTCACAGCCGCAACAGGACCTATCCTTGGATCTTGCCACCTGCGCGCATATCCAAATCCCAGCAACGAGCCTTGTTTGCATTAACATAGAATGCAAGATCTCGATAGATAGAATATTCATCCGGCGTTATGTAGCATGTCAGGCTCATTATTTAGCTCTCACAACAGGCCGTCTGTATTTCCTTGATAGGCAGGTCCTCAGATCCGGTCCTGGTTCCTGCTTATATCACATGGTCAAGAGAAGAACGCCATTAGAGGGTGCATCCTTTCCTGAAGAAGCATGTGTAAAGAAGACACTAGTGCTAAACAAGGTTCTCGCAAGAGTCTGCAGACTTTGGGGGCGGCTTTGGAGGCGCAGTGCTTGGCGCCTCTGTTTCGGGTTCGAAGTGCCGTAGCCGCTGGCCATCTCCGAGCGGGTCTGCCTTAGTTGTTTGAGATCCGACTAGGAGGTTGCCAAGTTCCAGACTGTCTTACTTGCACGTGTGACTATTGCTTTACTCTGTTTGATTTGGATACTGTCAGTGTCAGTTGTCAGTCTTTGTATAGGTCACTTTGTTATCGGATATTCAACAGAATATATAGACCAAGTGCATCTAGCTGCAAGGCAAGAAAGAAAGCAGCAAGTTCGGGCGGATAACCCGGTTCGACCACATGGCAGAAGGATTTAGAATTTCCTTCTGTCTGGGGGCGGATCCTGAGCCTGTCACGATCGGCAGCCACCCCTGCCAGGGGTGGTATCTTACGAGTGGAGACATGATCGAGCATAGCCTCTTTGCTCATAGCCATCCAGAACCTGGTGATCGGCCGGAGGTTGGGGGCATCTTCTCCGATGTCTCATTGAGCTCAGTGCGTACCGGTACATGTATGTGCATCATAAATGGAATGCTCTAATACTATCCGTCCTATATAGCAGAGACCTCATTCTATAGTCAATTTAGACCCAATTTGTCGGCAAGAGCAATTCAATGGGGCCCTAAGGCTGCCTGAGGACACCCGGAAACACGCCGAAGCCAGCCCTATCCCAGTGTGTGTTTGGGTCTCTCCCGGGCTCCACTATCGAATCCTCACGCTTAACCCATTTGGGAGTGTCGAGTGTGAGCGGAGTCGATTTCATCACGACACAATTAAGTAATAATTATTGTTCTGCTGCTTACAACCGCAGCAAATAATGATCCTGGGAAGGAAAATCATTGGGGGCTTAGTAGTGGGGCAAAGTGGCACGACGACTGCCCATCGGTTCCCCCCCCCGGTCTCCCGTTGTCGGTTTCTTCTGCGCAACGCCGACATCACGGCCGGATGTGCATCATTGCTCAGTCATGCCATTGTCAGACACATCGGACGAATCCAACATGCGGTGGCAGTTTATCGACACTTCGAAGAACAGTCGGAGCAACCTGACCCAGGTGAAGAAACATGTGATGCAGCAGTATATGCGGCAGAAGAAAGGTAGTGGTTCTCAGAAGAGTGAAGGCGAGGACGAAGCCCAGTCTGTACAGCGATCCAAACGCGGACGACCGAAGAAAAATCGCATTGCGAGGCGCAATAAAGTGAAAGACAGCAATGACTTGGTGTCAGACGAAAATGCCGGCGTTGACGTGGAGGAAATGGATCGTTCGGCCTCTTCGGATGCCTCGTTAGCTGACAATGCTGCCATTGACTTGCCTTTTCAGGTGTCTCCAATCGAAACGCAGGGCTCTATCTTCTCATATCCGGATAATATCAACCATTCAGAGTCGATATGGTCATCTCCGTCCGGGCGATCCCCACGAACTATTCTGAGCGCAGCACGGACCGACCCATTCAACACCCTCCCCATTGAGATGGACCTTGAAAGCCAGAAATTGTTTGATTTTTACGTGAGCGATATGCCCGCCTGTTCGTACGGGTCTCATTTCCGCTCCCCCAAAGCGCACAACTGGTACACGCGCGTGTTCGTGCCGGAAGCCATGAAGGGCGCTGTTGCCTTCCAGAACACCGTCCTCGTGCACGCAGCCAACACCTGGGCCTGGGTGCGCAATGAAACAGAAACCAAGAACACGCTGCTACATCGAGACCGCGCCGTCAGCATGCTGCGCGAGCACCTCCAAAACCACCCTCGGGACATCTCAGACGTGGCTATCATCTCTTGCCTGAGCGCTGCGGCTCTCGAAGACTTTGACCCGCGCCCAGGACACAAGGAGACCAGTTGGACACACATGCGTGCTGCGCGCGAGATGATCCGAGCCCGTGGGGGCCCAGCTGCTTTCGAGAATACTCGACTGGGCATGTTGATCAATTGGCAGGACTATATCCTGTCTGGGTATGAAACACACGGACCTAGTTTCTTCTTCGAGCATGAACGGCCCCTTTCGGTGACAGCTACTGCGCTGCATACTGCATTACCTCAACATCTTCTTAATCTCCACGATTCAATACCCTCACCACCATACTCAACCTCCTCCGCTCTCTCAGACGCCAACCCGTCATGCTCCGAACCTCCATATCAATTGTCTGTAACCCCCATCGACGAAATCCGCCTCCAATGCGAAGAATTCCTCGACTTCCTTCGCCGCTGCGAACAACTAGCCCTCTACCAACAAGACAACCCGTCCTCCTGCTCTTCAACCCGCCGTACAGCAGTTCAAAAACCATCATGTCTCCACCAAATCCTTGTCGCACCCCCAGGGACTCGATTCACAGCATCTGGAAACCGCAAACAAATGGTCGCGCGCCTGACGGCACTAATAATGCTTAACGCCGCACTATGGGACTACCGGTACACTCCCTCCCGCGGAGCAACTTTTCTGTGTACGCTCGAACAATCCGTGATAGACAGCGAAGTCAGCATGAGCGGCTCCGTTGAGGCGCTCTTACAGATCCTGTTAGAGTGCAACGATGGCACGTCCGACTATTTTGCAAATGAGGACGTTCCGGATTTCTCGCAGTATGCACCAACTGCTACCTCTTGCGCTGCGCGTCCCTGGTGGGCGGGTCGGATGCTCAAGGTTGCGAAGCGGTTAAGCGCAGACTCATGGCATCGTCTAGGTGATTTTCTCTTTGCGTGCCTTTCGCTTAGTGTGAGAGGATCCGTTGCTTTTCTGTGGGAGCCGGATCTGAGGAGGGAGATTCTGGAGGCGGCTTGGACGTCTTATGTTATGCCCTCGTTGATCGAGTGATCTATTCTCTTCTCTGTTCATTCTTTATTTCTCTATTTTATGAATGTATATACAACCACGCCCTGTGTACGCACGCCCTGTGTTCACACCGATACAAAATTTAGTCAATCCATGCAAATAGGATGGAATCCTACCTCTCAGCAAAGGATAAGAGTGATTATAGTGATTATATTCAACCTTCTACTAAGCATTTTAAGAGTCCTTTCCACCCTAGCAATCATGGCACGGCTGAATTTTACTACCTACCATATTCGGCAGATCTGCCGCCATATTACCATATTCAGTATTGATCCGAGTACTTTAGTAGCTTGACTTTGCGAGAATCCTTTTCACTTTCGGCTCGTATTATAGAGTTTGTCTGCTGCGCCGCTCCTACTTGGGGTCCCTAAACCCCTTCCGGGTATAGCGTCCTTTGACCCTTTTCTACTTGACCTAGAAACACTCTTCTGCCAATGCGGTGTAACCACGCTATCCCTGGGGAAGACAACCTAGACCCAGATACTCAGCTGTGCCTCCCTCTCTCTCCTACTTCAGGTGACCATCAAAATCTGTCAACCTCCCAACTCTTTCCGTTCTCTTGCACGTCAGCTCGGAGAGTCAAGCACGTAAGACATGACTGGATTCGATTAACCCTGAATAAAACAACAATGGTTGGCGTTCCCCGCAGCAAAGGATGTTTGCGCTGTATAAACCGCAGGGTCAAGGTTAGTGTGATATACCCAATGTCACCACGTAAATCCAAACCGCTCGTTCGCATCGCTTGGAAGCATGGGGACAAGGGCTAAAAGATTTGAAGTGCGACGAAACTCGTCCGGAATGCCTGCGATGTATCGATCATCGCTCGAAATGTCCAGGCTATGATCGTGGTCTCAAATTCCAGGATCAGACGCGATATATCACACGAAAACACCGTCAGCCACCAATAGACGAAGCCTTTGCTCCAAATTTGACCCAGGTGGCGATCAATATTCAAACCAAGGAATTATTCGAAAGATGGTTGGACTACCATTTTCCAAGCTATCTCGCTTCCTGGAATTCCCGCGTTGAGGTGACTTGGATGGACTTTATACGCAGCAGGTGGTCCACGTTTCCCCCGGCACTGGTCTGGGGAGTCCGCGCCTTGACATATTTGCGCATGGGGGCGGCAATACGCAATAGAGAAGCTGTCCTATGCGCTCGTCGTATGTATGGTCGAGGGATAAAGGATCTGGCCTTTCTCTTGCAGACACGGACTGCACTAGCGGATGAGACACTCGCAGCTGCGATCCTGCTGGGGGGTTATGAGGTTCTAGATGGTAGCAGTGATCGTTCGTGGATCATTCATTCACGTGGCATCCGCCAACTGTTCTGCGCCCGTGGCCCTTCAGCACATAAACATGGTATAGGTCGAACTCTTCTGCTCTGCTGGCGGCCTTACATAGTCGCGGATGCCTTTATCCATGCAGTGCCCTGTTTCCTGGGCGAGTTGGAGTGGACATGCACATCAATGAGCCAAGAGATTGCCAAATCGGAACATCAGCAGCGGAAAAGTAGCCTTCTAGGCCAGACGATGGACTATGCGTTTAATGAAGTCGCCAAATGTCCTGGCTACCTTGCAACGACAAAGAACATTGTGATGTCGGACACGGATGCCGACCCAGCTATGCTAGGTGGTTTGGTGAACTCTATTATCGAATCAAGAGAAAACCTTGTTCAGCTTCACAGCACGCTGGTAGGAAGAGATCCCCCAGCTTCGTTTGTTGGAGTGATTCCATCGATGTACGCAACAACCCTGGTGCAGGGATCTCGCTATAGCATCAGCTCTGCTATCGCACTGCTCGACCAGCTGAAGAACATGCTCCAGTCACATCTAAAGAGGAGAATCAAACCCCGGCAGACCATTTCGATGGCAAGCTTTGACAGCAAGCAAGAGGAAGACCCATGGCGTCTTTTCGCGGAGAACCAGGCTCTCAACAATAATAGGAGTCAACGACCTCTTTCTCAAGATCCAGAAGACCTGGACCTAAGCATCTATGATATTGAGGATCGATTGGATAAATTTTCGTTAACAATGGGCATGGGTAGTCTATTGCCAGATACATGCGGTTGCCCACAATTCTCGGCACATAAGACTATTCCAATTCAGCCCGCCTCACTTCCTTGAGATGCTCGATCATGACCTTTCAAATATATGGCTTATGTATGAAATGACTAGGCGCCGGCCCCTGGAATTTAGGGACCAGAGCGAAACACTGTTAACTAACTAATTCCTAATCCGGCTAACTAAGCAACTACATACTTAACCTCGGCTGCCAGCCCCCAAAACAGGCGACCACTTGCTTAGAAATATAAAATCCTTGGCCAGCGGGGTTTGGTAGGTGCTTTTCTACACTCTTATCTGCGATTACGAACCTCCTATTTCAAGATGAGAAAATTGCGTAACCATACATTCGTTAGAGCTGCTTGGACATCAAGTAATATATCACATCATAAAAAGTTCGTTACAAGGTCAACAGTATTGCGGACATTAGACATAAGACATCAAGGCACAAAGACAGGAACATAAGGAATGCAAACTATTAACAAGGAAAAATAGTCCTGATTCCTTCCAAGGAAAAGAATAAAAGAAACAGACATAGATATCACAGAATATCAAATGCTTCCAACGCATCCATAAAGCCCGCAATCGCACCGACACCAGCCAACCCCCTCGTAGCATTGCGCGTCAGATTCTTGTGCCGCTCGCGCTCGCGCTCTCTGGTCTCTTTGGTGTCGTCACGCGTTGTTCGACGGTGGGAATGCGAGGGAGACGGCTGCGGTGGACGAGGGGGTCCTGCCCAGCCTGACTCGGGGGATGAGGTCGAGAGCGGGTATGCGGAGGCGTAGTGGCGGGGTTGGTGGGGGTTGTTGCTGTTGTAGACTGGTTGTCGGCCCCAGGGCTGCTCGCCTGGTCCAGGGGGTGTGCCTCGTGGTGAGGTATTGGGCATTGTGGCTGGGGGTGGTGGTTGGTTGTATTGGTTGGGCTGTGTTATGGGGATGGAGCGTGGGGTGTTGGAATAGTCTTGGTTCGGGTAGTGTCTGTATGGTTGCTGGAGAGGAGGAGGTCCCGGGGAGTACTGGGGAGGCGGCTGGTGGGGAACCGTGGTCGGTTGCAAGAAGCTGTTGCTTGAGTATGGGGCTGGTTGTCTGGTCGTCGATGTGGGAGAATATCTGGATGGCATGCTGCTGGAGTGGGCGCGACTACCGCCGTTCGTGGGGACACTGAGCGAGGGTCGATGCGGTTCAGCAGCTCTCTGTTCGTTCTCGTCGCTGGAGCCACTTGCTGTCTTATTGTTTCGAGCGTTGGTTCGTAGCCGTGCGTTGTCGTCGTCCGAATCACTTTCGACCTGGGCCTGGTAGCTGGAATACCGCCTGCGCATCTGGGCTGCATGATGACGAGCTTCTTGGGATTGCGGCTGGCGCCAGTCCACTGTTTTGCCTTCCAGATAGTATCCTCGCACTTCAGGGCCGTCGAAATCGAGGTCTTTCGAGTCATTCTCGCTGTCAGATGAGACATAGACCCGAGGCTGGCCAGAATTTCCATCCCTGCAGGCCGGCTTGCCGGCATCCCGCAGTAAAGTAGAGTCCAGTGAAGGCACCCAGACCGACAGCAGTTGGTTCATCGCGCTCTCGGACAAGTGAACCATGTCCTTGGGCGATCGTTCAATGTCACTCAGTCCCACGTCGCTATTCCCAAAGGTCACCGCGGGGAGGCGGGTCAGTTCAGAACCTTTCGTCGCGGCGACCAGCGGCTTCAACGCCGCGGCGGTGTTCGGTGCCGAATAATTGGAGCTGATCATCTGGTTGGTCTCGTCGTTGGCGGCCTCCATCGCCTCCTGTTCCACCATATCCCACAAACGATCCAGACGTTTGACCGACCAGTACCGCACGATGATCATGTTTTGTGTTTCTGCCTTTTCCTGGGCAATCGCATCGTCCACGGTCAGAGATGAGGGAGGGTTGTCCGCGCTGGACTTGATCAGACTGCCCAGCTGCAAGACTCGGAGCACCACTATGAGACTAAGTTTCAGAGACTCCAGCTGGGCCAACAGATAGGTGACGTGCTGTTTCGGAAAGCACCATCTGAGACGCTCTTGGACTGGAATCTTCTGGAGGTCGTCATTCGCGTCGGTTCCTTTCAGTTTGTCCAGCATATGTTCGATTTCGATAAAAACCATCTGGCCCTGGCCGGCGATCTCCCAAGCCTTCTCGGTGGCCTCGGGGGACCGATCCAGATCCGTGGCCTCCAGCGTCTGTCCCACATGCTTGAGGGTCAGCGCAAAGAGCGAGATTCCCTTTGCGATGCTGTGGATATCGATGCGGGACTGTGCAAGCTGACAGGCGGCCGCGTTGAGGAGCAGGGAGAGTCGAAATCCAGCACCTGCGATGCGGACAATGGAAGCCTCGGTGCCTGGTGCATACGGCATCGTTGGTCAGTCATGAAATCAGGACGAAGAAAGACAGTTCTACCTTGATGTGCCATGATCATAATGATGGACGGGTGGGAAGAGGTCTCAGGCCATGGATGCAAGAAAGAGCAGCAGACTCTCGTCGCCACAGGTTGCCTTCACTGTTTGACTAGCTGATTATTGGCCCCGCGGTGCTAGAGCCGCAAGCCTGCTTGAGCATCAAGTGACTCAGCCATGAAAGCAAGGCCATGACGCCATGTGCCGGGCCAAGACGCGCTCTGTTTGGCCTGCTCGAGGCTGAGGGGGACGATCCCGACCCTAGCGTTGGTGGGACAGTTCGTATACTGGCCTGTAGGTACTTGTTGCAAACTCAACCGAGGTGGCTGATACCCGGGCAAAGAGAAACAAGGGCCAGCGGGGAAAGCACTGCCTCCGGGCCGGGGGTTCGGCTTCCGCACAAGTTGTGGTTGGTGGAGGGGTGGAACGGGCGGGTGGTTGCAGATGAGGAAAGATAATGATGAGCATGATGGCTGAAAATATGGCCATGTCACAGAAATGAAAATAGTAGGCTTGTTCCACATCCTCATCATTCTTATCATGATCGTGTCTCGGACACGATGTTTACGAATGCATGTTTATTGTTGATTGTTGCGCCAGATGACCTTCCGCTTTCGGCACCCGTCCTTCCCTCCCCATCCCCTCCTCCTTTCGGGTTTCTTCCTCTCCCACGCTCTCACAGAACTCGCCCATCTCCTTCCATACGGTCAATTCGCAATTGTGGTACCTTTTTGTTCGGCTCGTCATCCCGTCACCCTCACGTGGCCCCCGATCGGACATTTTCCCCAAGCTGTGGGATGATCACCGCCAGACTTAAGGGGGTATTCAACACAGTTCGGACTCAACCCCCACATAGAGCTGTTGTCGGCCCGAATGGGTGAGCATTCTACTGCAGTGAGCTGGAACGTGCGAGGAAGCGCCAAGCAACAAACACCCGGGATCTTGAGCTGAAGGAGTCGTCCGGAGGCCCCAGCGTCCTACTGTTCATGAAAGAATAATGACCGCAGCCTCAAGCGACGCCGTCGATCGCTCTTCGGACAAGCCTGCTCCAAGCTCCCCTTCAAACACTCCGCAATCCTCCCAACATGTCGTCAATGACCCCACGCCGGCCACGGGCGCCACCGCCGTCGAACCGGTGGTGCAAAATAACGACGGACAGATAAAAACTCAAGAGGCAGAAGAAGCACGAGTTGAAGTGGACGATTTCGGTCTCCCTATTCGAGCTCGTCCTAAGCCTGCCCAACCTTCAAGCAGCAGCTCGTCCGAAGCTGGCGAATTCGAAGATGCGATCGCCAATCCCAAAGAAGACGAATCCGCTGAGCCAACGGAGCCGGTGGCATCCCAGGACAAACCTGAGTTGGAGCTCCAAAAACCTGAACAGGATGCCGAAAAACCACCGGATCAAAGAGACCAAAAGCCTCCCGCGGCGTTGGAATCGAGTGCGCCTGCTCCTCCTCGAAGGTCAATTTCCAAAGCGAAATCCTCCCAAATATCCGAATGGTCCCACATGCGACTGGCCGCCCAACCGCAGGTGCCGGATGAGGACAGCGAGGAAGACGTGGAAGACGAAGTCGAGTGGAAGGACATGCGCGCCGCCGACGAGTTTGACTACTACGATGACTATGGGAGGTTAGTTGTCAAGGGGGGCACGGCAGAGGACAATGATGCCGTCTACAGAGGCCTTGGGGGTGCTGGAAAAGGTTATACTCGAGTCCAGCTGGACGAAGATGCGCAGTCGGCCAATAGTCTAGACGAGGACACGAGCTACTTGTTCCGGGATGCAGGGGGAAATTCTGCCGGCTTTGAAGGCGAGGAGCTTCGCGACTCGCTCAGCCAGCTGCAGGCCACGAAGGACCTTCTTAATGAAACGCAGAAAATCGCATACGTGGGCGTGGTGAAGCTAGCCATCCACCAAATGAGCCTGGAATTGATGAAGGTGCCAAAAACCAAGGCTACGCGCAAAACGATTCAGAACGCGGTGGATGCCTTGAGGAAATGGGGCCAGGCGATGATGGGACGGCTATTTATGCACATGGAGATCGACTCCGCCGAGCAGATCATGATCGAACAGCTTGCTGAACACGGCGTGCAACCCTCGGATCTGGTGCGACCACTTATGCAGAACGCGCGAGTCAAGAATCCCATGGCAGAGGAAGAATCCCCAAAGAAACCAACTTCTTCCGCGGCTTCGCCGGCCTTGGGAGGTGATATGTCGCGGATGTCTACTGAGACTGCCATGTCCTCTGAAATTGGGTCTCCTCCACCATACGATGCACACGAGAACGATGATCCTGACGTTCATACACCCTCGCAGATGCCGACGTCTGATCGAATTGATATCGACCTTCGGTGGACGGTACTGTGCGACCTGTTCTTAGTGCTGATTGCCGATTCAGCGTATGATTCCCGTTCACGAACGCTTCTTGAGAGTGTTGGTGCCGCTATGGATGTGTCGTGGCTACAAATCTGCCGTTTTGAGAAGCGGGTCACGGATGCCCTGGAGATGCAGCAAGAGGCAGAAAAAGAGAACTGGGACGAATCTGGACATATGGAGAGGCGCCGCAAAATGGCACTGAAACGAAAATACATGGTTATGGGGTTGGCAACGGTCGGTGGCGGTCTGGTTATCGGTTTGTCGGCGGGGCTGCTGGCTCCTGTCATTGGGGCTGGTCTTGCCGCTGGTTTCACCACCGTTGGTATCTCTGGGACCAGTGCGTTCTTGGGTGGAGCCGGTGGAACGGCCTTGATCGCATCGGGTGCCACCGTGACCGGAAGCACCATTGGATTGAGGGCCTCGAATCGGCGTACCGGTCCGGTGCAGACTTTCGAATACCGACCCTTGCACAACAATAAGAAAGTCAACCTGATCGTCACTGTTGCCGGCTGGATGACCGGCAAGGTGGATGACGTCCGTCTCCCTTTCAGCACCGTGGATCCTATTATGGGTGATCTCTACTCCGTCCTGTGGGAGCCTGAGATGCTCCGGAGTATGGGTGACACTATCAATATTCTCGCCACAGAGGTAATCATGGTTCTCCTCCGCCCTGGACTGTAAAGCTGACCTGACCCCTACTATAGGCATTGACCCAGGGCCTCCAACAAGTGCTTGGCAGCACGGTCCTGATGGCATTAATGGCATCTTTGCAACTCCCCATTGTTCTCACCAAACTCTCCTACCTAATTGATAATCCATGGAGCGTATCGCTGGATCGCGCGTATTCGGCTGGTCTCATCATGGCCGACTCCTTGCGGGATCGCAACCTCGGGAACCGGCCTGTCACCCTCCTTGGTTTCTCGCTCGGCGCGCGTGTCATCTTTTACTGCCTCCGAGAACTGGCTGACAAGGGCGCTTTTGGACTGGTCCAAAATGTGTATCTCTTTGGGTCACCAATCGTGGCAAAGAAGGACGAGTATCTCAAGGCTCGTAGCGTGGTCTCTGGCCGGTTCGTGAACGGCTACTCCACCAACGACTGGATCCTGGGCTATCTGTTTCGGGCTACGGCCGGCGGTATCTCGCGAGTGGCGGGTCTCGCAGCTGTGGAGGGGATCCCTGGCCTGGAGAACTTTAACTTAACCCAGTCTGTGAACGGACATATGGATTACCGTGCGGCCATGCCTCGTCTCCTCAGGGAAGTCGGCTGGGAGGTGCTCGGTGACGAGTTTGCGGAAATCGAGGACCCAGATCCCGACAACCATGCCGAGCGACAGCGGGAGTTGATCCGCGAGATCGATGAAGCTCGTCGTGAAGCAGAGGCGAAGCCAGAGAAGAAGAGATTTGGTCTCTTCAAGCGAGGGAAGCTGGCCGAAAAGAAAGGATGGGAAACCTACGACGTGGACCGGAACAACAGTCCCCACGAATCCACCGAGGTAACCAGTGGGCCTGGGACTGTGCTGTTTGACATTGAGGCGATTCGAGCTGAATTGGCTTCGGAAGCGATCGAGGTCAAACAGCTTGAATCGACCTTGCCCCCGATGAAACTGGACCTGAATCCTCTAGTCGAGTCCCGGTCCGCGCAACCGACCCCATCGAATGAGAAGGGATCCAAGTCCGGCGAATCAATCCCTTCTGTGCCACGGACTGTGTCTGAGCCACAGCTCAACACGGGCTCTCACGCGCCTATCCCTTCTTCAGCTGCGCCCAAGAAAGAAGAGATCGAGATGACCTTTGATACTTCCTACCACAAGCCCCCGCCCAGCGATTGGCCTGATCCTCCCACACGACCGGAACTGCGGTCGTCAGCGACCGTGCCCAATCATGTTGGGACCAGCGCGATGGCGCCCGTCGATCTAGAGCACAATGCCTGGGCGGATCATGATGAGGGCGAGATCCAGATGAGCTTTGAATGATTTTTTTTACCCTTTTTTTTTATCTATATGATAGCTTCGTGGATGGGAGTGTGGCGTATTACTTGCATGGCGTTGTGAGATGGCTTTCCTTTGTTCTGTCTAGAAGTCGGATCTGTGGACTGTATAGTTGCTGCTGTAGCTCCAACGTCACGGGATGCTTTTTTCTCTCTCTCTTTCTTCCGGCTTTCACTCTTCACATCACCATTTTCCGCACCTCGTATAATTCAAATAATTTGACAGGGAGCGATCCTCATAGTCCTCGACGATCCTCGTGCACGCGCCCCCGACACGACCCCGACCCACCTTTAGGTACCCGCGTCTCCAACTCGCCCAGAGCCTTGGTCGACAAGTAAAGTCCGCCTCTCTCATCATGCGACCACAGAAGCCTGAAGCGAGCTATGCGTCGACCCGGCAGACACGGCGCAATGGACCAGATCAACCTCTATTATCTACCTTCCGCAAGCCTCGAGAGGACGAGCCCCGTACGAAGCCCGATCCCCATCCCGAACCAGAACTGAACCCCGAGCCTGCCACGGATGCTGAGCCTATGAGCAGCAGCGACGAAGAAGATCATGCTGCACAGAGCTCGGATGAGGAAGTCAAGCGAGAGGAGAGGGCGGCTGGGACATCCTTCGATGAGAAGGTCGCGAAGAGGGATGAGGATGCGGCGCGTCGATCGTCGCGATCAAATGGCAGCAACCCGCAGAAACGGACCATTAGCGGCGTGAAGAGCGATCATGAAGAAGATTATGACGCCCCTTTCTCTTCCATTTTGCGATCGTCACAGTCGCAGACGTTCAAGCGCCACAAGACCAATATCTATCCCTCGAAGAACAGACTCCCTTCGTATGCTCGAGCGCCGAGCTCGAGTGCACGGTCAACTGCGACGTCCTCTCCCGACGTTGCAAATAGAAAGAACAAGACCCGGGCCAAGAAGGACAAGGCCTCAGAGACGGACGCGCCACCTGAACCTGAGGAACTGGAACCTGCCTTCAAGGTGCCAATGGATATTGATATATCAAGTCCACGGAGACCTCGTGTCCGGAAGAGTGTCAAGCCTCCTCCTAGCTTCCCCGCAGATTCTGTGTCGAGTACCGCATCATCCAAGGAGCCACAGACAATATCCTTCGACGAAGATGAGGATTCATTAGGATTGAGTTCTCCTCTTAGCGAACTACCGTCCGAGCTAGACGAGTTAGCCGAGCGCGACAACCGAGAACCGTCACCTCGCAAGTGGTTGTGTCCGCTGTGCAAGGAAGAAGTCGACCCGGGGTTACTGTTAGAATTCGAGGAACGACCGAAGCAAGGATTCCGCCAGCAGCAGCAATTCTGCAGATCTCACAAACAGCTGAGTGCTGGGAAGGAATGGGAAGCCCATGGCTACCCGGAAATCAACTGGGATGGGTTTGAGGAGCGGATTCAGCAGCATTTTTCGCACCTGGAGAATATCTTGGAGCTCAGGTGCTCCTCCTATTTTCGGAACAGACTCGAGTCTGACAAGAAGGCGGGCACAGCAAAGAACTTGTTATCTGGCGACAGGTTGGAAAACATGTCCTGTGGGTATTATGGTACCAAAGGATCGGAAAAAATGTGAGTTGGTCTCGGCGATGTGATTATGACACGACAGCTAATGCAAATCCCTTTAGGCTTCAAGCGGTGGTGGATCGGTTCTCTCTGAAACTGCGGCGCTTGTCCGCTGATGACCCAATCCTCAAAGAGGCAGGCGTAGCTGGCTACGCACAGGAGGTCCTGGTGCCTGAACTAGCGGTGCAACTGGTCAAGGAGGACATGGGCGTCAGTGGTGAGGCTGCTCGGCAGATCCTGAGGGATAGCATTGACCTCGGTGAGAAGGTGAATCCGGCTCTCAATGATTATGTGCCCCTCCCGGACGAGGCGGAGTGAAGGCCAATTGTTCCTGGTGTTCTATACCTCACTATATATATAATTTACCGCTCCATCTGGAGTGCTCTTTGTTTTCCTTCTCTCTCATTCCCTCGTCTCTCAGGCATCTTGATACTATCTATCTACTAGCTCGGCAACCAACGCGGTTCCACCGACAATAAATCTCCTGTTTAGGCAGGTGGAATGTGAGGGGTGGCTGACTCAGCCGATAAGGAGCCCTCGGCCATGACGTGAATGCGGAGAAAGTGCCTTCGTTCTCTCTCTTTCTTCACCTACGAAGATGAGGGAGAAGACCATGCCGTATTCAGAGACGACGCCTCTGCTGGAGGTGCGGGTCGCTCGACAGCGGCACCGCTACCCCCATCACCTCCTTCGGCGCGCTTGTACCTTCTTTCTGGGCGCTGTGCTAGTCGTCGTCCTCATCCTGTTCTTGATTCCCGAGGGCAGTCTACCAGGAGAACACGGCTCGATCTGGTCGTACTTCCCCGGTTCCAATTCTCTGCCGCACCCAGCCTGGCCCGAGGGCCACGGAATGCCGTACGATCAGCTCCAACAGATCCTCCTCCACACTCCATCGGCCGCCAAGGCCCGCGAGTGGAGCTCCTACTACACAGCAGGACCTCATCTAGCGGGCAAGAATCTCAGCCAAGCTGTGTGGACCCTAGAGAAATGGAAGGAGTTCGGTGTAGAGGACACTACCCTCGCGTCCTATGACATCTACATGAACTACCCACTGGACCATCGCTTGGCGCTGCTGAAAAAGTCCGGCGACGGTGATAAGACGGACGTCACTTTCGAAGCGACTTTGGAAGAAGATGTGCTAGAGGAAGATCCTACTTCTAGTCTACCGGATCGCGTCCCCGTTTTCCATGGCTACTCGGCCAGCGGTAACGTTACTGCGCAGTACGTGTACGCCAATTTCGGCACCTATAAGGATTTCGAGGCCCTAGTCAACGCCAACGTGTCGCTGGAGGGCAAGATTGCGCTCGTCAAATATGGACATGTCTTCCGTGGGCTGAAAGTTAAGCGTGCGCAGGAGCTGGGTATGGTCGGCGTGGTCATTTACAGTGATCCCCAGGAAGATGGACCCATCACTGAGGAAAATGGCTACGCTGCCTACCCGGATGGGCCAGCGCGGAATCCCAGTGCTGTCCAGAGAGGAAGTACGCAGTTCCTCAGTAAGATCTACCCTTCCATCCCTACATGATTTTTACTAACTCGGCGACCAGGCATTCTTCCCGGTGATCCCACCACACCTGGGTATCCATCCAAGCCCGGGTGTGAACGACAGGACCCTTACAACTCTATTCCTTCGATTCCGTCACTCCCAATCTCCTATAAGGAGGCTATCCCATTCCTCAAAGCTTTGAATGGGCATGGCCCTAAGGGAGCGGACTTTGATGATCCGTGGGTTGGTGGCCTCGTCCACAAGGGCGTCGACTATAACATTGGCCCGTCTCCTAAAGAGGTGGTGATCAACCTGTACAATGAGCAGGAATACGTGACCACCCCGGTGTGGAACGTCATCGGCGTCATCAAGGGATCTATTCCGGATGAAGTGGTTGTTTTGGGTAACCACCGAGATGCTTGGGTTGCCGGTGGCGCTGGAGATCCTAATAGTGGCTCTGCGGCGCTGAATGAAGTTATTCGCAGCTTCGGAATGGCTCTTAAAGCTGGATGGAAACCACTACGCACTATTGTCTTTGCTAGTTGGGATGGTGAGGAGTATGGTCTGCTCGGATCGACCGAGTGGGTGGAGGAGCATATCCCCTGGCTGTCCAAGACCAACATCGCGTATCTGAACGTGGATGTCGCGGCGTCTGGTACGCAATTTGGACCTCGCGCTAGTCCTCTGCTGAACAAAGTCATCTACCACGTCACCGGCCTAGTGCCGGCCCCAAATCAGACCGAGGGCCAAACTGTCCGTGACATTTGGGACGGACAGATTGCAACCATGGGCAGCGGTAGTGACTTCACTGCCTTCCAGGATTTCGGCGGCATTGCCAGCGTGGACTTTGGCTTCGGCCCGCAGCCGGGAGACCCAGTGTACCACTACCACTCGAACTACGACAGCTTCGCCTGGATGGAGAAGTTCGGCGATCCCACATTCTCGTACCACTTGGCAACCACCAAGATGTGGGCTCTTGCTGCGGCACAACTAGTCGAGTCTCCACTGCTCGCCATGAGTGCCACAGACTACGCCGCCGGTCTGGAAGAGTACCTGGACCGTGTCGAATCAGTCGCACGCGGCGAGGGCATGAGCTTCGACTTTGCGCCCCTCTATAAGGCCATCTCTCAATTCCAGGACGTCGCGGCCAAGTTCGATGCCTATGCCGAGGAGCTGAAGTCCAAGCTCGGCGACCACGTCCCCTGGTACCACTGGTGGAAGAAGGTGAAACTGTACTTCCAAATCCGGGTAGCAAACGCCAAGTACAAGGGCATCGAGCGAGCATTCTTGTACGAACCCGGTCTGGACGGGCGTGACTGGTTCAAACACGTCGTCTTTGCTCCTGGCATTTGGACCGGATACTCAGGTGCGACGTTCCCGGGACTGGTGGAGAGTTTCCAGGCTGGTGATGCCGCGAATGCTCAGGTATGTACATGCATTTGTCTTTGCAGCAATCGATGTGGTTACAGGCTAACTTTTATTTTTTTATTTTTTTTTTTTTTTAGAAATGGGGCTCTATCATCCTGGAGCGGATTCATGCCGCCGCCAAGTTGCTTGAGTAGTTGAGATTTTGGGGATCGATGCAATGTTTAAAATAATGAGTGTGTAGGAAGAGATAAGTACATACTTGTTATGTTGCAGTATACCAGCTGCTATAAAGGTTTCTGCCTTGATACCACATACAGGAAGAAGTTGGTTAGCTTTGCATACTTCTTTCCGTATACATCCTCAAAAGTGTTGTAGACTGTAAGGAAGACAAATTTTGCCCGTTTTCCAAGCTCGCACGTCTGAAGATACTAGGTTCTTCAGGAGCGTATAGATCTATCCTCTCTCAATTTTCAATGCAAGATTTCAGATAATTTATTTGACAATCCTAGACAGGGATTTATAATGTATAATGTATGCTAAGCTGGAGACAATATAAACAGATCCATCAAATTTATGAGACAGCGGCTACAGAGCCAGGGCCAGTCCAAGGATACCAGCCGCGCCAGCAATGCTCGCAGCAACACCGCCAGTAGCAATCGGAGCGCCACCAGTCGAAGTCGAAGTCGAAGACGAAGGAGTCGACTTCTTAGTGCCGGAGGCACCGGTTTTATTCGCCGCCGCGGTGCTCATAGTAGTGCTCATGGTAGAAGCAGTATTGTGCGCAGGAACGCCAGTAGCAGGAGCATTGGAAGAAGTCGCGCCGACAACCGCAGAAGTCTGTTCAGAGCCGAGGAAGCCGTTCAGCATGGCACCCTCGGACGAAGCCCAGGCCTTGACACTGCTAGGCAGTGCATTGTACCAAGCCGGCATGGTGCCAGCCTGGGCTTCACTCTCGACGGAAGAGCGGAACTGGGGTTTCATCATATCGGTGAACCATGAGGGCGGGACGGCGGTTTCCAGGGCCGTGAGAATAGAGTGCGGGATTTTGGGGAGGGCCAAGGAGCTGCTGTCCGGGTTCGTTTCGAAGGAATCGGAAGAGCCGGTGATGGTTGCCTCGGAGGCAGAGGCCAGGGCCGCCGAGGACAGAAGGAAGGTGGCGAGGAGCTTGAACTGCATTTGGCGGCGGTATTAAAAGATGTGTAACGAACGTAGAGAATATTATTTGCAAAAAGATAAGAAACGAATGATTTGTGGTACAATTAATCTTGAGAAATGGAGTAGAGAGAGAGAGCGACCTTTATAATCGTCCCTGAGCAAAGCGCCTCAATGGGCCTCTCGGCCAAAATATCCATCTTTTACTTCTTGGATCCGCTAGCCAGGGCGGGCTTAAACCCTCTTTTCCCCTTTTTTAGCGCCCACCTCGAGTTTACTCGCCACACGATGTCTGAATACGGACTAGAGCTGGCCGCCACATCGGACGCAGGTTTTATTTTAGTGTACTCCATAGGCGAGCCCATCTCGCGAATCTTGGCACGGGATTGAGATGCCGGACAAGCAACAATAAGTTTTGCCATTTACATGGCACAGCCCCCGTTGAAAAAATTCTGGTACAACTATTGCACAATTTAAATGGTTTGTTGGGGGTGCTTTTTTATTCTTATCTCAAGATGCACATCTACAACACGTATGCAGTCTGTATTTTATAAAATTGCCTGGCTCGGCCTTTCAATCATAGAGAGAGGGCCTATAGGGTGTATCATCTCCCGATGAAACAGCTTGAGGGGCTATCTATGATCCGTCGGATCTTAACCCAAACGACCTCAGCCACCACAGTGAAGGAACTGCCCTAAATTAAAACTAGTATATAAGCCCTATCTTAATCCTTTTAAAGACCTAGGCCATCTTATTTTATTTAGGCGGTTGTGTCAATAATAGAACGAGAATGCTTACAAGCAGTAAGCGCCGTCCTCGGTCCTGCCTCATTTACTTCCCCAGGTCTTCCTTGCCAATCCAACAAGAGTCTTGCGGGGAATAAGGATCAATGGACTGCAATAATTCTCGGTTCGAAGTACTGTAAACAGAGGGCAGTGATCAAACCTACCCATAACTTCCCTCTGCAGACCCCTGCCTTTGATCCTCACAGCAGGGATTCAACACAACATCATATGATGCATGAGCTCTTTTTCCCACCTCTCAGCGACCCCGGGATAAAATTCCGTGTCATCTGGTGCCTGGTCTGCAGCCTTGTCTGTACAGAGGCTGCGGCTGGACCCGCTCGAGTGGAGTCATCGTGTTCAGGCGCTAAGCGCTGCAAATGGCTTCGCGTCGGAATTGTCTCCGACTTCTTGTTTTCCTCTTTCCTCCAGCCTCGTTTTTCGAGTTTATCTGCGTTCGGTAACTAGCGGAGACCGACCGTTTCAGCCAAGCATGCGACAGCCCCAACTTCCCGTCCAGCAGTTAGTGATTTTGTGTACGTTTTTGTCTTTTTGATCGTGTCGGACGAGTCCACGCGCTGACCACTGCTGTGCAGCAATATGTCGCTTTGCAGAGCCCAGTAGGTGCTTGTTCATACATTATATCCCCGGTAAAGACAAGAATACTGAGCACTATAACCCTTCTGCCCTATAGTTGTGCTCACCTCCATCCTTCCCTACCTGGTATGTATTTGAGCCCCACCTCCGCCTTTCCAACCAACTCCATAGCCCGGCAGGGTACAATGACGTCCAACTAACCTCTCGCCCAGCCGGAGATGATAGAATATGTCGGCGTCCCCAAAAATGAAGTTGCTCGCTGGGTCGGCACCACCTCTGCCGTCGCCGCAGGCTGTCAGGCCCTGATGGCCGTACCTTGGGGCACGGCATCAGACTACGTTGGCCGCAAGCCAATCATTCTGCTCTGTCTAACATTCACCATGATCCTATCGATCGTATTCGGCATGTCCCAGAATCTAACGATGTTGCTTGTCTCGCGTGGATTGCTGGGCTTTCTGAACGGCAATGTCGGCATCATTCGCACGATGGTCGCCGAGATGGTGCCCGAGAAGGAACTACAGCCGCGCGCTTTCAGCATCATGCCACTGGTCTGGACGATCGGGAGTATATTTGGACCTGCATTTGGAGGCGCTCTTGCGAAGCCGGCGGAGAAGAACCCGCGTCTCTTTGGAAACATCGAGTTCCTGCGGAAGTATCCTTTTGCACTCCCTAATCTGGCATCTGCGTGTTTCTTTATCGTGGGTATTACTACTGGGTTCCTCTTCATGAAGGTAATTATCTTCTTTTTCTGGTCTAAGGTCCCTCGTCGCTGATCATACAATAGGAAACCTTGGCAGCCAAGAAAGATCAACGTGATTACGGCCTGGTTCTCGGCCAGACACTTACAAGATCGTGCACCTCCCGCAGCAAGCGCGACACCCTTGACTCCAAGGCCGCGGATGAGGAGCGCAGAGCCTTGCTTCCCGGTGATAGGGGTACAGGCAATCGACCTACGCGGCGCCCAACCTGGGGCCAGGTGTTTACTCCGCAGTCGAATCTGGTGCTGTTAGCCTATACACTGATGGCCATGCACAGCATGGCGTTTGATTCACTGTTTCCAGTATTCCTGCATTACCCAGATCAAGACTTCTACAATAATCCCGACGTACATCTGCCGTTCAAGTTCGCCGGCGGATTCGGCGTGGGTGAGTGATTCAACCTGCAGATAATTGACTAGACTACTGACCATGGCAGACTCCGAAACCATTGGCCTGTTTTACACGATCATCGGCATCGTAGGCATAATGGTGCAATTCCTCCTCTTCCCGGCCGCCGCACAGCGGTACGGGGTCCTGACCTGCCTCAAAGTCTCCTCGCTCATCTTCCCAATCATCTTCTTCGTCGTCCCATTTACAGTGCTGGTGCCGCTCGCGCTGCGCAGACCGACCGTGGTCCTGATTATGCTGGCCAAGCTCACCGTCACGATCTTCGGGTTCCCCAGCTGCACAATCCTGCTCACCAATTCCGCTTCCAGTCTCAGTGTCCTCGGCACCCTGAACGGCGTCGGGACAAGCGTCAGTTCCATAGGCCGTGCTGCGGGGCCGGCGCTTATGGGAATGGCGTTCTCGTATGGTGTTGAGAAGGGGTATGTGATTTTCCCGTGGTGGATGCTGACGCTGTTGGCGATTATTAGTGCCGTCCCTGTGTTTTGGATGGTGGAGAGTGAGGGGTTTGTCCGTGATGATACTGATGATGTTGATGATGAGAATGAGGACCATAATACGAATGACTCGCGAGGCCCGGCCATTAATGGGTATGGGACCGTTGACTCGAGAAAGGATGGACGCCGCCCGGACGACGCCGCTGAGCTTGCGGCTCGATGAGAGATGAGCGGTGGATTCTTTTGGGGATTCTTGTTCATTGGCGTTTAGTACCAGCATTTGTGCATTAGACTGGCGTTTAAAACAAATAGTTATTGAGGTCTATGCATTCTTTTTCCGCGCTGCTACAACAAGTAGTGTAGCTGTTGTATACTTCCCATTCTGACTAATAACCTCGGCCTCTTCAAACAGCTCGTCCCCAACTCACCCCAGAAACTCAACATCACCACCTCCACAACCCCCAAACAACCACCAAAATGGTATGGCACACACCCCTTCACCCACCTTCAACACACACACTCCAGGTGATCCAAACTGACCACAACTTAAAACAAAAACAGAGCACCAACCCCGTCCCCACAAACTCAGCCCTCGCCCTCTCGCTGCTAACCTCCATGGGCGGCGCAATCGGGTACGCCAAAACAGGGTCCATCCCCTCAATCGTCGCGGGCCTCTCTGTAGGCGCGCTGTACATGCTCAGCTTTGCGCGCCTGCGCTCCGGCCAGTCCTACGGTGAGGAACTCGGTCTGCTGGCCTCCGCTGTGCTGGGTGGGAGCTCCATCCCGCGCGCTATCAAGACGAGGGGTAAGCCCGTTCCGATGGGACTGAGCGTGCTGGCTACCTATGGGCTCGTGGTTTTCGGGTTGGCCTTCAGGGATAAGAGGGCTGCTTCTGTTTAAATGTGGAGTTGAGATGATGCTACATTGTCTTCTATACAACTCTGCGATGGATGTGTGCTGTTTTATCCTACTTTAGTTCAGGCTTCCCCCAGTGTGCGCAGCATTTGGGGTTCTATACTGAGAAGTTGGGATTGGGGCAGAGGATGGCAGAAATGATAGTCTTGGACTTATCTTCATGTGGAAATAGGGATGTGTAGTACCTTCAATCTGATTGTATTTATTGGGAAAAAGACAACTACAGAGTACGAATGTAGATCGCATAATTAAAGCAAATAGATTCCCTCCCACGGGAGAACGCCTCGAGAACTTACACAGAATAGATAGATAGACACCACTGGTAGATAGCATCAATCACAACGGGACCCGACAGCACGGAGATCAAACAAAGGAACAAGAGCAGGAAGGTCAAGTAGAGTAGTAGAGCACCTACTGATACTGGGATCAACCCCGATTAACACCAACTCCACCGGACTCACCAGAACTCTCATCATCATCCTCGTCCGCCTGCTCCATAAAGAGGGCATCTGCCTGCCGGTCTGTTGGCACGACAGATATCACGGAGGAATGGATCGCCAAGACAAAAAACTACTGATTGGAATCATCAGGGCAGGTAACAGAACAACCCACGCATGAGCATTCTAGCTAGAAGTTGATAGATATGCGTCGAACTTAGCTGGAGTTCATTTGTCCGTCTCTCCTCGACTATCGTCACACACAGACACGCAGAAGGTACTGTTCCGCTCGCAGGGCCCTTGTAATCGAAACGAAAGAGCTCAATGGGTCGGGTCGATCACCGTGTCCGAATCGCGGATCGCGCCCGTGACCACGGCGGCCGGGAGCTCTCCAAGGACGGTATTCTTGCGGTTGGGAACGAATGAATATCGGGGCAGGCGTGCCATCTTTTCCTCCGGGCTGATTGTCTCGTCGGAGTATATCATCCGCGTCTGCTTGGACTTGTCCTTCTTTGCTGGTTTTTCGGTCGACTCGGCCGTTTTGGCGGCTGCGGCTTCGGTGGCGGCGCCGGAGACCAGGGCGTCCACGGACGATGATACCTCTGGCTTGTGAGCTACGTCACCGTTTGCATAGCCCGACGGGATGGTCTGGCCCATGTGCAATTGTTGCATCTGCTGCGCGTTGACTGTAGGTGCCCCGAAGGCGGGGCGCTGGGGCAGGTTGGATGCGGGAGGTAAACTGCCGGGTCGCGGTGGGAAGGCTGATGAATTGGGCGGTGATTGAATTTGGACTGGTGGTGGTTGTTGCTGGGGGAAGGGGTGGAGGTGTCGCTCCATAACCAGGCGCCGGAGGCTGGCCGGGAGCACCGGTCGGTGGGAAGGTCGGGTATACCGGGCTAGCGGCCTGTTGGTAGGGATATTGCTGAACGGGTGCGGGCACGGCCGCGGCTTGAGGTGATTGTCCCTGTTTTCAAACTGTCAGTCCCATTCCACCGGTAAGAAAAGGGCAGAAACTTACATATCCTCCCGGTGACGGCGCAGCCTGCCCAGCACCAATAGGGGTCCCCTCGCCGCTGCTCCCTCCAGCAATGGCCTCCTGACGCTTCGCCCTATGCTCGGCCAATCGCTTCTTGAGATCCGATGGGTTCTCCAGCTTCGGTCTCTTCGCTGGTTGCCCGCCAGCACTGACGCCAGCCGGGGGGTTACCCGTAGCAGCCTGACGCTCCACCTCAGCCTGGTGGAACTGAGCCGCCACGCGCTGCTGGTGCGCCATGAGCACGTCGTCCGGCATACCCTCCATGCCAAAGATTTCCACCTCGAGGCCAGCTCGGTTGGGCAGCGCATTCTCGACCTCGGTCAATTGTTCCTTGTGGACTTGGCTCATGTGCACCGATAATCCTGAAGAGCGCGAAGTAGTCAGTTGGGAGTCCGACAAAGAATGGGGAAGATGGAGAGGTACGTACCTCCTGCGGTATTGAGTCTGCGCCCGCATCGCTCACATTTGAAGTGTTTGGCTTTCTGATGCGAAATGAGGATCTTGAGGTCGTCGAAGTCGCGCTCGCAGTAGTAGCACCATGGTCGGGCCATGACCTCGTCCAGCGTGGGACCACGTCTTTTCTTTCCCATTGTGGCGCTTGTGTATAGACGTAAGTTTGAAGACCAAAGGACAATGACCAGGGAGGGTGATCCGGTGGTGGGTTCGCAAGAAATGAGACAATGTTGAAGGAGAAAGTGGGATGCAGAGTATGAAGCTGTACAAGAGTGAAGCTGTGCGGATGATCCAGAGGCCGGTTTGAAGAGTCACGTGTTGGTCACGTGAATGAATCATATCTATAAAGACGGAAAAGGAAACAAGATAGTGGAAGAAAAACGAAGGGTCCATTTATCTGTGCCCATGACGCTATCATACAAAAATGGCAGAATAGAATACAGTTCAAGCTGACAGTATTGGCGGTGCCTGTAAAATCCAGGCCCCAAGCCACACCATCAACTTCCCATCCTTAGTAGATTTACAATCCCTTTTGCGCTCAAAAGCAGTCCCTTAAGATCTGCAAAACCACCGTCCATCCATTGCGCCGACCATTCCAGTGCAGACCAACCAGAAAGAAAGGAAGGGAAAAAACGAGAAAGAAAAGAGATGCGCATCAGAGTCCAGTCGGTAAAGACGGTCTCTTGAATGACGAAAATAATTGAAATGAAGTCCTGGAGTGCCGCCGATAAGGACGGTCTCCCGAGGAAGAGAATGGGTAAAGAAGGTTCAAAAGTCCTGGTGGGAAAATATGGACTCCCAAGAAAAAATCAAACAGAAAACGTGTGGATGCACCCCCTAAATGGCGGCGCGATCTGTCAACACGAAGTGCTTAGAATGAACATCTATGCGATGTTTCTCTTCAAAGTGAATTCTCTCCAAAGGTTGAGATTATCGGCGGTGCGGGTCACGGGGAGGTCCGAGATGTCCCAAATTGTACGGCACATACGGGAAAGGCGCGTACTGAGGCGGCATGGGCTGGCCAAGCTGGACATGTCCAGGCGGCGGGGGTCCCGGCGGTCCCGGCGGTCCCGGCGGTGCTCCGAAAGGATTAGGGTGGCCATGGTGGCCATAAGGTGGCATTCCCATAGATCCAGGCATGGGAGGGTTAGGAGGCATTCCCTGTCCCATGTGTTGTGAGCTCGCGAGAGAAGGCAGGCCGGGAGAAGCCTTGGGGGCAAGGTTGCCGGTAGGGATTGGAGCGAGTGAGGGAGACCTCCTTCGGCGGCCACTGGGCCTGGGAGGATCGACTGCCTTGCGGGTCTCTTCAACCACACGATCCTGTTCAATCTGCGCCTTGGAGCGCTTCGGGTTGCGGATGCGTCCCTCGCGGTTGAATCGATCCCAGTGGTCCAACATGGCCTTGGTGCGCTTTGGGTTCTTTGAGTTGGCAATCTTCAATCGCCGGGCTTCTTCAAGGGCTTCTGCCGAGGTCTGTTTGGTGGCTGAAGGGGTGCCAGATGGGGAAGTGCCCATGGGAGAAAGAGCAGGCAGAGATGATGTGTCGGTTACTGAGCGCGTCTGTGTCGTTGCCATGCCACCACGGCCTCGGCCCCGACCGCGTGAAGAAGAGGGAGGAGTGTATGCCTGATGGATTTCCAAGGAAGCACGGGTGGAAGGGCGTCCAACACCGCGACCCCTACCCCGGCCACGGCCACGGCCACCTCTGCGCGCAGGAGTCGAAAGCTCAGACTGAATAAACTCAACTCCGGAACGTCTACCACCACGACCTCGAGTACGCCGCTTAGCAGGCTGCTGCTCCTCGTCGGTCTCATCCGCTTCTGGAGACTCGCCTTGCGTCTCCTCGGTGTCGGTGGCTGCTTTAGAAGCTGCTTCGACCTCGGCGGCTTTGCGCTTACGGGTGAACTTCATCAAGGTGGGCTCCTTGCGCGGCTCCCAAAGCTTGGGGAAATGTTCAATACCGTCTCGGATAACAGGAGCGAATCCATCTGGATTGGGATCATCAGGTGCCGTCTTGGCAGCCATCTTCCGGCCTTGCGCAGGTGTCGGCACGAAGCCACCTTGAACAAATGCGTCCTGCGGTGCCCACGCAACCTGGGTGCTCGTGTTGCCCTGGAAGTACGTATGCTTGTATCCGTAAAGCATAGCCTCCTTCCTATCCTCAAAGTCACGCTCGTCTTCTGGCACCCGCGCCAGGGGATGGTTGGTTTTCTTTTTGTTTCCCATGATAAATGATCTCTTCGAGCCGTCAGGAAGAGGTTCGCGATGGTGCCGATGCGTGTAAAGATACAGCTTATCGAGAGCCAGGTACTCATCTTGCCAGACTCTCATGGCAAAGGCGGCCGTCTCGGTGACTGCGTAGAGTTCGTCTGGCGTGAGGTTCTCAGGATGCCGAAGCAGTTCTACAAGTTTATCGGGCGACTCGATAGGAAGGAATTCCCCCTTGTCGACTTTGATCTTCTTGTACGGGCCGTGCTGAGTGATCGGTTCTGGTACTTCACGCTTCTTGGGCTTGGAGTCGCTGCTGTTGAGAACGTGCTGCCACGTCTGCTTGATCTTGGCCTCGTCTTGTTCATATTCGGGACAGAATTTCTTGACATCGTGAATACTCCAAGCTTTGGAGAGACGACTCTTCACGTCTGGTTCTTGCCACTTGGACAAGCGTTCGCGATAGTCATCGGGGAAGGATGATCGCGGATTCGAGAGCCACTCCAACCGATCGAGTTTGCCGGTTTTTGTCTGGCTGGGCTTAGGACCAACGTCCATTGGCTTGCTTTCTTGACGCTCAGCATCGTCGCTGTGGTCCCCAACGGCCGAGGGTGCAGCAGTCACTGGTTCTTCCTCTCCGCCATGGTCATGCTCTTCTTCAGGCAGCGTGACATGAATTGCCAGTTCCTCTGCATTCAGGGGCTCTGCACCGTTGAGACGCTCGTCCTCATTGAAGTGCTCGTCGTCTTGAAGAATTTCTTCTTCGATAAGTTGTTCTTCATCATCGAGAGGCTCCTCTCCCTCCTCTCCTTCTTCGGCTTCTTCTTCCTCCTCCTCATTGAAGTCTTCATTAAGAGGCTCCTCCTCGTTGAAGAGCTCTTCTTCATGGTAAGCCGCCTCCTCGTCATTGGGGTCCATATAACTGTTCTCTGCATCGATTTCTTCGGCATCATCATAATCTGAGAACCGAATAGTTTTTGGGTGTGCAGACGCGACATGCACTCTCAGGACATCTTCCTTGGTAGTCTCGCCATCGTGCGGAACATCCAAGAGCTTCCCGCACCAGGAGCATTTGGCCATCTGCGACCGAGGCTCCGGTGACTGGGAAATCTGAGTAGATGTGGACTGGGGGCGAAAGGGCTCCGAGAACTGACGGCGCATTGGAGAATCCTCGCCCACGTCAGATGAGGGATTGTCCACGTCCACATCGACCTGGGGAATGGGGGCCATGTTGACGGGAGAGAGTGGAGAAGGCCCAGCAGGAAGAAGAAAAGAAAAATAAGACGAAAAGAAGAAGAAAGGGATTTAAAAAAGGCAAGAGAATGTTCACAGGCGAACAGACAGTTGCGAGGTGATCTGTATAGATTGGGTCAGTCGTTGGGTGGTTCGCTTGCGGGTGCCAAGCCGCCAGAAGTAATCGCAGCGCAATCCTTGAAACTCAGGGCCAGGGGAGCCGGCGGGCGAACGCAGGGGGGCAATCACAAAGAAGAAGAGGCAGAAACGGGACGTGGCCATGCATCCATCGTGGATGATTATCCCAAACAACTGAACAGACAAAAAGAATTGCCAAGTCAAGGGAAGAAGACCCGGTCGGGCCCGGGTTGTGTGTGTGGAGCAGGATGGGATGTGGATGTACAGAAGCAAAAAAAAGCGACTATGATTCAAAAGCACGCGACACGCCACTTACCATGAGTTCCAGGGGATCTCGATCTGTTCCTGACAATGATGTGCAGACGATGTAAATACCTGCCAGATGTGGTCAGCGACGGGGGGCGTTGCAACAAGAGTTGTTGCTCGGCGCGGGCGGCCAGGGATGTGTACTTACCTCGATTAGTGGTGGCTGGCCGAGCAGCACAGGGTTTTGCAGGTCTCACCACCCGAGACAAGGGATAGAACAATGAGGAGGATATAGTTGAGAAAAGAAGAAAGGGGGGAGAAAGATGGGGAATGGCCGCAATGCCGGACGCTGTTTTTGGCTAACAGCGTGGCAGGGAGGACCGATGAGAGAGGGAGTACGGGTGAATAGGATGTTACAAACGCAGAGGGGAGAGAAGAGCCACAGGCAGTGATGGAGGGAATAGAATCCGAGAGATCGAGAACCCCGGGAAGAGAGTAATACAGCTGGGAGAAGAGCCCAAGGGCGACTGGGGGAAGCAAGAGAAAAAGAGATTGAGTAGTTTAGTTTGTAGACGGGGCTGACGGGACATCTGTCTGGGTCCGGACGGACCAATCACCGTGCGCGCATCTACTTGCGCGGATCGACTAACTCGACCAAGACGGACGGCATCATCTCTGCTGGGGGTGGATTCGTACGGAATAATATTTCAAGGATCACTCATCCCCCTCCGGACAAGATGTGCTCGAAGAAGAAAAACACGGTGGCGGACTATGGGTCACATGACCCGAGGGGGAAGACTTTGAATGGCTTGCAACAACGGACTTTCCTGCGAGAAAAGTCACAGTCGACTCGAGTGGGACTCAGTCGAGACGAGTGGACGGTCTTTTATCCTCTCTGCAAAAATGTGCTGCTCAAGGGCTACCAAAGACCAAGGAATGAAGCAAAGGCAGATCTGATGGCTGATGACCTCATAATCACTACGCATGGAAGGAGAACAAAAATGATCCCACAAACGGTATAGTAGGAATCACTCGGGGCCTAATTACTCCAAATGCTCCGACACTATACAAGGTACTTGCAGAGCTACGTTATACTCTTTTGGGTACTTCATCGGAAACCGTATATGACAGTCCATATACGAGGTATCATCTGCAGCATGTTAATCAACATCCCGCCAATCTCCATCCTTAATGATTCTTCTCCCCAACATCCAGTGCAACCAAGAACCGACTGACACAGTTATAGGCCGCAACGGTGGCCGTTATCTCCACCACTTCCCTCTCATTGAAACAACCCTTCAACTCCTGAAAGATCTCATCTGGGACCGACACGGTCTTGGTCATCGCGTCCGTATACTTGAGCACCGCCCTTTCCTCCGTACTGAGGACTGTGGTCTTATTCTCATCCGCGAAATCCACCTGTGTATCCCCAACCAAATCCAACGCCTCTCGACTCAGTCCGCCCGCTGTGAGCAGTGGCGCATGCTGCTCCCACTCGAAATGGGCGCCGTTGATCACAGCGACGCGGCAGATGGCCAGCTCCCGGACTACGGTGGACACGCTGGTGCGGGTGCGAATGGCGCCGATAAACGAGTTCCAGCCATCCGCCACGGGGAACGAGTGCAGAAGTGCTAGGTCGAGAGGGAGCAGGGGGTTGGGTGCTCGACGGGCTTGCACGCTGGCGAGGATGTTTGCTTCCTCTGGGGTGCTGGTTGGCGGCGGGTCCGGGACGTAGGGCAGACGCATGGTGGCGGCTGTAGAGTAGATCCCGGGTAAGCGGGCATCCTGGCCAATAAGAGGGTAGAGTGGGTTTACCAATGAGTTCAATGGTGTAGATAGCACTAAGTCCTGCGGTTCAATTCAATGTTTCTCGAGAATAATAGGGAAGAAGGGTGTATTTAAGCCATCGCGGGAACTGAAGGAACCCCGCCGCGGTCCCGCCACGGAATGGAGCCGAGTGCCGGATGCTTGTCGCCCGGCGTGATGAACTTCAGGGGAAAGGAGTGGAATGATTGATGATCGGGAGTATTAATAAAGGAGTGTCATGGACCAAAATAACATGCTATACGAGCAGAAGTATATATCGGCATGGGTATATAGTCTCCAATCAAGCACGAACCAACAAAACCCGCCAAAAACAGGATAATGAAATCCTAGACCTGCCCATCTGACGATCGAATTCAATATTTCTAATTTAGATATAAAGTGGCATTCAGTTTACCCCAGCTACTCCAGTCAACTCTCTTATGCTAGGTCTTGGCAGTCCAAGCATCGGCATCACCGCCTTCGAGCTTACTCAACCGCTGCGCGTCACCTCTCCTGAACCACCCCCAAACATGCCGCCCAAGGCTGCCAAACCCACCAGCGACGAGCTCCTAGCTCAGTTCGACAACCTCGGCGTCGACTCAGCCGACAAGAAATCCAACCGTTCCGTCCCAGCGGCCTCCAACAATGCCAAACCCGAGCAGGAGGACATATTGGCCGAGCTGGACCACCTAGCTACCCAGCGCCCCAGCAGCGGTCCCGGCACGCCTCGCCTGTCCTCTGACAAACCCCGGCCATCCACCGCACGTTCTCCCCGGCCTAGTGCCACCATCGACCGAACCAGCGAGGACAAGGTCGCCGCCCGCGCGTCCGAGGAGACAAGTCGGCCTTCCCGTCCCGTGCCGCCAGCCGATCAAGCTCAAGCTGCTCCTGAAAAGAAGGATGCAACCGATGAGGAGTCTCAAGGCGGATGGTGGGGCGGGTTCTTCGCAACCGCCAGCGCGGCCATGAAACAGGCCGAGGCGGCTGTTAAGGAGATCCAGAACAATGAAGAGGCCCAGCGGTGGGCTCAGCAGGTCAAGGGTAATGTCGGAGCTTTAAGAGACTTTGGTATTGATTCCCCTTGAACTCTAAGTAGTTCCTACCTAACCCTGATACATAGGCGGCGAGCTGCGCAACATGGCCATCCCCACGTTCACCAATCTCATCCACACCCTTGCGCCTCCCATCTCCTCTCACGAACGCCTACAGATCCATGTGACGCACGATCTGTCCGGGTACCCCGAACTGGACCCTCTCGTGTATAGCGTGTTCTCGCGCGTGATGGCCCAAGTCGAAGGCGGAGACTTGCTGGTCATCCAGCGCGGCCAGGAGTCCGCTCCCAAGCGTGGAATAGACATTGCGGGCTACCAACTCACGAGCGCAGGCTGGAACGACGGGCCATGGTGGCGGACAGTCACGCCCGGCAGCCCACGGAGTATCTCTGCGGTGCCAGGTCTCGTACCGGGGACCAAGCTGGCGCGCGCGAGTGCAGAGTCCTACGCGATGGAGTATTATTCGACGCGGGGCGGAATCGAAGAAGCAGCGAAGCAAGCCACAGAAGTGCTGAGCGAATCCAACCCCGTGCGGAGCAGCGATATCTTCCTGGCCATCCAGGCTGTGAGCCAGAGCGTGTCCAAGGATCTGTTCCAGGCGGGCGCGACGGGCGAGGAGAAGGCCACCACCCCGGCCGGCGCAGTGGCTGCCGACGAGACAGAAGAGGAGATTGTCTTTGCGCTGTACCTGCACGACCCCGTACACGGCATCGCCTTCCACGCCGTCTCCCAGGCCCTGCCGCAGAAATGGATCGAGTGGCTCGATGCCTCGGCCCCTGCTGCGGAGAACCCAGGCGGCGAGGACGCGCAAGTGCCACGAGCTGTCACGCCAGAGGCTATCGCGGAGATTATTGAGAGCGGCGGCGTCGATCCGCGCGAGTGGGTTGCCGAGTGGGTGGAAGAGGCACTCTCGCTGTCTGCGGGTGTCGTTGCGCAACGCTATGTCGCCCGCCGCATGGGTGTCGGCGAGGGTGGTGTCGGCAAGGGCAAGATGCGAGCCGAACAGGCGTCGACCGTCGAGAGCGGTGCAGGAGAGGCCGCGCGTGCCCTGTAGGGCTCTGTGTTTTTTTTGTTGCTTTCACGCATCTGTTGCGCTTTTTGTTTCCCGTGATACACCTCTTCTACTTACACTGATTAGCCATATGCCCATGAATCTCGTATTCCTTGAATAGCAATCTTTTTTGGCCGAATTATTTGATGATCGTGGCTGAATAAGTTCCAACTCTGGCATGTCGTAAATGGTCTTCGTATTTTTTTCCTTGTAATCGTTCTTGCTCGGGTATTATGTATGTACAAGACTTGTTTGGTGATTTAGGGCAGTCTCTCTCCATGCCCGCCCCTCTATACTTCTGGAAAGATGGCAATGATCAAACCGAAATCATTTATCATGATGCAAACCCCAAGAAACCCGGCGCCGAAATGCAACATGGAAACCGTTCCATATAAGCGTCTGTTGAATAGAAAGAAGAAGCCCATCATTAAACCCATGTAGCGTCTATTCATCAAGGTGCAATGGCCCCTCAAGGCCGGGGACGTGCCAGAAATTTGCACGGAGAGCAGTCACACTGCAAAACGATTAGGACAATCAACAAGAAACCAAGAGAGGGTATCATACCTGGTAGACCCGTTCAGCACGGTATGCGCATCCGTACCCTCTTCACTGGCCTGCAGGCTCTTCTTCATATCAGACAGATCGGCAGACCACTTGAAATGGCGCTGCTTACGGCCCGGCGCCTCAGCATGTCCATTGACCGCAACGCCATTGCACTGCTCCTTCGACGAGACGCCATTGGATGATGTGCCGTTCACCATCTTCGAATCACCGCCCGCCTCGGCATACAGACACCCCCTCGACCAGTAATAGGGCAGAGTGCGCGTATAGCAAACAGGCCGAGACTCGACGTCCTCGCGCATGGGGATATTGATATTATACAGCTCCACGCGCGGATCCCAATTCCTCACCAGGTGATCCACCAACCGCACGGCTAGCCTGGCGGCCGCGTAAATGATATCCGCGGGCTGTTCATCCTTGCTGCCGAAGGAGACGGCGATACCGCGTTTCCCGCAGAATACAGCTTCCAAGGCCCCGCCCACGGTCCCCGAAGACAGATTGTAGATCGTCGAGGCGTTGCGTCCGTGGTTCGGGCCCGAGATCACCAGGTCAATGGGTGGGCGGTCTGTGAAGAGATTGTATAGACCCAGCTGGGCACAGCTGGCTGGTGTGCCGTTGCGGACTACCACCCAGTCCTGGTTCTCTGTTGAAGAAGATGGCGCATGCTGCTCGTCCCAGGTGCCGTCGGCGCGGAATGCGTCGCGATCCACGTAGCTTGCGGTCAGCGCCGCTTCGATCAAGTGTGCTTTGCCGATCCAGGACCGCGATGCCGCGGGGATGGCCACGGAGATCTGGTGACCGGCGGCTTCGAGGGAGTCTACGAGAGGCCTGATGTATGGCGAGAGGCGGCTGTTGGGCGGGCCATCATCGTTGACCACCTGTGGCGCGCATTAATGACCATTCAGGATGTCGCTGTGCTTTGCTCTTCTGGAGTGACAAAAGAAAAAACAAGTAAGCATGTCGATCCCTCGACTTACCAGGATATGCATGGCTGATGAATTTCTCAGCGCTAATGGCGATTATTACTGTCCTAGAGTTATGGGAGGGGCGTCTCCCGCACTTATAGCGACATCTGGGGCACGCTGGATAAGGGTTGAGCCCGGTGCTGGCCTTCCTTCTTGGATGACCGGAGCGTTTCTGGTCGCGGTGAAGCTGTTCAGGCTGAGGGGGACGGCAGTTGAGAGACGGGTTTGGTTCTGTTATTATTTACGGTACACCGCAAGATGTGGTAAAATAACAAGGATTGTGATGTATTGACAAGTTATTGACCATACATGACCCGCCGTTTTGGGTTCCGCCGAAAAGAGGCTGCGGTGAACCGCATCCGTCGGGGTTGAAGAGTTTTTGTTTTGTTCTAATCCGGAGAAGAAGTAAACGTCGGAAAGGGCACGGATTTGATGATTCCAATAAGAAGAAGAATAATAAGGATCATGTAGCATTCAATATTATGAAATACCCTACTACAGTAGCTACGCGGAAGCCATCCGTCCGATCCTATAGTCCCTCGCTCTGACCCCTGCAGAATCAATTTCTCTGACACGATCGACTCGCGTAAGCCGGACTTTGACTCAACTGATAATGGAATAGATTGATGACTGTCCGGTTTCAATTCATTTCTTTTTCTAAATTCCCCATTGCATTCATTATTATTGATCTCCTGTCTATACTTCTTGAAACCTGGCCTGTGCGTATCAGCAAAATCTGTGGTGGGGAAAAACCGGTTGATTCATCTCTCCTCCTTTTCTTCTTTCACACCCACGTTCTGTCTATCTGTCGCGCCATCTCCCTCGACTTCTGATCCGCAAAGTCGCAAAAAGCGCTGTCTTTTTGCGTCTTTTGCTTCCCTGTCAACCAACTCCCTTCCTGCGTACCCTGTATGGACTGCGGCACCGCCGGCACCGCTGCGGGTATCGACCCCAAAATTCTCGACAATTGGCAAACGGACGGCTTTGCTTCCTGGGAAAGATACGACCAGCCGCCCGAGTGGGACACCAGCCAGGAGTCCAGCCAGTGCGATGCCGATATCGCCGATCTAGGGTCCTTCCAGGGCCCCCTAACGAGGTCGCTGCTGGATCAGTCCAGCGAGTTTCATAATAGGTTCGATCCCGTGTGGCACGATCCATGGCCCAGTACACTGACTGTGTCATTCTAGTGGTATCGCGCCTGATAACTTCAACTACACCGACGGTACCATCGAGGGCACCGGTAGCGGCACCATCAGTCCCAGGACGATCCCCTCCTCAACCGATGACAACTTCCATCCTGATGAGTCGTGGCCGCAATTCCAGCTCATCAACTCTGTTGCGGGGCTGGGGATGCCCGAAACGCCTCTCCTCTACCCCTACGGCAAAGGACAGAACCCTTCTACGGGTGCGGTTATCATCGACGATGCGGGCGAGATGCCGCACGGTCATGGATTCTCAAATGCCTCGGCGGAGGCCATGATGTCGTTCCATCAGATCCCGGCGTCCTTTCCGCTGGTGCCGGAGCCTTGGGCGGACCTCACACCGGACATGTCTATGAACAATGTAGATCCGGCGCAAGGCTCCATTCCGCTCTCAATGGAGTCACAGCAGCCCAAAGGTTCTTCCTTGCGCGAGTTTGAAACCGCTTCCCGGTCTCTCGAGTTACGCTGGCTCGATGGACTGGAGTCCCAGCTCCAGATGACAGCTGGCTCGCTCCAAACGAACGCTTCGGCGTACCAGAAGAATGACCAAACAGATCATGTTCAATACAAGTCCGAGAACTCCTCCGTGTCTGGCGATCTGTCTGGACTGTACGAATGCTCCTATTCTTCGACCAGTGACGACCCTCCTGCCTTTGCAGAACACCAGTTGGATGAGGACGAGTGGAAAGTCATCACTCCAGACGCTAGTTCCCCCGAGGCCTCCCAACCTGTCCCCGCTTTCGTGGTCACCGAGACTCCGATAGAATTGCTCTCGGACAAGCCGTCAAAATCCCGAACCTCCTCGTCTGCCGGTCAACGCGCGCTCGCGATCCAGTCTCCGGCTACGGTCCGCAAGCGCAAGAATCGCAACTCGGCCAATTCCTCAGACAAGACCCCGGCCAAGCCGTTGCAAATTGTCCAGGAAGATGGACAAGGCGGTGCCATTGCGTCTGCAGACTTTGTCACCCCTCCACGCGGGGCTCGTCGCAAGGGCCCGCTGAGCATGGTTGGAAGAGCCAACGCCGGTATGCGGAGGAAGAACAAGGATACCTGTGTGCAATGCCGGTTGAACAAACGCAAGGTAAGATTCTTGATGTCCTTTTCAAGACGAAAGCTAATTATGATTCAGTGCGATGGAATCTCACCATGCACTGCCTGTCGTCCTACTCTCCACGAGCAGCCCTGTGCGCGTGCGTGCTTTTCCAGCATTGTTGAGTTTGGAACCTGCAATTATATCTGTACGTCCCTATTTCGTGTACTGTTTGGACTCCGACTAACTATCTCCAGCTCAACGAGCTGTCAACCATCCTACGATCGATGGATCTACTAGAGTCCGCATGGAGATCCCATCCGAATTCGATCTGAACCAACTCTTGTCTTTCCTGGGTGAGCGCCAAGGGCGGTTCAACATCCGCGCCAGCCAGTCTTGGGGATCCTTGTATGTCCTCGACCTGGGCGAGACCTACAAATTCCTGAAGGGCTTGAGCGAGTACAATGGCAATTCGAAGTCGACGTTCCTTGACTTCATCGACCGTCGAATCGTCGAGTCCAAGGACAAATCGAAGAACTGGTTGTCTTGCGTCAAGGACTGCGACCCGATGAACAACGCTTATGTGAGTACCCTTCGTGATATTCTGTCTTTTCATCTGCTGATGCGTCTCTAGTCGCTACTGTCACAATGGAACAACATGCCCAGCCGTGCTCGATACAGCTTCGTCTCGCTCGACTCCACAAGCGACGAGCGATCCATGGACATCAACAACCCGGAACATCAGCGCGACATTCTGCTAGCTGCGCAACTCTCCCGCATCGTGTGCCGCATGCTCGAAGTCGAAGGATTCCGCAAACTAGAGCGCGATTTCTACAACATCAAGTGGAAGCAGATCTCCCACGAAACTCACATCCGCTTCCTGGGGGAATTGGGCCAGATCCTGCTCACCCTCCGCTGGCGTGTCTCGTGGTGGAAAACTCTCGGTGACGGTGGCCACAACCCCGATCCCAGCCAGCAGCACTACGTCGACCGCGTCGATCTGCTCTGCCGCATTCTCTATGTTTATTATACGTGCGTCCTGGCAAAGCTTCCCGCGTGGTCGGTTAACGATGTCCCCAAGGGCGTCTGGTCCTCGTACGCTGACTCGGTGAACGCCGTGTGGGATGATTTCCCCTCTGACCCGACCGATGCCGGATTCCAGGTCTGGATGGATCGAGGCCGCGACTTGATCGAACAAGCTGGCGTCCCATCACTGGTTTCCAAGTTCCAAAGGTGAGGATGATCGCGATCGTGCTTGCGCATTTGTGGGTTTATTGGGAGGGCTGCGAACAAGGATTGGAGTTGGAATTTATTGATACCCTTTTTTTTTATTTTTTTTATTGCTGATGGATTACGACATTTGAATTTCTTTCTTTCTTGTTGATGATTGATGATATGGCCATGTGGGTTTATGAATGGGCTTTCAACACGGCCCGGCCCTGTGGCTGTTTTATTTACTGTACATGGTTTTCCCCTACATACGTACTTCTTACTATTCGAGAGGAATAAAAGCAAGATGATGAAACGTCCGTATGCCGATTACGATTGTAGATTTTTGGGAACTGAAAAAAGAAGTGAAAACAGGGTATCGCATCAATTCATGAATATCGCTAGTAAAAGCCAGCCAACCAGCCAACTCTTATATGTCTGATGATGATGGGTTGAAATACACACCCAAACCAACTCCTTAACTGAACGACTAACAATAGACACAAGAAACCAGATCATTTCTTCTGACCACCCTTATTATCACCCGCCTTCGCCTTCGACTTCTTCCCACCAGCCAAAATCTCAAGATGACCCGCCTTTTGCGCGAGCGTGCGTTCCGTTTTTGCGACGAGACCGGAGGAGAGTTTCTAGATAACAACAGTATAACAGTTAGAATTCTCATGGAAGAGAAAATAAAAATAAAAGGGCCGACTGGATGGAGCAAGGCCACATGCACAGACAGTGCTGGGTGGGGGTTTTCAGTCGTACCTTGTTGAGTTTCTTCTGCTTGATGAGAGCGATTTTCTTGGGGGCGACCTGGCGCGGACCAGGTTTTGTCGTCTTGGACGGCGGCCTGAAGAGTTCCTTGCGTTAAGGTGGGTTTCTCGAGACATTGCGTGTAGTGCTAAGAACGTACCGTTTTGGTGCGCCCCCGGACGGCTTGGTTGTTTTCTTGATGATGCCTTGTGCCATGGTGCTGGATTAGAGGTGGTATCAGGGAGATGGGGTGAATTGCGGAGGTAGAAGTACCGCCAGCAGCACAGACAAGATGGCGAGAGCGTTGGAGTTGAAGTCGATGGGAGAGAAAAATCCTTATCGCTTATCGGTCACGTGATCCTTTATTTACTCCATCGGATCTAGATCTGCAGGATGGAAGATAAACAGTACAACTCTTGATCATTATGAGAGACAACAGCTACTACTGCTTATGCCTGATATCCATCAAGCCCGAAGCAAATTATACGAATTAGGAGCACATCCACTACGGCCTGGATTTGCCCATGTGCGCAGTGGAACACCAGCAGAAACAGAGTACAAGTACAAGGCGCGTAGTGATGACAACCGTGGAATGCCTCACAGGAAATAAAAATCAAGTAGAATAAAATAGAATAAACAGGTCCTTATCCGATCGATCAACTGGAATCTTAACTTAACAGGGGGTATCTCCGTTAGGTATGTAGGTGTCTCATAGCATAGCCGCGTAAGAAGAAACAATATGAACCCCCGATCGATCGCGAGTAAGAAGAGTTCATAGTTTTAGAGAACAGAAAACATGAAACACAAACAGATATCGCAAAATACACGAAACAGCGCGCAATCCCTTAAGTAAAGGCAACTAGATTAGCAGGCCATGGCGAAAGCAAGCACACCGGCCACGGCGGCGGCGCCCACGCTGACGGCGTTGCGGCCCGCGGCGTTGAAGGGGGTTGTCGTTGGGCTGGCGGGCGTGGTGGGTGAGGGCGGGGTGGTCGCGCGTAGGGTGCTGCTTTGCGCCGCGGTGTTGGAGGGATTGGGGATGACAACGGTCGTGATGGTGGTGGTTGGGGCTGAAGCAGCGGTTGTGGTGGTCACCGCGGTTGTGGTGGTGGTGCTGCTAGTGGTGGACTCGGTCGAGGAGCTGGTAGTAGTGGTGCTCTTGGTGGTCGTGGTGGTGGTGGAGGTTGTGGACTCGGTCGTGGTGCTCGAGGTGGTGCTCGTGGTGGTGGTGGTGTAGCCAGAGCCAGAGCCAGAGCCAGAACCCGGGCTAGAGCCAGCGGGCGCAGAGATGCCGAACTGAGTAGACCATTGATACTGCCCCGTGCCCTCAACAACCAGCAGCAGGCCGTAGTGGGTGGTATCCGGGGTGAGGTTGGTGCCGGGGGTCCAGACGTAGGAGCCCGAGTTAGGGATCTTCTCGACGATGGTCTCGAGCGGCTGGACGTTGGACGAGGGACCGCGCAGCAGCACCAGCGAGACGTCGCCCTTAGTAGTCGGGTCCCAGGTGATGGTGAAGGGCTTGCCCTCGGGAATCTGTTCGTTCAGGCCAGGCGAGGAGATGGGGTTCCCCGTGGGCGGTTTGCTGTAGTCGGGCTGGGTATAGGCCGTGGCCAGGGCCGCAAGGGCTGAAAGGACGGTTGCTGTAGAGAAGCGCATCTTGGAATGTGATTTGTGATTTGTTTAGGAAAGAATGACGGAGTTGGGACGATCGATATTGCTTTTAAAATAAAGAGTGACTAGCCGTAGCTGAATGGCCGAAGGAGGCGAAAAGAGAGTGTGGCGATGAGATCAAAGAGGGAGGGAAAGATGGAGACAGCATTATTTCTACGTGAGGGACGGGCAAGTCCGCCTTGAGCCTAACAGTGGCTTGTCAGTCAGTCAATCAGAATGCGGGTGGAGCATATCTCAGGGCCTCCCGTGGGGCGGCTTTGTTAGTCCTAGTGTAGGGCCAAGCGAGGATTACTGACTGGATGTAGTCAGGGGGCTGTTTGTTACAGATGTGACGGTGCCATGCGTTAACACCGCCTCCTCGTGGGCGGCGGTCGTGTTTGCTGCGGCTGGGTTGGCAATCGATGATCCGGGGGGACCGTACATCCAGGGGACGGCAGGGCCGACTGAGGAACACGGATAAAGAGGAAGTATTGGCGGCAATTCGCCTCGAGTAAGACAACTGCCGTGGGTGGCTCGTTAGGAACATAGGCGCTGGGTTTCCCCACTCAACAACAATAAATGGCAAGCCTTTCATTTCCTTTCGACGCCACGGCTGGAACCCTCCGTGCCATTCCTAGCCTGGCCAAGGAATGTACGGAGACAATAATAATGCGCTACTTATACCAGCGGGGGAAGCACCTCCAGAAGTCTGTATGTAATTCTGCAAAATATTCAACGAACCAACACTGTCACTAGAGCATGGCCACACTCCACACGCCCAAAACAAACTGGTTCGGGTCAGAGATCCTAGTGGAAAAGATCAACGGTCGATCAGGGGCAACGTTGTACATACTGGACGCTAAGGTACCGGGTATGTAAGTATCTCACTTGTGCTAGGTAACCGAATAACTTTTGTTGGTGTCTCACTTGGCCAGACCTAGGATTATTTCCCGTTCCTGACTGGTGGAGACAAGCAGCCCTGGTTCGCTCTACCATTTTTAGCGTGGCCGTAAGACAAATCACAGACCATTTTTATTTGATCCTAGATGCCGTCGTGGTTCACCTCGTCGCGTGTAGTTGGCGATATATGTTCGTATCTACAATTAATCAGAAAAATGTGCCGCTGAGACACCGCTGCTATAAATGGCATGCCCCAGATCCCATAGCCACCCTTACTCCATCCAGGACACGGTTTTGGTCTGCAGGAACTCGTCAAAGCCCGACGCGCCGCCGAAGCGACCGAATCCGCTACTCTTCCATCCACCGTGCGGCAGGACGGCTTCATCGTGCACGGTCAGACTGTTGATGTGGACGGCCCTAGAGATCAAGAGTTAGACGCGGCGTCTGATACTGACCAGAATAATGTACTCACCCTGATTCGATCTGCTTGGCTACGCGCAGCCCGCGGAACAGGTTGCTGGTAAACAGTGCCCCGGTCAGGCCATATTCCGTGTCGTTGGCCAATGCGATCGCTTCCTCTTCGGTATCCACCACGATCAGAGACACGGTCGGCCCGAACGATTCGGTCGCGTACATGTCCATATCTTTGGTGACACCCTCGACGATGATCGGCCGCATGCTAGTATCGATGGACTCGCTGGCGTTGGCCTCACCGAACAGCAGCTTAGCTCCGCGCGACACGGCGTCCGCCACCAGTCTCTTGTTCTTAGAGACGGCCGCCGAGTTGACCAGCACCGGGGCCGGTGCGTCCTTGCCAAACATTTTCTCCGAGGTTTCGGCCAGCTTCTGCCGAAATTGGTCCGCAACGGATCGCTGGACCACAATGCGCTCCGTCGACATGCAGATTTGGCCCGACTAGTATTGGCAGTTAGCGTGAGACTAGAGACACAAAGGACGAAAAATACTTACGTGCATGAATGATCCGATCGCGCAGTTCGCCGCTGCCTTCTCTAGGTCTGCGTCGTCCAGAACAATGGCCGACGCCTTGCCACCCAGCTCTAGCAGCACGGGCTTAATATACTTGCCAGCGGTGGACGCAATAATGGATCCCACCATTGTGCTGCCCGTGAAGTTGACTTTACGCACAGCCGGGTGGGCAATCAGAGCGTTGGTGATCTGCGCAGCATCGGAGGTCTGATGGTAGATGACATTCAGACATCCAGCGGGCAGACCAGCTTGCCGGAAGATATCACCCAGCGCCCAGAAACACTTGGGCGATAGCTCCGAGCCCTTGAAGACGACGGTGTTACCCGCAGCGAGCGGCAGGGCAATTGCGCGCGTCCCCAAGATAAAGGGCGCGTTCCTACAACACGGTCAATACTGATCCACGATAGACTGCACGGTACTTAACTTACCATGGTGCAATACTCAAAATCACCCCGTACGGCTGCTTGAACACCATAGCGCTCTCTCCATCTAGAGATACGCTGGGCACCGAGCCCTCGACTGTAGCGATGCGTCCCGCAACGTCCCTGATAAAGTCAACACCCAGATTGAACGTGACCTCCGAGAAAGGCCGCGCCGCCCCGGTCTCCTCGCGCTGATATTGGATCAGCTCCTCCTTGCGCGACACCATGATGTCGGCCGCCTTGAGGAGAATGTCGCGCCGGGCGTAGGGCTTCATCTTGCTCCATGCGGGGAAGGCAGCCTTTGCTGCTTCGATGGCGCGGGTCGCATCGTCGACTGATGCACTGGCGCAATGGCCTGAGAGCTGGCCGGTGGCCGGAGCGCGGACCTCGAACTTGACATCGGTCACGACGGACTCATTGTTGATGAGGAGGGGGGTGATGGTGTTGTTCGTCATGGTGGATCTTATTGAGTGGGTGAGTGGGGAGATATGTGTGAGAGAGAGGGGGGAGAGGAGGGCAATGCCACTATGTATGAAGGACTGAGGAGGGGCCGATCGATAGCTCTCAGTTGATCCTTCCCGCGTGTGGAGGCCAACTGCCGATGACGGAAGGCGTGCTTGCCGATGTTTCCCCTTTACTGATCCGGGGTGTGTCACGTGATATACAAGGTCCTCTGGTCGAGAGAATTGGTTGATTGAAGTAAACAAACACTGAGAACTACCGAACAACTCCATGTCTGCGCCTGCCCATGCCTTCCGTCCTATAATATCCAGCTCTTCCCTAATTCGCCCAGATCTTGGTCTCGGTCGACGACGCCTTACCCAGGTTCGCAAACGGACAGACTCCCGACGGGTCTGCTCTCGACTTGCTCGAGTGTAACGTACTATTCGTGCTGCGCAGACTCGACTTGTCATCGTCCTGGGAAACCGACGCATCACTGCTACCAAACATCCGCTTTTCTCCGTCTTCCATACTCATGAGTGAGATCTCGTCGGCAAACTCATCGCCGTCCTTGACGTGCCACCGCGCGAACATGTCATTTTGGATCCAGAGGACCTTGGTCAGAGCCCGCAAGAGGGCAATCTTGCGGCGCAGCGAGAGCTGCGGAAGGGACATGATCGCTTCGATCATGACGTCCTGGATGTATCCGATACAAGCACCGATGTGAATGTATTCCACGCTGAGCGGGTCCATGCGCAGCTGTCCGCTATGCATCATTCTGTGGTTCTCGTCTCAGTCGCAGATCGTGCATTATCTTATCTGACACAGTACTAACCCGACTTTGCCAATATATCGCCAAAAATCCATCTTGGTCGGATCCTGACACAGCCGGTTCAGATACCACCGCAGAAACATCTTCCGGCGTTGGATCTGTGGCGTGTCCTCCGTCAACCAGTCCTCGTCCTCTGGTTTTCCCTTGGCCGTTGACCGTGTGTGAAACGCCCGTGATGTGATATCACGTTGCAGCAACTTCTCGTAGACTAGGGTGACCACCCTGGGGATCAAGGCCTTGACATACTTGGCCCCCGTTACCAGTGCCTCAACGTCCGCTGTACACCGATTCTTGTCAGTGCTGTGACTGACATATGCCTAGCAAGAGGATCTTACCGATGCCGAACTCAAGGAACTCGTGGAGGTACTTGATTCTCTCCTCGAAATTGACATAGAGCGCCTTCCGGTCGACATGCTTCGGCTGGAAGCCTTCGTCTAGCAGCCTCTCCATTACCGCGATATGGGTTGATGTCTTTAAAGACCCGTGAGTAGCACAGAAGAAGAAACAAGCAAAAGCATTCAAAGGAAAAACCGGGGCGGGTCGTGGCATCCGCTAGCGTATTTATACTTCTTGCTTAATCCTAACAAAGCCTTGCCGTCAGAGCCACTCGCCCCTCCGCAATAAATTAAAGCCACGAGGTGCCATGCTGGGTCTCCATTCAGTGGTGTCGTTGCAGGATTTTAGTTACCAACTACAGTGCGGGACTCCTACCCGGGAGAGGACGATGGGTCCACGATCCGGGCGCCAGAAACATCATTTCCAGATTAATGATTTTATACCCGTCGTTCTCGCCGAATCAGAGTACGCGCATAGCGAGTCTGGAGACATTTTACATAGCGGGCGTGGAAACCATGAGAGGAAGGCAAGCAAGGCGTGCCCTGATCCTTGCAATCTCCACTGAGATTCGAAACGTTCTCCAATCACTTGAAACAAGCGAACTATGAAAAATGCGGAGATAAGAAAATCTTGGCTTTCTTTGACAGCTGTGACAGGTGGCCTATCATCCAATCTACATAAAGCTCGAGGCAGAGCGCTTTGATCGCGACTTGCTCAGAACAGTCAGACCTCCGAGTTGGCTGACAAAACAGCATGGGGAAGGGGTCAGAGAAACAGTATTGACAGTTTTCCTCTGTTAGCCGTTGACGTAAACAAGACTCCGCTGTGGTCCCGTCGTTTTAGCGTCTAGAGCCGAGACGATATGGAATTCTCTTCCGGGACCACCAACTGTTCTTCCCATCTCAGCGTTGGTCCACATTACAGTGTGCTACAAGATTTGTACAATTGAATAACTTAATGACTCATTTTTCGTAAAATGGAATGGGATCCAGGTAGAAGCTTGAAATCAAGCAGGGTCTATGTCTCGGTATATGACAGGAAACGGCGTCGCCGCGCTGTGGGGCGGACAGGGATGGTGGCCCACACACGCACCGTTTCAACGGCAATAATTGACTATCTAGTTAGCTGCAGACATGATTAAGCAGACGGACGCAGGTGTCTCAAGGATAGATGCTTGCAATCAGGTTTGTACTGGGTGATGGTGTGATCGGATGCCCGAGAGTGGTAGAATGTCCGGAGAGGCGCAAGAAATGATTTCCACACGTGCGAAGTGAGCAGCCACACGGACATAAAACCAAGGACGCCAGACAAAGAAGTGATAAATCAAGTCAATGATACAAGTATCACTCCGACTCAAAGTGATAGATCAAAAAAAAAAAATGTTAATTACTCGTGGTGCTTAGGGAACGCGTTTTTTGGTTCTGCTTTAATCTGAAACGCTGCTGGGCTTTCCCAGACAAGCCGCGCTGGACGATCACCAATGCCCTGTGCCGATCTTGTCCAGACCCTCAATTCTAGAACGATGATGCGGCGGGGGAAAGTCTTGCATGGCCTGGCCGCTGGATGAGAAAGGGTTCGTACAGATTTTTGAATAGTAAGTTAGTCGTGTCTTCCTTGTCCTGCAGAGATACGGAATTCGGGTATCTCGGCGCAATTTAAGTGAGTTTGAAAGACGGGGTGACAGCTCACTTTGGTCCTTGGATGTACAGGCGGTGGCTTATTTACCAATGGCACTTTCTGACAGTCCCGTTCATATAGATGAGAACCTTGGACGCGGGGAGATAACCAGGGTCCAATGGAAATAAGAAACAAAGAACAATCTATCATTAACCAAATTTATACAAAAAACTGTATAGACAATAAATATTCAAAGAACCCTACTAAGAAGCCTGCACGGTGGCATTATTGCGGCGCGCATCAGCAGCATCATACAGACCCTGGATATCGGACTTCCACTGCTTCTCGTCGACTCGCTTCAGGCGGCGGTCATAGGTCATCAGGCCATTGACCTCGCCCTCAACATCGGTAGTCTGTGTCCAGACGCCACCGCTGCACGCGAAGCGCTGCACCTGGTCACGGAGCTCGCTGAGCAAGAGGTGGCTGCGGTAGTTCCACGCGTCGATAGTGATGTCGATTTCGTAGGTCTGGTTGATTGTCAAAATGGCCTCCGGGACGTTCCACAAATGCTCAACGGAGACGTTGTTTCCAAGTCCACCGAATTCACCCTGGAACCCGATCCGCGTGTCGTCGTAGGGGCTCGAGTCGATCGAGTAGAAGGGCGTGCCGCACTGCGGGTTGGCGTAGTGGTGGTTATCGCTGAAGTCGCCGGCGCCGTGGTCGAACCAGCCCGTGGTCGAGTCCACCAGCCGCGTCGGATCCAGCGACTGAACCAGAGCGGTCAGTCCGAACTCCGGGTAGTAGTCCGTGATCTGGCCCCAGCCCTCGTTATAGATGATCCAGATTGCAATGCTAGTGAAGCTCTTGAGCTGGTTCACCAGGGTCGTAAGCTGGCGGCCAAATTCGGCCTGCTGTGTCGCGTTCGGCAGGATGGTGGCCCCGTCGGCCTCGGTCTGGAGCGGACGCATGGCAGGCATGTCCTGGATGACAAGCAGGCCCAGCTGGTCGCATGCCTGGTACCACCGCTCGTTTTCGACCTTGATGTGCTTGCGAACCGTGTTGAAGCCCAGATCCTTGAGCAACTGCAGATCGTACACCATTGCCTCTTGCGTCGGCGGCGTGTAGATGCCGTCAGGCCAGAATCCCTGGTCGAGAGTGCCGAACATGAACACAAACTCACCGTTCAGCAGCGGGCGCACAACGCCGTCGACTGTGCCCTTGGAGATAGTGCGGAAACCAGTGTAGCTCTGGATCATGTCGGAGCCCATCTTGACGGTAACGTTGTACAGGTGAGGCGAGTCCGGAGTCCACAGCTTCGGCGAAGAGACCTTGAACTGGAACGGGCGGTTCGAAGGACCGCTGTGAGTCGCGACAACCTTGTCGTTCTCGTGCAGCGAGATCTCGACGGGCGTGCTGGTGTTCAGGTCCGAGCTGTGCACGGTGACGTTCACTGATCAAATTAGTACTGCGAATGCGCACTCAATGAACATTATCAGCTCTTACCTTGTCCGTACATGTCGGCAGCCAGGTCCAGTTGCGTGATGTAGGTCGCCGGAGTGGACTCGATCCATACACTCTGCCAGATTCCACTGCAGGGAGTATAGAAGATGTGGTTCGGGCGGAGCGTCTGTTTGCCAATGGGAATGACATAGTCGCCACTGTCCGTGGGATCGTGCACAAAAACGAGTCTATACCATCTGATCAGTTCTTGTCCGTGTCGATTTTCCCGGGCCACTCACAGTTCATTGTCCTGACCAAAGTTCACATAGGGAGTCACGTCGAGCGTGAAGCGGAAGTAGCCTCCACGATGGAAACCCGCCTGCTTGCCATTGACAAAAACAGTGGCTTCATAGTCCACAGCCCCGAAGTTGAGTAGAACATGCTGGCCCTTCCAAGAAGAGTCGACAGTGAACGAGTTCGAGAACCATGAGTATAGCGCATCTACGGCTTGGATTCCTATTCGTGATAACCAGTCAATATCAAGATCAACACGCCATCCCAGACAAAAACATACCAGACAGGCCACTTTCAAGACAAGATGGAATCAGCACTTCCTGGCCTAGGTTCTGACCAAAAGGTGGGCTCTGAACGGCATCGAGACCCGACGCATTCTCATACTGCCACACGCCATTGAGGTTCTGCCAGTTGGAGCGTTCCAGCTGCGGGCGCGGGTACTCAGGCCAGGGATCAGTGCCGACTTTGTCGGTCCACGGCGTCGTCAATGGAGGTGTCTTGAGACTGTATCCGGAGTTGCTGCGAACATGCTTGGCAGCGCTCTTTTCCGGGAGAGCAAAGCCAGTGGCTGCCAGCAGCGACACAACAAGGCTCCCTGTTAGATGCATGATGTCCTAGGAGCGCAACAATATCGGGAATGAAAAAGAAAATGACCGGGGCGGAAACCGACGATCCAGCCTCAGACTTATGTACGTCCATCGGACGAGATCGACCTGCGACGGAACCATTGCTGGGCCGGGATTCAATGCGAGGGCCGAGCCCCAGGGCCTTGTGGGCATTCTTCCCTGCATAGGCCGGCTTTCTTGGCCCCCTCGGAGTGTCTCCACCAGAACTAGGCATAACAAAGCCCCGCCGGGAGGGTCGTGGACAACTACTACTTACTGCACCGCACAAGGTGCCAGTGTGGGCAACCAATTGTTTGGTTATCCAACCTTGGGAACATTGGGTACAGGGCGTTGTTGATAGTGGAGATGCCGACGAGGCCGGGTCCACGAGCATCCCACCGATCCGAACGGGTCTGCAGAGGCGCAATTGCACTGTTGATTATTGCATTCTTGTATCTCCATGTTCAGTTATACATCCATTTCCATATCAAATGCTTTCAGACAGGCTTACCGTGGCTATGTGAAGCTTCCAGGAACCGTGCCTGTCCCAGCGTTGTGCCTCGCCAGGGGCCGACCAACAAGAATTCGGTGCCGGTGGAGCAAACCTGAATCGCGGGCCAATGAGTGTACCGGATACACCAAATCGGCCAGTAACTCCGACTCAGCATGCGGAGAACCAAAAGGACGCGTTCTTTTCGCCCTGATGCCATCCAGGGTTCGGGTCTCCAATTCTTCTGGTTCCGCACACGCGCGTCCGAGGTCGAGACCTGGCTGCTCGGCTCGAGTGTCGCAGCGTTAGATCTAAAAGAAAAATTTCCTTCTTCTTTGCTAAAAGATTTTTCCGGACATATGCCGAGGGGGCAGTTGTGTTCTCTTGTCTCTGAGGTGGCATATTCTGCTATTTAGAGAATAAGAATACGAATGGACCCTTGTTCCTCTTGAAACGGCCTTGGCGCGACGATCGTCAATTTTTCATTGGACACGCGTCCTGTCCGCCCTGACTAGTTTGGGGATGGCGAATTTGGCCTCACCCACTTAGTACGGGGACTTGTGCGTCATGGGAAGCGATCGGCACACGCGGGGAGATTAATTGTATGGCTCTTCAAGGTCTGAAACTTGGATAATGGACTGCGGGGGAGTGGAGTGGCAAGTATATGCCCAACTCCCGAGATTTTTGAGGTGTACTTGATTACAGAACCGAGATGCCCGCGACAAGACCACAAAGACACCAACAGGAAGACAAAATGATGACCAGGAGAGAGCCCCCAATCGAGGTGCGGCTCCAACGATCCTCTATATGAATAGAATCCGGCCCCCCTAAACAACCTGGTGGGGCGGAACAATGAACGAGGCTGCATCTACAACAGTGATCTAAACGGGCACTCCGTTTCTCACTGCCCCATACTCCTTCATTGTCCAATTCCCAAAGCAAGCATACTGGAACTCGGCGTTGGCCAGGCTCTCTTTCTGCACCTTCAAGAACGTCTCTAGCTCGCACCACCCGTCCTCGCGGTACTCACATGCCTCGAAGCTGGCGTGCAGCGGAATAGTGCGCTGGTTCTGGATAAAGTGCACATACTGCGTCTTGCCAGTACCGGGCACATAATTCTCCGAGGACGCCTTTCGCGACCGCCAGGTCGACACTTTGTGGGGTGCCGTGATGATCTCAATGTTGAGCCGACCGGCAAAGGGAACCAGTTTACTCGTGACGAACTGCTGGTTCCTCGGCGGGCCGGTAGCAGGCAGGAAATCCGCAAACTGGGTCAGTCCGAACGCAGTCAGGACGGAGACGATGTTGGCGTCGTGGGTGAATTCCAGGTAAAGCGCCTGATCCAGGGGGAAAGTCACCGGGTTCGTGTCCAGGGTCATATTGGCTCCGGTCTTATTGGCTGGCACATCGACGAGATGGCCTTCAACTCGCGCCAGGAACTCTTCGACCCAGGCAATCCCCTGTGCCCGACCCGTGGGGCTGAGGAAGCCGGACATGGCGGCGAACTCGATGTCCTGCATGTACTCGTATCCCTGCCACTCTTGATAGTCGAACAGCTGGCAGAACGGGCTGTAGCCCAGGCTGATGGTCTCGTAGGGACAGAGAGCCTGTGCGTGGGAGGTGTCGGTCACGGTCCAGTTGTAGCTCCCGGTGAGACGCCGCAGTTTGGCGGTGCGGTCCTTCAGACAGGTCTCCGTCCAGGTGCCCACCGGCTCCTCAATTGCAGCCATCATGGTCTCCCCTGATTTTGTGCATGCTTCGTCACCCGTCACAGCAGGGTCAATGGTGGCCAGGATATTGGCATGCTTCTTCCAGTCAAGACCGAAGAAACCAGCGAGGAAGTTCTCGCAACTCTCGAGCATGCGCGACTGCAGCGTGGTGCGCACGACAATCTTAGACGAATTGTCATACAGGTGGCCGTAGTTGTAGAAGTTTAGAATACCGCTGTCAAAAAGCTCCTGGCGGCCTTGCGGGACAAGGATCTCCTCTCCCAGCTTGTAGGACCAGTCATTCAGGAACTCCAGTTCGCCGGTGAATACCGGGCCGGCATTGACAATGCCAGCGGCCCATGCACCCAAGCCTTCCTCAGCAGAAGGGTATCTGGCGCCATGGCGCTGGAGCATGTGCATGTGGGTGATGCTCGCACCCTTGGGAAGAGGGTATTCATCCACTCCGAATCCTTCAGAGGGGGAAAAGTACGGGCTGTGGAGATGGTTAGTCAATGATGATTATTGAATAAAGAAGAAGTCTAACCTTAGATCTCCCATGAGATGGAAGATATTTCGCCCATTGGCACCAGCAATGGGCTCCGATGTCTCCAAGGGAGCATTGGGGGTGTACCTAGCCTGGCCAAAGGGTGCTGGGTTGACCTCTGCCAGGAATGGAGCAGCACCAGTAGGCGTCGGGCCTGGGGGTGTACAGAGTTGTTAGTTAATACATTTTGGACGAGAATCTTCAATAATAACTGACCAGCGTAGTTGTCCGGCACTGTCTGGAACCAATTGGGCTCACTGGCATCTACAGCCGTGGCAATGGCCCAAGTGAGCATTAACGAGCGGAGGTTCCCCATGGCGATCTTATAACTTGCTAAATAGCAGCAATTGGCGTCAACGCTGCATTTCGTCAGACGCGACGCAGGCCTTGGGCTTTATAGTCCCTTCCTGCATGTCCGTCCATGTCCCTCGGCAGTAAACTCCCCGGCGCAATATATCCATTTAATCTAGGTAGAAGCATCACGAAGAGACGCGAGACATGGTAGCCACGGGAAAAATCCGTCAGGGTGCACAGCATGAAAAGCAATGACCATCAACCTGCTGCACACGTGGGTAGAAAGACTGGAGAGCACGACCAGTCACTAAGCAGTAGCTTGGCTCATCTAGCGGCCTCGTCCGTTTAAGCGAAGCACTAGCGCTACAACTGTGCCGAGTTTCCCTGACGTGAACCCATTCTACAAATTACATATTGTAAAGCGGATTGATAATAATATTGTTCTGATTTTGTTTTTCTTTTCTCGTCATATCGGCATTAACCGACTCCCGCTTGATTTTACCGGCCTACCACCAGTCTTCATCCACACGCGCGACGCGCACATTCCGATACTGTATCTCACATTCCGCACAGCTAGGGATTATGACACCGCAGCGTTACCAACATCCAGTCTGTGGCTGCTATATGTACGTATGATTCTGGACCACGAATCGATCCCTAGGGTTGGATTCGGATACAATGGTGGTGATACCCCGGCCCGAACAATGTACGGAGACACGGGACGGAACAGGGAAATGCTACCTCCATCAGTGGCTGACAGTAACAATGGAGGATCCAGTCACGTCATGAATGGTGGTCGAGACTCATTTACCATCTGATTGTGGGGTGGATAGCTTTTAAGAGTGGTGTTAGCGATGTGTTGTTGCTGAAACCGGCCGCATTCCGCATGTCAAACAAAGCCAAGTTTGCATTCCAGAAGACGGGTGGATCGATCGGCCTGTCAATCGGCATGCCAATCGTGCAGATAGGGCCTGGATCTGTCTGGCCATAGCGAACATCGAGTACCCGGGCAGATCAACCAAGATACTCCCAGTGCAGTTCACTGATGATCAAAAAGAGATACACATCTCTAGCTACATTACTCTAGGTATCTCCACAGCAATCCACCAACTCCAGATCTCGTGCCGGAACAATGCATTGTCGTACCCATTGCCTAATTGGGACTAGCGCCCACGTGCGAATGTATACCACGCCCGCAAGCAGCATTTCTTCTTCAAGTCAGAGATGGCGATACCAGTAGCTGCAGGCGCATGCAGACTAATTACGCTGTATGGGCGAAGAATATTCAGCGTGTCCGGAGTGAAAACTAAGACAGCGAGATCAAAGAGAAATCCTCTTTATCGTCAGCATCATCATCACCTCGTGCCTGCCATCCGCGCCCGAATGGAGTCAAGCGCAGTCGGAGCAGCCGCGAGTCGGCGAGTTGCGTCAGGGACGGCCACTTAGACATTCTGTGTTCCCTTGTTCAATTTCCATTCACAGAAACCCCCTTCAGTGTTGCGTGTCACGTCTATTCGGAAGAACTTCTGCCTTGTGACGTCTCCAAACTCGATTGTACCCCAACCCCACTGGTCTCCATCGAGCTTTACCGTGGATAAGAAGTTGGGACTCCAGCCGGAGAGAGCTAGTTCACTGTCACCCTCGGGACCAACAAGGTCTTTGTTCCCTTTATCAACCCCAGACTCGAGGGGGCGTGGGTCCCACTCGTCCCTGTTTGCATCAACGCCTCACCCGGATCCGGAGCATACACGTTGCGGGAAGGAGCAATCTGTGGGGTCAAGTTGATCGAGGTGTGGCATTGTCCCTGCCGAAAAGCGTGGAGATTTCCGCTTCCACGCACCATAGCGACGCTTTACCTGCATCCGGCCCGGTCGAAGCTCACGCATCGATACAAAGTTTACTTATAGCAGCCGATCTCCATGCCATTTGACACAACTCCGATCATCCTTCATTCCTGAAGCCCAACCTCCTGAATTTTGACTTTACTTGGCACATTTTCACTATGCCGGTTTCCCTTTCGACGAAGATCCTCGGGCTGTCCCTGATGGCTGCCCTGGGACAGGCCCAGACAGTGTGAGTGACTAGCATTCACATCTTGTTATATGTTTATCTAACCCGGTTTAATCTAAATAGTAGCCTCAGCTTCGATTATGCCAACGACAAGGTTCGTGGTGTTAACCTCGGTGGCTGGCTCGTGTTGGAGCCTTGGATCACTCCCTCGATCTTCGACCAGGCTGGCGATGGCGCCGTCGACGAATGGTCTCTCTGCGCCACCCTCGGCCTCGACGAATGCTATGCGACTCTGCAGCAACACTGGTCGTCCTTCATCACTGCGGATGACTTTGCTCAAATCGCCGCTGCGGGCATGAACCATGTCCGCATCCCAGTCGGCTACTGGGCCGTTGGGATCATGGAAGGTGACCCGTATGTCAATGGTCAGCTGGACTACCTGGACCAGGCTGTTGGGTGGGCTCGCGCGGCCAACCTCAAAGTCATTGTCGACCTGCACGGAGGTGAGTTACTTCAGCTGACTACATAGATTTCATGCTGACAAGAAACACAGCTCCTGGATCCCAGAACGGATTCGACAACAGTGGAAAGCGTGGTCCCATCATGTGGCAACAGAATGAGAACGTGGACGTCACGACGTATGTTCTCAGTGAACTGGCATCTCGGTATAGCAACGATGCCGACGTGGTCACGGCCATTGAAGCTCTGAACGAGCCCAGCATTCCCGGTGGTGTGAACGAGGACGGTCTGAAGCAGTACTACTACGACTCATGGGGCGTAGCCCGCTCAGGTAGCCAGGACACCACCGTAGTCCTGCACGACGGGTTCATGCCAACAGAGTCCTGGAACGGGTTCATGAGCGAATCGACCGGTGTCTGGTACGTGATGATGGACACGCACCACTATGAAGTCTTCGACAATACCCTGCTTGGCATGGATATCAACACGCACGTCAGCACGGCCTGCAACTTCGTCAACGACCACGTCCTGACCAGCGACAAGTGGACCATCGTTGGAGAGTGGACCGGCGCCATGACCGACTGCGCCAAGTACCTGAACGGCAAGGGCATCGGCGCCCGCTACGATGGCACGTACCAAGGCAGCGCTCCCATCGGCTCCTGCGAGGGTAAGTCTGAGGGCACCGTGTCTGCACTCTCGGCAGACGACCAGACCAACCTCCGCCGCTTCATCGAAGCCCAGCTCGACGCCTATGAGAAGGGTACCGGCTGGCTGTACTGGACCTGGAAGACCGAGGGCGCCCCAGAGTGGGATATGCAGCAGCAGCTTGCCGCCGGTGTCTTCCCCAACCCCGTTGACTCTCGCCAGTTCCCTGGCCAGTGTTAGGTGCGGCTAAGCTCGGGGGCACGTAGGCGCTTTAGATATTCGCTTATGGATGTCGCACGCTAGTAGCGTTTTGCTTATCGGCGTTTCTTCCTGCATCTTTAAATTGTCAACTGCGCGGCCCGCTTGCTGGCGCAATGCAGGCCGGTTTTCTTTTAAGTTTGGGAGGAGTATGGCGTATGGTTGGTTTCATACGATTTTGGTGTTGTCCTGGTCTCTCATTAATATCGCAAATAATCAACTGGATTATGCCCTAGTATTTGTTGTGATCACACGTAGCATGTAGCTGACAAAGGGAATATAATAAGTCAGTCAACTCTACTAGAGAATTTCAGGCAAAGAGACCTCAGCACAATGCATGCATTGGGGTATGTAACTAGACAGGATAACCACCCTGACGTTTCGTCTTTGTTGAGTCATGCAAATAAAAAAACATAAACATGGCTTTCGAGTCTAGATATGCAGCGCGATAATGCAAGAAGAGAACAAACAGAGGAAGAACACAAACGTCCTTGATTATATCTTGGAATCAAAGCAAACCCAGCGCCCCAAAAGCCGACACCACCTCGCGATCAACATTAACCAACCACTCCTCCTGGAACCGATCAGCACCACCACAGGAGACAATCAGTTCTTGGAGCCGGTGGCGAACGAAATCGCGGATGGCAAAGCGGTGGACCACGTCCGCGGAGTCCCAGTCGCGACGACGACGGGCCTCGGGGGACTCCGGCTCATCGGAGGCCTGGTTGTCGGGAGGAGCGTGGGCGGACCCTGGAGGGGCATTCCAGCAGACGAGGTAATCGGCATTGCTATCTGTACCGCCCTCTGACAGCTCGAGGATGATATCTGTCCAGATAGTCATGTAGGACTGCAGATGAGCCAGGATATAGGGCGGGGGAGGACCCGTGGCCGATGGGGGATCTTGAAGGGCAAGGAGCTGGGTAAGTGCAAGAGCGTGCAGTTTCTTCTGGGTGACGCTGCCGATATTGTCGTAATGCAGGAACCACTCGGTAAGAAGCCAGGAGAGGGTCTGTTCCTGGGACGAGTTGGTAGCTGTCGCGATAGCAGATGCGAAAATGGAGGGGTTGGCAAGTCCCAGACGCGCCAGGACAGAGAAGTAGTCTGTTTCGACGATGCCGACTACTGATGAGGTTTTGCGGTGCGGGCCCGTAGTTTGGCTGGCTTCGTAGGCGGAATGCAGGCCCTCTAGCAGAGAAGAGAGAAATGAGCTGTTGACGAGTGAGTGTGAGATCACGCTGTAGGTAGCTTCACTGCCGCCATCGACGGTCTCTGCGCCACGGATCATCATTTCGACTAGGCGCGGTACGACGCCGAGTCGTTGTTTTGTGGTTGATTTCAGGAGTGCTTCGAGGGATGCTAGGAGGTGGAATCGAGTGCGGTCGCTGAGCACTTCTTGGGGTGCCAGGAGGATGTAAGATTCAATGATCTGCAGTGCTTGAGGGGCACTGTCGGTTGCATGTTCGAGAATCGGAAAGAGAGCTGGGAGGAGAGAGATGATCTCTGGAGAGGCCGGTGCTGGGGTCTGCGCGACAATGGCGGACCAGAGGTCCAATGCCTCATCCAGTAGGTATACGAGAGTCTCCTGAAACACAGATTGCAATGTGAGTAGACAGTCGAGAAATGAAGAGAATAACATACCGATCCCGGCTCGACGGAGCTTTGAATGAGAGGAATAATAATTGAATGGTATCTCACAGACTCCTGCTTCATCGCGCGTATCAAGGACGAGAGAAGGGTGAGAATAGCCTGCTTCATCAAATGTTCCTCGCCAGAGCTCTCCCAGAGGGGTGGCAGCAACGAGAGAATCTGATCGGAAAATGGAGCGATCTGGATGATGTTAAAAAAATGCTTGATGCTCAGCAGGGGAGGAGGGCATACATGATCCTCGAGCTTCACGACTGCAACGCGCACCGTTTCCAACAAGCCCATCTTTGTATCTGTGCTCTCAACCTCTTGAACGAGAGCCATGAGGTTTTCAAGAATGGTGGGCGCAAACGGCATGAATTCCGTCGGAGAGAATTCGTAGGGATCGAGAACATTGCGTAGCTGTCTTCCGGCAGTAATCCGAACCACAAGGTCGTTCAAGGGATCCTGTTTGTTGAGGAGGTGTTGGAAGATCTGGTAGATGGCGTTCCTGTTCACCTCACCTGGCTTCACTGGAACCCACTGGCCGAGAACGATGGCAACTCTCCGTCGAATTACTTTATACTCTTGGTCTTGAATTTGGACTTCGGGGACCATCGTTTGCTCCAGGAAAGCATTGAAGTCCAGGTGCTGTTCCAGACTGGCCGAGGCCAGGCCGATCGCAGAATATAATGAATCTTTCAGCAGCACGTCGCGGTTTTCGGGACCTAGAATGATCATCAGAATTTGGCGTGCCGGTTTGTAACAAAAACAAAACTCACTGGCAAAGTTATAGAACACGCTCAGCAGTCGTGGAATGAGAAGATCCCTGAAATGGATCACCAGATCAAGGAAAAGTTTCTCCGAGCAGGAGCGGATAGAAAATTCCCAGGCATCGGAAATTTCGTCCTCTCGTTTCTCCCACTCTTCAGGCTCCTCCTCCCATTCTTGGAAGTCGATATTACGGAATCGAAAGAACTTGGTGACGAGAAGTTCCATGACGTTAACCACAAAGTCTTGCGTGAAAAGTTGTGACTTGATCAACTCCACGGCCTGCTTTCGCTCTTCCTTGTCCTGTGGTGTCTGGTACTTGAACGTCTGGGCCGGGTTGAAAGCCATTTTTGCACACGCTCGAATCAAGAGCAGAGCTCGGAGACCCGTCTTTTCCACCAAGGACTTTCCGTCAGATTCGCTGTCGGCCCCGAGACTGTCGTACTTATCACCAAGCTTGATAACCAATGTCCAGTATGATTTCACAAGTGGAATGCTGTCTGGCAATAGAGCAAATGATGCGGGGTGGGTTTTGGCCATCTCGACGTGCAGCTTTGACATCTGCAAGAGATGCTTCTCGACTCCGACGAAGGAGAGGAATTTGCTGAAGTGTGAATGGGTAAGCACCCAAAAGTCCCTGACTTCTTGGTTTCGACTCGGGTGTTCATAGCCAGAAATAACCAGTCGCCGAATAACCTTGAGAGACACCAGGCTCTGTTCAATTGCGTCGATCAACACGCTTTCACCCACGCCGCCTTGTTCCATGATCGCGGTCCATTGATTGACTTTGTCGACGTAGATGCTTCCCAGCACATGAAATATTTCTGGTGAGACAGACTGGAGGTTTGCCCTAGTTCTCTGAATACGCGCTGTCGACAGCTCTTTGATAATCTGCAAAAGGATGAGGAGGGTTCGAGGTAGTTGTAGGGGATTCGCGCCGTGCTGAGTCGACGACCGGAGGGAGGAGATAATCGAGGGCATCGCATCGGGCCTAAACACGGTGAGCATAAGTGTAAATACCGATATATTCGATGTCATACCAGTCATGAGGGAATTCGTAACGCATAATCTTCGCAATCATCAACGAATTGTGAAGGGCGAGCAGCGAGGCCGGTTCAACCATTCCCGCTTCGAGTGCCCGCGTCTTGATCTTCTCCTTTTCCTCTTTTTTGATAGCATTTGCCGCCGTCTTGCGCCAGTATTTGTCAATCCCATTCTTCAGCTGAATGATCGCGAGATATCGGACTTCGTTGGGCACGGAGTGATCGAGAAAGACATCCTGGAGAAAAGAGTAGTACATGGGCTGTTTTTCCCAGTTCTGAAGCTGCTGGGTGCCCGTCTGCACCTGCTGCTGGGCGGTACTTGCTGCAAGCACCAGGGCATGGAGGACATTTTGCGGGCTGAGCGGATTGGCCTCGCCAGACACCTCGATGGTATGGTGGACCATGGCGCCGGGTAGAGGAGGGTTGGTTGACGAAGTTTCCCAGAGGGGCTCAGTTCAGCTTCCGGGGCCACGGAGCTCAGGAACGGGTGGTCCGTGAATTCAACACCTCTCCATAGGTGGTGAGTCGTCGGTCCCCTTGCAAAGACCGAAACTCCCCTCAAAGCTCCGGAGAAGAGATAATCCGGGACAGCGGAACCCTAAAGGCGGAACCCTACATCTTTCCCTTTTGGGACGGGCGAGAGCATGTGGAGCCGATGAAGTCACCTGGTGAGGGTTATCTTGTTTTACTTTATGTAACCGATCAGTTCTCTCTGCGTCCTGTCAGTGGTCAATGACATACCTATGATGCATCATGATGCAAGTCGTGAAGATGAGTAGAAGTATTTAAGTCGGGGATTTGGTAGGGAGTAGTCTTTCCAGCAATCAATTACCTTGAACCGAACACAATGTCTGAATCTGAGCACCTGCGCCAGGCATACCGTGCCGAAAAAGACCTCAATTCCTACCAGGCCAAGCAGGGCCTCGGTCGCAAGAGTGACTCTAGTATGCTTATTCGTTTCCGCCCGATTCGAAACATTCACTGATCGATCTCATAGCTCTTGAATCTGGTGTAGATGAGAACGTCAACCAGCGGTTCCCCCAGGCCGGCCAAGTAAAGTACGGTCCGGGCTCAACGGCGTCTGGCAGTGACCACCGCCCAGTGCCTGAGGACGAAGGCGGCTCCCGGGATGAGCGTGGCAGGTGAGCAGATATCTTAGAATATTGAAATCAATTGCTGACATCTACCAGACTTGCCCATGCAGAGGAGTACCAGGGCCCCGGCGGCCCAGAGGACAAGGTGAAGATAGAATCGGAACGGCGCCCCGGCGACCAGGATACTCTAAACCTGCAGGATATGAAGCGTTCAGGTCTGGCGAAGTGAAGTGGATAGTACCCTGTCTATACAATGCAATTATCATAATTTACACTATAATGACGGGTGAAGTCACTATGCATGTTCGTTAAGACTTGACATGGTTGATCCTACCTATACTTCAGGCTTGGCGATCAGCCCATTAGGCATTACCAGCCGCACTTAGGCCCCCAGGCCCCCCAGGAACCCCACCGTAAGCCCTAATTCAATGACTCGCCCAATCCCGAGAGGGCCCAAACAGCGTCGGCTGCGGACGGACGCATAGCATGCACGCCCTCCTCCATTCAGAGATGAAGCGGTCTACATTTAAATATAGGGTTTGTCGCATTGCCCACCCTTTTGTCTTTGTCTTTCAGACAAGCAGGTTTGTGAATAACTGATTCTATCGAAATAACTCTCACTTCAATAATGGCTGCTACTGCAAAACTCTCGGAGCCGATTGAGACGCGGCTGTTCATCAACGGCGAGGTATGTGATCCTTACGCATAGAACAGGGTCGAGAAAAACAGTTTGCTCACCACACTCCCAGTTCCGACCATCTTCAGAGAACAAGACCTTTGAGGTGATCTACCCCTTCACCAAAGAGCTAGTCGCAAATGGTCAGCTTCAAACAACCTAAAACCACTACATCTCTAACACCATATCCCAGTTCACGAAGCCACCACCGAAGACGTCAATTCCGCCGTCGCCGCCGCCAATGCCGCATTCCCTTCCTGGCGCGATCTCGGCGTCGGCAAACGAGGCGAGTATCTGCGCAAACTATCAAGTCTCATCCTAGAGTCAAATGACGAGTTTGCAAAGCTCGAAACCCTATGCACCGGCCGGCCCATCACGCAGTACATTGACGCAGGCCTGGCAGCCGAAAAATTCAGATACTTCGCTGAAACGGCGTGGTCTGCGCAGGGTACGGCCAGTTTCAACACGCCCGGGTTCCTGAACATGACCTTTAAGCAGCCTTACGGCGTGGCGGCTCTGATCATCCCCTGGAATTTCCCGCTGGCTACTTTCTCCATGAAAGTTGCGCCGGCGCTGGCGGCAGGGAATACGGTTGTCTTGAAGAGTAGTGAGAAGGCACCGCTGACGGTTTGTCTTGTGTACAAATGACTTGGGCTATCATGATACTAACATGATAATCCAGTCGCTCTTTGCTGCTAAGCTAATCGCCAAAGCTGGCTTCCCCCTGGCGTAGTCAATGTCATCTCCGGCTTCGGCACCCCAACAGGCGAAGCAATGGCGTTGCACATGTCGGTCCGGTGCCTCAGTTTCACCGGCTCGACGCTGACAGGCCAGAAGATCCAGGCCGCGGCAGCAAAGTCGAACCTAAAACATACGCACATGGAGCTAGGCGGAAAGTCACCAGCTATCGTATTCGAGGACGCAGACCTCGAGGCCGCAGCGGCCGCAACACAGCTCGGCATCAAGCTAAACAGCGGACAGGTATGTGTCGCCAACTCACGGGTGTACGTGCATGAGTCCGTCGCCGAGCGATTCACCCAGCTCTTCCGCGAGAAATTCGCCGCTATCCAAATGGGCGACCCCATGGATCCGAATACGACGCACGGTCCCCAGATCGATTTTCTGCAGTACAACCGCGTGAAAGAGTACCTGTCCATCGGCCAGAAAGACGGTACATGCACGCAGGGTGGAGACGCCAACAACGGCTTCTTCGTGCATCCGACTGTCTTCGAGCGTGTGCCGGAGGACTCGCGACTCATGCGCGAGGAGATCTTTGGGCCCGTGGTTGCTATCAACACCTTCAAGACAGAGGAAGAGGCTATTGAGAAGGCGAATAATACCGAGTTCGGGCTGTATGCTTCCTTCTTCACGAAGGATATGGATCGTGCTATGCGTCTGGCCAAGCTTATCGAGTCTGGTATGGTTGCTGTGAATTGCACCTGTCCGTCTCTTACGATGGATACGGCTTTTGGGGGTGTAAAGATGAGTGGGAATGGCCGTGACGGATATCTGTATAGCTTGGATGAATACCTGGAGACGAAGTCGGTTTTGGTTAAGATGGGTTAGTCGGCGTGGTGGCTTTTAGGGCTGTGCTTGAAAGTCTATACAGATAGTACTCAGTGGTGCGTGTGAAAATCACGAATTGAATTGTGCTAAGACATTATGGCGTAATGTAAAATCAAAGAAGTCCTCCTTTTTTTCTGTCCCGTTCACCAAAAAGTCCCTGGAAGCCAATCGTTCCTGCGGGCCGAGACGGCTGAAGAGCCTTGCAAGACAAGTCCCTAACCATCAATCAAAGCACACAAAAAGATATGGCAGGGTGAATGTCAAAATATGCAACTGAATTAGAAAATGTAGGCGAAGAGAGCCACCAGAGAACCGATGGCAACCGCCGAGCTGGGCACAACACCAGCAACGCCAGCGTTGGTAGTGGTAGCCGCGGCACTCGAGGATGTGGTGTTCGTCGAGTTGCTGCTGCGGGTAGCAGTAACCTTAGTGTTGTAGTCGGCCTTGGAGTCCCACGGGTAGGGGCTGGTGTAGTTGTAGGTCGGGGTGGTGTTGGCGTAGGTCTTCTTGACGATGTCCAGGATACCGTGACCAGCGGAGCACTTGGCGTCGGTGACCGGGATAGGCCAGATGGGCGAGAACTTGGAGTATTCGCCATCGGACAGGGGACCCGGGTAGGTCTCGTTCAGACGCAGGTTGGTGGTGTCAACCTCGTAGTTGACGTAGCCGGTCTTGTTGGCCACGATCTCGAAGATGTTGGCACCGCAGTCCCAGCGGCCCAGAGAGGGGAGACCCCAGTTGGCGGAGACACTGGCAATGCTCGAGTAGTGGGTGTAGAAGGTGTCGTCCTTGGTACCCTTCAGGCTATCGGGGATGGCACCGCCAAGCAGAATGCTGAGGACGCGGTTGCCCTTGGGATAGGTGTCGTCCTCGTCAAAAGTCAAGAGAACGAGCGTGTTGTCCATGAAGTACGAGTTCTTCAGCAGAGTCGAAATAAAGCTGCGCTCCCACTTCGCGCCGAAAGTGATATTCGTGTCATGGGCGTCGTTGGTCATGTTGGGGGTGATGAACGCCCACTGCGGGAGCTTCTTGCTGGCCAGGTCCGACTCGAACTGAGTGAAGTTCTTGATCTGACGAGCGCGGCTGTCGTCATTGGTGATCGACTTGTAGAGAATCAGCGGGTTGTGCTTGCGCACGTAGTCATCCGCATAGGTCTCCTGGTTGGAGTAGTTGTAGCCCTGGAAGCCGGGGAAGGGCATATCCTCCTGGTACTCGGCCCACGAAACGCTCTTGGTGTCAAGCAGATCGGCCACAGTGGAGACATTGGCCGGGATCTGGTGGAAGTCGTCATTGTCCATGCCGAAAGTGTCACCGCCGGCAGCAGCGCAGTAGTTGGGCTCGGAGGGATGGGTGACGCCGTAGTAGTTGGTCCTTGAACTTGTCAGTATTGTTCTCAATTTCAAGATATGTGTATTTGATCTTACAGCAGGATACCCTGCGACGCCAGCCACTGCATGTTGGAGTCCTTGGCCGCATCATCATAGTCCTGGGATTAGGTCAGTGATGTACAGTCGAACGGTCCTTGTCAGTACGCACAATATTCTCCAGCCAGACCTGGTAGAAGCGATCAAAGGCCAAGCCCTTGACATTGGAGTTGGTAGTCTCAGGCAGAGTGGTCGCCATCGCAGCATCGATCGCAGCGACAGCGGGCTCCGAGGTCGTGATGGATGCGGCACGCGCCAGAGCGGCAGCGCTCAGCACGGTCACGAGGGCGGCCTGCATGATGAAGCGAAGAAGAGGTTGAAAAGAGTAGAGCAGAAAAGAACGAATGGACAGGGTGCGAGAGAACGGCTGGTGGAGGAAGAGAAGAGTGAGAGAAGTAGGTGAGAGATCTATCTATATACAGCCCCCAGCCAGTCCTTCCGGCCAGGCAATTAATTAGCTCGAGGATGCCTGGGCGTACTACATCGGCCACCCCAGTCACTTAATTAGTGCTACCACGCCCCAGATCAACTAGGCCTCTTTCCCCCAAGGCTGTCTTCAAAGGAAAGGTTCCTGCGTCCACTGGTTCACATCACACCCCTCCGCCCGCAATGCTGATTGGCTCCATTTGGCAACGCTTGGCTCAGGGGGCCACAAACCACGTGCAGCAGGCCCTGGTGGATAGTTACACCTCGCCTGGATATATCGGTTATTATCGACTCGGAATGGATTGCCGAGACATGGAGATGGGGCCTGTCATCAATGCTGTGTGGTAGGGTGGACCGTGGTGGTTAGGGTTGTGCCGAGCAAGTGTTCTTGTTGAACGAGATGATGGTAGGCGCCAGACCTACTGCCGACACCACTTCCGATGGTCAGCATATCAAAGTGCTCCTTGATTTACAGTCGATCGATTTCCTCCCGGGCGCAATTGTATTCCTATCCTATCCTCTGTTCCTTATTACTGCCTCGGCCGGAATGGGCATTGGTCACGTGTTCACAACCTCGGCTCTCCGTCCGGGGAAACTCGACTTGCCTCTGAGCTTCACTTCCTCTCCTCTATCGTTATCCACGCCATGCTGATACCATGAGCTCGACCAACTTTGCCGCCGCCCAGCAGCGGGTCCTCGAGCGCCGCCGCCAACGCGAAGCAGAAGCGCGCGCCCGGCTAGAACAGCAACAGCGGGCTTCTCCGATCAACCCGGCCACCTTCCAGCGACTGCCATCCCCACTAGATCGACTACCAGGATCGGGGTGGAGGCTATGGAATTCGATCAGGGGACGAGATGGAACGCGACCGGCGTTTCGAGTGGGCCAGGTAGATGCCGAGCTGCTTGATGAAGAGCTGTTGGATCTATTAAAAGGTCAGGTTGGGAATGCGCTTAAATACTTTGGGGTATGCTCGTGAATACAATTGTGGAGGGGAAATCGCTGACGTCCTTTTTCCAGCCTCAAATGCAGGAGGAATGGTCGCATGAGATTCTGCTTGCGCTGCGGGCGGTTCTCTTCAAGCTTTCCATATGGGACCACAATGCGTCCTACGGTGCGGCGCTGCAGGGGCTTCACTATACAGATAGCCGCAGCAAGGGACCGGTTTATGCTGCTCCAACAAAATGGCAGAAGACAGTGTATGGTCTGCTGACCGTGGGTGGACGCTATGCCTGGGATAAGTGGGAGAGCTGGTTGATCGGGCAAGAGGGCGGATACGAAGAGGTTGGTGACCATGTCCCCCAGCGTTCAAGCCAACCTACTGACAGTGATAAAGCCATCACGAGAAGTCCGGATGATGTCCCGGTTAACGGACCTCGTTTCCACGTCACACTCGATCGCCGCGTTTGTTTCCTTCCTGGTGTTCTTGGTGAATGGCCGATACCGGACCCTAGTCGACCGTGTCCTTCGTATCCGCCTGACTCCGCCGTCCGCGCAGGCCAGTCGCGAGGTGTCGTTTGAATATCTGAACCGGCAACTGGTCTGGCACGCCTTCACCGAATTTCTTCTTTTCCTACTGCCTCTCGTCGGTATCAGTCGCTGGAGGCGGTGGGTGTCTCGCGCATGGCACAAAGCCGTCACCGCACTCAAGTCTAATGGCGACGATGATCAATCAGCTGAAAAGCAAGGGGAACTGGCTTTCCTACCAGAACGCACATGTGCCATCTGCTACCGGGATCAAAACCCGACTACCCAAACAGAAAGTGATGTGATTGCGGCATCTGTGTCGGCGGGTGGCATCACTGGCTCGGCACAGACAGATATCACCAACCCATACGAGACAATTCCATGCGGCTGCATTTACTGTTTTGTCTGCATCGTTCAGAAACTCGAAGGCGAAGAGGGCCAAGGTTGGATTTGTCTCCGGTGCGGCGAATTGGTCAAGAAGTGCCAGCCTTGGAACGGCGATGTGCTAGAAGAAGCACGCCCACAACCCGGCACGGGCAAGATTGTTGGTTTCGCGATCGATGGAGATGCTGAAAAGGAGATCAGCGCCGATGAAGCTCTTGGTTCTAGTCAGTGGTCTACGGTCGACGAAAAGACCGTCGAGGGCGAGAGCGCGGCTGAGAATGGTGAAATGTCTGAAATCGAAGCAATCCCCGAAGACGATCAGCCGGAATCATCCTGAGACTCGACATTGCCCTAATGCCCGAACTGTCTGGCTTTCTCTTCTTCACCTTGTCTATATAGCTTCATTAACGGGGCGGCGGTGTGCATTACCAAAGCCTTTCCTTAAGACCTTTAGAAATCTACGATACCCACATTTCTTTCTGAAGACTTTTTCCCGGTCTGTAGGGTATGCCAGGTTCAGGGTCCTTCAAAGATCAACATACGCATAACCTTATTCATTATGGGACCCTAGTACATAATAATCTCATTACATGTTACATTATCTCCCTGGGTTTCATCTCTCTTTGCGCACACATTAATATCTGTGCTCACAGCTAACTCTTATCTAGTTAGTCCGTCGGTCCTTGCACGGTCTTAGATAGGCAGAGCAAATGAGGGACAATGCCAAGTGAGGTATCGGAGAAGATCCCCTAATTCAGCGGCTCATCCGTCAACTGCGGCAGGTCTTCCTGCTAAACACTAAACACGACAAACAATTGGCTAGTTTTAGTACTGATTTTCAAGCACTAATAGTTGCATGCAGTTAGGTCTAGCCGGGTTCTGCAAGTAGCGGTGCGTGGGTGTACCTAACCCTCCCCTTGTTGTTCTCTCAATTTTTTCCGCCTCTGCTCGTGTTCTTTCTGCAGCCAGGTTTATTTTCGTCGCTCGTTCGATGTCGATAGCTCCGCCGCCGGCACATTTGCTTGCCTGTTTTGACGAGCATGGTCCAGCGCCTCGCCACGGTCTGCAATGCACCCAGTTGAATATCCAGGTGGGTGCTTCTCTCCTTTCCAGCCGAGCATTCATTCTCGGAGCATGATCACTCCCAATGCATTCCGGTCTCCCTAAAGTATATGCTATTACCCCGGTGCCAGATTGGCATGTCTTGACAGGTGCATCTGTCAATTCAAAACCGAAAGTGGGGACATGCTATTCCCCATCTTGACCCGAAGGCGTATTGATCACCCCTATTCTTCGTATTTATTCTGAGGCTCGCAGTTTGACGATCAATCCGCCTGTTCACCATATAAAAGTACCCGACTTCCTTGCCGGACTATACCCAAAAATGCCAGGGTCCATAATGAGAAACCGGCAGTGCCGCATCGATCCCGACCTGCAAGAGCACCATTGACGTCCCGTCGGGCATCCTCCAACCGAAATGTCCTGCCAGTTTCAAGGGGTTCAAGCACCGATGCGCGCTTTTCGTCTCTCCTGTTGCCTATGGACGAGTACGTGGCCCCCTCATTGGCGGCCAAGGCGGCCTCCGCGCAGCAAATCCAACTATACACCAATTTTGTGGTCTCTGCGTACCCATGCTACTTTAAGGCCACCATGAGCCGTTTACCAATCAATTGGATCGAGTACATCAGCTCACAGTGTGGCGGCCGCGCAGACTCCCCATTTGATTGGGCCGTCCGCAGCGTGACCACCATGTACACTGGCAGTCTTCATAATGACCCTCGATATCTAGACGCGAGTCGCGGACTCTATCTTCGCGCCCTTCGGGGTCTGTCCGGTTTACTCGGTCATATGTCCACGGCCAAACTGGACGAGACCATGGCCACGGCTGTCGTCCTTGCAGTTTATGAGATGCACTCCTGCACCACTACGGAAGGTTGGATACATCATACGTGTGGCATTCAGGCATTGACACGGCTGCGCGGAGCTGGCGCACACTTGCATGGATTGGGTCGCGCCTTGTTCATCGCCTCCCGCAACACATTTGTGACCTCGGCGCTAGTCACAGGGGAAGCATGCTTTCTCGAAGAATCCGCGTGGCAGGAACTTAATGAGCAAATTGCGGCAGAAAACGCCAGAAAGCCTGATTCATCTGTTTACACGGATATTACAGAACGCGCCTTTCGCGAGATCGTCAAGCTCCCAGGCTATGTCAAGCGTGTGCGCGACCTGCGGTGGACGGCGCCCAGTGTGGAAAATAAGAAGAGGCCTACGCTGCTGTACGAGGTGCTCGCCGCTCGGGCTGCCTTACGGGGCATCCACACCGAATTTAGCGTGTCTGTCTCGACTCGCCGGGCCGACCACACGCTGCAGACAGACTTCATCGGACCAATTCCCCATCATTTCTTCGACAGGTTCACGAGCCTATCCATTAAGGGAATTCGATCTGGGATCCTGTTGCTAAACTACCTCATCATTCTCTTGGACCCATGCCAGCGGTCCACGGCCGAAGCGGAGAACCGGATTATCACCGATCGAATCCAGACTGATGAGGACTCCCGTTCAGCTCCATCCCTGTTAACGCCTCCTTGGTCGCCGGGTCGGCCTCGCTTGATGATCAAATCGATCATCGGCCCGGAAACACGCGAGCCACCTACCTCTGACTGGATGGATCGCATCGCTACCACGATGGGTATGGAAGGAGTCCGAGTGAACTTGGTCGACGATGGGTAGGTTACTTGGCATCTGTACCCGCATGATACACGCTTTACATGTTGAGCTGCAGTGAGGTGGTTACGGAGTTTTCGAGGCATCTAGATATACTTTCCATGTATTTTAGGGGATGCGTGTTTCTGCACATAGTGCATATCCCGGACATGGTTGTGAACATTCTCTACTGCACATAGATAATAAATGAATCTCGATGCAGAAGATAAATTGCGTCTGGCTTCCGTATTGAAGATCAAGCACGGTGTCAGGTATTCAATCAACTAGAAAGAGGTTAAAATCCGAGCAAATGTATCTTACAGTCGGGAGGTGACTGGTCGGATGTAAGGTTCCTGGGATATGCAGCCATCTGCAACTACAACGAAGAATACTACTGAAAGTAGCACTAAAACCGAACGTCAAGTAAATGCCTTATCAGGGTATGCAGAAAATGTAACCTGGGAGAGGGGTTTCGAGCAACTGGTCGAGCAGAGGAATCCCATGAAAGTAATCGGCAGACAGAGGCAGCAAAGAATACTACCGTGGATGATGGATTGCATGGTATATATCTCAGGGCTAACAACAAAAGATAACCAATCAGACCAAGCAACCAATCGATCATCTCCCTCCCAGATTCAGCCACCGGCGCGCCATGGTGCCCATGTAACGCCCCCAAAAAAGCACAATTGCAAGAAAGACACACATTACCGCCAACGTGTGTTGCTACCGTTGCATGGGTGTGCGTCTCATCATCGTAAAACGAAAAAAGCAGCAAAAAAGAAAAGTACCAAAAAGGACGCGCTGGCATGAAATCCGATAGTCATGATCCCGAAGGAAAAATCGAAGGGAAAAGAAAGAGGAATGGTAGGACAGATGGTAGGGAGCGGAGTCTAATTCCACCATCCGAGTTTGTCAGTCACAAGTCGCAAACTAGCATCGCTTGGATCATTGACAGACAGGCATCGGAATACTGGTTCAGTAGAAGAGAGACCGATATTTGCGGGCAGAGGATGCATCTGAAGAAGGCATAGGCATGTACAAAAGGGGAATGTATGCCAGATCAAGACGCCATGATCATGCAGTAGAGGAGGTTCGAGTTGCCAAAAAGAAAAGGAAAAACGAAAAAGAGACGTAATCACGCATCAAAAGCATCGTCAACGTTGAAGATACCCGGGTCGGTGCCGTCTTGCGTCTTCTGGACGCCGCCCATGCGCTGGTCGACCGAGGTATTTGGTCGGTGGGACCGTTGCCACTTCGCATCGTCTTGCATGGTGTCCTCCTCCATTCGATCACCGGGCTCGTGCTTGAGGTGGTGGTCGATGGAACTCTCGTTCACGAAAGTGAATCCCTTGAAGTTGGCTTGCATACCAGGGGACAGCGGTGTCGAGCCGGGCATCAGGCCATTCGCCAGTGCGGCGGCACGGTCGTTCAGCGAGCTGCTGTTATCCAGGGCATTCGTAAATTCCGGGTCGAAATTAGAGGTATCGGTGTCGGACTGCAGTTTCGGCTTGAACGGAGGGATCACTTGCTTGCGGCACAAGGCCTCCCAGTCGATATCGTGGAAGAATGGATGCGCCATGAGCTCCTTCGCATCGCCGTTGGCGCCGAGCCGGTGTTTGGGATTCCGGTTCAACAATCCTTTAACGAAGTTCCGACCCTCCGTGCTGAGAGCATCGCGAGGGAACCGCACCTTGCCGAAAGCGATGTTCTTGTACATCTGCTGTGTATCCTCGGCATAGAAGGGACTCCATCCACAGCACATCTCAAAGACCAGCACACCAAGCGACCAGAAATCAACCATCTTCGTATACCCTTGTTCATCCAGCAAAACTTCCGGTGCGAGGTACTCAGTGGTACCGCAGAAGGTGTTAGTCGTGTCGTTCTGCGTCAGGTTTGCCTTGGAGAGACCAAAGTCGCACAGCGCGATGTGACCATTGGCATCCAACAAGATGTTTTCGGGTTTGAGATCGCGATATACAATATCGTAATCGTGTAGATGCTGCAGTGCTAAGATCAACTCGGCAATATAGAACTTGGCCCGGGCTTCCTGGAATCGGCCTTCCCGTTGCAAGTGCCAGAACAACTCGCCACCCGACATATAGTCTGTGACGAGGTAGAGATCCGTCGGGGTTTGGAAAGAGAACTTGAGTCCGACGATAAAAGGAGAGGAAGCCATCGCAGTGCGCACCAGAATATTCCTCTCTCCTAGGGTATGTGCGACCTCTTTCTTCTGGATAATCACTTTCTTGGAAAGAACCTTCATCGCATAGATACGCTGTGTGTCCTTCTTCTTGACCTGGTAGACCTGGCCAAATGTCCCTTTGCCGATAAGCTTGAAGATTTGGAAGTCGTTCGGGCCCACCTGTCTCTTGTCCGTCTTCTCGAATTGCAGTTCGAGGTGGATCTCCCCCGACACCTGGTTGTCGCCGACTCCCCGTGCAACCAGAGGAAACCATCCTTCAAGTCGACTGTGGTCTTCCTTGAGATTGATGCAAAGCCGGACGTGGCCCAAGAACGTTTCTTGGTTGTTGCGATCGTAGACTGTGACGTCGATTTCTGATTGATCACCCATAACATCACTGAAAAGTAGATGTTAGCTATGCCGGGAAAGGATTGGGGGGAACATACAAGACAGCCTCATGACTCCAATGGGGATCGGTCACAGGCATCTTCCCCTTATGATGGTCAGGACCATCGAGGGCACTATTGTGGCTGCTCTGGCGGCTTTTCATGGGGATTGCCATTGGTCGGCCGGCCTCGGCGTCCGACTCAATCTGCCGCCGCTTTTTCTCTTGCTCGTCATCGCGCGCCCCCTTGGAAATATACTCGTTCCATTCAAACACGCACACGACGTACGGGTCGAACGACGGTCGTAACCCGCGGCCCTCGGAAATTTTGACGAACAATTTACCCTTGAGCGGGCCCACGGGAGGGCCGTTCTGCGGAGAAGACGCAGTCTGGGAGGGGAACGCCTCGTCGAGTTTCATGGTGATCTCGTCGGTCGAGCTGTCCATGTCGTCCGGGTTGGATTCCTCGGTCGGTTGCGGCGCCGAGGTAGCGGGGGTGCGCTCGGTCGATTGGCCCTCGTTGGACATGGCGCGGGGAGTCAACGGCGGGGTGTTCTTGAGACACGCCCCATCTGTTAGCTTGGCAAGATTCTCGGAAGATATGGAAACATTCGGCTTTTCGTGGTCGAGTAAGAGAGCTTCGGTCAAGGCACAAGCTTCTGTGGGTAAAGATGGGTTGGAGAAATGTGAGGCAAGAACGGGGTCGTCCGAGACGCTGGACACTGGGAGAGAGGTTTGACGGCGGGAAGGGGTATCAACGGTTGCGGATGAAGAGAGATAGTTTTTGAGGGTAGTGAAGAGAGACCCCCCGCTCTGGTCTGGCCCCTCCGCCTCATCCTGCTGCAGGAGGGAGTGGGGGGAGTGGGCAGTCCATCATCCCGCTCCATCGGGCCGAAGGATGATGGCAGGCCAGGGCTAGGCGCCCCAGGCGGAGGGTCGGCGGGTTTGGAAAGGCAGGACCATAATCGGGGTAGGCTTGCTTTATCGCTAGAAAAAGAACCAACCTGGAAGTAGTTGTGCATGATGGAGGGCAGACGTTTGTCTGCGGGATCGGGCTGGGGCGTTGCGATCCCCGTGGGCGTGGAACCATTTGACCCGATGTGGTCGTGGTTGTCGTCGTCCGGCCCGGAACTGCTCAGAGAGATGGTAAGCGAATGGACTGCGCGCAGAAGGTATGGGCTGGGCTCTCGGCCGATCCGATCGCATTTTTGCAGGAGATGCCCGACAGGCAGGCCCGTAGATCCCCGATCGCAGATAAGCATCGAGGGATGTGTCATGTGGAATGCAGGTAAAATCTCAAGCAATGCGGTGCGAGGCGACTTTGGAAGACCCTTTTTGGGGCGGTTCTCTGGGGACAGGAACAAAGGGAACAGTGTGGACTCACTTTGCCCGCTTCAAATCGGTCTCGCCGTGCAACTCGGGACTGTGCGCCGCGGCCATTGTGATTCCATGCAACTCGAACTCCCCAGATGAAAGGATTGGGAGGCGAATCGAGAAGAAACGAGGAGAATGGAGGACAAGGTGGGGGGTGGAGAGAGACGGAGCGAAAAAAAGGTGGGAGTGAAGAAGAAAGGTCGGGACGAAACTTGGCGATGAGCTAAGACGGGACCACCACCGAGTTACTAGTCGAGATTAGGGTAGAACTAAAGAAGAAAAGCAAGAAAGCAAGACGATGAGGATGATGAAGGAATCATCCCCCACCATCTGCAGAAGACACCGATAAGGCTACTAGGCACTCCCGAAGTTGCCTCTCAGCTTACTGTGTTCGATTTCTTTCCATCTCCGCCATCTCCGCCCCTCCGACTAGGCGGGGTTCTTCCATGTCATCCTGTTCGTTTTTTACAAATAGTTAAATCCCTTGCATCGGCAGTGTAAGCTGAGAAGCTCCTCTACAGCGACGCTCAATGCCGCCGGCAACTCTGTTGGGTCGATGGCTCCCCAGAGCCGGGGTCAATCGTGCAACTGTAGCGTCCCATCCCACTTCTTCAATACATCAGGCATCGCGTGGGGGGCTGAAGAGGGGAGACGAGGAACATGACGCAAGATCGACATGGGAAAAGAATTCCTCAATGCCGAATGGAATCTAGAGTGCCTCGTAGGTCATCTGGCGCCAGGACCCAACAGCTTTCCCACATCACATGCGGGCAACGTCGGGTGTGAACGGTTGGTATACAAAGCATTGTCCCGGTCAGGGCGGTCTAGCACAGCAGCTGCACGAGTCAGTTGCACTGGCCAACATGACCTGTGCAGGGGAGGAACCTAGAACATGACGTCAAAAGCATTTCGGTTAAGAACACTTATGTATGGACTGCAGGAGGACGTGCCTGAGATGGTGAAAATGAATTGCCTGAGGCGTTCATCGATTATCGCCTCAGGCATCCTGGGCTGACAATGAAATCACGTGCCCAGCTCAGAAAACCAGCTGCTCGGTGGTGCGTTTGTATGCATCACAGCCACCAAACATCATGCCGCGAAAGGTCCGGGCCGCTGCGCAAGCGGCGTCCAATTCAATGAAAAACACCCCCGTGGCCGCTGATGCCTCCGACGAGGAGATGCTGGATGCACCTCCCTCCCAGACCTCGTCTCCCGCAGCCGACGAAAAGGACCAGGATGTTGAAGCCGATGTCGATGCCGACGCAGAGCCTACCCAGGGTGTCGAAACCCCTGTCGACACTCCCACTGAATCCAAGCAAGGTGCTGATGATGAGGGAGGGAACGCAAGTGCTGCAACGCCCGCAGCGGACGACACCACCCTTCTTGGAGGCGATGATACACCTTCCTACACCGGCGGACGCCAATCCGTCATCCCGCGCAAACGAGGTCCTGGGCGCCCACCGAAGAACCGCCCCCCAGACTGGGACGCGGTGGACGGGACGGGCTCTCCGCGAGTCACGACGCCGGTCAAGAGACGTAGAGGCCGTCCTGCTGCCAGCGGAGGCCGCTGGGCGCGCAACAGGGGCCCCTCGCATATGACACAAGTACCAATCGATAAAGAGGGCAACATGATGGACGTGATCGATGATGAAGTGGCCTTGCCACCGGATCCCGAGGGCGATAGCAAGGTCGACAAGAACGGAGTGTTGCAGGGGGGACGCCAGTATCGCGTTCGCACGTTCACCATCCTCAACCGCGGCGACCGGCTGTACATGCTTTCCACGGAACCGGCGCGATGCATTGGGTTCAGGGACTCGTATCTGTTCTTCCAGAAGCACAAGATGCTCTACAAGATTATCATCGATGACGACGCGAAGCGCGATCTGATCGAACGCGATATCATCCCCCACTCTTACAAGGGACGCGCAATTGGTGTTGTCACGGCACGCTCGGTCTTCCGCGAGTTCGGCGCCAAGATTGTCGTCGGGGGAAAGAAGGTGGATGATGATTATCACGCTCAGGCTGCTCGTGAACGAGGCGATGTCGCCGGTGAACTGGCTGTCCCTGAGGACAGGCTGCCTCTCCCCGGCGAGGAATACAACCGGAATCAGTATGTGGCCTGGCACGGCGCCAGCAGCGTCTATCACACGAATACCCCGTCTATTCCTGTCCCTGGCGGAAAGCCCGTCGATTCCAGGAAACGGCGGGTCACGGTGACGGGTGACAACTGGATGCTCGAGCATGCCCGTGAAGCGAGGTATGTTGCTTCCCTCATACTGATTGTTCATTCCTAATTTCCGTTCTAGTGGTTTCAATGCTCGACTCGCTACCATGCGCCGCGCAAACTTAGGAGGCATCTACGACGTCCACACGAACATCATCCAAACCCCGAAGATCATGCAGCCCTCGCACGCCCGCTGGGAACGACTCCCACCACCAGACCCGCGCGCCCCCGGCCAACTGATGAAAGACATGTCCTCTCTGAGCCTCACCAACGGCACCGCCGCCAGTGTATCCACACCCCATGAATCCACCGAGACCACCAACCAGCACCAAGAACCCACCGCCAGAACGGAAGAAGGACAAGAACAACCCCAAACAATCTTCCCGTCCATCCCCGCCTCCATCGCCCGCCGCTTCGCAATCCACGACATCCACTACGAGTCCCCACCGGTCTCAAACATGGGCATCCCCGGTCCAGACGGCGACGTGCACGACCTCGGCGCCAACGGCCTGATCACAGCTGCCGATCCCCAGCACCCGGAGTTCATGAGCGCCGACGTGCTGGATGAATTGCCGGCAGACTGCAAGGAAGCCCTGCTTGCCTCCGCGGCACAGGAGTGGGAGTGGAAATCCAAGTGGTGCAGTGAGGCGGATGACGGGGCGCGGTCCAGGCCGTTGAAGAATTTTGCGTGGTTTCCGTGATATTCTTTTTCTTTCTCAAGTGTGATGCTTTTTCTCATGGTTTGATCTTCGCATGGAATGGGGTGATGGGATAAATGGGTGGTTTTTTAAACCCGAGGAGTTTTTTTATTCTTATCATTTTTTGTTTTTAATTCACTCCTAATATCAGACTGATATACTTCTTCTCTATCCATGCATTTGCCTTTTGGGTCCAGATCTTGTCCGACTGAATGTAGTTGGGCTGTAAGATTGATTGCCCAGAAATGTAAAGAGAAGTATCCCGCGAAATGCCCATCTGCTTTCCCGGGCTGGATCGAAATGGTCTAGATCTGGCCCAGGCCGGTAATCTTGGTCTCCCGGATACGCCGCCTGATATCTAAATGACGACAATAGTCGATTATATCTAGAACTGATGTGATATTTCCGACGACTGGGAAAAGAAGAATTGTACTTGAACTGTAAAAGAAAGGAGCAATGAGGATCGGATTCATTTAGAGGAAGAGACTAGAGCCCTGCAGAGACGAGTGATCGACTCCGTCGGGGACACGGGGCACAAACAGATATCTTAGGGTGGAAGAAAAGGTAGCGGATAGATTGCTGAGAAAGAGAGGGGTTGAGAGAGAAGACGCCAGTGGATAAGGGGGGAAAAGGTAAGGACCTTTGCTTAAGAAAGACGTCCAGTCATGCATGCCACGCAATTCAAGACACCAAAAAGGGAAAACACGATCACATCCAAAGGAGAAAGGACAAAAAGAAAGCCATAAATAGTTCAGTCGAAAGGTCCGAAGATCACATCGTAATCTCCATCTCAGCACGCAGCTTGGCCAGCTCGGCCTCCTCGTCGTCTTCCTCCGGCTTGGTCTGTTGCTTGGCTGTAACAGAAAGGCAAAAATGTCAATCGATACTCTGTAGATGAACAGCAGAAAAACAAAGAGGGAAAAGACTTACGCTCCTGCGTCGCAGGGGATGGTAATTGAGAAACCGCCACAGGCACGGTCCCCGTATGCAGCATCCGCTCATCCATGGCCTCCTGCTCCATACCCTCCAGCTCAGCCTCCAGCTCGTCCTCGTCGGGCAGCTCGTAGCCGACGGGGCCGTGTGCGATGACCTCGCCGATCTCTTGGCCGAGTTGGTGCTGTTCGTTGAGCTCCTCCCTGTATGATAGAAAGATTAATGATCAGCCCATATCACACAGAAAATGGCACGGGGGTTTAGGGTTACGCACATCGTCTTGTCGACTTTATCGAGGGTCATTCCGCTATGGATCTGCGACATTGCCTTGCCGGCCTCTTGCATGGCCTTGAAGGTCTCATGGTTAATATTCGCCGCCTCGATCGAATATATCTGCTGCTCGAGCTGCATGATCTGTGCGGTTGTCTGCTCGAGGTTCTTTTCGTGGACCTTTTTCCGTCGGAGGGCAGCCTTGGCAGCTACAGAAACAACACCCACATCAGCATATCTAGCCAGCCAAAAGAGAAAGTGAAAGGATCGTACCGTTTTTATTTGAGTTGACATTCTTGCGCGCCACGCTATCCTGCTCCTCCATCTGGTGTTCCAGGTACTTTTCTCGCTTCTGCAGCATGTCCAGCTGCTCGCGGAGCAGGAGGATGGCATTCTTGGGCGCTTCCTTGCGCTTCTGTGCGGCTGCGCCGCCGAACCAGGACCACATTTCTGCGGTGGGTGTGGGTTTGGCTGGGTTTGTGAAGGGGAGGGTTGCGTTGTGATGCGTAGATAAAGGAATCAGGCAGCCCCAAATCGCGTAGGAGGGGCGCCCTCTGGTGGCGTGGGAGATCGCTGGTTCGAGGCAGAAGCGAGGTCCGGCGGATAAGTGGAGGGATATTAAATAGGTCTGAAGAGCAGAGAGGAGGGGGCGAGTGAGAGTCAGTACTTTGTACGTCGATGAGATGAGATCCGGAGGGGAATCGAGTGACCCGCTTGGCCTTGATGCTTATGACATACTCCGCGTCACGTGAGCATCTATACAATGTCGGGAACAGCCGGTCTTTGGTCATACTATGTTGAATGGTATATTCATGTATATAACTCTATTGAACATCTAAATAAAAAGGTTCGGGTTGTTGGGGGATCCCTTGTAGTAGTTCCCAATGTTTTCCATCACCTTCTTGCGGCCATATTTCAGCACCCGAAGCCGAGAAAGGAAGTCATCGCTATTGACTGTTTCTACTGTCAGTCCCAACGGTCAAGTGTATATCAGAAGGAGTTACAGACCATAGCCACCACACATTCTCCTCTTGCCGGTGTATTGAGAACGACCGTGCAGCATCCGCCAATTATCAAAAACTGCCAGACAGTCAACAATCCTACGATCATAGCTCGATGGGAAAGGAGGACTCACTCAAAGCAGTCCCTGGCTCCAGCGGAGTCCAAAACTGCCTGTTTTTCCGATTGAGGATATCGTTAAAGTGTTTCGCAGCCTCATACCACCGCACCTGATCCTCTACATTCCAGCCGCTCTTCGCAGCGCGATCATAGTTATTCCACCGGATCTGATCAACATTAGACAAATCATTGTTGACATGGAAAACCGCAGCCGATTGAGCTGGTTGGATGCAAATGTCCTCGTTGCCGCTGGCATGCCATGGGTGATATGTATCCTGCAGTGCCTGGTAGTGGGATTTGTTCTCTTGCCAGAGCGTCTTTGCAGCGGCGAATCCGTCAATCAGTAAGTTTTCACCGCCTGAGCCGTTGGTATGAGACAAGAGATGAAAGAGTTGGAGCCGGGCAGGATCGGTGAAGTAGGTATTGTCTGTGTGACCGCCGAGGAATTCATTGGTGTATGCGGTGTCCTTGAAGGTGAGATCGGCGGTAAAGTCCCAGAACCCGCCGTAGTGCGTATGTCTGATAAATGCGATCCTCTCAATGAGATCCTTGGTAGCCTCGGGGGTGACAGGGACGCCCTCGATGAAACAGAATCCACGCCAGTACTTTAAGAAGATTAGAAGTGGCTTTTCTTCTTAGGAAGCAGGTGAGCTTACGATCTTCTCTAGCCAGTCCAGGAGAGATTTATCATCTGCCATGACTTTTTCATAGGAGACGGTAGGGCGTTTGTTCTCATGTGGCCAGCATGGAACAAACGGTCTAGGCATTCTAGGCACTCTAGGCAGGGTGTCAAAATTGCCCTTGGAAGAATCGGAATTGTCATACCTGCCACGCTTTGGGGTGCGAGAAGGTCTGCCCACATCATTCTGGTGGGCTTTGAGCCAGTCATACGAATAAACACCCTTGTGTCCATCAGACCCTGGGACTGTGTTAGCTCTATGGCGAACTAGAGGGATATCACTGACATGAGATTTCGATGCCCTCGGGCTTGTGGACAACATCTTCTTCCTTGACATGGGCAGGTATCTAAGAACCCATGAGTAAAGAGACGCAGTTTGGTTTGGAGTGCTTATACCGAGAAAGTATCGCTAATCCGCTGGGCCGTGTCTGGATGATTACATTCGGAGCATTGACAGTTTTCCCTGCATCGGTGGTTAGTTGTGCCGCAAGTCCTGTCCAAATTCACACCAACCTGAGCATGAAACGTCCACTATGTCCTTGAGTTAGTTATGACTCCCAGGGAAAACGGGGTAGGGCTCACAATCGCAGATAAGGCGACTTGTCATAGGCGCCTTCAGCTTCGATATACACATATCTCGGGTCACGTTCAACATCTTTCTTTCCAGGCTTTGCCTTCTTCTCGGGGACTTCGCGAGCTTCCCTAGCAGGATTCCTTCCGAATTCATCTTCCGCGAGCATGTCATGAAGTTTGGACGCTAGATCTCCATTCTGGGACTTCCCTGAAGAAGAACTCATAGACCGAGTAGCGTGAACCACCAGTCTTTGAGCAGCCCCTACAGTAGAGCAGCACCTCGCTATCGATCTCCCAGAGGGTGTTGCAACATTCCAGCTCAAAGCCTATAAGGAAATGTCACAGGTAAATACAGTGAGAACACATTGAAGGAATCCGAGCATACCACAATTCTATTTTGCAGGGCAAATGCGCGAGCTCCGCTGGGTTAATACATTAGCCCGGTATGCACAGTCAACAGTCACGCAAGGAGAATTGTACCGCGCATGTTTCCAAACATTGGCTACCTGCATGGTAGCAGTTCGGTTGAGAGCCATGGTCGATTGTATTCAGCGAGAAGTGGGCTGGACGGTGGTTTAAGTGCCGATTGTGTCCGTGGCCAGTCGGGATCGACCAGGTCACGTGCGCACGATATGGGGAAACACTTGGATGAATTGGGCAGTTGGGGTGAGAAACCCATAAAGCGGAGTAACGGGTTGGAAATACGTGACTAGGAGGTTTGGGTCATTGGTTGTTGAGTGGCGTCCTGGGAATCTTGGAACGCTATGTGGCATCCATCCAATTCACCCATTTCGGGGGGGGGGAGCCGAAGAATATATACATACGGCCGAAGGAGTAAGTATATAGATTACAGTTTACTCTTCGCCCCAACAATCTTCACCAAAGCCCGCCCATTGCTAAGCACGACCTTGTCATGCTGGTTCTTCGTAACGAAGCGCACCTCCTCAAACCCATCCTCCACATTACCCATGCGCCAGATCTCCGTGGTGAGCGTATCACCAGGCCGCACCGGCGACGCAAAGCGCGCCTGGAATTCGCGGAGATTCGCAGGATCGCTGCCGCCCAGCTGGCGTAGGAGGCCGACGGCGCTCGAGTTCCAGCTGAACAGGCCGTGGATAATGACGCCGCCGAAGCCCATTTTCTGGCCGGGCTCCGGGGTAGCGTGGAGAGGGTTGTAGTCGCCATTTAGACTGGAAGGAATAAATTAGCATTAGAGGGTCACCGACAAGGGTGTTTGTAGCTTTGAGATAGACATACCGGTACAAGTGCGCAGTCTCCTGATTCGTCTGAACCACATGCACTGCATCGGCCTTCTTCCCCGCCGGAGGAGGGTAGTTCACCGTGCTCGGTCCTAAGCATTCAATAATCAGTACGGTAATTCAATCAGTGAAATACTCCAACTCACCCTTCGGACCGCCCCAACCGCCCTGCCCAACCAAGAACCCACTACCAACAGTCTTGGAGTAGACCTCGCCGGTCTGCTTATCGACAATCGACTGCTCCGTCTCCACAACGGTCCCGGGCTTGCCCTTGTCATAAACGCCGACGACCTTATTGCGCAGCTCAAACTGGCGGCCCGCGCTGGTGGGCGGGAGGGGTTTCAGGACGGTCAGCTTCCGCTGGCCGTCGACTCCGCGGCGGAAGTCTAGCTTGGGCACTCCGGGGATCTGGGTTGCTGATTGGCGGGCGTAGAAGTCGGTTACTTCTTGGTCGGTGAGTTTGAAAGCTGATTGGATTGTTTGTTAGCATCAGTCAACCTCGAGTAGATGGGGTTTGCTCACGCAGAATGAGAGGGTAGGTTGGGAACACCGAAAAGTTAGGGTGCAATTCCTGATGGGTGTTAGTTCTACATCAGAAAGGGAGGGAATGGTTCTTACATAGAGGAAGTGCAGCTCGTCAGCTTTGCAGCCGATGCTGTTGGCGAAGAGCAGCACATCGCGCTTTTGCCAGGACACATCCTTGGAAGGGAATTCGAAACCAGCACCGGGGGACGACATTGTGTAATTATCTTTTGGGGTGATGAAGAACAGAGAAGGTCCACGGGTGGGGAGAAGAGAAAGAAGAGCTCAGGTTACAATAATGCGGGGGCAGCGAATGAGCCGAGCCGAGGCTGATCTGGACTCGGCAACCGTGTGGGCCGACAGTATTTACTGATTAACTACAGCTACACAGGACAACCAAAATAAGATAGAACGAATTGGACGCAGTTTGCTAGACTCAGCATCGACTCGGGGTATCGACTTGAAACTGCGAGGAGCTTTCTCGAGGAAAAACCAAGGTAGTCCGGATCGCGCCACAATGATGCCTTTTCCCTGTCCTGAATAAAACGCCAGAAAGAAAACTATATGCTATGCTACCATCCCGACACTGGTGACGGAAACAATGCAACAGATTAAAACTAGATCAACACATGCGATAGAAGCAGTTGCCCTCGGCAGAACGGGTCGGGTCCCCGGTCTCGAAACGGTAGGAGAGATTGATGTCCAGATCGCGCTTGTTCTTGTCGTTGGGTTTGTTCTCGAGATATCCCGACACAGACTCCTCCTCTTCGATGGTCAGCACGTCGCGCAGGTAGAACACCGTCTGTTTCCAGTGCGTGTACTTGGCGTGCGGGCCGGTCGAGAAGCAGATGGGCTTGTGGCAGGCGCTGAACTCGATGTCGAACCACGCGATCAGGGCGTGGATGAAGTCGCTGCGCTTGGCGGTGAGCGAGTAGGGAACGCGGAACGCAAGGTCGGCCGTAGTGACCGTGTTCAGATCGAAGGTGATGACGGGGCACGGGTCCGTGACCAGGGCCTTCATCTCCACGGTATCGACGAGCGGCTCGGTCAAGGCGATCTGCTTCATCGGGCTGTAGTTGAAGCCGTAGACGTTGTCCCAGACTGGGAAGGGTCAGAAAACGCCAGGAACCAGGCAGGTGGATGAATGCTTACAGCCAATCTTGTCGTCCTTGTATTCGCCGTCCTCAATGCCCGCCACGTACATGGTGGCCTTGTCCGGGAAGATCTTGCCACCGGGGACGAGGTAGGTGTCGCGGGCGTAGAGAACGGTATCCAGCATGCTCTCGTACAGAAGGAAGTAACCCATCCACTCGGAGATAATGATATCCACCTTGGGGAAAGGCAGCTGGACCTCCTCCATCTTGCCCTGGAGCAGGGTGATCTTGTCGGCCAGACCATTAACGGCGACAATCTCCCTGGCCTTCTCGATAATCGAGGACATATCAACACCAATCACATGTTTTGCGCCAGCCTTGGCTGCGAACCTGCCAGACACAAAATCAGTCTCGGTCACAGAGTTTTTTTGTGAGGGATCATTATCGAACGTACATGCTGAGAATGCCCGTTCCACACCCAACATCGAGGACAACCTTGTCCTTGAAGATGTGGCGGTTCTGGTAGATAGAATCGCGGTAGGATCTCGTGCGAACATCATCTTTCTGCGAATCGAAAAGGTCAGTCAGAATGGGGATGTGGCGGGAAAGCAAAATTCAAAAGGCAAAAAACTCACCAGCATTTCCTCGTGAATACCTGCGCCGAGCAAAGAAGTCAATGGTTAGTGATGATCGTCGCACCTAAAGACAGGATAAAATACCATGGTGATCGTAACTAGGGAGCGATTATCAGTATTGGTTCAACCACGGTGAGGGACAGACTCGACATACCTCGTAAAGTAGCGCACTTCAGCATGCTCCATGCCCACCATGCGGTCAGCACTGCTGGTCATGACACCAGACTCCTGCGTAGACCCAGACTCAGCCATAATGAAGCAACGAACGATTCTGGTGGAAGCAACAAAAAGTGATACGAGAAGAAGAACCCGTTCAACTTTTTTTTGCCTTTGGGCCCATGCCAAGCCTTTTCTCAGGCCCCGCGCTAGCCGATTAGGGACATCACCTGACACGTAGTGCCCTCATCGAATGCAAGTTCAGAATTACAGGCAGGCGTAGTGAGTGATTCTTCGGGAAGGAATCAGAGAAATATGTATCTCAATTCCTTCTAGAGTGGTGTCCTGACATCTATACATAACCCTGAACGGACCACTGCCAAGACCGCGACCAAAACTATTTGGCCCGTCCCGCCCGAAGCTCCCATCCTCCTTTCCTACCTTCGCGTGTTGCGCCTAGGACCACCTTCGCTACTCCCCGGCCCACAATGTATCGGGGTCTGTATACCCTGTTCGCTCTTTTATGTCTGGCTACTCTCGTGGAGAGATCGACCGCCTCCCTGGGTGACCACCTCCCCGACTTCAAAGAATGCGTCAAGGTACTTGCACCGTTGGCCCAGGACTGCCAACACAGCTAATGGACGTCAATGACAGGTCTGTAAAACGGAGAACTGCCAGAATGGTAACTCGGTGCTACGTATGCTCTTTCTCTCTCCGTTTCCTCTGACCTTGGCTGACTCTTTTCTTTCTTGCACACAGCGTTGCACCACCGTCTGCTGCTATGGACCTGCCCTGCGGAGTGTGACTATACCTGTCAACACGTCATCACCGACCGCCGCGTCGCTCGCGATCCCCCGATGCTGGACCCCGTCGTACAATTCCACGGCAAATGGCCGTTCCGCCGAATCCTAGGCATGCAGGAGCCCTTCTCCGTGCTCTTCTCCTTCCTCAACTTCGCCGCCCACTGGGTGGGCATGTCGCGCATTGAAGAGGCGATCCCGCGCTGGCACACCCTCCGACAGTACTACATGACCTTTGGCTACATCGGGCTGGCCAGCTGGACCTTCAGCATGCTCTTCCACACGCGCGACTTCCCGTTGACTGAGAAGATGGATTATTTCGCTGCCGGCGCCAACGTCCTGTTCGGTCTGTATCTGGCTGTGATTCGAATCCTTCGGCTCGACTTGAACAGCCCGCCGTACCGCCCGACCCTGCGTCGGCTGTGGACGCTGGTCTGTGTGCTGCTCTACACGATGCATGTGTGCTATCTCAGCTTCTGGTCGTGGGATTACACGTACAACATGGCCGCCAATGTGGCTGTGGGGATTGTCCAGAACTTGCTGTGGACAGGGTTCAGTATTTTCCGATACCAAAAGTATCTCCAGTCCTGGACTGCCTGGCCCGGCATGATTGTGGCTTGGATCATCTTGGCTATGAGTTTGGAGCTGCTGGATTTCCCGCCCTGGCATGGACTGATTGATGCGCACAGTCTGTGGCATCTGGGCACGGTGGTGCCCACCGCCTGGTGGTATTCGTGAGTTTTTGGCTTCTCTGAACGATTTTCATGGCTAATAATGCGACAGGTTCCTGATCAAGGATGCGCAGGACGACATTGCCGCGCACCGACTGAAGGCGTAATTCCATTGCGATAATAATGGTGGTGTGTACAGTATGGAGGAATGGAATCACAGAATTCCCCCGCGCGGGTATTGGGACAGTAGTAGCTAGACTGTATTTCCACCGCATGATAACCAGTTATTTCCACGCTCCAACCCCTTCGGGCAGCTGAAACACGCGTGGCAATACGTGGCCGCGGTCTAAACAGCGTGTCTCACCCCTCGTTCTTTTTTGTTTCAAACCACACTCCTTCCCTCTTCTCTTCACCTCCCCTCCGCGAACACTCTCTCCGACATTGTGAGATCTCCTTCCACTATCTCTGGTGATTTCCTCAATCGCACTGTACGCCCGCCACAATGGCGTCTCCAGCTGTCAGGCAAGCAATCTCATCAGCGGCCCTGCAATACGCGAAGCCCGAGGGCCAGGTCTTCGAGTATGGTACCGCAGGGGTATGTCACCGATCCTGAACGACCATATTTGTCTTAGCTAACCCTCTGACGTCTGCAGTTCCGCATGAAAGCGTAAGTTCCTCACCTCCTTCTTCCACCTCCGATCTGCCCCGCCTCCACCTCGACAACCCCGCGATCGTCCCTGAGGCCGTGTTTTGACCGTTTGCGCAGCGACCTTCTCAACACCGTCGTTTTCGCAGTGGGTTTGCTTGCTGGGCTTCGATCGAAGAAGCTTAGTGGACAATGGATTGGTGTGATGGTCACCGCGAGCCACAATCCCGCTGAGGATAATGGCGTCAAATTGGTCGATCCGATGGTGAGTTTTCGCGTGATTGGTTGTCGGTGAATATTTACTGATTGGGTAATTGCTAGGGTGAAATGCTCGAAGTAAGACCAACCTCGATGGATAAACAAAATTATTTTTTTAACGCATATTTAGGCCGAGTGGGAGGCATATGCCACCAAGCTGGCTAACGCCCCGTTGGAGACAATTGGTGATGTCTACGACGAGCTGGTCAAGGAAATCGACGTCAAGATGAGCAACCCGGCCCGTGTAGTCTTCGCGCGTGATACCCGTGCGTCGGGTTCTCGTCTGGTGGGCGTGCTGAATGCCGCCCTCACCGCGGCGGAGGTCGAGTTCCTCGATATGAAGTTCATGACCACTCCTCAATTGCATTACGCTGTACGGTGCAAGAACACACTCGGGACGCAGTACGAGTACGGCGAGCCGACGGAGAAGGGCTACTATGAGAAACTTGCTTCTTCTTTCAAAAAAGTTATGCGCGGCGTCAAGGTCCAGGGCCATTTGACCGTCGACTGTGCCAACGGTGTTGGCGGGCCTAAGCTTAGGGAGTTCATCAAGTACCTAGATCCGGGACTTGAGATCAAGGTGGTTAATGACGATGTCATCAATCCTGATAGCCTGAACTTCGAGGTGAGTTGTTATGCCCAGGGCGCGATGAGGCAGAGGTTAATGACATCTAGTGCGGTGCCGACTATGTTAAAACCAAGCAACGTGCCCCTCCATCCTCCAAGGCTGCTGCGCTCGACCGGTGCTGTTCGCTAGACGGTGACGCGGACCGTCTGGTCTACTACTTTATGGATGAGAGCAATATCTTCCGGCTTCTGGACGGCGATCGCATCGCCACACTTGCAGCTTCCTTTATTGGTGACCTCGCTCGGAGTGCTGGAATTGCCCAGAAATTAAAGATCGGTGTCGTGCAGACCGCATATGCCAACGGCGCGAGCACCGACTACGTTGAGAAGGTGCTGAAGCTACCCATCATCTGCACCAACACCGGCGTCAAGCATCTCCACCACGCCGCGCTGCGGTTCGATGTTGGGGTCTACTTCGAGGCAAACGGCCATGGCACGGTGACTTTCTCCGAGAACGCGCTGAAGGTCATCAAGAACACCGAGCCCCAATCCCCAGCCCAGCAGCGCTCCCTCGAATGCCTACAGGCCCTGACCGACCTGATCAACCAGGCCGTTGGCGACGCCATCTCCGACATGCTCCTGGTGGAAGCCATCCTCGCCCACAAGGGCTGGACCCCAAAGGAGTGGCTGGGGACGTACACCGATCTCCCATCGCGCCTCGTGCGCGTTGAGGTCGGTGACCGCTCGATCTTCAAGGCCTACGACGCCGAGCGCAAGCTCGAGTCTCCGCCGGGTCTCCAGACCAAGATCGAGTCCCTGCAGTCCCGGTATAACAAGGGCCGTAGCTTTGCTCGCGCCAGCGGTACCGAGGATGCCGTGCGTGTCTACGCCGAGGCCGCGAGTCGGTCCGAGGCCGATGACCTTGCCACCCGTGTCGCCAATGCTGTTCGCGAAGCGGGAAGTGTCAAGGAAATCCTGCAGACGGTTTAGAGAGTTATTGGTCTATGCCACCCGAATGTGTCATGACAGGGAGCCCGGAAGCAAAAAACGGCGAGGAATGGCTTACTGCTGCAGAAAAGCCAATGTCAGTTTTCTGGCCTTATTGTAATGCCCTCTTTCAGGTCCGAGGAGCATGGCCGTAACCAAAAATAGTATCATTGACGGTAATGAAATTTATGGATACATCCCTCCATTTCATCGTAGCGTATGAGGTCTTTTTATGTCTGTTCCAGATGTTTTTGATTATTCTAGAAATCTTTTATTACCGTCATTTGAGCCATATCAACCCTCGTCTTGATCCATCTCATCCCTCGATCTCTTCCCACCAAACCTATTCTTCCCCCGAGCCCCGCGCTTCTCATCATAATTCTTCATCTCCATAATAGCATGTCTCTGCGCCTCGCTCACCCGCTCAGCCAGGACCATCACCTCGTCCTTCGCGGCATCATACTCGTCCAATTTCTTGCCCAACGCGCCTTCGATCCTCTGCCAAATCTCTACATCATACTGCGTCACGAAAGAAATAGCAACTCCACTCTTGCCCGCACGCGCCGTCCGTCCGACGCGGTGGATGTACGTCTTGCTGTCCGTTGGTAGGTCGAAGTTCAATACCACGTCGACGGAGGGGATGTCCAGTCCGCGCGCCGCGACGTCGGTTGCAACAAGGATATCGCGACTGCGACTGCGGAATTTTCCTAGGGCACCGAGACGGGCAGATTGGGAGAGTTGGCCGTGCAGAGGAATGGCACCGAAGCCGAGTGTGCGTAGTAGGAAGGCTAGACGCTGGGTTTCGTGGACTGTCCGGGTGAAAACGATGACCGATTGTCCCGCGAATTCATTCAGCAGATACACGAGGTAGATATCCTTGTGTTTGTGTGGTCGGAGCAGAAATGCCTGCTTCAAAGTCGAAACAGTCTGGTACTTGCTCGACGATACCGACACTCGCAGGGGGTTTGATAGTGAAGCTCTCTGCAAGGACTCGACTTTTGAGGAAAGAGTCGCCGAAAACAAGAACGTCCGCCGCTCTTTGGGTAAGACGCGCAAGATCTTATCTAGAAGAGGTCCGAAGTCAAGGTCCAAAAGCCTGTCCGCTTCGCTGGAGGTGGTATGTTAGTATGAGGCTCTCGTAGGGGCGAGGAAAAACCAACTCCATAACGAGGTACTTCAAACTTCTCAGCGAGAAGCCTTTAGTGTTTTCAAGATGGTCCATAAGTCGACCGGGTGTCGCAACAACGATGTGTGGTTTCTTGCCCAGAGCAATTGACTGAGACACCATGTCCATGCCACCAACAATTACCGCTGTTCGGACAGCGATAGTTGACCCGAGTGCTTCGAAGGATTGAGAGATTTGAACCGCCAGTTCTCGAGTCGGGGCGAGGATCAGGCCGAAGAAGGGTTGAGGTTTGTCCATGAGTGCTACGTAGAGTTAGCATCATCTTTTATTATCTGGACAAGATATGTGTCGTACCTTGTAGAATGGGTAGGGCGAATGCTGCGGTCTTTCCACTGCCTGTTTCGGCCAGACCGATTAGATCACGGCCCTGGAGTGCTAGTGGGATCGACTCGGACTGGATTGGCGTAGGTGCCTTGTAACCTTTTGAAGACGAGTTAGAAAAAGATCAATTAAGAACGTTATAGATTGACAAACCCATGGTCTCGCAGGCATCGCATAGAGAGTCAATAATCCCAAGCTCTTTAAAGGACTTTTTAGCTGCGGGTTGAGCAGCCTCGGTGCCTGCCTCCGCCGGAGGTGCTTCTTCTGAGGCTTGGGAGTTGACTTCACTGTCTGTCTCTTCTTGGGGTGCTCCCTCTGAGGCATTGGAGCTGGCATCACTGTCGTCGACCGTTGCCTCCTGGGCGACCTTGCGCTTTTTTATGGCGGGCATTTTGCGTCTGTCTTGTTGTTCGATCGAAGATCCAAAAAAAAGTTGCATCGCAGCCAAATCTATGTGGGGCCGGAACATGGTTGATCCGCTGGATTTTTTTATCTTTTGGGTTGAGTCGGTTTTCTTCTCACTGCTTATACACAACAACTGTACTGCACCATGGCTAAAGCACGAGTCAAGAAGCGTACCCATGTCAAGCCCCAAAATGCCTCGGCTGCCGCCAAGGCCAATGCGGCCATGTCCAAGACTCCCAAGTCCATGGTCATCCGCGTTGGCGCTTCGCAGGTCGGATCCAGCGTGAGCCAGCTGGTTAAGGACGTGCGCACGATGATGGAGCCTCATACCGCCGTGCGTTTGAAGGTATGTCATGGACAGACACTCATTGATACCACCCCCTAACCTGACATGTAGGAACGCAAATCCAACCGCCTGCGGGACTACACCGTCATGACCGGTCCCCTCGGTGTCTCGCATCTTTTTCTCTTCTCCAAGTCCCGAACTGGCAACACGAACCTGCGGCTGGCTCTTACTCCGCGCGGGCCCACACTCCACTTCCAGGTGGAAAACTATTCGCTCTGCAAGGATGTCGAGCGAGCACTCAAGCGGCCGCAGAGCGGCGGACAGGACCACAAGACGCCGCCGTTGCTGGTCATGAACAATTTCAATTCGCCAGATGCCACAGAAGACTCAAAGGTCCCTAAGCGTCTGGAGACCCTGACGACGACGATCTTCCAATCGCTTTTCCCGCCGATCAACCCACAAGCCACGCCTCTGACCTCCATCCGCCGTGTAATGCTGCTGAACCGCGAGCCCGCCGAGTCTGAAGAGGAGGGTTCGTATATTCTGAGTCTACGGCACTACGCCATCGCTACGAAGAAGACTGGTGTATCGAAACGCATTCGTCGGCTAGATCCCAAGGAGATTCGGAATCGGGATAAGAAGAAGACTGCTGTGCCGAACTTGGGGAAACTGGAAGATGCTGCGGACTATCTACTCGATCCCTCGGCCGCGGGATATACCTCTGCGAGCGAGACGGAACTGGACACAGACGCCGAGGTCGAGGTAGCGGAGACCACGACCAAAAGGGTTCTCAACAAACGCGAGATGCAGCGCCAACGGGCTGGAGAGAAAGATTCAAAGAAAGCTACGTCTGCGCCGGGGGTGGAGAAACGGGCCGTCAAGCTGGTGGAATTGGGGCCGCGCATGAAATTGCGTCTGATGAAGGTTGAGGATGGGGTCTGCGAGGGCAAGGTGATGTGGCATGATTTCATTACGAAGAGCGAGGAGGAAGTGAAATCATTGGATAAGAGCTGGGATAGACGCCGGAAGGAGAAGGAGCAGCGGAAGAAGCAGCAAAAGGAGAATATTGAGCGGAAGAAGAAGGACAAGGCGAAGGGGAATGGTGAGGAGGAAGACAATGATGTGGATATGGATGATGAGGAGAATTGGCTGAGCGATGATTTTGAGGATGAAGACGAGGATGAAGAAGAGGAAGAGGAAGAGTGAAAATGTATATATACCCAGGCCATATAGATCATGATCCCTTATTTCTTCAGCTTCTCGTCCACAATCCGGGCCACCATCTTCTCCAACACGGCAAAATCCCCGTTGGCCGTGCCTGCAAAGTAACCCTGCACGCTCTTCTCGACATATTTGCCCACAATGTCAATCTCGACATTCACCTCCTCGCCCACCTTCTTGCCCGCCGTCACCACCTTCTCCTGCGTGTAGGCAATCAGCATCACCTCCCAGAACCCATCCTCCCCATCCACAACCTTGGTGACCGTCAAACTCGCTCCGTCAAGAGTGACATATCCCTTCTCAACGACATAGCGGAGGATATCCTTCTCGCGCGGCTGCAGCCGGAACACCAGCGCATTCCCGTCAGGAGTCACCGACAGAATCGTCGCGATCGTATCGACATGGCCCTGCACGAAATGCCCGCCCATGCGCGTATCCGCCGACACCGCGCGCTCCAGGTTCACCGGGGATCCGGTCGTCAACGACCCAAGATTCGTGCGGCGCAGCGTCTCCGGCGCAACACCGACTTTGAACCAGGTGTTGTCGAATTCTGTGACCGTCAGACAGGTCCCGTTCACGCTGATGCTATCTCCCAGATGTGCGTCGGTCAGGATCTCCGCGCAGTCCGAGATCGTGAGTGACGTGCCCCCGCCACCGCTGGTGGTGGTGTCAAGGGGCTCGAGGGCCGTGACGGCTATTCAAACATATTGTCAGTGCTGTAGGGCATAATATATCTTTTGGGATGTTGCTCACTCCCAATCGTCTCAACCAGACCCGTAAACATTTTTGTGGTAGATGATGAAGATCCGTTTCGGTCTCCCTCGGCCTCGGTTCGGAGGGGCAGAGCGGTGTCGGCGTTTCGGCGGAGCTTCTCCAATTCCCTTTCTCCTCATATACTTACGGGTGTCTTCTTTTTGGTTTTTTTTGGATGCATGCATAATACCCCTTAGACAACACAATGGCTGCGCTTAGACTCCATGCGCTCGTCCGGTCGCGCCCTTCCTGGTCTGGTCCTGTCCTGCGCCGCTCCCCGCAGCAGCCATGGCGGAGCTACTCCGCTGCGACGACGGGGGGTGACACATTGCCCTTGGCAGGGATCAGGGTGCTGGATATGACGCGGGTGTTGGCTGGAGTGAGTTCTTTTACTCTATGGCTTTGAGATTGTGCTGACTTGCTTGGCTTAGCCTTATTGTACTCAGATTCTGGGTGATCTGGGGTATGTGCCTTGAGCTATTCCAATTATGCAGATGCTAATATGGCGGTACAGAGCGGATGTGATCAAAGTCGAACACCCCACGCGAGGCGACGATACTAGAGCTTGGGGGCCCCCGTATGCGAAATATGAGGATGCCTCCAGAAAAGGCCCGGGAGAGAGCGCGTACTACTTGGCGGTACGAGATAGATACACCGGGGTACTATCAATTGACTCGGCTGACGAGGTACAACAGGTCAACCGCAATAAGAAATCTATTGGCCTGTCCTTCCAGCACAAATCCGGCGTCGAGATCCTCCACAAACTAGCCAAGGAGTGCGACGTCCTCGTCGAGAACTACCTCCCCGGCGGACTGAAGAAATACAACATGGACTACGAAACCCTCAAGGAGATCAACCCGAAGCTGATCTATGCCAGCATTACGGGGTATGGCCAAACCGGTCCCTACAGCAACCGAGCCGGCTACGACGTTATGGTTGAGGCGGAGATGGGTCTGATGCATATCACCGGGTCCCGGGATGGACCGCCCGTCAAGGTCGGTGTCGCAGTCACAGATCTAACAACGGGACTGTATACCTCCAACGCCATTATGGCAGCATTGCTCGCCCGCGTACGGACAGGTAAGGGCCAGCATATCGACGCTTGTCTGAGTGACTGCCAAGTCGCGACGCTGTCGAACCTGGCCAGCTCCGCACTGATCAGTGGAGAAAAGGATTCCGGAAGATGGGGCACCGCACACCGTCAGTGGATAATACCCTCACCTCTTTTTGTTACATACTAACATCATCTAGCATCGATCGTGCCCTACCGCAGCTTCAAGACCCGAGACGGAGACATCCTCTTCGGCGGCGGCAACGACCGTCTCTTCGGCGTGCTCGCCGATCGACTCGGCTTTCCGGAGTGGAAGACAGACCCCCGCTTTGTGACAAACAGCGACCGAGTCAAGCATCGGGCCGAGGTCGATGGCATGATCGAGGATATCACCATGCAGAAAACCACGCAAGAGTGGTTGGAGATTTTCGAGGGGAGCGGCATGCCCTATGCGGCTGTCAATGATATTCAGGGAACATTGAACCACGCGCATGGTATGTGTTTCTGCCTGATCATTTCTGTCTGACACCTGCTAATATCACACTGCGAATAGTTCAAGCCCGCGGCATGGTCACCGAGGTGGACCACCCTGCCTGTGGGCCGATTAAACTCGTCAACACACCTATCAAGTACTCTGAGGCGACACCTGGTGTGCGCACGCCTCCTCCTACTCTCGGCCAGCATACGGATGAGATTTTAACGGAGATTCTGGATTATGGGGAGGGAGATGTTTCCCGTCTGAAGGCTGATGGAGTAGTGTCATAGATATATATATCAACGTTCGCCATCGTAGATACCTATGAATCCAATTGTATATACCTGGGTACCTTACCTTCCTCAAACAACATGACCATCATCAAGCAATAAGAATGACGATCAACAATGAATGTGGCATCGTATACTCCAATTTCAGTCATCAATCACGTGACGCTATACAGACCTTGGGTCCTTTCCCTCCATCGCACTTTCCCTCCCCAGTGAGGCTCCCTCAATCGCCATTCAAGAGACGAGGCAGGCGCATTGATCGTATTCACTGCGGCCACAATACACGGCAGGAGCTCCCGATCCCGTCTATAAATCCCTCTCTCTACTTTCTCTTCTTTCTCCTCTTTTTCACCCATCTTCAATAACGGCCCTACCCTCCTCCACACACCTTCATAACTTTATTCTCAATATGAGCCTCTTAAATATTGCCCAGACTGCAGGCCAGGCTACACAACCTCCCCTAGCTCAACCCACAGAGAAATCCATACATCCCCAACCGCCGGATAAGGCCGTGCCACAATCAGCCGAACCTCCAGTCAAACGACTGAAGCTCACATTCAACCGGGGTGGGGATTCGCCCCAGAGCCTGCTTCCTCCTCAAACACAGCCTCCATCTTACACCCAGCCCACATTCACGACCACGCCGAAGCCCGTGCGGAATACTACCTCTGCGCCTCGGGGCCGGAGAAGGGGTGGGGCCAGCCTATCCGGGAAGCGCAAGCGTGCAGACGAAGACATCATCAAGACAGGACCGGACTCTTCGTCTGAGAACAGTGACCATAACGATGAGGCGGATTTTACGCCTAGTTCAACGCAGACTCGTTCCGGCCGAGCTGTGAATCGGCCTACGGCCTATACTTCGATTCTTCCTTCTCCGCAGAAGGATCCGAGTCTCCCGAAAAAGGCTACGACTACTAGCACCAGCATAAGCACCGGAACTGGTACAGGCACGGGTACAAATCGAAAACGCAAGCACTTCTTCCGCAGGAAAGATGCGAACATCGTTTGCATTCACTGCCAGAGAGGAAGCAGTCCTTCGACCAATACCATTGTTTTCTGTGATGAATGCAATGCGCCGTGGCACCAGAGGTGTCATGATCCTCCGATTGCCGACGAGGTTGTGCTTGTGAAGTCGAAGGAGTGGTCTTGTCATGAGTGCAAGCCCGTGCCGCGACCGACTACGCGGTCTGACATGAATCAAAACCAAAAGAAGAAGATGAAGCAGACGCAACCCGCGCAGCCTCTGATCATAGCTCGTTCTGCTCTGCAGTTTGAGGTGGGCGGGTATCGGTTCACTGCGGCAGAGAGGTGGGCGTACCTCTCGTCTCTCTCTCATGCCTCGCTCGTGGAGTTGCTGGTCACTATTTCAGATAAAAACCCGACAATTCCGATGTTCCCCGCCAATATGAACGAACTGCGGGCCTCTGAATTCGTTTACCAGCCGAAGACAGCACCTGCTACGGACTCGACCCTGACTGAGCGCGGCGCTGATTCGACGGAGACACCTTCTGATTTGTCCAGCACCTATCCAGCGACGAGCACTCGTAGGGCTTCGGTGCCAGTCAACCAGGCGACTTCATGGACCGCCAAGCGGCAGACACCCTCTCGCAGAACCTCTGCCCCGACGAAACCCACACCAACCAACTCTGCAAATGATCCGCTACCTAGGTTTCATGCTGCTCCTGAGACCTCGGAATTGTCCGTCCTTGAGGGATCTCAAACGAAAGATCAATCTTCAACGCCTGTGGCTGCATCTATTGCACCATCCAACCCAGAATTCCATGTTCAGAAGCCGGCGCAGACAGAGGACGACGACGAGGACTTTGAAGAGGTTGAGGACCACCGTCTTTACCCACGTGCAGGCAATGGATTCCGGCCGCCATTAGATCCAGCTGACTTGGACATCCTTCGAGAAGATCCCGAGTGTACGACTTTCAGTCATGCCTTGCATGGGCCAGCGAAGAACGCCCAGAAGCCGGTTCAGGTGTGGGGGATGGTGATGAAGGGGTAGGGGTCTGGATCTTGTTGCTGTCAATTCGTTGGAGTGAATTGAACTGGAAATGTTGAGGCAATGATTGAATGAAGTGATGATACTATTGTTTGTAACTTTTATCTACGTACTTGTAGCAGATCAGCCCCACTAACTACTGATGATCGACGCGTCCAACTCTCCTTCTCCAACTTCACTCAACACCGAGGAATAAATACTCCACGACCTGACGACAAATGATGCATTGATTTAAATAATATCATCACCAATACATAATGTCCTCACCACCACTCATCCACACCACTCCCGCATCCACCTCATTACCCTCCCATCCCAAGAAATGGCACGCATCCCTAACCCTCGACACCCTCCTCAGCGTCCTGTACCGGACCCTCCTCAACCCAGGGCTATCATGGCTCCTCGTGCTCTCGCTACGCGCACAAGTAACGCCAACAACAGACCCCGTCTTCATCGGCTCCGTCGCCTATGCCGTCCTGCTGACAGCGCTCTTCGTACTCAAGATCGTCAACCAGCGCGTCGCGCACGGAGTCCCCCGCGCTGTGGATTTCGCGTCTGAGGTCATCGTCGTCACGGGCGGTGCTAGTGGTTTGGGACTGGCTATTGCGCAGATGTATGCCATGCGTGGGGCGAGCGTTGCCGTTTTGGACGTTGCGGTGCTGGATGATGAGCGATATGAGGAGGTTTTTGGGGCGCAGGGCGTGGGGGAGGGGGTCAAGTATTATCGGTGTGATGTTGGGGATCGGAAGGCGGTTGAGGATACGAGAGGGATGATTGAGGATGAGGTATGCTATGCCAAGTACTGTTTGTCTTATTGTTTGGGATCTTTTCTTCTAACGCCTCAACCTCGCCCAGCTGGGGACGCCGACTATCCTAATCAACTGCGCCGCAGCACGCATAAATGGAAAACCCCTCCTCAGCCTGAACGCAGACGCATTTGAAAAGACCATCCGCACAAACCTCCTCGCCGGGTTCCATGTCTACCAGATCTTCCTACCCGGCATGCTGTCTGCAGAAAACGGTGGGACCATCGTGACAGTCAGCTCGGTGCTAGGCCAGTTGTGCCCGACAGGATTGTCAGACTACGCAGCCAGCAAGGCCGGGCTGAGCGCGTTGCATCGGACGGTAGAGGCGGAGATTCGAGCGGCGGGACAAGAAGACCAGGTAAAAATGCTGCTCGTGGAGACGGGGCAGATTGCGACGCCGCTTTTTGATTGGGTTGATACACCGAATTCGTTTTTTGCGCCTGTTCTCGAGCCCGTGCAGGTTGCACGCGAGATTGTGGCCACGGTTGATGGCGGACGGGGAGGCGTGCTGAGATTGCCTGCTTATGCGAAGCTGGCCAATTGGTTTGTTGTCTTGCCCGCTGCCGTGCAGCGGATTGCGAGGTTTGTGAGTGGGATGGACGACGCGGTAGCCAAGGGTGCATCATCTCAAGGACAGGCCACTGCGGCCTCGGAACGAGCTCCAGGAGGCGCGGTATATAAGAAGAGAGCGTGAGCCCAGTGTAGTACATACGGCGGAATCTGCACATTATGCACTCATGAACAGTTATTGCTCCCGCGCAAGGATCATCTTCTCGCGCTCGTTCTGTCTTGGCTTCAAATCGCTCTTCTTGGTGTGCTTGCGCACGTTGTCCTCGCGTCTCTTGATAGCAGCCACTTCATCGCGCTTGATCTCGCCCGCCTTCTTGACCGTTCTCGGCAGGTGACGTTGGCGTTTGATGCGGCGGATCTCAGGCATGTGTCCGTAACGCTTGATCAGAGCCTGGTCGTACTCTAGTTTCGCGCGCTGACGAGCACTCTTGATCCCGCTGCGGTCAGATGCGTTGGCGCGCCACAGACGAACGTTGCCATCGTCTGACCCGGACAGAAGGTACTTGTTGTCAGGGGTGAATTTCGCGGAGAAGACACTGCACGATCCATTAGTATATAGTCGGGCTTATGATCCAAAAGAAACATACCGCTGCATGCGCGTTGTGTGATAGCAATCCCTGGAATGGCCGTGGTTTCTGCTCCACAACCGCACCGTCCGGTCGTACGATGCCGTCACCAACTCCTCGCCTGTCGGGCTGAACTCAACATCCATCACGGCAGCCACATGGTCCTTTAGCACGTTCAACGCCCGATCCGTCTTTCTCATGTCAAAGATATAGGCGTTGTGGTCCTCGTTCGCCACGGCAAAGTTAAAGGCCTCCATCGGGTTCCATGAGACGGTGTTGGATGCCAAGCGTAGAGTCAACTTGTGGACTGGCGACGAGGTCCGCAGATCGTACATGATAACGGAGCGATCCATGGCGGTCGAGGCAAGAATGGACGTTTCTGTCTGGTTGAATGCGACGGAGGTAATGGTGTCGACGCTAGTTGGCCAATGGAGGGTTTGCGAGGGTGTAGAAGACGGCCGGGAGAGGTCGTAGATGGAGATGACAGAGGAAGATGCCGCAAACGACGAGTGGTCGCGGTGGTGCGAGATTCCGGTGAAGGCGCTTGAGCCCAAGTATGTCGCCAGCGGCGGCGACTCTGGCGTCGAGTTGTACGGATCCCACAACTTGACGGTCTTGTCGCTTGCGCAGGACAGAAGTTTCCGCTCTGGGGTCCAGCACAGACCCTTAACCATATTCTCATGGCCCTGAGTATTCCACACTTCGTCTTGTATCGGGAGATCCCACACTTTCACTACGCCATCACCACTGCCGCTAGCAAACCGTTCGAGTGAGCCGGGATCTTTCGCCATGGTATACACGCCATCCACATGTCCGTTACCCATCTGGGCCAAGAAAGGGGCGGCAAACAGCCGTTCCATTTTCACGGCATTGAGAGCACGAGTATACTCTCGAGCACGCTCAAATGGATGCTGGCTCGGATCGAGATTCCGCGCCTGGCGAACAGTCGTCGACCCGGGGGCCTGCTGGGAGGCTGTGGGGCGGGAAAGGGCTTTGATTTTCTGATATTTGTTAGAAATGATATTTTCAAACCGGTCCACAGGCACAACTCACCATGGTGTTGCTGTGGAAAAGATGGTCAAGAAAGAGAGCCGAACTTTTTTTCCCTTTGTATGGGCTGACTAAGTGTGGTTCACCGCCTTGGTGCAGCTCAGCCCAGCTTCGAGCTGCCGCCCTCGCGAAGCCGCATCACCTCATCCTTCGTTTGCCCTTGCCGTCTTTCCTTGTTTTGTACTTCTATCCTCTCGGTCCAAGTCTGCTTCATTCAATTACCGCGTTGCCAACCCTCAACCATGGCCACCTTGCAGGTCTCGCAGCGGATACAGCAAGCCCGGGATCTGGCCAAACAGGACAAGCCCCAAGCAGCCAGCAGTTACCAACAGATCCTCTCTGAAGGGCCCGGGTCGACAGAGGCCTCGTCAAGAGATTATGAGCAGGCGTTGGTTGGCCTGGCCGAGCTCTATCGGGATGACAAGAAGCCGCAAGAGATCGCAGAACTCATCAAGACCAGCCGGGACACCTTTTCGTCATTTGCCAAAGCAAAGACGGCCAAGCTAGGTAGGGTATAACTGTTCTCTATTGATTCCTCGATGCTGATGGTCTTGTAGTCCGCCAACTGTTGGACCTGATCAGTGACATCCCCAATACCCTCGACCTCCAAGGCGCCGTCATCCAATCATGCATAGAATGGGCCATTGCCGAACGACGGTCCTTCCTCCGACAGAACCTCCAAGCGCGTCTGGTGGCCATTCACATGCAGAAGCAAGCCTACTATGAAGCTCTCACTCTCATCAACTCCCTTCTGCGTGAACTGAAGCGACTGGATGACAAGCTTATGTTGGTGGAGGTGCAGTTGCTCGAGTCGCGGGTGTACCATGCTCTGGGGAACCAGGCCAAAGCCCGTGCCGCTCTGACGGCTGCTCGGACGTCCGCTGCCTCTGTATACACGCCACCCAATCTGCAGGCAAGTCTGGACATGCAGAGCGGCATGCTGCACGCCGAGGACAAGGACTTCAACACTGCATTCTCCTACTTTATCGAGGCGCTGGAGGGCTACAACTCTCTCGACGAAGGCGACAAGGCCACCGCTGCTCTGCAGTACATGCTTCTGTGCAAGATCATGCTGAACCTGGTGGATGATGTCACGAACCTGCTCGGCTCGAAGCAGGCTCAAAAGTACGCCAGCCCTCGGCTGGAAGCCATGAAGGCCGTGGCCCGCGCCCACGCCAATCGGTCGCTAGAGGAGTACGAGAAGGCTCTGTCGGACTACCGGTACGAACTGGGAAGCGACGTATTCATCCGCAACCACCTCCGGCGTCTGTATGATGCTATGCTGGAGCAGAACTTGATCAAGGTCATCGAGCCTTTCAGCCGGGTGGAGTTGGACCACATCGCCAAGATGGTCGGGCTGGACACGCAGCAGGTGGAGCGGAAGCTGTCCCAGATGATTTTGGACAAAGTCATCATCGGTGTTCTGGACCAGGGCTCGGGTTGTCTGATTGTGTACGACGAAACGGAACGGGACCAAGCATACGATGCGGCGCTGGAAACGATTGAGAAGCTGGGCAATGTGGTGGAGGGACTGTATACTAACCAGGCGTCGCTCCTGGAGTAGTTTTCAATTGATTTTACATTTTCCCATGACCCTAGTTGTATTCTGCTTCTTTCTTATACATTAGTACTCGAGAGTCTTGTTGCGCGTTCCGAAAAGGGTATAGCGCCGGCAGCAAAGAATCGCGCCTCGTCTTCTTCCTGCCATCCGCCTTTCTCTCCCTCTCTTCCACGTCTCATCACTGGATCGGCTTTTTGCCCTCACAATGCAGGCCCCCATGCAGAATTACCCCCGGGGATACCCCCCGGCCGCCCAGCGGTCCCCAGCGACGCCCCGTCGCGGCCCCCCCGTACCCGGTTTGTCCTAGTCCCTTTCCTTCCCCATAAGCCCCCAAGTCTAATCGCGAATCTCTGCGCTACAGGAATGCCCGTTCCCATGCCCCAACACGCTGTCAACCCACAGTTTATGCCCGCTCAGCGCGCGATGGCACACCCTAATGAAGGTGCTCTCCGTCGCAGCCGCAAGCCGACCGACAGGAACATCCCCGACGGAATCGAAGACGTGGTCATTGGCGAAGGTGTCCAGCAGTACAAGAGCCTGCGCGATGTAGAGAAGCGATTGGATGCCGCCATTGTTCGCAAACGACTGGACATTCAAGATTCGGTCAGCCGGACCAGCAAAAAGTACCGGACCATGCGCATCTGGATCTCCAATACTGCCGAGAGCCAGCCGTGGCAGGGGCCCGGCAACAACCCAGGCTCGGGCCGGTATAAGGTGCGCATCGAGGGACGTCTCCTAGATGATGAGAACGACCCCACAGTTCCGCCAGCCGATGAGAAGGAGAGCGAGGTGGCTGGTGGTGATGCGATGGAGCAGGATGAAGCCGAAGCAGACAAGTCGAAAAAGACCGCACCCACAAAACCGCCCCAGCGCTTTTCGCATTTTTTCAAATCCATCACGGTTGACTTTGACAAGCCAGCCGCCGCCATCCCCGAGGAGGTTAAGCCGGTTACCTGGGCCAAACCGCAGACGCCCCCCAATGCGCCGGCACCCCCAAATGCGGAGTTTGATAGCATCCAGTTCTCGCGGGCATCGCAGGAGAATCTGAATGTTACCATCAGCCTCGTGCGAGATGAGACCCCGGAACGGTACAAGCTGAGCCGCGAGCTGGCCGAGGTGCTGGACGTTGAGGAGGAGACTCGCAGTGGAATTGTGCTTGGAATCTGGGACTACATCCGTGCGATGGGATTGCAGGAGGATGAAGAGAAGCGCCAAGTGCGGTGCGACCACCGTCTGCGATCGGTATGTCTATCCTATCACCTCAAGTCTTTTTTGAGGTGTTGCTAACTTTTCTTTCAGATCTTCGGTCGAGAACAGATGTTCTTCCCCCAGATTCCCGAAAGCATCGGCCCACACACCAGCCCCATGGAGCCGATCAAGTTGCCCTACACCATTCGCGTCGACGAAGAGTTCCATAATAACGCGACCCCAACCGTCTATGACATCCAGGTCGCCGTGGAAGACCCCCTGCGCACCAAGATGATGGCCCTTACCCAAAACCCGCAGTACGCCGCGGGCATGCGCCAGATTGCCTCACTAGATGACCAGGTTGCACTCATCGTGCAGGCGCTCACTCACTCGCGTGCCCGCCACTCTTTCTACACTGCCCTGAGCAAGGACCCGGCTAACTTTGTCCGCCGCTGGATCAACTCTCAACGTCGCGATCTCGAGACCATCCTCGGCGAGGCTGGTCGCGGTGGCGGTGAGGATGGCAATGCACCTGAGTTCCGTCATGGTGGCACTGACAGCCCTTGGGATACGGTTGTGGCTCAGGAGGCAGTGCGTTATATGCTGGCTAAGCCCGAGGCTTCTGCTGCGCGGTAGAGATGCCTTCCAACGGCGCTTGTGACCTTGGGTGTTACTCTGGTTTTGTGTATTATCTTTCTTTCGTCTTGTTTGTGATACAGGCGCTGCGATGGATGGTGTTGGTGTTGCGATGCTGTTGTCTACATAAGAATTTTAAGGAATGAATAATCGTTTTGAGGTTAATATGTTCTGTTTATTGCTTTCATATTCCCTAGTGAGAGTTAACACTAACTGATACATCATTATATCTTCCTCAAATCCAAGCATAACTCATCTGATGGCTTTCGTTGCTTCATCCGGCCATACACCCAGTATCAATAGTGACAAAGAAAGAGAGAAAGGGAGCTAGAAAACGTGTGAAGGAAGTGAGGAATTAAGCAGCCACGGATTTAAGAAAAGAAGAGGTATCAGACAACCTCCAGAAAAGCCCCTAGACCTAGAGAAGATGTTTCACCATTACATCCACTATGCAGGATACAGCGCATCCAAGTCCGTACACCAAGGCCGACACCAAGCAGGAGCCTCTCCAAAATGCACTGACAGCAGCCAAGTCCACGAAGACAAGGCAGGCGAAAACCAACACAACACACCTTGGACATGCAAAAAGAATCAAGTGCCAGGGCTAGGCAGAGGCACCTTAGAAATCAAGTCCTCCTTCCTCCTACGCAACTCCTCCCCAAGCCCTTTATCAATAGCCGACGAGATCTGCTCCTGCGTAAGGAACTCGCCCGACCTCAGAGCCGCCTCATCCTGCTCCAGCTGCGCCGCAGCCTCAAGAACAACATCCTGCGCAATCTCATCCTTGATCTTCGCAACTTTCTCTGCGCGCGACAGCTCCTCCTCCTTCTGCACTTTCGCAACGGGCTTCCGGAACCGCTTGAGAACTGTCTCCACCATCTTTGAGAACCAGAAGAAATTCAGGAAATTCAAGATCAGGTTCGACCCCACGTATGTGAGTACCAGCCACGTCGGCACGCCAGAGGCCGTATACTCCGCGAACCGGGTGATTTCGGCATTGGCTCGCGCGCAGGTCTCGTCGAGACACATGGCGCCGTCGCGGACTGGGTGGAAAACGTGCGCGTTGACGTTGACTGGTTGTTGGAGTGGCGAGGACGACGCAGACCACGTCTGCTGCACGGCATACCACATGTCGCGGTAGACGATAGCAGACTGCCAGGTGCCCCAGACGAGCCGGCACGAGAAAAAGACAAGCAGGAGGAGCATGCCATTATACCACTGTGCGCGACTGCCAGTCATATTGACCTTATCGAGGAACCAGTGGATATTAAGGAATGGGCTGGAAAGCTCGTAGAGAATAAAGACGGGAGCGTAGAAGTTGAGGAACGGCCTGAATCCCAGACTGAATACCCAGAGGGCGCTGACAGCGTGGAACAGCAGGCCAATGCCGAAGATGCGCAGGTACACGATGCTGACGATGAGATCGTACAGAAAATAGCCGACTGCCAGCGCCTGGACCAGCCCGCAGGTGCCGGTGTACCCGAACACGCGCTCGCCCGTAGACATGGACTTGCGCTCCTCATCTGCGAACATGACCCACAGCGCGACAGCGTTAACTAGGACGCTCTGCACGAGGGAGACGACGTGCACGTCCCAGTTGAGTTTGGTGCGGGCGTTGAATTTGGGGTAGTGGTTTGGAAACAATTTCGGAGAGAGCCATGGGGAGAGTACGCTGTGGATGAATTGGTAGAAGGCAAAGGCGAGCAGCACTTCATGGATGTGCTCGGTGAGGGTCGGGCTGGCGAAGCGGAGCGCGTACGGCTTTATGAAGCACCGCAGCCAGTCCGGGGGTGGCGGAAAGGGGTCCAACATGGTTGTTGAACCGCCTTTTGATCAAGGTAGGGCTGAGGGAAGCTGGTTGCTGGATGCGTTGGGAGGTGCTTAAATAGAGGAGATAGCTGCTCCGGGGTTTTTTTGGGAGAGCCGTTGCGGAGGGGCACTTCCGGGTTGATCTACCATGGATGAGCACCAGACTGACCGAGACACCTTTAAGAGGGAACGAGCTCCATGGCGTGAGATCAAAGAAGGTCAAGTGGGATGGACTGAATCATTCTTGCACTAAAACGGCCTCGGCTGATCCGATTGCAGCCTCAGGCACCAAGTCCCATGACTGGTGGGCAATCCGTTGGGGGGCTGACATCAGCGGTCACGCGAGCACAGACAGAGAGACAGGATGTATACTCGAGTTTAAAGATAGTTGCTCGTTCATTGCAGAACTAGTCATCAGCGACAAAGGAATTCATACAGGCTCAAAAGAAAAAAGAAAAAAGAAAAAAGAGGAAAAAAACACCCCTAGTCCCAACACAGCACAAGTGGTATATGAGCGAAATCAGCAGTTCGCGTGCAGAAGAAAGAAGAAAGAAGAAAGAAAGCTCGTAACTCCAAGCACCATGCCCTGCAAACCGTCCTTCTCACGCAACAGACATATCCGTCCCAAGCCCGCTATCACTAGGAGGCGGTGCATTTTCAAGTAGTCTCTTCTGGATAAAGGCGGTTCGGTCATCTTGCTCCTCCATAGCATCATCCGGGTCCTGGTCCTCGTGCGCAGTGTGCATGTCACAGTCGGACTCGGTCCTGCTGTACTCAGACCCACTGGCATCCGAAATGGGGGACTGTGATTCCTCCTCCATGATGGTACTTGCGACCGTAACCTGACCAGTGGTTGAGCTCATGCCGCTGGTGCGTCGGTCTGTGGTTGAGACCAGGCTCTCCGTCTCCGTCGCCATCACGCTCTCGGTGCACGTGCCGGTGTAGCTGGTCCGGCGCTCCGTGCCAGCATCGCTCTCTCCCCCGCTGTCGAGCTCATCTTCTTCGAGGACGGACTCGTTCTCCTTGTTGGCCAGCGAGGTGCGACCGCCCCACGAGGCCTTGCGTAACGAGAAGTTCGATTTGACCGAGTGGCTGCGCTTTAGCCCGGTGACGCTGCTGTTTGCGTTCACTTGTCGATCTGCGGCCCGGTTACCTGTGACATGGCTGAGACTGAGAATGCGTCGCTCCTTGCCGATGTTGGGCTGCACAGCCGCCGTGCCCGCCTGGAGTGAGGCTGGTATGCGGCGCTTGAGGGCAATGCCGACGCCATTCCCGAGCAGATCGCGATTGTCCTTGGAGTCCTTGGCGGTGCTGGCGTAACTGGTCTTGCTGGTCCCACTGGAGCTGCGAATAGTGCCATGAGAAGTCCGGTTGCGCTTCAGACTCATATTCAGCATGCTGCTGTTAGACCGACTGAGGAGCACAGAGCGAGCATGGTCCAGCACGCCCTCCAAAATCCGCTTCTCCAGTCCCTCGGCACGATCCTCCATCGTCTGCATCTCTTCGTGACGGATTTCGAGAGCAGTTTCGAGTCCGGAGAGATCCTTGCTCAGTTTTGTGTTCTGTTTGACCAGGTCCTCCTTTTCCGCCTTGAGAGTGGAGATGATGCTGAGCAAGGAATCTTTTTCTTCATTCAGACCGACGATGTCCGCTTCCACTTGCTCCCGCTGCGCGACTCGGCGTTCCAACGCAACAGCAGCATCCTCGGCTTCCTGGCGCTTCCGTGTATTTTCCTCGGCAACCATCGCGGACTGCGTAATAAACATCTCGTTCATCTTGCGGTGAGTGTCCATGATATCCTTGTGCATTTCATCAAGTTTCATCATCTGCGTAACTGAACTCTCCGAGTTCGCGGTATGGCTGAGGAGCATGTCCAGCTTTTCGTGGACGGGGCCAGTGCCGGAAGTGGCAAGATCAAGAAGCTCGTTAAGTTTGTCGTAGACCGGACCGTTCGCGCCGGAACCTTGATCCAGAGCGCGATCGAGCTTCTCATGGAGCTGGTCGTTTCTCGAGTGATCAAGTAGTGTAGTCAGCACCTCCTGGACCTGGTTATTCTTGGCGTGTTCCAGAAGATCGTTGAGCTTGTCATGCACCGGGCCCCTTTCGAGATCTTCGCCTGCGGGGGGAAGTGCATGCATAACCGTAGATGAAAGCTCCGACCTGGACTCCTCCACTGACTTTTGGGAGTCGTTGTAGTGCTGGCTAACGATCGAGAGGATTTCCTGAACACTCTCTAATATCTGGGGGTGAAATTCAAGGAGCTTGCTTTCCACACGCTCGGTGGTCGCGGCCACTCGCTCGCTTTCAGCTCGGGCTTGTTCTTGATGCGACTTGACTTCATTGGACATGTCTTCCATCCGGTTACAGGATTCTTCAACCTTCTCGAAGAACGTCTTCGTGTCCACGCTCATTCGCTCGCACGACTCGCTCACGCTTGTGCCCATAGCACCGATGACAAACTTGATGTCCTCAGCAAGGGCTCTCGTGTCTGTCAAAGCCTCGGTGTGGGCCATATCTCGCTCCTCGGTCTCGGAGAATCGGGAATGAAGAGACTCATGGGCGTCCTCGTACTTGGACATGACTTCGGCAATCTTCTCGTCGATCTTGGCCCCAAGCTCGACGATTATTGCGGCGCGAGTCTCGTCATGTTTGGTCATGGCCGCGGCATCGCGTTCCTCGTTCTCGAGTTTTTCGGCGTCTTGCTCACCACGGGAGCGCTCAAACTCGCGATTGATGAGGTCGGTGAGCTCCTTGACATTTTCGACAGTGGTGAAGCTTTCGGCTGTGACGGCAAGCCCTTCGAGAAGCTGCTTGAGTTCAGTAAGTCCCTCACTGCTACCATCAAGCTTGCTCTTCAGCTCGTCGCCGAGTTCTCCAACAACAAACTTGGCCTCCTCAATCTTCTCAGCTAGACCGCCATGCTCGACCTTGCGAGCCTCAAATCCTTGTCCCGTGAGATCATTGTCGGCTTCCATCTTCTCCCGGAACTCGGTGACAAGAGTAGACAGCTCTTGTATATCAGCCTTGGTCGGAAGAGTCTCCACATCGGGGAGTTTCAGCTCATCCACCTGCGACTTGACCTCGAAGATCATGGCCTCCACGGTCTGCAAGTCGGACTTCAACAGCCTGTCGGGCGGTTCTGCGGCTTCATCACCTTTGGTCGATCCTTTCATTTCGTCCAGGGCAATCCA